AATTATATTTATATCAATTATTTTATATCAATTATCAATGCTTGGTATATTGATACCCGTTACAGGGGAATAAGAACCACTGGCTAGAATTGTAGGGCACCCTGGGTTCTTATTTCAATTAGCCGACAGAAAGGGTTGAATCCAGCAATCCAGCCCCTGAAGTTCCTCTTGCAGTAGGTTCTTAAACAGTGGCGTCACTGCACCACCATTTTAAGAAAACCTCCAAATATCCTGGGAGGATGAAATCTCATCCGTCCTTGGGCTTGAAGAAACCAGGAGGCAGTTGAGGCGGACGCCTCGGACTCGTCGACCTCAGAGTCGGAGAAGGAGGCTGGGAGATCCCAATAATCCCCGAGGAAATGGACATTTTCATGGGGAAAATCCGGTTTAGTCCTTGGAAAAACATGGAACCATTTTTTGGGCGATGTTCCATAGATGTTTGGAACATCATGGAACTAAGCTGTCCCTTTTCATCAATGTTGTATCGTTAGATTACCAGAGTGATCCAGAGTGTAGGTAAAACATGGTAAAACATGATGTTTACCGTCCAGTCATACAAAACGCCACGGTGTTTTTTTCTAACGGGAATAGTTTGGTCTAACTAATTCCAAATCTGATGGATCGGATCGTTCACATGTATGTTAGTGTTTTTGGATGGTAAAATGAGGTAAAATGTATATATTGTAATCATATATGATTATGTGGAAACGTTCCGTTTGTTTTAATGGTTGTTTCATGCAAAAAACTACAGTACAGACTCTATCTTGCGCAAATGTGTTCGCATGCCTGCATATGTCATCATATGTCGGCATATTTTTTAATTTCTGGGAATGTCGGCGAATCATGCAACCAACAGTTATCATCCATTTTGTGGGATTTTTCATGAAACCATCCAGCTATTGGTCGTCTGTTAAGGAAGGCTTCAGAGGGCTTACTCCCCAAGCGCTGATGCTGCTCATTCGAAAAGCCGTCGATGAGGAGAACCTCGGCACAACAGCAACGCGTTTTGGGAAACCTTTCTTTTTTGTGTTGATTGGGTTGTTTGGTTGTCGTAACTAAATAGTTTTGAGGACAACTCGCACCCCTCTCTATCATGATTATCTATCTATTTGTTGCCAGATAATTCACCACCTGCCAGGTGAGGGTTGTTAGATTTTATGTCAGTTGCCTCCTCCTTCTCCTCCGCCTCCTCCTGCCTCGTCCTCCTCTCCTCCTCCTCCTCGTCCTCCTTGTCATCCTTGTCGTCCTTGTCGTCCTTGTCGTCCTCGTCGTCCTGGCTCAACTGCGACTCGCGATCCACAGTGTTCTCTGCCGGACCTCAACCACGACCACCCACGCCCAGTGTTCCCTGCCGGACCTCAACCACGACCATCCACGCCCAGTGTTCCCCGCCGGACCTCAACCACGACCATCCACGCCCAGTGTTCCCTGCCGGACCTCAACCACGACCATCCACGCCCAGTGTTCCCTGCCGGACCTCAACCACGACCATCTGCGCCCAGTGTTCCCTGCCGGACCTCAACCACGACCATCCGCGCCCAGTGTTCCCTGCCGGACCTCAACCGCGAGTATCCATGCCAACTGTTCCCTGACATATCTTCTGGCATTCTATCTGGCAAATCTTCTGGCATTCTATCTGGCATTCTATCTGGCATATCTTCTGGCATTCTATATGCCAGATCTTCTGGCATTCTATCTGGCATATCTTCTGGCATTCTATCTGGCAAATCTTCTGGCATTCTATCTGGCATATCTTCTGGCATATATTCTGACATATCTTCTGGCATTCTATCTGGCATATCTTCTGGCATTCTATCTGACATATCTTCTGACATTCTATCTGACATCTTTTCTGACATTCTATCTGGCATATCTTCTGGCATATCTTCTGGCATTCTTTCTGACATTCTATCTGACATCTTTTCTGACATTCTATCTGGCATATCGTCTGGCATTCTATATGGCAGATCTTCTGGCATTATATCTGGCATATCTTCTGGCATTCTATCTGGCATACCTTCTGGCATTCTATCTGGCATTCTATCTGGCATATCTTCTGGAATATCTTCTGGCATATCTATCTGGCATATCTTCTGGCATATTTTATGGCATTCTACCTGGCAAATCTTTCCCTGCCGGACCTCATGTAGGAAGATATGGGACAAAGAATGTGCAGAAGAAAGTTAGAAAGAATGTCAGACAAGTATGTGATATATTACTTGCGAACTTGCAGGTGTGTGGTATTGTGATCGGGGCAATGCCACTTCTGACTTTGCGGGTGGCAAAGTTTGAAGCAATCAGTTTGAACAGATGACAGAGTCACTGGGGTGGACAGAGACATTTCCATTTCTGTACCTTTGGAGCTGTTTGCAAAGACGCTTGAGACAGGCAACACCTTACAGCAAGTTACTACAAATTACTTGAAGGGATCTCATGCTGGATTGATGCTTGAGACAGTCAACATCACACAGAGTTTCTATTGTGTATCACAGCTATGGTAGCATGGTGGATATGTGACATCGGAACATTTGTTGGAGCATTTGAGCCCTCATCTACTCGATCGCGGGCCAGAGGCAGGATGGACATCATCATAGAAGCATTCAGCAGGAGGAGGTTATGTGATCAGTAGTGTCTTCTTGCGTGTTTTTCCCCACCTGCCAGGTGAGGGTTGTTAGATTTTATGTCAGTTGCCTCCTCCTGCCTCGTCCTCCTCCTCCTCCTCCTCCTCTCCTCCTCGTCCTCCTCGTCCTCCTTGTCATCCTTGTCGTCCTCGTCGTCCTCGTCGTCCTCGTCGTCCTCGTCGTCCTCGTCGTCCTCGTCCAACTGCGACCCGCGATCCACAGTGTTCTCTGCCGGACCCCAACCACGACCATCCACGCCCAGTGTTCCCTGCCGGACCTCAACCACTACCATCCACGCCCAGTGTTCCGTGCCGGACCTCAACCACGACCATCCCCGCCCAGTGTTCCCTGCCGGACCTCAACCACGACCATCCACGCCCAGTGTCCCCTGCCGGACCTCAACCGCGAGTATCCACGCCAAGTGTTCCCTGCCGGACCTCATGTAGGAAGATATGGGACAAAGAATGTGCAGAAGAAAGTTAGAAAGAATGTCAGAAAGAATGTCAGAAGATATGCCAGAAGATATGCCAGATAGAATGCCAAAAAGAATGCCAGATAGAATGCCAGATAGAATGCCAGATAGAATGCCAGAAGATTTGCCAGATAGAATGCCAGAAAATATGCCAGAAGATATGCCAGATAGATATGTCAGAAGATATGCCAGATAGAATGCCAGAAGATATGCCAGAAGATGTCAGAATATATGCCAGAAGATATTTCAGATAGAATGCCAGAAGATATGTCAGAATATATGCCCAGAAGATATGTCAGATAGAATGGCCAGAAGATATGTCAGAAGATATGCCAAGAAGATATGCCAGATAGATGCCAGAAGATATGTCAGATGGTAGTTCCAGAAGATATTCCAGTAGAATGCCAGCAAGGATTGCCAGATAGAATGCCAGAAGATATGCCAGAAGATATGCCAGATCATATGCCAGATAGAAGGCCAAATAGAATGTCAGAAGATATGTCAGATAGAATGCCAGAAGATTTGCCAGTAAGAAAATGTATAAATGTCATGGTGGGGATCACACGAAGTAAAGTAATTATATTATATCCCGTTATTTCATGTTCTTCGTTTCTGATTTTCACGGCTGGCCTTGGACATCTCGCAGCTTGAATGTTTGATTTCAGCGCGTGGTGTTCACTCAACTCACTGCAGCCCGAGGGTCAAAGTGGCCACTGTCTCCCCCGAAAATGTCAGAACGGTCACAGTTATCTTGGCATCATCCTCTTTGGACTTTGCTTCAGCCATTGAAACCTGGGCAAGGGAAGATTATTTGGTCCCGTGATGGCCCGACCACTGTGTTTCATGCTGTGAAACTCACAGCATCGGGAGAAGCTTGGCTTCAAACCAAGCTCCCGGCCGCTTTTATGAAGAGAAGCGGACCACCCGTCACCAAATAGCGGAGGCGGGTGGGAATGGGAATTGTCACTGAACTTGAAATATCTTGAAATGAAAAATGCGATCTGATATCATCTAATATCATCTAATCTGGGTGCCTCTGCGCGCAGCTTTCCACAGTTTCCTCATGAAATGGTTCTGTTTAAGTTTGAAGGAATCGGTGAAAATCGTAGAACCTGCACCGTGCTACTTGGGCCGTTGCAAAGCACGATGCAAGGGGAATTGATGCCTGCAGTGAGCCAATGTGATTCTGCCCTGATCTGTGTTGTCCCCTGCTTCTGGTTACTAGATCTTACTATCGGTTACACCCTCATATACCCATATCACACACCAGAATTCCACACATATGTCCTTTCCACAGTTGCTGGAGGGCGCAGAGGGGTTCCAAACGAAGCACATTTGGGGGTGTGGTACAAGCTTGCATGAAGAGGCATTACAAAACATTACAAACATGTATTCATGGTGTTTAATACAAAAACACCATAAATCATAAATCAGTATAAATCGTCAGTAAGTTCTGCCCACATGTCAACATCATAAACATGTTGATGAAGACAACAACCATGTATCAAGCTACAATCCGATGTGTTTCCACGGCATTCCTGCACAAAAGGCCGCAATGATCAACCGAGATCTACGGAGTCAAGTTTAGCAGAGACATATCAGAGCTGTAGTGTGGAAATATTGTTCACATTCTTGCCCTTCAGGTTGTGCCAGAATCCCAAAGCAAAGACCAACTTGCCATAAACTGTCTCAACGGTCAAACATTGTCATTAGTCCTTCAAATGATAACTTCGTGATTATATATATATATTATACTTCGTTCATCATTGGGCGCTCAGGATCGCTCGGGCAATTTACTCCCTGAAAAACCAACCTGCAGACGAATTCCAGGTTTGACAGATGTAAGGCTCCTCCCACCGCCCGAGGCAACACCAAGATTGCCAGTACTCAGTATGCCCTGATCATGCTTTTCTTCCGCAAAGCACATGGACGCGCTTTGACAGACAGGTGCTGTTCGTCACATCTGCTATATCGTGTCATTGCATGTCAGCATATTCATCATATTTCAGCATCCAACTCCAACTGCTCCAACTGCTGTCAATCGAAAGACATCACGACATTGAAAGATGCTCCAGCTGGGTGGAGCCCTTGATCACTTCCGACAAGTCCGCCGTGTCATCTTTCGCCTCCGCTAGATCCTCGGACCCCTTGGTCTTTTCGGTCCAGTGGACCCGGCGGTAGTAGCAGGAAGGTCTCGTTGATCCGTCTGGACCTTTGGTATGACATACTCCAGTTAGACGTGGACGCACCAGGAATAACAAGGAGTTCTGCTCACAGTTCACTCGCACCTCTACCAGATCCAACACATCCTCAAATATCGGAGGACCGGCGGGGGGATCCTGGAAAATTGGCATTGCGGCATCCACCTCATCCATTTTTTTACACCGCACAATGCGTCAAGAATTAAGGTCTGGATGTAGTGATGTTATGCGGTGTGTACTATTGCCTTGGGTAACTCTAGCAGACTTTGGCACATGAATTCGGATCATCAAAGGGTCCCATTGGGGGGGTAACTGGGCTTGGAGAATCAAACCTTTACAGCTTACCAGGGACAAATCAACCAAGAATCACCCGAAGTCTCTCCTTTGATCCACAACTTGTTCCGAGATGTGCTCCAAAGCACACAAATCTTCCTCCTGAAGGATTCAACCAATGCCTGTCAGATCAAATTCCGTGGATTCGAGTGAAATTGAGGCAGAAAAAACAAATGCTCTTCGAAGGGAGAGCAGGATACCGTATGCGAACTACAGGCAGGAAATAAGGGTCCGGAATTGTTTTGGGAGTTATTTGTTTTCATGTATTTTCCGTGGTATTGTTCATCTTGGATGGTATTTTGTGACGAGGGTTCATTTAAGGTTTGTTGAGGTTTGTTTTAGGGCTTATTTAGGATTGGTTTAGGGTTGGCTTAGTTTTTGTTGATGGTTGGTTTTGTTTCTTTAGGGTTGGTTTGGGGCTTATTGGGGGTGGTTGGTTTAGGGTTGGTTTTTGTTTTCTTTAGGCGTGGTTTAAGATTTTTTTATGTAGGATCTATTTAAGGTTGGTTTTTGTTTTAGTTAGGGTTGGTTAAGTTAAAGGGTTTATTTGGGCTTGTTCAAGATCTATTTTGGGTGGGTTAAGGATCTATTTAGGGCTGGTTTAGAGTTTATTTAGGATACGTTTCAGTATAGGAGTTACTTGGCGCTAGTTTGCTTTTTTGAGGTTTATTTGGGATAAGGTTCAGATTTTAGGTGTTTTTTAGGGTTTACTTATTAGAGTTGCTTTAATTTGTTTGGGGGTTGTTTGGGGGTTTATTTAAGGTTGGTTTAGGGATGTTTAGGGTGTATTATGTTGTGTTTAATGGGGGTTATTCAAGTTTAAGAAGCAACAAAGCAGGAAAAAGCAAAGAAGCGAACAGTGGAGAAGCAGAGAAGCAAAGAAGCACAACAGCAGAGAAGCAGGGGAAAGAAGAAAGGCAGAGAAGCAAACAGCAGAGAAGCAGAACAGTGGAGAAGCAGAGAAGCAAAGAAGCATAAAAGCAGAAGCAGGGAAAAGCAGAGAAGCAGAACAGTGGAGAAGCAGAGAACCAAAAAAGCAAAGAAGCAGGGAATCGTAAATCCCAAAAAAATGCCCAAAACGGGAACAAAAAGTAATTTGTAAAAAAACATTGCCCTACAATAACAAACATAAAATTTGAAATCAACAGATCGGTGTCGGTGGTTGCACCAGCAAATGAAGAATCTCTGGTCATGACATGATGCAAGTTGCATTTGGGCTTCCCTTCTACCTCCCACACTTCCCCGTTACGGCCTGCTCATTGGCGTAGGCCACGATCAAAACCTCCATGGTGTCTGCATGTTGCACGGCCACCGGAACGACGGGTGACTCGCATGCAGCCACTTTTTTCAGCTTGTACCAATCCAGAAGGAATTGATTTCCTTCTTCCAGCTCAAAATGTGCCATGGCACCAAGTTCGCCAAGGTCTACACGGGATTTTTTTTCGCCTGGCCTTGAGCCAACAGGATCAACGTTTGCTTGAAAATTATGTGTCAATCATAGGCTGCTCCGATAACAAGATATGTGCGGCAACTACATATGCCCACCCTTCGGATAGATCAGCAATTTTTTCCCGCAAATTTCAGCGAGGGAAGGTGAGACAACACAAGCCTGTGCGCCAAGCTGCCTGTATGTGCAGGAGATTTCCAAAGGGACTGCAAATGCGTGACTGCGATATCGTAAAGCCAATGGGTAAATAAACGCACCTACATTCACCAATTGGGGCTTTTGATAAACATCAAACGCAAGGACAAAAAATGGTGTACTTTATGAATTTGGTTTTCTAAGTTGCCCAGGCATTCCCATTGACGCCTGCTAGCCTATTTTGGTTGGCTCAACTGGACCGTATAGGGTGACAGCTTCAGGCGCGTCTGCATAGGCAAGCAAGACATCAGCTGAAAGTACTCTTGCAGTTGCAATTCAGCTGGTGGTTTTTTCCTCGGCCATCAAAAGTTGTTACAAAACACTGAGAGACACCGTTCTTGGAGGATCATTTACGTTTATTGAAATCTATGATATGGTAAGGTATGTTCTGGTGCATTCGTTCTCCGAACAAATGGGCTGAGAATACAATTGCTGGCTGAATGGGTCTCATGGCAGGATTCCGGTTTCAGGAACACTGTGAGAGAGACTGCTGACATAGTCACTTTTTTATTCCGAAAACCTCCTGAAGAAGCTTCAAAACAGCCTGAGCACCAATCCTGAGTTATTATATATTACACACAAAGTGTCTGGCAGATTCTATCTAGAAGTTGAAGCCTTGCTGTTCCAATCTAGCCCTTCATTTCGCCCAGTTCTTTCCTAAAGGGCCTGCATGGTCCTGCACATGCCAAGGGTCTCTGCAGGCGTAGCCAAAGGCATGGAGGTACCCATTAAACATGAGGCCTGAGGCAAGCAAACCCTGGCGGTCCTGCTGTGGTACGAAGCAATGGTAATACTGCTGCTATGATTATATAATGGTCCATGTCTTTTCGTGGTTTTGAATCTAGACTACAAATGAATGACAACCTACCAATTATAGTATCAGTGGCTCAAATCATCTTCAAAATATTCATGTATATAACCTTCAAGATCTTTGTTTTCAACAAGAATGAGAGTCCTGGAAGGATAGTAACAAAACCTGTACCCACACCCACACGCACACACACACATATATATATATATATTCATATATATATATATATATATATCACACATTTACAGAGAGAGAGAAAAAAATAAATAAATACATATCATATAATAATAATAGCATTAAGTATTATAATAATAACAATAAAAACAACAATAATAATAAAAATAAAAAAAATAAAGGGTGTGCAATTGATCTGGGGTTTGTGGACATGGATTCTTGGGTTTTTCTAAATATCATATATCTGGTGGAGTAGAACTGTATCATAGGTACATGATATTTTTCCCCTTATGAGGTGACCGATTGGTTGTTTAAACGGGTGTCATCTTACCATCGGTTATATAATGTATCTATGTGCCCTCTACCATGCTCATGGATAAACACAGGTCCATTATTGTTTTCACTCTTAGGCAACCACTTGGTCGATTAAATGGGTATCATCCCAGCATCGGTTACGTTTGTTTTTCCTATCATGTGCATCGGATAAACAGGGGTCCACTACTATTTCCCTTATGGGGTACCCAATCAATTGCTGGATTAAAAAGAAATGGGTATCATCCCATTATGGGGTATATACTATATCTCTTTGTTTCAACCACGCTCATTGTCATGTTTCTTCTAGGGTGGTATCCCTGATGATCACTATTTGATTCAATGGCCAAATTTCACCATTATTTCTACGTCTATATACATCATATATCATATATCCTTTAAATGCAATGTCCAATTATGGATTTTGCCGAACTCAGGGTGCAGAAATCTGCACCTCGACTTAGGCAAAAAAAATGACGATATCCTAGGTCCTAGGTGCTTGGTGCGGTATTGCCTAAGTCAAGGTGCAGATTTCTGCACCTAGACTTAGGCAATACAGAGGTTGCACCCTGGGATTTGCAGTAAGTTTTTTTTGCCGATATCAGGGTGCAGAAATTTGCATGTGGACCCCAGAAACAGCCTTACTACTACATTCTACCATGATTATTCCCGCAGTCAATTCGGGGTCCTTCATTATGAGATTTAGGCAAAAAAAACCGATCTTTTGGGTCGGGGACTGATTCTTTTTTGTTCCCCACCTGCCAGGTGAGGGTTGTTAGATTTTATGTCAGTTGCCTGCTCCTCTCCTCCTCTCCTCTCCTCCTCCTCCTGCTCAACCGCGACCCTCGACGCACACTGTTCTCTGTCGGACCTCAGCCACGACCATCCACGCCCAGTGTTCCCTGCCGGACCTCAACCACGACCATCCCCGCCCAATGTTCCCTGCGGGACCTCAACCACGACCATCCACGCCCAGTCTTCCCTGCCGGACCTCAACCGCGAGTATCCACGCCATGTGTTCCCTGCCGGACCTCATGTAGGAAGCTATGGGCTATGGACCTCAACCTGGGACCTGCCGAGCTCAGTGTGCACCGCTGGACTTCAATGGCCAGATAGAATGCCAGAAGATATGCCAGATAGAATGTCAGATAGAATGCCAGAAGATATGCCAGATAGAATGCCAGAAGATAAACCGGATAGAATGCCAGAAGATATGCCAGATAGAATGCCAGAAAGTATGCCAGGTAGAATGTCAGATAGAAGGCCAGATAGAATGCCAGAAGATATGCCAAAGATATGCCAGATAGAATGCCAGATAGAATGCCAGAAGATTTGTCAGATAGACTGCCAGATAGAATGCCAGAAATATGTCAGAATATATGCCAGAAGATATGCCAGATAGAATGCCAGATAGAATGCCAGAAGATATGTCAGATAGAATACCAGAAGATATGCCAGATAGAATGCCAGAAGATATGTCAGATAGAATGCCAGAAGATATGCCAGAAGATATGCCAGATAGAATGCCAAATAGAATGCCAGAAGATATGCCAGATAGAATGCCAGAAGATTTGCCAGTAAGAAAATCTATAAATGTCATGGTGGGGATCACACGAAGTAAAGTATTTTTTTTTGGGTGAATTGAAATAACATTGGTCCAACAATGGAAGAGTAATATATACCCATGACCCCAAAGTAACCTTATGCATCCTTAACCCAGACCTAAATATGACAGTTATCGGTATTCTATTTTGTTTGGGTTCCCACCCCAAGAAACTATCTGTATGGGAAAAATAACACTAGTTAAAAATCCAAGGAACACTAACCCAGTACTATTTTCTTTTGGGATAAATTTCACCCTATATACCAAGGCCCCCTACCTTGATTCCTTCTGAAACATAGATAAAATAGATTTAAAAATAACTGTTGGGAAAAACCTGTCACACAATCAGGGGTACAACTAAATCACCAAGGACCCTAGAATCAATTTCCAAAGATCCCTTACCTGCTGCAAAACCATAATAATAATCAAATTTATCAATAATAATAATAATAATAATGATATAATATTTAAAAAATATATATAAATATATATAATAATGATGATATGATAACATAATAAACATAATATATAATAATAACAATAATATATAATAACAATAATAATAATAAGGAAATAAGTATATAAATTTAATATATTGAAATAATTTCATTTATACAGTAAATTAAGTAATTGTTTATATACATATAATATATATATATATATACATGTACGTATATACGTAAAGAGAGAGGCCATAGGCTTCTCCAAGCCAAGTGCATGGCGCTCTAGAGTTTCACCATCCCCTGGGCCCCTCAGCCTTGGAACCAAAATCCATTCCTGCACAGGGCATGTCTTTCGCCACGTTGCAGCCATAAAGGGTGCAGAGGTTGCTGCATAAACACATCCGGAAAAAGAAGTGACTAAAATGTTCAGGCTTAATATATTTAATATGTTTAGTATAGCTCCTGTTCTCAAGCAAGAAGGCCGAAGAGTGATACTTTAAGGAATCAACCATGGCAGCTCAAAGTCAGAAAACCAACCCCTAAATGGCAGTCAGGACACTGACTTATGATAAGTGTCTCACAAGCAAAAAAGTGATTCTTCCAGCTTTGGAACATGTTGAAACCTAGGGTTCCAGGTCCCGGTTTTGACTGTCGTGCATCCGTGATGCATCAGTGCCAAATCCAGAGCCCCTCCAAATGATTCGCCTTTTGTGGGGTCCATACCCCGTCGGACAAACATCGCCTCCAAAGGTGCTGAAGGTGCTTGTCTGCAAGCGGCAGAGCTCGGATGCGAGGGAATTTTCCAACTCCTCAGCCGCAGCGTCGACCTGAAGGACCTGAAAGGTTAACCTTCAGCACCATGGCACCATGGGCACCATGGGGCCTGGGGAGAACTAATTGCATCCTCTGAGGGTTAGTGGTTAGTGGTTACAAACCATCCTTAAAACAGATGAGTCAATTGGGATCATCATATCATTACTTGTATTACATAAAATGGAAAAATGGAAAGGAAACAGTTGTTGAAAACGATTGAAAACGCTTACGTCCTCATTTTTTGCTGGTCTAACCACTTGTTACTGTTTCATGTTGCTCCAAACACCAGTTGCTGCCGCCTGTTGAGACCGTCCCGGCGCTCGTGGCCTGGGGTGTGGCCCAGGAATGTGAACCTCAAACCATCTATCCAATCTGGATAGATATGATAGATATTGATCTTTCAGAACCTTTGGGAATGATTCATAATATTCATAATGATTCCCCCGAAACCTAAGCATGAATTCCAGTGACGTCACACTGAGGTCACTGACTTATCATGACTTATCCATATCCGATCCCTACCTCGAAAATAGCCTTCCAGCCCCCATGGAAATCCACAACCTCCATCCACCGGCCTCCTTGGGGCAACAGGGCCCGGCCGCTTCGGGCGAATCTTCTCCTCCAGCGTCCATTCAGCTTCTGCCTCCGCCTTCAACTCGTGGCGCTGGAGATCGGCATCGGGACTCGACACGCCTTTGGAGCCACGCTCTAAGCAACAAGTGCTACAGCCGTCTGGGTGAGTTATGGTGAATGAACGTGACCTCGCCAAAGAGTTTTTCTGATCAGTTTCCACCAAAATTGTCAGGGCCTATGTGAAGTGACCAGGGGGTAATTCAAAATAATTCAAATAGGCACGTGGAGGCACGACATCCCAAGAAATTGAGCAACATCTGAAAGAGGTGGTCAAGTTTCCGGGGTGAGCTGGTTTCCGGTTTCCGGAGTGAACCTGCGAAGTGAGGCCCGTGTCACCTTCGTCTCCCATGTAATCTGAGAGAAACCAGCCATGCTACAAAAACCGTCCTCTTGGGGTTCCATGATGTTCCATGTTTATTTATTTTTTATTTTCCATCGCCCTTTCTCTGAGTTCATTGGCAGATATTGGCAGTAATTTCATGTAATTTCTGTTATATCATATCAAGCGTAGATAGAAATGAAAGTAAGTTAAACTCAGGACCAAGCCACGATCCAAGTTGTAGGCTCCGTGATAATGGTGGTGGTGATGCACATGATGGTGATCAACATGTACCTTGGAAAGCAACCAACGCCACAGGTGACACTGGAAAACTCTGGGAAAGAGATCAATCCGGCTTTGTCCATGGAACATGTACAACTTTTACAGATATATTGGCCAAAATTATAGAATGTATCAGAACATGCTGATGGACCCTCGGATTTTGGTGCACCCTGGATTGAAACAGACCTACAGTATCTATCAAACACAGTCCCAAACCATGTCAAAACAAGTTCTCTTGCGCAAGTTCAAGCAGTGGAAGCCGCGGCATTGCCTGGTACCTGGTACCTGTTCTACTGGCACCTTCTGAGCGGAATTGTATTTGTTACCCTTTGACAAAAAGTTGATAAGGACCCAAATCCCCTATAGAAAATGGAAGGGTACCATCCAACATACCCAATCAAGGAAATTTATATACATGTAATGATACACTCTCACCTGTAGGATACATGTTGTCTATTCAATTATATTACATTCATCCACATAGTTCGGTACATATATTCTCTGAGACCCTCAGATCTGATATCCACCAAGGCGCCACACGGCGGCCCGTAACTTGCCGCCCGGGACGGCACATGGCTTCGGTGCTGGGCCGTTCCTCGTGGCCTGGCGAAGGGCGAGGTGGCCATGGTTTTTTCCATGGCTGGATTCAAAAGAACATTTGGAGGAAACCATCAGATCATCATTGTTATTCTATGTTTTTTCCATGTTGTGTTTTACCAGGTTTTCCTATGAAATACATATGATATATATGAAATATATGAACTATGGGCGGGTTTCCTGCACGGTTTCCCTTCAACCAATTCATTTTTTTCTTCATAAGGAACAGGAAATTTAAACGTATGATAAGCCATGTATTTTCAGGGTCCCGAATTTTCGAGCCGACCCCGACACCCATGTTCTGGAAAAAAAATCTGGTAAAGATTGACCCCAAGCAAACCCCATGTATATGTAGATCACCCAGGGTTTGCGTCAATCTTTTTTTGGCAGCCAAGGATTCCAGGAGCTTTGAAAGTGTCAAAGTTCTTGGAATAATATGTCCAAGTACTGAAGAGTCCCACAGTCCCACAGTAATTGAAACATATTGAACTAATAAGTGGTGTGACTGTATGAGAGTGTCCTGGAGTAGATAGAGAATAGTCACTTGGGAACATGCGTGTGAGAGGTACTATTGCCAAAGTGAGATCAATTTATTAACCTTGATGGCACTCACGGACGTCACGGAATACTCCTCCGCTGCAACACCTACGACCTACACAAGATAACACATAATTATATAATATTAATCATACTAGTATAATCATATAACCCCAAAACAATCAAAAACAACTACCATCAACGATCAATGATAGCAAATGGATGAGGCCCGATGAGGCACAGTAGACTTGCGGCAAGGGCATTGTGGGGTGATCACCCATCCACCTCTTCCGCGAGTGGGTGGTCGTACTGGGCACCTGCCATCGCAACGATCCCAAGAAGATGAGGCAGTCGTTTGGGACAAACCGATATATTTATCGAAATAAGCAACCAAACATCAAACATACATGAAACTACCATCCAAACATCATTACAATCCAGTTTGGAAAAAACAAACATATTTCGGATTTCGGAAACACAAAGTCCATGCTTTTCTGAGGGTGACGTGCCTACAAGGTGGTGCATGACCTACCACGCAGCGTATCCGAATGTGTTGTTTCTTTGATTTGTCCTCTTAGGGCATGTTTGAAGGACCCAACAAAGTATATATGTGTTTTAGCTTAATACTATTTATTATTATATATTATAATTGACTCCCTCTCTGCTGCGCCATCCTTTTTTGTCTTCTTGATCATTGTCATGGTAAACTCGGGGGTGTATACCTCGAGCCAAGTGCAGAATATACGCCTCGGCCATAGGTGGTCCCGGATGGGGAAGGGCCGAAGCTGAAGGATCTTCGAGAATGACCGCCCTTTGCACGATAGTATGAAATGATGACAATCACCACCAAGAGAAGCAGCACAAAGTAGAGCGAAGAATCATCTTCCGACTGCTCTGGAGGAGGTCGTTGTACTGTAAATGACTCAACTTCACAAGCCACGCCCTTTTCCTCAATGAGCTGAGAGCGAACAAAAACAAACACCCGACCCACAGAAATTAACAACAAACGGACCATCCAACAGTAATGTTGTACCCCGATTAGTGTGAGGATACTGTATTGTGGCAAGTTTTACCAAAATAATTCTGAATCAGTGTACTTGTTTGGGTGGTACAGTATTGGGTCAACTTTTTTTTCTGGGGCCATGTTTTTTTTCAGCATGTCTGTTTATTTTTTTCAGTTCGCTTTTGGAGTTGTTTTTGAAATATCTCATTTTATTGAAAATAATTAATGAACTATTTGATGAATACTTCCAACATGTTATTGAACATACAAAAAAACAGCACCCAAACAATTCTTCAAGGGGGTCGTCGATGAGCAACCCTGATCTTCAATAGTATGTTTGTTGTGGGGGTCCTCTATTGTGCCCATCTTTTTTTTGAAGCGTTTTTTCCAAAATCCTTCTCTCCTTTCCTTTTTCCTTTCCTTTGCTAAAGCTTTTCTCTTTTTACTTTCTTAGTTCCATTCTTTGGGATTTCTCAAAGTGTCTAATTGCCCAAAATATAGGATGCCTTATTCAAACACCATTAAAAAACAGCACCCAAACATTTTTTCGAGGGGGTAGTCCATGAGCAACCTTGATCTTCAATAGTATGTTTGTTGTGGGGGTGTTCTTGTGTGTCAAGTTTTTTTTTGACGTGTTTTTTTTTCCAAATTCCTTCTCTCCTGTCCTTTCCCTTTTTCTTTCCTTTGCTAAAGCTTTTCTCTTTTTACTTTCTTAGTTCCATTCTTTTGGATTTCTCAAAATGTCTAATTGCCCAAAATATAGGATGCCTTATTCAAACACCATTAAAAAACAGCACCCAAACATTTTTTCGAGGGGGTAGCCCATGAGCAACCTTGATCTTCAGTAGTATGTTTGTTGTGGGGGTCCTCTATAGTGTCCAGCTTTTTCTTACAAAATCATGTTCTCCTTTCCTTTGCTATAGCTTTTGTCTCTTACTTATAGTTCAATTCTCCTGGCATCCTCTCCTTGATTTCCATTGTGTTTCTATGGGATGTTTACAAAAATTCTATGCAAATTCTACGTAATTTTAATATATTTTAATGGTGTGTCTATGATATTCTATGGTGTTTCTAAAGGTGTGTCTATGGTAGTTCTGTGGGATTCCTATGGGGTTTCAAAAGGATGTCTATGGGATTTCCTTTGGATTCCTATGGGGGGTTCTGTGGTATTTCTATGATATTTCTGGGATTTCCGCAAGAAGATTTCCATGATATTTCTTTTGGATTTCTATGATATTTCTATGAGATTACTATGGTTAAAAAAAAAAAAACACATTCTATTTCTATGATATTTCTAGGATTTCTTTAGGAATTCTATGGGATTCCCATGAAGTTTCTTGGGAATTTCTATGGCAATGGTGGTTTATGATATTTCTTTTGGATTCCTGTGGGATTTCCATGGTATTTCTATGATATTTCTATGGGATTACTATGTGATTTCTATGGGATGTCGATGGTATTTCTGTGATGTTCCTATGGGATTTCTTTGGGATTCCTATGGGGTTCCTATGGCATTCCTACGTGAGTTCCATGATGTTTCTATGATATTTCTATGGGATTACTATGGGATGTCAATTGAAAGTACTGTAAGTTGAAATCAATTCAACATCAATGCAAACTAAATTGAAATCAATTGAACACCATTTGAAAGAAAGTTGACATCAATTGAACATCAATTGAACGTACAGTAAATTGAAATCAGTTGAAAATCAATTGAAGGTAAGTTGAAATCAATTGAAAATTAAAGAACGTAAATTGAACATAAAATTAATTCTATTGAAAGCGAGCTGAAATCAATTAAAAGTATATAATTTGAAATCAATTGAAAGTAAATTGAAATCAATTGAAAGTAATTTGAAATCAAATGAACATCAATTGAAATCAACCGAAATCAATTGATCCAATTTTATTCAGTACCTGGTCCTGAAAAAAATCCACCCTAAAGTGTATCCTAAAATTGATTTTGGGGCCCTACACTAATCAGCATCCGACATTAATTATATACTGTAACTGAGAAAATAATATGGTGGTTTCCTAATATGGGGAATCATTGGAAATCCCCAAAATCATGGGTTTCAATACAAATCTAATTCTATTAATTTGGATGATTTGGGGTACCCTCAATTTCGGAATCCGGCAAAGATGATAGAGATCGACAACATCATAGCCATCGAAGCTTCGAAGCAACACCAGGCAGTTTTCTCAGGTGGCCAAACGCTAGATCTAATCACATCGCTGCAGTCATAGGTTTCCTCCAATTCCTTCTGCAAGTCGCTGAGGCAGCCACGATGTTCCACCAAGCAACACCACTGCAGCTTGCTGCTGGACCACTCCTGAGGATCCCCGTCACAGTCATGGCTTTCGGAAAAGGGTCCTTCTTGACTGAAAGATTCATGATGATCACTTGCCTCACTGGAGCTGGATGAGCTGGATCTCTCGCAGGCCATGCCATAGTGCTCACAGCACCATGCCTTTTTGGCTTCACTGAAGCCAAGCCTCCAGTTGGAATAGCCATCTTCACAGTCAAACATTGGGCACCCGCGCTTGGCATGGGAACAACACCAGTGCGATTTCAACTGAGACCAACCCTCGGTGTCGTCTTCAAAGCAGTCAAAAAGGGCTGAGCTGGTTTGCTGTGCTGGGCACCCCAGCCCCTTCATTTTGCAACACCAAATCTGCTGCGAACCCGTCCACAGAGGGAAAGAGTCGAGATCGCAATCAGGATCACAGCCCTGGTTCTTGGTCTTGCAGCACCAAGCCCGCTCCTCCTCTGACCACCTCTCCGCATCCTCCAAGTTGCATTGAAACTGATTGCTTGGCTCATCACATGCTCGGCTGGGCTGATGTTCGCAGCACCAGAGCTTCTCTGGAATGGACCACTTCTCTGCATCCCCTGTGCAGGAATAGCATCCAATCTTCTTACTCTCGCAGCACCACGCCTGCCTTGAGCGCGACCAGTAGCCTTCTTTGTCACAGTCAAACTGGTCTGCTACTGCCGCACCCTGCGTGGTTGATGTCGCTGATGTCACTGATGTTGTGCAGCCCAGCTGGTGGGTGTCACAGCACCACTGCTGTTTGCTCAGGGACCAGTCCTCTGTGGAGCCTGTGCAATCGAAGGGTTGGGACATTGGTAAGGGATGGCCAGCGTTGCAGGACACATTACGAAACTTACAGCACCAAATGGCCTGCTCATTCGTCCATTCCAATGTCCAATTGCTGGCACCAGTGACGCAATCATAAGCATCCTTGTGATCGCTCAAAACGCTGGTGCCTGAATTCCCCTGAGTCCTGTTGGCCTCATTCTCTTCGGCTGCAACAACCATCGCGTCCACAACCATTGTGGCTGCATTGTCATGGACTGAGTCATTGGAGACCGACTGGTTGTCACTGCCTGTGTTGTTCACTGCACTGGCAACTTTCTGATCTGGACAGGTGAGGCCAAAATGTTGGCAACACCAGGATTTCTTCAACTCAGACCATTCGCCAGCATCACTGCAGTTAAAGGTAGATTCATTTCCACATGCCCCATGCTGACAACACCAAGTCATCTGAGCACTGCTCCAAGCCTTTGAAGCATTGGAGGCTGTGGTACAATCATAGGCTTCTGTCTGATTGGCAACACTTGTATTGCTACTATTCTCCGCCACTTCAACTTTCTCCCTGACTGTGGTACTGTTTAGGTCGCTCGTATTGAGACATCCTACCTTTTCATGGGAACAGCACCACAACCGTTTCTCTTCGGAGAATGCACTTGCAACGTCGCCGGTGCAATTGAATTCTGTTGGGCCCTGTGTGGTGCACGCTATGCCTTCATGTGTGCAACACCACTGTCGTGCCGCCGCGGATGCCTGGCTGAGTGACTGGCAATCATAGGGTGCAGCCGGTGCAGCCGGTGCAGCCTCCTTCCCATCATGGATCAATCCGTCCTCCGCTCCGATGCTTGGGACCAGGTAAACTAGACATTGCAGGGCCAAGGTGAGAGCCGCACAGGATGCCATGGGGATGGGCCAGGTCAGGCTTCACGCCTGAAGACTGCCATGTTCATACCAACTATCCAGAAACTAGTGGGATGTTACTAGCATGCAACGTCTAGATATGCCTAACTCAAATGAACGAGGCTGGAATGGTGCTGCAACATGCTTGGAATGGCTGGATACAAAGTATACCATAGCTGCACTACTACATTTCCCAGAAGGATTTTTTGGGCAGGAATCTTAGCTCTGTCCGGGATGCCATGGTATTTGTAGTAACTTTCAGAGGTCCACAAATCGAATTGTGGAATCACCATGAATCACCTGGTGTTTTTTGCCTCCGAGCCTCTGTCGGCACCAACATCAGCATGCATGACGTGTTGAAAAGCGGTTTTTCTTGAGCCACTTCTTCAAGTATCAGCATGGCAATTGGTCTGGGCTCATTGCGCCCCCAACAGCACCCAAGCCTACAGTGTTGCATGGCTCAACCAGTTATGATAGCGTGGTTTGACCATTGCTTGTCTCCAGAGCCGATACGCAAGCCGCCTCTTTTCCTCCGGCTCATAGTGGACGTCAAGATATTCCTCGCGAAAACGGCAGCCGGGCCAAAAAGAGCGAGCTGTCTGCGTTGGGAGTTCCGCAAATAACAAGAAGGCAATACTTATATAATAAGATATAATAAGTAATAAGGTACACCAACGGTAATTGTTTTCCAGAGAGGAGTGGATTTCTCTGAACATATGGTACCATAAGGTAGCCCATTCCATCCAATAGATCCAATGGTTCATCACCAATTTCTCATCCGTTCCCCCCATTTTCCATAATTTTCCAGCGTCAAGGTACCACCTCTTCGCTGGAAATCGTGTTCTCTTCCTGGGAGCCAAGGGATGGAGGTGTCTATGGACCAAGGGGGTGCCCACAAAATGGATGGTTTGTATAGATGTTTATAGGTGGTTTATAATGGACAATCCTATTTGATGGAAATGGATGATTTATCATGGGATACCCATACATGTAATACATCCCCAGAATTTGAATCCCAATTGCAAGGAACAATCCCATTGTAAGGGTGCCCCCAGAATGGATCGTTTTTTGAATGGAAAATCATACTAAAAATTGGATGATTTGAGGGGTGCCCCCATGACTTAGGAAACCTCCATATGATTATTTTTATATATGTCCTACCTCGAAAACATGACACATTTGTTGGAGGCATTCAAAAAGATTCTTTTATTGTATAATCATAATGTAATCCATGCAAGATTGGGTGTAACAGTGTAAAGCATCTTAATATATCCTACTGTAGGCCGTACCAATAACATAAGGAACCAACGGGTCGAAACGATTTGGGACCACTTCTGGGGGTATCAACAGTTGCTAGCTACTTTGATGTCCACAAGGCTAGGGTTTAGACCAACCATGAGATTCGAAATTGGAGACCTCAAAATTCTGGGTTTACCCCGAAATGCTCAAAACAATCCCAGCCCATCCCCCTAGAATTTTACACCCCCGAAATCATATGGCTTCCTGACGGATATCCAGTCTCACCATGTCTCACCTCCCCCCAAAACAAACTTCACCAAGCTTCTGCTACTAGTGAGTTTGAAGCCTCTCCGTCCTGTCCACCATGGGACAGGCTCAAAAAGCAAGAGTCCACCAATGAAGGTCCAGTTCCCTCAAACTGTGCTGTGCACCTAACAAACCTTGAACCTGCACGGCCTGCATCCCGTGGAAATCTGCCAGGCGGAGATATACTCAGCAGCACAGGCCTGATGTGCAGGATTCAAGGCTTCTTTCTGATCTTTCAGTTCACAAAGTCTGTCGTCGCGGTTTTAACAAATGATAAAACATCAACTGACTTCAAAGTGATTAGGCCCTGATTAGGCTGTTTCATTGTAGACATGTCAGCAGTGCCCGAGACCTTCTATCATCTCCTTCGGCGGATAGGGCTTCCCACAGTGAATCAAACAAATCCGGTGTTCATCTCCCCATTTCTTGGGCAACATCACGATGCTTGTCCACTGTTTTGTGGCTACAATATTATAAGTTGCAAGTTATAATACAGTTATAACATGTTATAACATGTTATAAGTTATAAGTTATAACCATGAAGCACCATGAAAAGTGGTCAAATTGCTGCAACCCAGCAGGCGAAGTTCATCATGGCTTGAAGAAAGGGAGAACCAGTCGGAGGAGTTCCCCCTGGCCTTCGCTCCATGCCGTCGCAAGGAAGCGGCTTGAGCCCGTGCCCACGTGCAGCTCAAGACTTTAGATAGCTTCAGCTGGGAAAATGTGGCATTTAAACTGCTAAACTTGGGAATTCATAGGTTTATACCGATTTATAGCAAACATTGAAATTGTACATGGGTATCGCTAAATAATATTTAATGGATACATATGGATAAAAGTTGGTAACACTGCCCGTTGATGGTTGGAACCTTTGGTTCATATTCCCATTTGAGTTGATGGGTATGGATCAAGTAGCCATGGCCCATTGAAAAAATGTGAAGCTAGCTCCTTAAGACACGGATGTGGATAAAAATGGATAAAAGCCTGGCACTACGGTATCTGCAGTGAATACGATTACACAGTTTGGTGCCAAACGGATGTCCATCCTCCCCCTCCCAAAAAAAGAAGCACATGTTCCTGCATTGATTTGCGTATTGAGCAGGAACTGTGTGGTTTTACCCCATAGGATCCTTGATGGTCCTTGAATTCGATGTGGTTTTAACCTGGAATCCTCCACATCCACATGTTCCTGGAATGAACGGCCTCATCGGTTGCGGAAATGTTCACCTCGAGACTGACTGACTGGTCCACTGAATCGAAATCCGCAATCGCGATAAGAATTCTCTCAACTAAGCTGCAGCACAGAATTACAACACCCCATTTTCTGATCTCTTGAAGGCTTGCGTTTGCGTGGTTTGATAAATGTCAATGAATCCATCTCCATGTGTGCAACCATCTGTGCACGAACATTGTTTACATGTGCAAATACGTTTAGCTTTAAGTGTTCTTACAAAAGTGACGCGAAAAAAGCGCTACTTTACACACCGCGCATTAACATCTATCCATCTATTTTTTCATTTATCTAGCTTTCTAGCTACCTCGCTACCTAGCTATCCTGTCCTTTCCTATATTATAGCTATCCTATCTATCCTATTTATCGTACCTATCGTATCTATCGTATCTATCCTATCTATCGTATCTATCGTATCTATCGTATCTATCCTATCTATCCTATCTATTCTATCCAACCCAATAATTCTATCCAATATCTATCCTATATTTATCGCAATTGTCCTATCTATCTCATCTGATTTGATCTGATCTATCCATATGTCTATGTCAACGTATGGCCGGCGTATGATTGCCACTTCCCAGCTGCCTCCGGCGCTGGAAAGTCGGGAGATTTTCCTGCCGAGGGAGCCCGGCTTTGAGCATCCAAACAGACCCAAATGGACCGATGTGTTTGTAAAATTGTGTAAATATATACCGATCTTTAGTCTGATATTCGTTCATGGGATGATAGTTGGGATGAAATTTGAAGTACAGTTTGCTTGAGATCTTTTAAGATGAATCATCCCAAATGGAACGATTGCCATTTTCAAGTGGCTACTTCCCGTGCCCAGCCTCCACTGTGCTCCAACGCCTTGACAAACACAAGAAATTCAACATATTTCCGGAGAAAACGATAGCGTTCCTAGCGAAATAAAATAGTACAATATAGTACATGGAGTTCCCGTTCTATGTGTTTCTATCTTAGTTTTCAGGGTACCCAGCTGCTCATGATCATGAAGAGGAAACTTGGTGTTTTCTGCCGGTCTGCTTCCAAATCTTGGTGAGTACCCTTGCTGCCATTATCTGCTAGCTGCAAAGTGCGAAGCCCATAAGCTTCCAACCTTCTCCGACCTCGGCATAGATTTAACTTGGACATAGGTCCTCCAATCACTCATGTTCCCAACCCCTGCTATTTTGACACAAGCATAGATGCCCCTTATTTGTTACCCCACATTTATTGGGACCCTAACAATCCTAACACCATTTAAGGCCAAGAATCACGTCAAGTTGGTCGTTCCAAGACCAAAGACAATGTGTGGAACAAATATGAACAGATTTGAAAAATCAAACAAAAATTAGCAGCGACTACAACTAGTGAAATAACATGGCCAGTATTTCACCATTAGAAATCTTGAGTTTCACACAAAAAATCACCAGCCACCCAGTTGAAACGACCAGGTTCCAGGCTCTAGGTGGGCCTGGGCGAGCTTAGGATATCAAGTGATGGGTGGGTGGTAGTCCTTCCAGGTTGGATCCCATCAAAATCTACTCTATTCTAATCTTAATCTATGCCAATCTATCCAAAATATCTAATCTGTCCAATATCTATCTACAGTATTCTATTCTACTGTAGTCTACTGTAATTATTCATCTCTATTCTATTCCTTTCTATATTTTCTATGCTATTCTGTCAGGGCATGTAGCCCAATCAATGGAGACACGACCCAATGAAGGGAGAAACAAATGAGTGGTCCATCGCTGGATCGCCTACAAACGTTGAAGCTGTGAGGCGACAAACCATATGTTCTTTATCCTTTGGATTTGTTGAACTATATATGATGTGCACAGACTTTTTGGCCGGGGCTTCCAGCGGTTTGCTCTTGCACATCACATATGATACACAAATATGTACATATACAATCATATACATATTAATTAGAGTGATATTGGAGTGACTATATACGTATACATGTGAATTTACATTCACACAATCCTTTCTCCGTCTGTGCTGAAACTGACCGAGGACTTCCTGGAGAAACTGATCTTATGAACACCTTTTCACAAGTCTGAATAATCGTCAACCTCAAACTGTGCTGTATTGGGAGGGAATCCGCACGTATCGATGCCCTCGAACCGCTCCACACCCCATCCTTGGGTCACAGAACATGATCTTCTGGGATGTTGTGGGAAAATGATGAAAACTCCAACGATTGTCAGCTACAATGATAGATGCCTATATTTTGTTTGGGGCTGTGGGATGTGCACTCCAGGCCGTCGAAGTGGTTTGCATCAGATATTGAATCAACGACACTCTTTGTGCATGGGGGATGCCTCAAAACATGCAAAAGAAAATCTACAAAAAATGTTGGAAAAAAAACAGATGATGAACCGTTGGATGTTCATTTTGTACCCTGTAGTACAGTACTAGGCAAACCCATCTGGATTCAAATTAGAATCTGCTTTTGATGACCTGTCTGATGACCTTGTCTTCCGCCAACAGCAGGACTCCTGCGTGCATATACCACTAAAATGGAGAAATTTGTGTGAATTGAGGTCCCACCGTTTGTCACAGAAAACTCAATCTCTCTTAATACGCATGGGTACAGCAAGCAAACCAATCATCTAAGGCTCTCCTGACCAGCCCAATTTCCCATGCAAGCAATTGTATAGCATGTTTTTCTCCAAATCTCTGTCTCTTAACAACATTATCTAAGATCAAGTTTGAATAAGGCACCAAATCCGGACATGTTATGGCAATCCAGCCAGGCAATAAAGAATCACCATTTGGATCCATGTGTGCATTAAATTTAATCCATGATCTCCCATGGTTTCTCCATTAAAATCTTAATTTTGTACATGTTCCTAAATCCCAGGGGCCCTATATAAATCCCAGCACTTTTGCATGAAAAAAACAGGTCCACTCATGTCCACTCCGTAAATCCCTTCAGCTTCCGAGGCTCGATGAGCAGCAGCTGAGCAGCTGGCGCCATCGCGGCGCCAGATCGCTTTTAAAAGGAGAACATATACAGTTGTTCTTCAAAGAACCGCACCACCAATGGGATATACATATGTATATACAATGGAATATATACATATCTATATAGAGAGAGAGAGGGAAGAGAATATCATAAGAGAGTATCATGCGACAATCATAACATATTGATATACACTGACTGATGGAAATAATACCATGGGAATATGATGGGATATGGGGTTCAACCTATGTTAAACCATGTTAAACCTATATCAAACCTCCGTACACGGAATGACGGTATCTGGTGCAAACCACCAGAATCACAATGGAGTGAACCTGAGTGAACTGCCTGCTGAAAGGAAGAACTGTAGAAACTGCAGACATACGACATCTGCGATGTGAGTCCATGTTCCATGTCTGCGCATGGTCTTTCTGGAGCTGTTTTGATATTCACGCCCTGTTTGGAACATGAAACACGTCCCATGGCCTCCATAGCTTCTCATTGGAGCCAAAGGATCAAGAAAGAGCGGTCACCGAACCAGCCAGTGGAAAAAAACCATTGTTGTCCTTGTTACATCATTGTTACATCATTGTTACATCATTGTTACATCATTGTTACATCATTGTTACATCATTGTTACATCATTGTTACATTGTCTTAGTGATCATCCTAGCACAGAGCTGGGAATTCTGATGCCAAGAATGCCAAGATTAGGGGTATACATGGGTATACCAAGCACAAAAGATGTGCGCCACTGGGCGCCTTCTGCTTGCGAAAGAATGCCATCATCACCCGTGATTAAACTCTTAGTAGTTTTCTGCCTTGAAAGTGCATATGGCATAGTTGTCCTCATGGGGTTTCGGCTGGGACCCACCGAAATTGAACGTCCGCTTGAACCAGGTTAGTTAACCATATTTTACTGGACACGCCTCCCCAGGTGCAACCGTTTTTTGTTAAACCTCAACCAGATTCAACCAGGGTGCCAATCTCTCGACCCCAATTCTGGGGCGGGAGCCGTGCCCTGAAAAAAGAACTCAGTCGGTTTCATTCCAAGTCCAAACAGCTGGGGTTCAATTCTTCCACTTGGACGGTCCTTGAAGTCCGACAAGTCGCTGGTTTTTAAGCATGTTTTTGCGAGGAAAATTGTTTGATATCACTGATATCATCCTTTTGATACTGAAACCACTTAGAACCTTGGCCAACTGGCACCGGTCATCCCAAACATAAGATCAACAAACATCATCGAATCTTTGAAATTGGTTGAAATTGGCAAACATTGTATCCAAACCTGATGGGGTGGCTACTCGCTTACTGACCATACTTTATTACAATACCAAGAGTCCCAACTTCAGGGAACATCCTGGTAGAAGAACTTCACAAACAGCTGAGAGGAGATGAGTGCGGTAAAATTGAAACCTGGAAACTGAGGGCGGTGGGTCTACCGCAGCAATATAGGCGCTTGGGAAGTCTTTCTGGCACCATTGCCCACAAATCACCCAGCAAGGTGACGAATATGACACAATCTGTTCGACTTCCTAGGTGATGCATCCTGTGAGAGTTACAAGACTTTTCCAAGAGCACTAGATAGCACTAGCCTCAGATGCACACCATCAACATTGCTAGAAGGCTGTGGTGTCAAACAGTTGGAAGCTAACTCTTGTATTTTTGGTGACTACACTACACGTTGCCACATGCCTTCCGCCAAAGTGCCAAGATTGCTGATGCGCATTGAAAAACTGTTCGCTACCTTGCGCACATGGGTACGCACTGTATATACTTCAAGTGCTGCATATCAAGTGCCATATATCAAGGTTCAAACCAAGTGCTCCCGTCCAGCACATCTGGAATGGTCGGCCCACCCTTGATAAGTTTCTTTGACTGAAACCAAAGACTCAAATGGGGATGTGGCTGGAGGTTGGGTCGTTGTCACCACTTATGGCTGATTGGCTCAATTTCCGGATAACATGTTCATAGCAAACTATAATCTGGGAAGTCACCCTGTGCTAAATTTCATAATTCATGTTTTTTTAAGCTGAGAAAAAAATAAAAAGCGTTATATGTCCGGCGTAGGTGGAGCTATGTCCAAAATAAGCAAATAATAGTACCTTGCAAAATTGGATAAAATTGGTGACACCCTGCCTTCAAAATAAACCAAAATTCAACCAAGCTAATCTGTTTTAGAGCTGTGACTCCGCGAAACGAGGCATTTCAGCCATCTGCTTGCACATCTCTGCACCAAACAGGGCTTCATTCGTCCTCGGCAAGCACTTGACTTTGAACAAATGTTGATACGATTGAATCGGAAAACATCAAACAACCAAGCTCACAAAAGCTGTAACCTACTCTATGATCATAATGTTACTCTATGTTGTATTTTTGGACTGTTGGGAATGGCATACCGTCTGATTCCATGACATTTCTCATCCATGATGTGTATATCGGCCAAAATTCAATCCCCAAGGAACCTCGGATTTTGGCAATTCTTGCAACTCTTAGTACGAGCATCAACCCTCCAATTTTAAGGGGGTACGGTATTGAATCATCATTTTTGATGAATTTTGATCCCATGCCTGATTGCCAGCAGCTCTGCAACAAATCCTGTACACATAAGGCAGCTCAAGCCATCATGAGAAACGCAGCCAGGTTTTCTCGGATCCAGGTTGAGAGCAGCTGCCCACAGCAGCAACCGCCATTGCCACAAGGACTTATCGCCATGTGCAATTATGTCTGGCTGACCATTGAATCCCTTTGGATCCCATGCGCAACCCTGGAGGATCCTGGAGGGCTGCTTGGTGTCTTTGCTTCAGGATTTCCAGGTATCTCTGTCAAATGATGTACATTTTGGATCATTTTGGACTTGATTCCTTCTGACCAAAGCCCCGGCCGAATTTTCTTCAAAGGGCAAGCTTGGCTGCCGCCAGCATGTCCTTGCATCACCAAAGGCCAAATACAGGCTGATGTCGAAGCCCTTCCAAGTTGAAACCCGACCCGTGGGAACGTCAGACTTTATCAGATCTCTTGGACAGTCTACTCGGCCAGGAGCCCAGTCTTGCTATTCAAACCTCAGAAAAGTCTCCGCAATTCTCTGCACGCTGAGTAAAACACTTTAGTAGCGATCACCTAATAGTTAAAATCTAATAACAACCTTTGAAAGGCTCACAAAACTTCAGGAAAAAACAAAAACAAAATCAAGCAGTATACAATTCCAAGCAACATATAATTATATAACCCCTCAAAAGTTCACCATCTGGATGCTCTTATAATTCGAATATTAAAAGCCGTAAACAGGTGTTTTTTCTTCAGCTATTGGGTTTACATGGTTTTATCTGGTTGGTGGTTTCAACCCCTCTGCAAAATATTAGTCAGTTGGGATTATTATTCCCAATATATGGAACAATAAAAATGATCCAAACCACCAACCAGTTATGGTCTAATTACAGTACCATGGTTTACCACATGGATTTACCAGATTCTCTGCATGTGCTCCCAATTTGGACAACGCCGTGACTGCCCGTGACAGCCGTCAGAAGGCGCTACGAGCTGGTCGCTCTTCAATGGGTTGCAGCTGCTGCAACTGTTCTTTGAGCTCCCAAGGCAGAGGCGCCTGGCGCAAGATCTTGGGGCGAGGTACCGGTGGGAGGGCACGACCGCGCGGACCGAAAGCGCGAAAGCTCTGCAACAGCAAACCCTAAGCTGCTTAAGCCATCCAAAAGATTCCGAAAGGCAGTCCTAAGATGTCCCAAGCGACACGCTTCTGCCAATTATTCCGGCCTTGGCGACAAAACGACCCAGAGCATCGCGCAAAGCGAGGCGCCGGCAGTGTAGGAAGAGACGCGTGAAAGGTCCCACGCTCCCATTTCCGTACGCTACATCCTTAGTGGAGCCTCTAAGAATGACGATGCAGGTCTCAAACAGGACTATCAACAGTATCTGGTGCAGGGTGATGAAGAGGAGTAAATCTGTATGTAAATACAAGAGTGTTAAACATGCTTAAAACAACATATGATACTATATAGAGGTTTCCTAAAATGGTGGTATCCCCAAATCATTATCTTTTTTGTTTTAATTTGATGTTCCCAATTATAAACCATCTATTTGTCTATTTGGGGATACCTCCATTTATGGAAACCCCCATATGTGTGCAGTAGTTTCTTCTTTGCAACATTTTGATGTGTCCATTGGCCCACTGAAGGGTAAGGATAATAGTCAATGAATCACCATGACCTTCTCCATCCTTCTCCGGATGACAAGGGCTTTATGATCTTTATGTTGTCAGCCAGGCTGCCCCCACCAAAGGCCTTCCCAAACTTGCGAAATGCACACCTTGGGGCAGCCACAGTCGACTGTCCATGCTCACCTCACCACTGCTCGCAACAACCATCGAAACTCCGCTGACAAACTTGAGCGAACCATATTTAGCGGTCAAAATCCCTTCACAGCAGGGTACCAGTTTCAAATATGTTCAAATGTACTTTGACTCATCTTGCCACTCTTGAAGCAATTCATTTGACGCACACAAGCTCCGCCCCAGAAGGGGGATGCTGCACTTGAATGGCATCCCCATGTTGCTGGGGTTCAACAGCATCCATTGGAACTTACAAGGCCCATATGGCCCATACATGTCAAACCATCCAGGTCGGGGCGGCATTTTGACCATTAAAGAGGACCAATAATCATCAATAATCCACGATCAATACCCCTGTTATCCATCATCAATTCATCATAATTCATCATAATTCATCCATAGCATGGCATAGCATGGCCACCCGCATGGCCACCCGCATGGCCACCCGCATGGCCACCCGCATGGCCACCCGTGGGCCCCACGGCATCATGGATTCTTCACTGAGGCACGGATCTGATGGGTACGCCCTGTCAAAGGCTTCACATGCAACAAGATCAGCTCGCCGGTAGCACCTTGGACACGGCAGTTGGCCGTTGGTTCTGATAAAATACGTGTTATTAAAAGTGCTTATCATATCTTATCATCATTGTCATAATTAACATTTTAAAGTATATATAACGCATTTTTTCAGGGTTCATGCATCTTTTGTACATCCTTCGTGAAAGCTCAGAAACAAGTAAACGGTCAAACAGCATGTAGATTTCTTGAGCTGCACTCGAAGAGTGCGTTGCACTGCCTTCTTTCATGCAAAGTTGCCTGGATGTAGGTATCGCGCTCGAACCCAATACTCAGTTTTGGCTGCTTTCCCCAGCTCACTGACTTCGCTCCTGGGACACCAAGAGGGACTCCACCACTCTACACTGCAGGAAACATTTTGAGAATGTGGATCTTTGGTGATCTTGAGATTCGGATAGATTTGGCTACTTAGTTGACAGAACTATCAAAGGATCCAACACTATCTCAGCCACTGCCTTCCATCGCTTCTCCTAACACTTTGTCCATCTCCAAAAGTACGCAAAGGTGCTTGCACCTCGAACTGACGCTGCCAGACTCAAGGCACTTGGTACACAGACGGTGACTAACCTGATGTTCCAAGGTTAAACATCAGGAACTCGGATGTCATTTCCACATGCGAAGTTGATGTTGATGAGTGATGATGAATTTCGTGCAGCCGCAACAGGAAAAAAACCGTCGCACAGCCGTGCAGGTGAGCTCGTTCAGTTGCACAAGAGGAATGCAGCACCAAACCCGGCCTGCTTCATCAAAGCCCTATTGAAAGCTCCCAGCCAGCCCCCCCACAAGAACTCTAGTGACTCTACCAATTCATGTAATGTGCTACTGTACTGCCGCGTCACAAATATGATAAAATCATAATTTAATTAATTTCATGATGATTCACAGGTTGGCAATCATGGCACATTGGAAATCCCTGGAATAATTAACCATAAAATAGCATGGAATAAGCATGGAATAATCACCAGACTTCACCCTTCACTCCCGCTTTGGCCGTCTTTGGCCACTGCCTCTCCAGCCGTGCCAGCTGCACCTTGAGATTTGTGCATGGGGCATGGGATTAATGATGAATGTGATCTACTTGATGGTTTTAGCCCATCCCAAGAATATCAGCCATATCAGTCATTTCAACCAATCATCCCAAGTATGAAAAACATGAAAAACCAACGAATCTTTGAACCCCTGCAAGCAGTGATTCTACTGACTCTGAATCATTCGCAGCGTGCCAGCCGCAGCGACTGGGCACCGAACCTAGGGAACTGCCCTCGCATAAGCAAACATAGTCCTTGTGGACCAAGCGGCCGGCAAACTGCGCCTGAAGCCAGATGCCAGAAGGGACCCTCCGATTAGTCCTATCGTGACATGCGAAGTGCATGTGAAGTGCATATGGTTTGATATCTCTTGAAATCTCTGGAATAATCTCAGAAGATGCTTGTAGATTCTTCAGATCTCTATCTTCAAAGGCATCTCAAAGAAAAATGCTTCAGGTTGTTGCTGCACATGTCGTTAACTCACAATTGAAACCACGCAAAACCCTGCAGGCCACAAACCCACAGAGTCTTCCGGGCCTGAAAACACTTGGCCACGTTGGAACCATCTTCTGCCAGGATCACTGGCAGAACCCCGGAGGTTGGAGAGTCCAGCCTGTAGCAATAGGCTGCAGCTGACCTGCAACCACCTAACTAAGATGGAACAAGAATTATATATTATATTATATATATATGCGGTCTAGCAGTTTCAAACATCAAATAAGGATTCTACTTTTGAGTTCTACCACACAGCCGTGGAAAATAGCCTCCCGCCTTGAGACAACAGTGACGTGCGGGTAGACTTCAGCCACTCTTGCCACCAGGTCTTCTGTCCGCTGCATGCTGGGTTTACCTCGAAACTGCAAAAGATGTGGACAAATATTTGTAAAATAATTACATTGAAATACATCGTCCATGTCTATGTTCTATCTACTCATCTATAATCTAGTCTGACCTCATCTGATCTGACCTGATTTTATCCATCTATGTATTCATATGATGAGTACTGTTGTGTGTGCGCGTGTGCCCGTGCGAAAGGGGTATGGCAATTGCTGGCTCACTTTCTACCTTTGCTTCGCTCCACTTCTTGCATTCCGTGAGATCTGATACTTCACATTCCGTGATCTGTAGACAATAAGTCATAATCATTTATTCGCCAACCTGGACCTGAACAAATATAATTATGTGGTATTTAATATGATGTAATATGGGGTATGATCCCCTACTAAATCCTACTATCCCCTACTAACCATCATTCTTGGCGACTTGGTTGTGAGGTCGCTAGAGAGAGAAAGGTGCCTCGAAAATCCATGATTCATCATCATTTCCCTGTTCAAATTTCCATTTGCAGGTATAACATGGTATAACTATCTTCAAACCAACCCTTTGTTCTCTTTGTAAAACCCATCTCTCTCAGCATTCTCAGCAGCTTGACAGCTACCAGGTGACACAGGGTCAATATTCCAGGTCCACAGGCCAGGACTTCCATGTCCGGCAGATCAGCTGTCACTGGTGCTGCATTCTTCACCCAAATGGGCAGGGATGAAAACAGCTCCAGCGCTGCAAAACCATCCTGGTCGAAGCACTGGAAACAATGGGTGTATTACCTGGGGGTACCTGGCAGTACCTGGGTGTACCTATACACATGGCCAAGCACATCATGGGAAGAATGTGCTAAAAACCGGAAAAATGGTTTCAAGTGCGATATTGGCGATGTGAAAAACTGGCGTCTTTGGTTGATCCCCGGAGTTGCACGGGCAGGAAGTAGAACAAGGAAATCAAGCCGTTGCTTAAGGTTGTCAAGTTGCCTTATTGGATTGCAAAGGGTAAAACCGGGTAATTAAAACCCATGATAAAACATGCATTGTTGCGACACTGTATAAAAACCGCCAAACAAATAGAAAAGTGTTTCCAGGAAGGCATAGATGATGATTGCAAAGGTTTCCTCCATATTTTCCACGTTTCTCAATTTTTCAATTTTTTTGGGGATCATGCTGGAAATTGTGCAAGCTTCCGCAATGCTACTTGTGCACAAATGGGCTACATGTAATCTGTCTATCCCATGCAAACCCACGTGCTTCGAAGACTACACCTGTTTCTCGCACAACTGTCACAAATCTGACCACGGGCAGATCCCTTGACAGGTTTCGGGCCTTTGTTCGCAAGCAGTTGACCACTGAGCCCAAGATACGACCATCAGGCTGATGGCTCATGCCGAGCATGTGGTGCAAAAGGCCTAAAGCCACTTCCCATTCGCCATCTGTCCTCAGCCAAGTTCAAATGATATCGAATGATATCGAAATTTATAGCCACAAAACTGTTCCCGACTGCATGCGAAAAAGGTGTATTACAGTGAGCACATGAAAGAAACTGGAACTACGGAAACACACAAGAGAAAATTACTTTACTTCGAGTTATCCCCACCATGACATCTATACGTTTTGTTACTGGCAAATCTTCTGGCATTCTATCTGGCATATCTTCTGGCATTCTATCTGGCATATCTTCTGGCATTCTATCTGGCACATCTTCTGGCATTCTACCTGGCATATCTTCTGCAATCTGTTCTGGCATATCTTCTAGGACTGTATATATCTGGCATATCTTCTGGCATATCTTCTGACATTCTATCTGGCATTCTATCTGGCAAATCTTCTGGCTTCTGGCATATGTTCTGGCAAACATTCTGACAATTCTATCTGGCATTCTATCTGGCAAATCTTCTGGCATATGTTCTGGCAAACATTCTGGCACTTTATCTGGCATACTTTCTGGCATTCTATCTGACATTCTATCTGGCATATCTTCTGACATTTTATCTGGCAAATCTTCTGGCATATGTTCTGGCAAACATTCTGGCACTTTATCTGGCATAATTTCTGGCATTCTTTTTGACATTCTATCTGGCGTTCTATCTGGCATATCTTCTGGCATTCTATCTGGCCGTTGAGGTCCAGCGATCTCGGAGGGTCCCAGGTTGAGGTCCAGCGGTGCTCACTGAGCTCGGACGGTCCCAGTTTGAGGTCCAGCGGTGCTCACTGAGCTCGGAAGGTCCCAGGTTGAGGTCCAGCGGTGCCCAGTGCGCTCAGACCCTTGCAGTCCAGCAGTGCCCACTGCGTGCGGAAGTTGGCGAAGAGTTTGGCGAAGAGTTGGCAAGGCGGAAGTGAACATGGGAGTGGATGCAAAGGTGGCGGAGGAGAAGCTGGAGGAGAGGGAGGAGGAGGAGGAGAAGGAGGTGGAGGACTGTGATAAAATCTAACAACCCTCACCTGGCAGGTGGGGAAAATTACTTTACTTCGTGTGATCCCCACCATGACATTTATACATTTTGTTACTGGCAAATCTTCTGGCATTCTATCTGACATATCTTCTGGCATTCTATCTGGCATTCTATCTGGCATATCTTCTTGCGTTCTATCTGGCATATCTTCTCTGCCCAAATCTTCTGGCATTCTATCTGGCAAACATTCTGGCACTTTCGCTGGCATATCTTCTGGCATTCTATCTGGCATACCTTCTGGCATTCTATCTGGCATATCTTCTGACATTCTATCTGGCATATCTCCCGGCTTTCTATCTGGCATATCTTATGGCATTTTATCTGGCATATCTTCTCGCATTCTATCTGACATTCTATCTGGCATATCTTCTGGCATTCTATCTGGCCGTTGAGGTCCAGCGGTACACACTGAGCTGGGAAGGTCCCAGGTGGAGGTCCAGCGGTGCACACTGAGCTGGGAAGGTCCCAGGTTGAGGTCCAGCGGTGCACACTGAGATGGGAAGGTCCCAGGTTGAGGTCCAGCGGTGCACACTGAGCTGGGAAGGTCCAAGGTTGAGGTCCAGCAGTGCACACTGAGCTGGGAAGGTCCAAGGTTGAGGTCCAGTGGTGCACACTGAGCTGGGAAGTTGGCAAAGAGCTTGGCGAAGAGTTGGAAAGGCGGAAGTTGAGGTGGAAGTTGATGCAGACATGGTCGAGGCGAAACAGGTGGAGGAGAAGGAGGAGGCGGAGGACGAAGAGGAAGCGGAGGAAGAGGAGGAGAAGAGCTAGCCGAGGAGGAGAAGAACAGCTCTGATAAATCTAACAACCCTCACCTGGCAGGTGGGGAAAAAACAAACACACACACACACACGGATATATATATATATATATAATATTATATATATATAGATATATTATCATTATATATTTATATTTATATTTATATTTATATATATGTGTGTTTATTATGTTATATATAAAATACTATATATATATATGTTATGATTTAATATGTATACGAATAATAAGAAAAGTAGGAGGCAAGCAAGAAACTAATAAGACAACATAGCACAACATAGCAAATGCAAAACAAGTCAGAACGTGGAACGTTCTTACATGTCCTTACCCCTTTGAGACCTGTGACTCTGAAATCCAGCTGCTAGCGCTGCAACAAAACACCTGCCAAGAGACTCACATTCGTTGATGACAGCGCCGAAGCTGATTGCCGAAACCAGCAGATTTCTTGTAAACATGGCCTGCAGGACCAGCTGAACATATGATCGGTGTTGAAAAGTTGAAAACCCTGCTGCAAACATTTTGCAATCCCAAACAGTTTTTGCTCATTGCGTTTGTAGCACTTCCGCAAACACACGTTTAGCTTTCGCGCGCTTTCGCGGACCCTAAAATTCCTTAAACGATCATGTTTGCGTTTGGGCATCTTTCGCTGACAAAGGGCTCAAAGATCGGTAGGTCACGCTGATGGTGATGGCGATGGGGCTGTGGATGTCATGCCCGGGGGGAGGCTGCTCCGTCAATGGCATGGGGCAACTCCCTCCATTCGAGAAACGAAGTTCAGTATCTCCAAAATATTTTGTAAAGATCTGACGTGAGTCTGAACTGGATATTGAAACTCCAGATGCAGTTGAACATAAAATGATCAAAGTATCAAACATGCCGAATGATACAAATGGTCATGAACTCATCCAAGCTCTCTGACATCTTGACCCATCCATGCGCCTGGAGCACTGCCAAGGCTGTTGGCCAATGGCGGCACGCAGTGATGGTCGAATTGAAGGTCAAGGTATCCTTGATGTCATGATCACCAACATCAGTTTCTTTCGCTCAATGGGTTTTGGTGCTGGAAGAACGTGCTATTGTGATTTTTTGGCTAGAAATTCACAGTTTATCCCAGTTGAGCGTGCTGTGGGTCCTTTAAAAAAATCAGCGAAACCCGCCAAAAAAAAGCCGAGTTTCAGGCTCCAAATGGCTCTGCTCCATCTGCTCCAAAACTTGCAAAGCTACGGACCAAGAAGTTCCATCTTGGAAGGCGCTCAGGGTGGAATTGAAACTGATCACATCCGGCTCCTCGGGTATACGCACAGGAATCAATGCTTCCGCGAGAAAACCCACCTGTCTCATTACCACATTTAGTGTATGTACAGCTATGTATAGCTAACCCTAGCATGGGTCAAAAAGTTTTGGGCATTTGGTTGGCCGGAAAACTGCATATATATATATATAAATATGAATATATATATATATATATATGTGTGTGTGTGTGCGTGTGAAATATTTAAAGACATAGTATATATATATATATAAAAATATGTGTGTGTATATGTGAATACATGTAAACATATGCAAATATCTGTAAATATCTGTACATATATGTATAAATAAATGTAAATATATTTCAGTATGTGCAAATATATGTAAACATATGTACTGTAAATGTATGTAAATGTATGTAAATGTTTGTGAATGTATGTGAATGTATTAAGTGTAAGTAAGCGTATGTAGAATGTATGTAAGTGTATGTAAATGTATGTAAGTGTATGTAAGTGTATGTAAATGTATGTATAAATGTATGTATAAATGTATGTATAAATGTATGTATAAATGTATGTATAAATGTATGTATAAATGTATGTATAGAAGCATGTATAAATGGATGTATGTATGTATGTATGCATGCATGTATGTATATGTATGTATATGCATAAGTATAAGTATATGTATATGTACATGTACATGTATATGTATAAATATATATGTATGTAGGTAGGTACGTACATACGTACATACGTACGTATGACCGTATGTATGTATGTTTGTATGTATGTATGATGGATGTATGTATGCAATGGATGTATGGATGTATGGATGTATGGATGTATGGATGTATGTATGTATGTATGTATGTTTGATGTATGTATGTACGTACGTGTGGTCACGTTCCCTCATCCAGAGCCAAAATTTGAACCCAACCAAGACTTTACTTCACGCTTCACCTGTTTTTTCGCCATACATGTATACCTACATAAACTTATCTTTTCATTTTCTCCACCCTCAAACTTCTGCAAGTGGGGCTCCAGTTCCGCTGCTCGCATCTGGTGCAACTGAAGCAATGCCACCTCCCAATGGGAAGCCGATTCACAGGCAGTGATGCTGGAGTTGTAGCTCCATGTGTTGGCTTCCACCAGCATCTCAGCCATGCTTCTCAACACTTCTAGAGCCATCCTGGTTTTGTTGCTGGTGGGGAGGTCATGCGAAGGGCAAGTGCTGGCTCTCTCCTGAATGTACACAAATATTAACACGCGTGTCTTCATCAACATGTGTGTATTCAATAGTACAGTGATTATGATATTATAAATTATAGGTATAATTATCACTTAGCAAAGGGACCCAGCGACACATCTGCACATCCAGCTGTGTCCTCCATTCACCAGCAGTCGCACACGTCCGAATCAGCGTGGTGCAACTCACCACGTTGGGGTGTGTTGATGCACGTAAAGAACGCACCAGCAGATCCAGACACGCCTCCCAAGCCCCGTCGTTGAACGCAGTCATTGCAATGCCATAACCTGGGCTTGATATGGTTTGATGCGCAACTACTGTACCAGCCTCAAATGGGGCACTTTTTAGTTACAGCACCGCTTACATCCGTTTATTCTGCAGCTGGTAGGGATCAGTCATTGTAAGCTCAGGGGGCTTCTAAACAAGGGCTGATGCACCAACATGCTGCATGCAAGGCATCGATTCCATCCAAATATCATCAAATATCAACCTAATTCGCCAAAGCGTGCATCTGGAATGGGCATTTTTTTCTGCGCAGTTCAAGGCTTGTTAAGCTACGCTAGCTACACTTTGTACCTGCAAAAATAAAATTGTCACTAAAACGCATACATAGAACAACAAGCTGAATGCTTAAGGGGGAACAAAAACTAAGTGATAGAAATTACTTTACTTCGAGTGATCCCCACCATGACATTTATCGATTTGTTACTGGCAAATCTTCTGGCATTCTATCTGACATATCTTCTGGCATTCGATCCAGCATTCCATCCGGCATATCTTCTGGCATATATTCTGGTATATCTTCTGGCATGTCTTCTGGCATTCTATCTGGCATATCTTCTGGCAGATGTTCTGGCATATCTTCTGGCATATCTTCTGGCATTCTATCTGGCATTCTATCTGGCATATCTTCTGGCATATTATCTGGCAAATCTTCTGGGATTCTATCTGGCATATCTTGTGGCAGTCTATCTGATATTTTATCTGGCATTCTATTTGGCATACCTTCTCGCATTCTATTTGGCATATCTTCTGGCATTCTATCTGGTATATCTTCTGGCGTTCTATCTGGCATACCTTCTGGCATTCTATTTGGCATATCTCATGGAATTTTATCTGGCATACCTTCTGGCATTCCATCTGACATTCTATCTGGCATATCTTCGGACATTCTATCTGTTGAGGTCCAGCAGTGCACACTGAGCTGGGGAGGTCCCCGGTTGAGGTCCAGCGGTGCACACTGCGCTGGGCAAATCCCAGGTTGAGGTCCAGCGGCGCACACTGGGCTGGGCAGGTCCCAGGTTGAGGTCCAGCGGTGCACACTGAGCTGAGACGGTCCCTGGTTGAGGTCCAGCGGTGCACACTGAGCTTGAGGTCCAGCGGTGCACACTGAGCTGGGCAGGTCCCAGGTTGAGGTCCCAGTGCACACTGAGCTGGGAAGTTGGCAAAGAGCTTGGCGAAGAGAGATGGCAAAGAGCTTGGCGAAGAGTTGGCAAGGCGGAAGTGGAGGTGGAAGTTGATGCAGACATGGTCGAGGAGAAACTAGAGGGGGAGGAGGAGGAGGACGAGGAGGAGGAGGAGGACAGCTAGCCGAGGAGGAGGAGAACAGCTCTGATAAAATCTAACAACCCTCACCTGGCAGGTGGGGAATTGATTCTTGCTTGAAAGGGGCTGCGATGGTCACTGACGTTCCTCGCTTCCATCTCATCTAACAAGTTCAGGGTAATCTGCCTCTGATTGGCACGGGCACAGGAGCCCATGACGGTATTCCTCAGTCGCAAGTTTCAAAGTCATTCTTGGCGGAACGGGCCAATCCAAAATCAGTCCTAGCCTAGGCCTAATCTACTTCATTGTGTGGCTGTTAGATGCTGCTAGTGTGGCCATGGTATCAAGATGGTCATGGCGGTGCCGCAATACATCCCAATCATCCCAATTACGGCGTCCAAATTCACCGAGAGTCTCTATCACGGCATTGGACAGCTGATTCTGGCGAACTTCCATCAGCAAAATCAGACTTGATTGCCACTGCGCTGCTCGCTGGCAAGCGGCCACAGCTGATCCTAGGTTTCATTGCCATTCAACGAACACATGGGTCGTGTAATGAAATAGGAACAAAATGAACAAATTAATTTTCCAACAAACTCCGTAGATCTGGTGTCAAGATATAATTCTACCGGTCACTGTATAAATTTCTATATTGTATATAACTCTATTGAATTTGAAAATGGGACTGGCATGCAGGGCCAGTTGGGTGGTAGAGGCACTGTGTCGTTCTGGCGTTCCGGGTTGCGTCCAGCACTGATCTAGCTCAACAAACTGCAACGATCGAGAAAAAGGACCCGATGATCCAACTCAATTCCGGTTGTCAGATGGGGATCCATAGGAGACTGCGTCCAAAGAGGTCTGGCTACGAGTCATCTCATGGAAGAGCTCGAGGGCCCAATTCCTGCAGCTGGACACTGCGGGCATCCTTTGGCCGAGTGGATTTTACATGGACTGTTATAATGCACCAAATATAGCGCCACACCAGTACAGTATAATAAATAATGGATAGTATGTAATTCAAAAAATAAACTATAGAATCTAATAATGCAATAGTGTATCTTCCCACCTTCCAGGTGATGGTCTCTAGATTTTAACAATGGTGCAACTGCTCCTTCTGCTCTCCTCTCCCCTTCTCCACAGCCAGCTTCTTCTGCCAGTTTATCGTCATTGTCATGGCACCAACGGACCCGGAGATTACAGCAAGTGCCAGAAGCTCATGGCAAGCCGTAACACAGTCAGGGCACGCACGGGCCCGAACTCTATCGCGAGCTCCGGATACAGCGGGGCAGGCCTCGGACCCGAACACATTCCAGAGAGAATGTCAGATAACATGCCGGATGGACTGCCAAATAGAATGCCAAACAGACTGTCAAATATACATGCGAAATAGGATGCCAGAAAGAATGCCAAATAAAATGTCAGAATATATGTCAGATAGAATGCCAGAAAGAAAATGAAAGAATGCCCGATAGAATGTCAGATAGAATGCCAAGTAGAATGCCAGATAGAATGACAGAAAGATTGCCAGACATTATGCCAAATAGAATGTCATAATATAAATATATCGGATAGAATGTCAGTTGGTGGAGTTCATTGAAAGAAATTAATTGTATTCAAGCATGACACATGTAGCAATATGATATAGTATGCTGGAATATGATATAATATGCTGTAGATGGAGTAGGTTGAAAGCAAACATATAAGTAAACCATTCTCTGGTGAATTTGTGGTTCCAGCCCGCCTCAAGAATATCAGCCTTCACTATGGCTAGTAGGGCAAGTAGGGGCGATCAAGCAATAAATACCTGAACCCCAACCAAATGCAATATCTTTGCCGCAATGTCACAGAACAAGTCTATTGAATCATATGAGTCCAACGTCTAATTCTTGGCTGATTCGTGTTTGATATCATATCCCAATGTTTGATTCGGTTTGATATGCATTGATATATCATGAATTACCATCAACTACCATCAATTACCATCAAATATGCGCATGTGCCTGTTGGTCGCCCAGCAAATGCTTCATCAACCCCCCTCTCCAGGGCATGCTGGCGATGGCGGAGTTGTAGCACACCTTGTCCCGCAAGCCACGGGGCATGTGGTTGAATAGCGCCAGCGCAAGCTGCCAAAGGAGGCCTGACAGAAATTCAACGGACCGTTGAACTTTGGAATGTGGATTATGTTATGTGTGTATCCATTTTCTACATATATATATATATATACATAATATAAATATATAAACACATTGTAAATATACATACATATATGTATATATATATATGTAAATATGTATATATGTATACATGTATGTATGTATGTATGTATGTATGTATGTATGTATGTATGTATGTATGTATGTATGTATATATATATATGTATATATATATGTATATCTGTATGTGTATATATATATATGTGTACACATAACTATATATATATATGTACATATATATATATATATATGTACATATATATATATATATATGTACATATATATATATATATATGTAATCCCCCTTGCTTGATGGGTACCTACCCCTAGCTGGTCATTTCATAAATAATATACATCTTTGGGCATTTATGAAATAGGTGGCCCGACGGAAAAACATATTTCCGCAATATAAATGCAGGTATAGTATAATATAAAACCTTGAGATTTTATGAAATGCCAACACGTCCAAAAACTGAAAGTATCCCGATAACAAGTTTTTTTATTATTTTTTTCCGTTTATGGACTGCCCGGGTTCATTATTGGGATTTGCAACAAACACCACTATAAAATGCCCAGATGCTTGAAAACTCCTTAAAAAAAAATGATACATGTATGCCATCTATGAAATGGGTTTGATGGCAAATGGCGTCAAAAGTAAGGAACACCACCAAATTTGGGATACCCTGAGTTAAGTCAAACCCAAACTTGCTTCTAGATTGTTTCCCAAAAAAACAGTCAGCAAATGTCAGCTGCTTTCACTTTTTTCATTTTTTTTCACCTGTTTTCCCCCAGGTTTGAGTTTGCCAGTTCACTTTTTTCATTTTTTTCAAAAAACATCTCTATCCATAAGTTATGCCCACAATCACTTTTAAAACATTCAGTGGTTCATTTTCAAGGTCTTGCAATGAAATTTTAAAGTATGTTTCAAAATATTTCTGGCAAAAGCATTCTTTTTATCCAACTATAAAATGCCCTTCCTGGAAATTGAGAAGGAAATACCAATGAATCCCAGGCAAATGCATTTCATAAATGTCCTGGTGGTCGCATATGGTCGCATAGATGGGCAACAATCTAACAAAAACTCCCATTTGGGTTCTTTAAAATGCATGGTTTCTTAGAATGTTGGAAAATACCTGGAAATCAACCAGCAAAGGCATTTTACAAATACCGAGAAAGATAAAGAAACACCAGGGAGGGCGGCCACATTAGAAAGATACAATGGGCTTATATGAGATGGTGGGTGTAAAGTTTATAAGCACAAAACGGTGGTGACCGAAATAGGCACAAACAACAAAGATGATAACATATCATAACATTCAGAAACACGATCTGCCAATCTTCCTATTCAATCCTATAATTAGATAAATTAATGATGCAAATATCATCAAATATCTATATATGTGTCTTCACCAAATCCACTTAGTTCTTATCTATATACCTATAAAATGCCCTTCCTGGAAACTGAGGGGTAAATACCAATGAATCCCAGGCAAATGCATTTCATAAATGTCCTAGTGGTCGCATATGGTCGCATAGATATCTTAAATTTATCTGGGTTTTGGTCTTTAAAATGGATTACAGTGAAAAGAAGAATAGAAATACCAGCCATCTTCATATCAAGGCATTATATAAATACAAGAAAGGGTGAGAAAGGGCATATTGACATCTGCGTGTCTTCATGCTTGTTGAACATGTTTTTGATGTGTGGGAACGATTGGACATGTAATGGGATGATATGACATGTATATGTTTATATTAAGGATTTTATATTTATACACATGTGCATGTAATTAGGCTTCAATATATACACATGGTTTATGGTGGGAGCCAAGCAACCCAAGACTTGATGCAATCTTGTGTACATCTTGTGGTTACCACAACAGTGGGGACTGTGCATGTTTAAACATGGTTGATCACTTAAATGGTCAAGAACAAGTATCAAGACTTTGCTTTATTGGTAGTTACTGTTTTAGAAGAAAACACAGTCAGCTAAATTTAATTTGGATTTGTAATGATTTGTGATTTGTGCATATTTTCCATTTTTGTTCCCACCTGTGAAGGAAAATCCCTCAGAGTGAGCCAAATGGAGGATGTGATGCGAGGATGGGCACTTGTTATTTCAATCTCCAAGCTCCCATTTACAAAATGCCCTGCCGGTCAAAATAATGGAACATACAACTGAACATGGTATATACTCTTTTTTATTTATAAAATGCACCCTGCGGGTATCACAACACTAAAAACAAATTAGCATAATTCTAGCAAAACCTTACCCATATTCCAAGGCTGTTCATATTCCATGCCAAAATAGCTCCGGAAAATTGGAAAATAATGAACGACCATGAACGACCTTTGATGATGAGAATAAGGTTGCGTGACCCTTGTCAGGCGCTCCCTTGTCACGTGCTGTCATGTCCAATCGCACATGTTTAACCCCGCTGAGAACCTTCTCAAGCAATGATTTCTTGATTAAACATAATCATAAAGTCTTGTTTCTCTCATCAATCATCAACTTCTCTCTAGGATCTTTTAAGACCATTGGATAAGCTGTTCAGCTTATTTTTTGACGCGTTTGGCTGGCGGCTCAGCTTCCGCATCTGTAAACGGGGCCAAGTCTGGATTACGCTGTTCTTCCTCGAACCCAAATGGTACCATATTTCCACTTAATACAGTTACATTGAGTAGGATGCCACCCCTGGAGTACGATGCCCCCCCCGTATGCGTTGCCGTTCCTGCATGTGGGCTTCTCAGGCATATGTTAATATCATTTTTGACCAAATCGAGGCTGCAAATTCCATTCCACATACCCACAAGGCATCACACTCTATCGCGCACGACTAAGACAACAATCGAGAATTTCCATAGCCTCCACAGGTCAAAAGTATCAAAATTTCATGGAATGCGATTGTATGCGCGACTGCTCAAAACGCTGGAAAAACAACAATTTCCCCCGTATTCCATATTATCAGATTCCAGAGCATTTTACCTCCGAAGAGGAAAAAAAAATAAAAAAACTCTTCAGGTCAATTTTTCGAAAAAAAAAGTTTTTGGCTGTCTGCGCAAGTTTTTCTGGTGTACGATCCCTTTTGTGGAGTACGATGATCTGTGAGTAGGTGTGTGGAGTGCGATGGGGTCCTCTGTGGTGCGATGACACCCCTCGAGTGCGATGCGACATGAGTATGCGCGGCCGGAAATCCCCTGAGAGAAGGATTCTGGGCCACAATTCCCCAAATTCAACAGAGCGAGCGGATGCTGGTTGTTGTAATTTAACAGGATTTCAGCCCACTCAACAAACAAGTCAAACAATATTTTGAAACCCTCTCCTTCTTCAGTCTCCAAAATGGGAAACTCACTTATCAGGACACGCTTTAGCTCATCCAGGCTCCATAGCATTTCAGGAACAACACAAGGCATCGACATGGTGCCAAACAATTTCCAAATTGAGCTGAAAGGTCTTCCCATCGCAACCAGTCATTTCACAGGTGTGAAACATGTCACACACAGGGAAACAGGTTGGGAAAACAGTGGGTCCAAAGAGACAGGTCTGGAGTACGATGGATTCATAGTATATGTACATTTTCTGAATTTGGGTAACTTGGAGCTAGAATAATCTATCATCCATACATGATGGCAGTTTTTTTTAATAAAATGCCTGGCCATACAAAAGAATTCCCAAAATAACTATATTTTCTTTTTTTGAAATTGTTTTCGTTTATGAGAAGGTAGTTGGAGGGGGCATTTTGTAACACCAAACGAGTGGCATTCTGTAAAGGAACAATCATGAGGGATTATATGTATACATGTGTATTTATATATATATGTATACATGTGTATATATATATATACATATGTATATGTATGTATATATATATATATGCATATATATATATGTGTGTGTGTCTGTGTATGTTTACCAGTTGCCATATCTTACAAGTATGTATCTATTATCTATTTTATGTATGTATGTATATACACATATATATATGCTGCCCTCAAGGCCGACATTTTGTGTATTAGATATGTCCTTGAATGCCTTGTCTTCCTTCTTATCATCTCACCTTCTGCAGCATTGCATCAGGAAAGTATCTTGGGCGAATGTGCCTGGACACATCCTGCCCACATATGTAGATGCAGCAAATCACATGTGAAGAAACTGACCACATAGGTGCATGAACACTGAGAGCACTTGGGCGGGTGGGAAAAAACAATACACTGCACATTTTGTGTATCAGATATGTTCTTGAATGCCTTGTCTTCCGTCTTATCTTCTCACCTATTGTACCATTGCATCAGGAAAGTATCTTGGGCGCATGCCCCTGGACACATCCTGCCCACATATGTAGCTGCAGCATCGCACATGTGAAGAAACTGACCACATAGGTGCATGAACACTGAAAGCACTCGGGTGGGTGGGGAAAAACAAACAATACACTGCACATTTTGTGTATCAACTATGTCCTTGAATGCCTTGCCTTCCTTCTTATCTTCTTACCTATTGTAGCACTGCATCCGGAAAGTATCTTGGGCGCATGCGCCTGGACACATCCTGCCCACATATGTAGATGCAGCAAATCACATGTGAAGAAACTGACCACATAGGTGCATGAACACTGAGAGCACTTGGGTGGGTGGGAAAAAAACAATACACTGCACATTTTGTGTATCAGATATGTTCTTGAATGCCTTGTCTTCCGTCTTATCTTCTCACCTATTGTACCATTGCATCAGGAAAGTATCTTGGGCGCATGCCCCTGGACACATCCTGCCCACATATGTAGCTGCAGCATCGCACATGTGAAGAAACTGACCACATAGGTGCATGAACACTGAGAGCACTTGGGTGGGTGGGTGGGAAAAAACAAACAATACTATACACTGCACATTTTGTGTATCAGATATGTCCTTGAATGCTTTGTCTTCCTTCTTATCTTCTCACCTTCTGCAGCGTTGCATCAGGAAAGTATCTTGGGCGCATGCGCCTGGACACATCCTGCCCACATATGTAGATGCAGCATCGCACATGTGAAGAAACTGACCACATAGGTGCATGAACACTGAGAGCACTTGAGTGGGTGGAAAAAAACAAACAATACACTGCACATTTTGTGTATCAGATATGTCCTTGAATGCCTTGCCTTCCTTCTTATCTTCTTACCTATTGTAGCACTGCATCAGGGAAGTATCTTGGGCGCATGCGCCTGGACACATCCTGCCCACATATGTAGCTGCAGCATCGCACACATGTGAAGAAACTGACCACATAGGTGCATGAACACTGGGAGCACTTGGGTGGGTGGGAAAAAAAAACAATACACTGCACATTTTGTGTATCAGATATGTCCTTGAATGCCTTGTCTTCTCACCTATTGTACCACTGCATCAGGAAAATATCTTGGGCGCATGCGCCTGGACACATCCTGCCCACATATGTAGATGCAGCATCGCACATGTGAAGAAACTGACCACATAGGCATAGGTGCATAAACACTGAGAGCACTTGGGTGGGTGGGAAAGGAGACCATGTGTAGCATTACCACTGCGCATATGTAGGGCCATGCCGACTCAGTTGGGCCGAGGAAGCACGAGTTAGCAATCGAGACAAAATCCATAAAGAAGACCTGGCAGGAATTGGATCAAAAAGAAGCTTGTGCACGACTGTGAACAATGAAGATGCGAAGCAATACATTGCAGTACATTTTCCCCCATAGCTTTGCGGTTCACTTCTTGCCCATAAAGCGCTTTGAGGCCCATTGGCACAGAGATCCGGTCGCCACCCACATGTCTGCATTTTTGTACCAATACTGGTACTGAGCAGACCGGAGTTTGGCTCTCAGCAAGTTCGACCTGGCCTTTGTATTTTGATTGATGCTGAGACGATCCTTCAGGAAACGCCACCAGCGGTCAAGGCTCCTGCTTCGAGGGCAATCCTTGAGTGCCAGGAGAGGCACACCCCGTGTCCTACCTTCAGAGCCTCTCTTCGGATTGTTCAAATCATTCCGCAGAGCCTGACAAGCTTGCTCTGTCCATTGTCCAGCTTGAAACTGGACAGTGACCATTGACCATGAGACCGCCTCTCGCGCCAATGGCTGGCGGGAAGGGTGAACCTCTATGGCACCTGCCCGAACCAAGCTGGCGATGTCATCGGATGTTGGCCGCTGCGTCCACGCTTGCGGCTGCGCATTGGGATGCTGATGCGCAGGGGTCAATTTGATCACGGCGTCATGTCGCTGCAGTTCTACATGCCATTGGACTTCATCATGGCCACAGTTTCTGACACAAAGGCTCGCTTTCACCGGAAAGATAAGCAAGAATGGCTATGGTGATCAGGATATACCATGTGCTCTGATGGTTTTGTTTCATGCTTGAAATGACATGGCATCTGTTGTCAGTGCTGCGTCCCACCCAGCGAGCCTCTCCAGCAGTGCGTCGTCTACCGACAAGAGGAAGAACATCGAGTTGAGGATCGTCCTTAGCAGACAGGCCGATCATTTGCCAGAAATTGCAATTTCTGGTGACTAATATTATTCCAAGTATCTGGATTCAAGATTCAAGATTCAAGGCTCAGAAAAAACTTCTTCAATCCAACCTCTTTGGATCCAAGATTCAAGGCTCAGAAAAAAATATTCAATCCCACCTGCTTGGATCCAAGAATCAAGATTCAAGGCGCAGAACAAACTTCTTCAATCCAACCTCTTTGGATACAAGATTCAAGATTCAAGTCTCAGAAAAACTTCTTCAACCCCACCTGTTTGGATTCAAGATTCAAGATTCAAGGCTCAGAAAAAACTTCTTCAATCCCACCTGTTTGGATTGAAGATTCAAGATTCAATGCTCAGAAAAAACTTCTTCAATCCTACTTGAATCCTACCCCCTTGGATGCAAGTAGTCTTTTTGGGATCTTGATTCTTGAATCCTACCCCCTTCAATTCAAAAATTCTTTTTGGGATCTTGAATCTTGAATCTTGAATCCTACCCCCTTGGATTCAAGAAGTCCTTTTGGGATCTTGAATCTTGAATCTTGGTTCCGATGTACTTAGGGAAGGGTGGGATGGGAACAAAATTGTAAAAAAAAATTGCAATTTTTGATCACCAAAAAATGCCCTAAGTTTTAGAGTCCAAAAGTAAGAAAAACACTGTAAATACGCTTAAATTTGCCTGACATGTAGGTCTACCACATATATATATATACATATATATATATATACATACATATATATATATATACATACATATATATATATACATACATATGTGTATATGTAGACGCGTGTATATGTGTGTATATATATACATATATATGTATATATAGACGCATTATATATATATACATACATATGTGTATATACATATATATATATATATATGGTCTCATGTTCCGTGTTCCTACCCCCCCACCCCCCCAATGGTATGGGTCCCCAGGTTGCTCCCCCTTCCCTTCTATTTGCAAGCTATTGGCAGCATTTCTGAGGTCCACCCTCGTATTTACCAGGTCTTTGCTGCAATTCTGACTACCAGCCTCGCATTTGCTAGGTACATGCTACCTTTTAGACGACCTACGTAGCACACATACTCCCTCAAAGTACCTATGTGCTACCTATAGTCATATACATGTGCCATGCATCTACTTCCTATATTATATATATATAGATATATTTACACATACACACTTATATATATATATGTGTGTATATACATAAATATATACACTAATACATATATATATGTGTGTGTACGTATATGTGTACGTATATGTATATGTATATGTATATGTATATGTATGTGTATATGTATATGTATATGTATATGTATATGTATACAGACACACATATATACATATATTCATACATATATATATATATAAACATTCATATATATGTATATATATGTAGATAATCGATAAGCATTCATATATGTATATATATATATATACATATTTACATTTAGATAAACATATATATATATATATGTATAAAAATATGCTCAGTACCACACCCCCACCACACCACAGGGGGGGAGGGGGGTTGGAACGCTGGACGATATATATATATACACGTGTGTATATATATATGTGTGTTTATATGTATAGTTATAATTATAAATTATATATATATTCTTTGTATGAGGAATTCCTCGGAAATGTCTTGGTGGGATCTGGCCCCATAGATACAATAAAAATACACAAAGTAGAAAAGTAGCATAATAGAGATCCAAACCCATTGCAGAGGCACTACTAGGGGAATAAAAACACTCGCAATCATGGTATGCGAGAGGCCAATAAGAGCTCTTGTACTCATGATCTTCTATCTTTGTTGGGCGTTTGTAGTTGCCAGACTCGCAGCAAATAAATAGTGACAAGACGGGATAAGCCTAGATCGTAAGGAGCTGGGTTGGGGCGAGCGTAACTACGCTCATGATCGCATGTCGCAGCTGTGAATCCACCAAGCACAACAGCATCCTACATACACTTCATGCTCAACCTGCTCGCGAGCTTTTGACCCAGAATCTGTTCATAGGCAGGGCCCCTGGCCCCTGCACTTTCCCTTCAACTTGCCAGCCTTCCTCATCCCACTGAAGCCACCCAAGTGGCCTTGTTTCAATCCCTTGATGACTGCAGAATAGCTAAAGCTATCTGGTACCTGGGCCCACGTGAAAATGTGAAAATGTGCGTTGTGGACAATTTGGGATGGCACCGGTCGTGGTGGGGATGTAAGGTTATAATGCTGATCCTATTCAAAATGGAATTTTGGAGCAGATTCCAAACCAACCAACCCAACCATGTGAAAAACAATTGTCAGATGGAAATTGTTCGGAGAAAACACAAAATATAGGGACGATGTGCATGCGTCCTCAGGTTTCGTTTTTGGTGTATACTATCTATATATCTATCTTATCTATCTTATCTGTATACATATATATATATAATTATATATATACATATTAATATAGCCCCTAACTCCTAACTTTGGTCGACGAATGGCGTGCAAAGTCGTAAATCGACCCATGAGCTCGCAGGGTTCAGCCAGACACCAAAGCTCATCCAAGATACAAGCTGATGTGTTGGAAGCTCCTGGCAATGGTGGCCCTTGCTAGCCCGAAACTGTGCTTCAGAACTGGGTCCCATACCAAACAATACCAAGCAAAGGTGTACCACCCTGAGCTAATGGATTTTGCCAGCTTTAAAGCTGACGGCCTCTAAAGTCCTAAAGTTAGGTCTTTATGGTCAGCAAGTTCCCCAATCCTCTCTCTCCCATCAGGGTCGCCAACTGCACCGAAAGGGTCCCGCACCTCTAGCAAAGCCAAGGACAGGGTCCAGCAACTTGCTTGTCCAGCACTTCCCAAGGTTCGGTTGAAGCTGATCACGTTGATATCAACCTGGAATTGAAGCAGTCCGGCGGGAGATTATGTTCCATGAGATAAGCAGAGGATTCCCAGGGAAAACTTGTACACTACAATTCGAATGGTCCATATGATGTCCCATTCCAAGACACACTACTGTACATGGTCACTTGGGGTCCCGTCGTCAAATTCATACGGGAGAAGATAAAACGTATCCCAAAACACATTGATACAATTCTGGAAGGGCACTTCTCCCTTGAAACCACCTGCCTCTGGTTATTTAATTAACGTAATTAGCTATGGAAAAAACACAATCTTTTAATGGGCGGTAAAATCATCATAAATCATCTGTAAATGAGCCATGTTCCATAGCTACGTTAAATAACGAGAGGGTATACTTAGTGTTGTTGCCAAATGGGCCTACAAATGTCTACAGTAAACCCAACCGTACCCTCTACCATCCTCTACCAGTAGTTCACACTCCTGTTCGCAAGGTTGAGATGTTCACCAACCCAATGTTTGGATTATGCGTTCTCTGGGGATTGCTATGTCCATTTCACTATTCACTATTCGCATTGACCAGTGCTTTTAAATATCCATTTTAGTACGTAAACGAGTCATTTGACATGTCACAGGATCCCCATGTCACATGGTTGAAACAGCATAGCCACGTCTCGATGTTCAACCCTCTGCAAATTCATCAGGTGACCTTCTCTGCCAGCATCCTACGTAGTAGCTGCAAAGCTGTTTGCCACTCCCCATGCAGCTCTGCAGCCTGGAGATCGGTCGATCGGAAGGTCCTGATGCATCCATGGATTGGTTATGATTGTTTTTTTCTGGATCAAAGTGTAGGATGTTTAGGGGTCTGAGCGATGGCTGTGGGTCAGAAGCGCCATAAGCGATCGATGTTCAGGCCACCATTCAGACTGACAATTCATGAAAAGCATTGAAAAACCACGACAAGCTGAGCAGAATCACTCTCGTCAATGGTAAAACTATGGAACGCACCGTGCACCACAGCAAAAATCCAAGTTCAATCTACAGATCAGTCGGCTCTCTGAAAGCGTAATTTTCAAAACGCAAATCTGGATTATCAAATCCAAAGTTGGTTCACAAGATACCATGCAATTTCCATCAGTTTCCCAAGCCGTTCATTCATTCCCCAAGGGATCTTCAGCCAATGCACTGCGAGGCACGGCAATGGCAGCATTGAAATGGATGCTGTTCGTTTCCATCATGCTCCTGACAACTAAGCTGATTGGTTCATGCAAGCCATCCCCCAAAAAATCAAAAGCTGTTGGGGGTCATCGGATCATCACCCCACATGTGGAGGCGCTGAGCGATCTACAGCCCGTTCCTAGGTCCTGGACATTGCTTGTAAGATCTTCAAGGCCACATGTCCCAAGGCCCCTTTCAGAACCTGTCGGCATCAAATTGAGAGGCTTTAGAGGAAAGCCCAGGATTTGGGATTCCTCGGCCAAGTTCATCTCAGGCTGTGCAACTTCATGAAGTTTGGATTTGGCCCAGTATAACTCTAGTTCTCTATTGGTAACATGTTTTTTGTTCAACAGCACCTCTCACAAGTCAAAGAAAATTGGGGAGAAAACCCGCACAGGGTTTTTCATTTTTTTAAACGTATTGCTTTCTTCGCTCGCTGTCCCATGCATTTCAGAAAGTTGGTGAAATCTCTGGTGAAAGCTTAGCAGCTAGCATATGCTATAGATTGCTAGAGTCTTCAGTACAGCTGGCTTTCTTGGGTGAATGACCCAGCAGAACCAGCAGGCAAACTGCACATTAGCCTGACCAAAAAACAGAAAATAATCAGTTTGCAAGTCTACTGTATCGAACTTATGAGGATTAAAAAAGAAAAAAGAAAAAACATAGAAACGGCAGAACAACTCATAAAACATCAGAAACCTGTCCTTGCATGGCGGACTATGATGACAACAAAATGAACATCTTTCACTGACAGCTCACTGAGAACCATCGATGCAGCATGGCAGCAGTGGTGGCCAGCTTGGGTTCCTTGACCCATTGAGGCAGCAAGGGTGCTAACAGAGCGTCTGTAGCCTGCTGGCTGGTGGCATGCTGCAGCGCCCTGGGAGCAAAACAGTTGCAACTGCAGGCAGGATCTGGGCAGGATCAAGCAGGATCAGGCAGGTATCACACGTTAGAACATGGCCAAACCATGCCAAACCCGATAATCACTTACATAGAAATAGTATAAAATAGTATACAAATAATAAGCAAACGTAAACAAGCTACTCCCTTCTTACACATGGTTCTTATTTGCATATGCGTCAAGAAACATATTGGAGAGAGGGGGTCTATTAGGTTTTTCATATGGACATCTTCTAACTGCATCTCAATATCCTTGCAATCTCCAGCGGGCTGTCTGGAACCGGGTTGGTCGAACCATCAGCTGATGGCGCTTTTTCTTGCACTGGCGGCATCAGCGCCGGCGACCTACCGCCATGGCTGGGGCATCATGGAATGCCAACTCTTCAAGACTTCCAACCAAAATGATGCGGGTGCAACCAGTTCTAATAGTGTTTGTTCACAGAGCATTGATGAAACTGTATAGTTAATAGTGTGTAATTATTTTATATAATATAGATGTGTGTGCATGCGTTTTTTGCCGACCTGGACTTCCAAGGGCTTACAGTAGTGGAACAGGTTCCCGCCATCACGAGAAAAAGAAAGGCACGCTGAATCATGCTGAATCTAAGTGCCGAGCTCTCGCCAAGCCAACTGAATAGAAGCCACTGGGGCATGGCAACTCCATCCATTGAACGACATCTGGGATAAAACTATATTAGAAGTACAGGTGTAATATCGAACGTAGTATACTTATACTATATACATCTATATACTAGATACTTCATGATACTTCTACGCCATCCATATATGATATAGTATAATACGCGCAGCTGAAAGGATGGAGATGCCATGTTCCCAGTGGCCGATGGACTTCCAAGCGACCTCAAAAGCAGCGGCCGATTTTAAGGATCATCTTGAATCAGGAGTATAACAAGATCCTCACATATAACTATATATATAACATTGTATAACCTGTATAACCTATATAACCTCTATATATATATATACAGTATATATATATAACATCACATATATATATATATCATATATATCATATAAGATCATGTAACATCGTATAACATCATATAACGTATAACATCTGAAAACACCAACCAGAAAATATATGGAGTCACCATGTCCCACGATGGACTTAAAAAAACAAAAAACAAAAACATATTTTAAAGCTTTGCCATGCTTTGCCAAGGCCTCCACGCGGATCGCCGGGAAGTCCTTCTTTAACCTCAGGCCTCAAGAGATTCAACGTGGGCATGAGAGAAGATGAATCCTGAGTAAAAAATGCTTTTGCAATACTATACTTTGAATGTCCTAAATGCGCTTCCTCGTAAGGCGGTTGAAATCTTGGGAGGATAGGATGAATATTGGGAATATATTCTATGTATTACTTTATAAATTACTTAGATTCATTTCAGAGGATCTTTGCCGCACTCGGACGTTGCATCTTTCCAGCGCCAATATGAGAATCTGAGAGTATGGCACCCGGTCCCGCAGGTTTGCTGACTTCCAGTTCCATAGGCTCCTGGGTCTGTCAGTAGATTGGTGCGGCAACTGAGATTGTAGAAACCCCCACTTCAGATTTGCCAGCTCAATGGGGCTAAAAATGGTGAAACTTATGATTGGTCTGGGATGGTCTGGGCCCATGATTATAGTGTACTGACTGATAGTTCCGGCACCACTAAACAATGTACGTTGATGTACACCAACGTGTCCATAGAGGCTGCATCTAACTGACTGGATTCCATGTGAGATGTCCCAGCGTTTTGGCCCTCCGAGCTCCGCGCGCAGCATTTTCGGCGAACCTTTGAAGGAAAGCAATGTGGTGCACGTGCCATGGCAACCCAGGATGAATCTGCCCATGGGCTGCTTGGTTGGGGTGTTCCACTGATCACCTCAACGGCAAATTAGTCGATTGTGATTATTTATCCTATACATAATTCTATAAATCCAAATTCGTGCAAATTCTTCAAAGATTACCACGCGACAACCAAACAAATACCAGAAACGTGTCCCGTCATGGTCCAAAAGGACTGCATGTATCTGCTCGCTGCAATATCACCACCTGCAGTCTGGCATCTTTACGGTCGATATGGTTGTAAAAGTTGTGGAATGCAGCGCGTCGCAAGTCATAACTCATTCAACTCAGTGCCTCAAAAATGCCGTGGATGAAGAAGCAAAATAGGACGAAATAGAACAACATATATAAATGAGCCACATATAAGCCACGTTAAGATATGTTAAGCTTATTGAGCCATGTTCTAAATGTCTTACATACTGGCACCAAATAAGAAAATGCTTACGCCGTTGCTTACGTCTTGCTTACGCGCGCACAGGTTTTGCTTACGCGCATATCTTGTCTTACACGGAGCTTATGCTGGCTTACGCGCACCAAAGTTTTGCTTACGCCACACCCTTACAAGGGGTCCCTTGCTTAACATGAACACAAGGGTTTAGAACGTGGCTCTATCGCCATCAGCAGATTCAAGACGATTCTATCATGTTTCATCTCGAACTGCTGGCGTGGGTCACAATATGTGACAATGAAACTCCGTTGGGGGGCTCCAGCAGGACTTCCGCAACACCCTGTTTGTGGCATGTTGTGGCCAACTGAACCACTAAGGCTCCCTACATCATCATGAATGGAACGCCCTGCACGCTTGATCGCCGTCACATATGCACTCGTGACATACTTTTCGGCCTGCCAACAGCTTGACACGTTGTGAGCATGCGATGCATTTGGCCAACTGACCCTCAAGTCAACAAACATGGCCGGCTGGAAGAATCTGTGACAATTCCCGGATACAATATATATATATATGTATGTATATATATATATATATACACGCATATATATAGATAGATATCTATATTCATAGTTATGTAACATGTATATGTATATATATATATATATAGAGAGAGATATGTGTATATTAAAATGTAAAAACAACATCATGTTCATCTAAAGTGTGGGAATTGTCAACTGCATGGCGTGCCACATGATATGCACCGAGGGATGGGCTCCGCTGCCCGGCATCCAGTCTTTGATGATGTCCTCAGGATGGCACATCCAAGCGGCTTTTTGCAGGCCATGGCCTTGCAATTACCCTCTGGTAATTTAACATAGCTATTGAAAATGACCATTTATAGTAGATTTTCCCATTAAAAATGGTGATTTTCCATAGCTATGTTAAATTACCAGAGGGTACAACTTATTACTTATTACCAAGGCAATTCTAACAATAGTGAGTATTGCAATCAACTCATTAGAATTACTACCAATGATTCTAAAGTATTCTAAAGTGAGTATTGCAATAGTATTGCCAACTAACCACCAATTAATTGATTACACTACATCTAATTCCTGTCAATGATTCTAATGATTCTATATGATTCTAAATAGTATTGCATTGCATTGCCTCCAGGAAGTGAGACCCCCATCCAACATCTAACAGCAGAGGTCATGGTGCCGGCGCTACTCCATGGGACTCCGCACCGCTGCGTTCTCCTTGACCTGGATCTGTATGTTCGCAAACCTGGCCACGGCCATCCACAAACTTTACGTATGGCAATGTTCAGATGAGAAACAAAATCGTGGTTGATCAATGTTGATCATGGTTTGTTCTCAATCCGCCACGGCCATCACATGATGATCAACCATGTTCAACCACGATTTTGTTTCTCATCTTATTTTCAAATTTTCAAACAAACTCATCTTCAACCATGTTCCTCGGCTTTGTGACACACATCTGCCAGGATTGAACTGCACGGGGATCAATGCATGTCATGACCAAACCCAAGACGTGACATCAACAAAGCAACATATGTACTGTGACATTTGGATTTGCATGGCATTCTATATATAGACTTTCACTTTCTGCTTGTTTGGGATTCTGCAGATCCTGAAATAAGATCACCACGGCCCACCGGCCCACCCTGCATCATTCAGCATGTTTCGCCTTGGCGCTGGGGCAACTGCTGTTAATAACACAAGGTTTCATTCGAAATCATGGGATATACCATCTGGTTATTTAACATAGCCATGGAAAATCCCTTATAAATGGAGGTTTTAATGGGAAAATCCTCTATAAATGGGCCATTTTCCATGGCTATGTTAAATAACCAGAGTGTAAATAAACTAATCCATCAAAAATCCGCCCACACCGCTTTGGCGGTGAAGGCGTGCTTATTGGGGGGCAACAGCAACACTAAATGCTCAATGACATTTGTTAATATAGCAGTCGCTATATCAGCTTTATTAGCTGGGGGGGGCCAAAAACGGTTTCGCACCGAGACCAGACCCCAAAAACGGTTTCGCACCGAGACCAGAATACGGTGGTGTTTTCGACATTTTTCGAGGATTTTTGGGTGTCTGAGTGCAAGAGGGTATTGAAATGGAATTTGGGTCATTTTGGTAGCTTTCCGGCAATGGAAAAACGGCCAAAAATGAAAAAAACATTGTACATAGCAAGATTTTGCAGGGTTTTTGGATGCCAGAGCATTGAAAACACTGCAAAAACAAGTGTTTTGGACTGACGTTATAGCAAAAAACGTGTAAATTACCGTATGCTTGACTGGAAACATTACAAAAACACCGTCAAAAGCAATGTTTTGGAAGGATTTACTGCCTTTATGGCAAAAAAACGTGTAAATTACCGTCTGTTTGACTGGAAACATTGGAAAAACACTGTCAAAAACAATGTTTTGGAAGGATTTCTTATTGAAACTTCTTAGCTTGAAGAGCCCCCACGGGGGAAAACCACCCTTAGCCCCTCTCACGGACCGAAATAAACCTGCGGTGTGGGCGGCCACCCCACGCGAAGCGGGGTGAATAACCAGAGTGTAAATAAACTAATCCATCAAAAATCTCCATGTAATGGAGTCAAATCCCCACGAGTGGTGGTTAGATTGCAGGTATTTTGGACGAGTTGCATCTCATCTTCAGCAGAGGCCCCTGCAACCTGAGAACTGTCAGAACATGATGCTGCTGTCAATCAGTGCAGATGGCTTAAAATGGATGAAATGGCCCACCGACAAGTGGGCCCCATTCTTGCACATTCCCAAACCTTGCCTCTGTCTCAACACATAGCTTAGATTTGATTCAGGCTGATGGTAGCTGAACAGACTTGCCAGCTGGGTTTGTTCGCTCGGGCCACCACTCAGCAGCTATAGCTTTGGGCCGTCTTCAGTTCGCTTGGGATGTCACTCATCCCTTGGCAGAAGCGGACAAAACTCATCAACAATTTCCGCATGTCACCACGCTGTACTAAAATCAAGACCAAACACACCAGTGACTGTTCTAGACAAGGGGACCCCTGCTTGTAGGTGTCTGGTCATCTAGCCGTGGAGAATGCCCACTGTTTATCCATTTGCAGAAGTATTCTGAATAAATTTGCCAGGATTCTTCAGCCATTGATTGCTTGAATATTACTTGGCAAAAGGGTGCCGAAAGCTTCACCTCAGTGCAAAATTGACAGACATGTTACAGGAACCTCAGCAAAAGATGGTTTGAGAAGGGGACCTGATTTTTGTCCTCCCTACTGTAACAGTCACCTTACCCAATTTTTGGGAAACTTCCCAAGTCTTTGTAACAAGGCACTGAGTACGTCGGAAATGGAAACGCGGCCTCCGATCTTCAGGACCTAGACACACGTCCCAATGGCACCAAACGCTGGTGATTTCTACCATATTCTACCGTGAAAAAACATGAAAAAACACTAACAACTTGCTGCGAATATGATGAAAATAAAATATGTCATTGGGGGTCATATAATCGTACATCGTCCCATTTGTTTGGGGATCAGCATCTTGTTCGAAACTGAAACCATCTGGCATGAGCAAATAAAATGCAAGAGGCTCAGAGAAGACATTGAAACCTACCAGCTTAGAACACTTCTTACACATATGGCAGTGTGTCACAACCTTGTACCCCTGGTGAACATCAAAATAGCTGGTAAATGGATGTTCATCCCCCTAAAAATGGTATTAATAGGTATTGATCCATACCCATATCGGATACAGCCAGTTAATCTTACTGGACTCCGGTACCAAAGGTATCATGATCAGAAGCCGCTCTGCGATCCACACTCGATTCATCTCGCGATACACTTGTGGCCTAGGCGCATGGGCGTCAACCCCCCGTTGCTGCTAGATGTGTGCTCTACTTTGCCGCAAAACAATGCCACTTTTTCATATGTCCGTTATTGTTCACCATTTGGACTATCTTCCAGAAGTTGTTCATTCGATTGCTTGAAGGTGAAAAATGCAGCAAACCATGTTTGCACATGTTTGCACCAGTAATGGTAGGGTTTCCTGCAAAATTTTCCTGTCTCCGATTCTGGAAGCTTCACTTTAGAACGAACTCCAATAGTGTGGCAAACCCGGTGATAAACCTTGCCATCATCCCAAAAAATGGTTAATTATACCCAAAATAATATGTTACATATCCATAAATATAAATTAATCATTGTTATATAGTCTAAGCATGTCTTAAATGTCTTAGCAACACTATCAATGGTGTATCCTGAAATAGATATATAATTAAGCCATATTTAACCCAGATAGTTAACCAGATTCAGCCACCAATTTGGAGATCGCTTCATCCGCCGTGTCTGAGTGCCCAGCTTATCTGGAGAAAGGTTGATCACCTCACAAGGCAGCCACTGGGGATATCTGGGGATGGGCCAATGGCCAGCTCAAGACCTGGGGCCCCAAGCGCAATTGGAGATAAGACAGTCCACCACACCGTCACCTGCAAACATGGCCGCAGTTTAGAAATCTGTATAATATATATATATAATAATAATCAATGAAAGTTCTAAATGGTTCAAGGGAAATCAATGTACCCTAAATATCCGTAAACATCCGTAAACCATGGTTTGCTGCGCCAAGATTTCCTGATATAGCCTTCAATTCAAACAGTTGCTGATTGGATGTCCCATGATCTTCCTGGGCCACGGCACCCACAGGCAAGTGCTCAATCTCACCCAATCGAAAGGTCCTCGTATCATGGGTTTCAAGCGAGCAGGTCGCCAAAAATGGCGGGGAGGAAGGCCATATTTCAACAAACCAAGTCAGAAGTTGAAAATGAAATGATAGGGGCCCCTACAAAGAAACATAATACATGTTCAATTTGATTCAATATAGCTCTTCTACTGAAATTCTCTGTAGGAGTTCGCTGTTCTAGCTTTCTTCGGGATGCCTATCGCCTATCTCCACTGCAAATCCAGCACGGCACTGCTAGCCAAATGAACTTAATTCAATGTAGATCGTGATCGTAATCACCACCGCCACCACCACCGCCGCCACCACCACCATTAATAATTGTCATCGTCATCGTTATCGTCCTCGTCGTCGTCGTCATCATCATCATCATCCTCATCATCATCATCATCATCATCATCGACATTGTCATTATCATCCTCATCGCACCACCTGCTCCACCGAATACCTTAATGTTTTCGCTGCGACATCTATCTCTTGGTGAAAGACCATGGCAGCTTTAAGCTCTCCATGTTCTAGCGAGTGACAATATACAACAATGCTTGGCCCGCCAGTGGATGCACTGACCGCTTGTCAAAAGACAATTCCAATGCCATCATATTCAATCTACACCTTCTGGATTCAAAAATAAAACATTGAAGATTTATGGGAGAAAAACAAACAACATATAATTTACACCACTGGCCACCAAGCGCTGCCCAGATCCAAGTGCCCAGGAAAATGGAAGGGCCCCAGGTGAATCTATAGATCACCTCTGAAACGCAAACCTTGTGATACCCAAATGTTCACAACGACATGTTCCAATAATAAATGGATATAAATGAACATAATTAAATGGGATTTAATCCAACCCTAAATGGATTTTAATCAGTGATGTTTACACACACGTATATATATATATATACATATACATACATATATATATATATACATATATGTATATATACATATGTATATATATATATTATAAATCCAACAATAAACATCAATAAGCTACCGTTACTTGGGGTTTGGATGACTTCCTATTGGCTTTTCCCATGTTCTTTCACTTGTTCCGGAATTCCATCATCCAGGGGCCTAGGATCGGGCCTAGATGTGCGCCAAACTTTCCACCACCCAGGTGGGGAAGCGAGTGGTTTCCCTCAGCTTCTCCAAATCCGAGCGGCTTGTGACACCACCTGGGGCTGGGATGCAGCCAAGGATCACATCAAGCCCATCAAGCTATTGAATTCAGAACAAACCAACGCAGAAAATCGCAGAAAGACTATGAACGAGTATGCTTATAGTAATTATATGCGTAATTATATAATACTTAGTAAACTGGCAATCTGGTGTTGGAACAAAATCAATTGCCCAGCCGGCAGCTTTTCTTGACCTCTCAAGTCTGAAGAAGTGTGGGCCATTCTTGGGATAGTTGCCAACAACTATCTGCCATTTGACAAGGTGCTCAAGACCAAGAGGGAGCGCATGCCACTGCGAACAGCCAGCTCGATGTCGGTGTTTAGGGTATCCCCAACCTGCAATGATGGGCACGACCGATGATCCAGTGAAACAGGTAGATGATCCTGGTTATTAAATGTCAATTATTGGATGTTGTTGGGATATCTATTATGTATATAGGTGACATTCTCTTCTGAAAGGCATGTGTATATTATATATATATATTTATTTATATGCGTGTGAACTCAATACAACTTAACTAGTTTTTGAAGCCCCATCTGACTGGTAGATAAGATATTGCAGTACCACCCCTTTTGAAGCTCCATTCAAACTTGTAGGGTCTGGTAGGGGCAAATATGGGCAAATACTTCTCGAAAAGAGGTGCTGAGCTGCTGGGGCAAAGAGATACAAAGAACCCTTTGAAATGAAAGCTTGACCCTCTTTCAATGCCACAGGGAACTAATCTTGAAACAGTCTGAATTTGCAGCCGATGATAAATGGACGGGAACCCAATATGACACAATCCATTCCTATCTCAGCTGAAGCCTTGGTCCAAATCGCTACAAAACTCCGCTTCCGGCGACACCAGGCAGATCAGTGCAGCTAGGCCACAATCACCGCTTTATCCAGCTCTACGCCTTGGTGTTCGCCCGCCAGCAAGTTGAAACCATGGAACCAGCATGAACCAGCTACTGACGCAACGCATGGATCTGCATGATAACATGTTTATTTGTTTTAATGGCCGTTGCAACTATGGATAACTATGGCCATAACCTTCATAAGTTGGGATACAGCCCGTGTAACCGTGTAACCTTGGTCTGGTTGATTGTAATTGTCTTTCGAACTTGTTTGAACTGGCGCAAGGCAAATGGCGTGGTACTGCACGACTTGTAGAGGTCTGAATGGGATCAGCGAGATCAGTGTCGAGTTAACTGCTGTGTGAAGCAATCGATTTAGGAGACAGCATCTGGATGAACAACAGCTTAGATGCATTACACAATGGGCAACATGAGGTCAGGTTACAAACCTCCAGCTACCAGAGTTCGTTGTACCCGCCAGGGCCCCAGGGCCAACGCCAGGCCACCGTAGCCCTCTTCCTCCACGGGTCTTCTCAAGGCTTCAATGAGAACCTCTGAGGGTTTGCCCACATCAATGGCCTAACACGCGCGGCTGTTGTCATGATAGTGGCATATAGTGGCAGGGGATGTTGAACCCGGGCGCGTCCGCAAAATTCATCAAAAAACATAGGTCATATACTACAGTACAGTAGAGGTTCTGGGTGTTTACTGGCAGGGTGAGGGACAAACCACTGCTACTGCTGCTGCTGCTGATGATGATGATGATGATGATTGCATGTCCATGCGTTTCATGTCAGGTTGATCCCCCTTCTAAAACGTTCCAAAACCCTTACTGTAGCGGTCAGCGTCTACAGTCTCCAGCGCGAAGCGCACGGTGCCATAATGCGCCTGAATGTCTTCGCCCACGGATGCACATACCATTTGACACATAGTGCCGTTACCCACCTCACGAATCACAGGTAGAAACACCCCGAAACTGGGTAAAATGTTAAGTTTAATTGATGAATGCAATTGTGATATGGTTATAACATGTTATATATATATGTATATATATATATATATAAAGATCAATGACTGTTGGTGAATCGGCTGTAGCACGGCAACGCGGGCTACAGCCGTGGCCATGAGAGGTGCAGCTGGGCAACTGCTGGAATGCTCTGATTGGCCCAATTCCTTGGCAGAAAATCTTCGGAGGTCACACCTAAGACCTCAGGTGCAAACGCTGCAGGCAAATGCTGCCTGCAAAGTGTGGCATTTTTTTGGAGCAAATTCCACAACGCTGGCCCCCTAGTGGAAATACAAAACATGGGTTGCGGTTGCAAAGGCAAAGTCAAAGTTCGTGGTCTGTGCGGCATGAAACAAATGCGGCATCAAGTATGCACGTCGATGTCAAGAAACCCCTTTGCCTATTTATTATATTTTAATATATTTTATTATTGGACATCCATCTTTCAATGAACAAGGATGCATTGTAGCTGATGCCATCTCATACTTCCATAGTTCGCATCATACACACTGTCATACACTCTCATGTGTTACTTGACGTAGCACAACAATGTTCATCTGTTTCAATTGGGCAACTAGAACAACACATTGTAAATCATCACTTCCGTGGTAGCTCAATACGACCGTTCAGGTAAGCGCTATCGACCATGACTCACCATCTGTAAGCAAGAAACACCTGCGTGATCCGAAGAACACTGCCTGACAGCGGCACGCTTGGAATCCACCGATCATGCTAGGAAACTAAAGTTTTGGGTGTTCATGGGTCATTAAATGTCCCCATTGAACATTACCCAACCATTAGGTATATGGTCTATAATGGCTACTATAAGGTGATGTCCAATATACCCAAAATGGGACATTTACCAATCCCTGGTGTTTGAGGTCAAGGTCTCGGTATTCTGCGTGTTCGCCTTTGTTCGCCCATTCTGGGATCCACAAAAGAACGTTAACCTGGGCCAAAAGAAACTTGCAACCGTGCTGCACAATCTGCATAAAATTCTGACCCTCTGTGGCCTCAGCAAGTATGAACAAGGCGGGCTCGGAAACCCTTCATTGATTCATGAGGGCAAGTGGAGAATCATCGACAAAACTGTCGGATGTTGCATCGTCGGGTTGGATGAATCAAGAATCTCTCTCCCCATACCCCAGGCATTTCTGTCGTGTAAAAAATGGTACTCCCCATTTGGGCGGATTTGGGGGGCAACATCTTTGGGCGTACATGCAACCCACGTGTATGGGCTTATTGCAACCCAAATTTTGACCAGAAGAAATCTGCCAAGTGACTCGGCTCCATTTTAAAAAAGCAGCAGCCACTGCTACTTTGAGCGCTGTCAACTGCTGATCCCAGCCAACCTTAGAAAAAACCAGTCGAGGTACCAAGGTACCTAGGTACCATGCTTCATTATTTGCTGGTCAGTTCGGCTTATCTTCCCCTTTGTATCTAAAACATGCCAAAATTATATACCCTCTGAGAGACTTGTTATTTAACAAAGCTTGGTTATGCAACAAAGCGAGAGAACATGACCCATCTATAGATGACAAAAAAATGATGTACCTACCAAAATTGTGCTTTTCGTTAGCTGCTATGGCTATCTTTAATATCTTTAATAACCAAAGGATAACCATACTGAACTCTTTGATCTACCAGCAGCAACGTTAACCCGATCTTCGAGGCTGAGGTGCCACAATGGCATCCACGTCCTTGGACTGCTGCACCTTGCGGCGCAAGCCATGGCAGTCAAATCTCTGAATCCACCTCCCTGGTCCCACCCACACACGCTCGAACAAACATCTATCTATCTATCTATCTGTCTGTCTGTCTGTCTGTCTGGCTATCTATCGTTCTATCAATCTATCCTAATCTATCCTGATATATCCTAATCTATCAATCTTAATCTATCTTAATCCATCTATATTTCTATCTAATCTAACTTAATCTAATTTAATCTAATCTAATCTATCTAGACACATGAAACTGATATTAAATAAAGTACAATGAAATCCATCCTTACGCCTGATCTGCCAAGGTGCAAGTCTTGTGACATTTTCTTTGGTCACCTGGGACCACTGATGGAGCTTCTGCAGCAGGGCCATGTGTGTTTTTTTCCAGTCCAGCTATGGATAGCACATCTATATAGTCAGATATAGTCAGATGTAGACAATCTGAGAATCTCATGGGTTATCCAACAATGATTTGCGCAGTAAGACATTACCCTCTGGTAAACGTTTACATAGCTAGTGAAAATTGCCATTTATAGTGGATTTTCCCATGAAAAATTGTGATTTTCCATAGCTATGTAAACGTTTACCAGAGGGTAAGACTAATTCCGGAACTTGGTGCCCATCCTCAAAAAGGGTCACAACGGTCACAAAGGCCGGGGGAGCCCAGGGGCTGGAGCAAAGTACTCCTTGTAGGCCTGGCCCTGGTTGTCGATGGTCGCCTCAGGTTTTGCAGGATGATATGTCGATTGGATAGAAGGCTGGGGAAACTAAAGATCACAAAAAAAACTAAACAGAGCTAAGTTCAGAACTAATGTAATCTAATTACAACTGTATATCTTATCTATATCTAAAGTAAGTAATATATAATAATATTATATATATATATACAGTATGTCACATCAAAATCTGGCTTGGCGGCTTCAACCGATCTCATGCCAAGATGCGACATAGTCTGTGATGCCTGAGCCAACACACACACAAAAAAAAATGGAATTATGCAAAGTCCGTTTGCTACCTAGTAGCACTTTTTTTTTCTTCCCCCTTCCCACCCAAATCCGCCGGCGCGCGTCAGAAACGATAGGTCTTTACACTGTGTCAAGGGGGCAAGCGGCTGGGTGAGGGGGGGTCCTCCCACCGGGTTTCGGCGAGGAGCTGGGGGAGGGGGGGGGTGGGCCGTCCATTGCATCTTCGCCATGCGCAGGGAAGTCCAGGAGGCTCGCTGCGAGCGCTCGCATGGCGGCAATGGCTGCGAGCGCGGCCCAGCGCAGCGCCCAGGCGGCGGCTGCCGTTGATCGTGCCCAGGTGGGTTCGGTGCGGGCGCGTGCGCGGGCGAGGTGCCGGACGAGGTGCACGGCTTCGGGCGACCACCGGCCTCCTACCTCCAACCCAAACACTGCGAGACGGCAGCGAGTGCTGGATTGGAATTCAGGGTAGGTCTGGGTGCGTTTTCGGCGCGCGGCTTGGTTGAGTGTGACGCCGGGTTCACTGGCGGCTCTGGGGCGGGGTTCACCGTTGCGGTGGATGGGGCTCACCAAGGTAGCGTCGATTGCGATCTGCGCGCCGTGCCACAGCGGCACTCCGCTGACGAGGACTTCAATCGCGCGTGCGTCCGGGGGAGGACAGGGGAGGTTCATGTCCCACAGGAGGACGTTTGTACGGACACGGCCCCCTGCTTCGCGGCATATCCTGGCCACGGCGCGTTCCAGGGGGATGGACCGGGCGTGGAGGAATCCGGAGGTGGCAATGGTCTCCCAAAGGGTCAAGGGCACCGCCGCAACTGCAGCGGTGGTTGGTGAAGGGGAGGGGTAAGCGGAGGCGGCGCAGGAGGCACACGCGGAAATGCTCTGGCGACAGGGTGTACTCGGGATTCGTAGGGTACACGGTGAGGGTGCGACTCGCATAGGGACCAGCCTGGGAATGCAAGAGCGCGCGCGAGGAAGGGTCCAGGTCAGAAAGGAGCGCGGCCAGCTCGTTGCGGTCTTGGGCTGTGCTGGCGAGGCGTTGCCACCCACGGTGGTAGTCTCCAGCGTCACGGGGGAGGGGTTGCAGGGGGCCCGGCAAGGTGAGGGTGTCCCACGCGGGGGGTTGGAAGCCGTGGGCGCGAAGGGCATGGGTCGCTTGTGTTGCTTCTATGACAGCTGGTGGGAGGGGGCGCACTTCACCGCGCAAGAGGTGGAGGATCCTGTCTGCCGCGGCCGGCAGCCGTCGGTGAATGGCGGGAAGGCTGTCGGCCCAGGATGCCCAATATGCTGCCTGGCGGCTAGCATGAGCCGATCGTAAGCCGAGGCCGCCGGCGGCGAGGGCGAGGCGGGCGCGCTGTTGGGCTGGGAGGGGAAGGGGTGTTCCTTCGGTGAGGATGCGGGCAAGGCACGCGGCGATGGCGGTATCGTGCGCCTGTGCGAATGCGTCGGTTTGGGAAGGCGGAAGGACGCGCAAGAGGTAATTGGCCCGGGGGCAAGCGCACTGGAGCAGCAGAAGGAAAGCGACCTGCGTGTCGGACACGGAAGGGATGGCGTCGAGCAAACGGTCATGTGAGGCGCGTTTAGCCGTCAAAGCCGCTGCGACATAGTCCGGGTGGCCAATGGGCGTGCCGGGGGCCTTCTTATAGTACCTATCATTGGAGTCTTGAAAATGCATGGATATGAATCAAACGGAGAGCCAGCTTGATCTCATTGGCAACAACCAATATCAACAATATCGGATCGTATTTGTGGATTTGGGGAGTCTCCAAGGTCGACAAATTCCCCTTGAGGTCGATTGATACGGAATGTCCAAGAACTAGCAGCGAAACATTGACGCACATATTGGGTAAAACAAAAAAACATCGAATCATTTGACATCAATTAAGATCAATTAACATCAACTGTCTATCAACTGTCTATCAACTGTCTATTTATACCGTATGTGTATATATATATATATATATGGGGACCCTAAAATCGGCGATCCCCAAAAACCAATCAAAACCATGGCTTTCAGTACTATAATAGCCTAATTTTGGGCTTTGGGATGCTTTGGGGGTTTCCCCATGTTACATCATTTTAGGACACCTTCATTACCTCCATATTACATCCCAAGCTTTCCACAAAGGCTCCGTATGCCACCACTATTTCGGTGCCTGCTTCACGGAGCTCCTCCAATAACCCCACGTGGGAACAAATGACGAAGGGCTTTCGAATCAAGGCCTGCCGGGCTTTGCGGCTTGGGAACACGATGGAAAAATGGATGGAACATGGATCTGGTTTCTATATTTATCATATTTAGATTGGATACGTATTATTTTCCACGAAAAGCCGTGTTGAAAAAACTCCATACACATATAATTGGATAATTAATTTTCGATTGCTGAAGGAGAAGTGCAGAATCTCAACCGTCCCCAGGCCCCACTGACCTTTTTGAGAAACCAAGCGCAAGTGAATGCAGCAGTCACTACCTGAGAATGTCAGGATGCATAATCTGTTGATGGTTCAAAAGTCGAGGGAATCCTCAATAAATAAACATATATATATATTACACAATTGTTGGGAAATGATAGGGAACAAATGCAATTTCTGGATTTTAGACATGTGTTGGAGAAAAAAATCTGCTGCTTCATAGAACTGGTGCAGCACCGGGTAGGAGGACATGTTCCATGTATGGGTATCTATTTATGGAACCTCAACATATATATATAATTATATTTATATATATATATAAAACCTCAACATGGATGGATTCATAGAGTTGGAAAATGGCAATATCATGGAATATCTCAGGTAAAGAGACAAGTCTTTGTCCTCCCTAAGTTTTCCGAGATCAACATGCCGAATGACACTCATAAAACACCATGAAACACTGCATCGGTCTTCCAAGCAACTTTTTGCTTGGCTTGTTCTCGTGAGAACTCGTCGTCATTGCAAAGGCAGATGCCGTGTTTGAGTAACCTGCGGCTGGGAAAACGCTGATCATGCATCAGCGGGATAATCGACGATGGTGAAGATGATGAGGGGAAGGAACATGAGAATCCGGATCCCGAAGGTGATAGTGTTGATCACGAGCATTTCCTGGTAATGATAATGGTGTTGGTGGTGGTGGTGGTGGTGGTGGCAGTCGTGGTGGTGCTGACATCTTGGCGGCGACACCAAAACCACACAATAAGATACCTTTCCAACCTTCCACTACATTACATACTAAGCATGGAAAGAAAGCCAGGCACATAAAGCAAATTCATCCATGTTCAAGCAACAAGTTCCATCAAGTTACCCCAGCCCCACCTATCAACATACATCCGCCGCGAATAGTTGGAGTCGTTGGTGGCGAAAATGACTTGCTTTCCAGCCTCCAGTGCTACGGCTTGTCCAATCCCCCTAATCTACAGGAATAAGTACCTACCAGGAAGAAAAGGCCTATACAAGGTCTAAGGGGATACCCGGCGAAAATGTGGCCTTGTTCAGATGTAAATAGCACCTCGGTTCTTGCTATCTGGATAGCAAATGAGTGAATATCAACATATACCCTCCGGTAATCAAACATGGCTTGCTGGGAGTTCCCATGCTTTTGAATGCTTTTGACACTTAGTTCGATGGCTTTCCCAGCCATAAACCTCCGTATGTTTTTTGATCCGAAAATCATCGAAAATCCCCAATGTACAACATTTATAGATGAGTTTTCCAATAGTTTTCCCATTTTCCCATTGAAACCTCCATTTGACATTTCGTTCGGGGGCTTTTCCAGCCATGTTCCAGCCCCGGTCACTGAAAAGCGCCAAGCCGCAGCGATGAGGCTGTTGACCTTCCGGGCACCAGTTCGTGGCACCCTAGAGTTATTTAAGTCAAATTTAAGTCAACACACATGGGAAATATGTGGAAATATGTAGTCTGTACTTCAAATATTGGGGGAAATGATTCCGTCTGACATGTTTGTGTCCATATAACAGGAATATAATGAAAAATACCTGGAATAATGGAGGGTCAACATGGTTTAGGGATTTAAAGAAACTCAAAGGGAGCTAATAGGGATTCAATTGCGTTTTAGTGGCGTTTGGAAGGCAAACATGTGGAACTATGGGGAATGGATCAAACATGACATGATGATTTTCCCACGGGGGATGAGCATCCAGCTGTAGCATGTAGCAGCTACCTGGGTTACCTTATTCTGACAAAGTGAACACGAGGGTGACAGAATTTTCATCCCATATATCATATATGTACTGTACTCATATCAAAGTAGAGTACCTTTGATTTGGTCATTAGTCATTCCTGCTGCGCCTGAGAAATGATCTGCTGCTCCAAGTCCAGATTGGTCACCCCTTGCGCTGCGCCACGGACTCCCCAAAGGGTACCTCGATTCAGCCGATTTTCAGGACATCCTGGGAAGTTGGGGCTTGCCATATGATTTCATAGATGTAAGGCTTAAGGGAAAACATGAAAAATATACCCGTGAGATAAAAAAAAATGCTACAGTGCCTCTATTTAGGTACCTGAAAAGCGCCAACCATCTACATAAACTACCTGGCTGATGCTGAAACCATCCTCTCAAATAGGGTTGAAACTAAATATACCAAATAACGATCATTACTATCTAACTAAACAGCTAACTAAAGACCTGACTGATGGAGTGAATTAACCAACCAACTGATCAGCTGACTGATACAATCTACATTGCATGATCTTATATATATATAATAATAATAATAGTAAAAATAATAATGAAAATAATAATAATAATATATATATATATACATACTGACTGTATGTATCCTAAATCCACGTTGCCTAAATGTCCACATCTGGACCTGGCAGGTCGGCGCACCATGCCCATCAAAGATGTATGTCTCGGCTGAATCAAACTCCTGCCAGAAGAATGGGGGCTACATGGACCTACAAGCGTTGCATGCTGGTCAACTTCACAGCTGAACCGAACAAATAAAAATTAAGAATAGAAGACAATATGTATCCAGCAACCAAGAAACTAGCCCCATATTCTGATATTCTCAACTAGTAAATAGTGTCAAAGTCCACCTCTTAGGAAAAAAACACTTAAAGAATCCCACGCCTGCCGCTTGAACTGAGTCGCATTGGACCTTGGGCAGTGTGTGGCACACCACACTAGAGACCAGGATTTTATGAGTCAAGTCACTGTGCTGCTAAACCCAGCAAAACAAACATATTCACAACCTTTGAATCATGTGCACCGGTATGTTCTACCCCAGTTTATGCCCAAATTAGATAATAGCCAACCTCACCTACCAGTCTCGCAATTTAGGTTTGACTTAGAGAGGAAGAGGAATTACTTTACTTCGAGTTATCCCCACCATGACATTTATACATTTTGTTACTGGCAAATCTTCTGGCATTCTATCTGACATACCTTCTGGCATTTTATCTGACATATCTTCTGGCATTCTATCTGGCATATCTTCTGGCATTCTAGCTGGCATATCTTCTGCAATCTGTTCTGGCATATCTTCTGGCACTCTATCTAGCATATCTTCTGGCATATTTTCTGACATTCTATCTGGCATTCTATCTGGCAAATCTTCTGGCATTCTATCTGACAAACATTCTGGCACTTTATCTGGCATATCTACTGGCATTCTATCTGACATTCTATCTGGCATACCTTCTGGCATTCTACCTGGCATATCTTCTGGCATTCTAGCTGGCATATCTTCTGCAATCTGTTCTGGCAAATCTTCTGGCACTCTATCTAGCATATCTTCTGGCATATTTTCTGGCATTTTATCTGGCATTCTATCTGGCAAATCTTCTGGCATTCTATCTGGAATAGCTTCTGGCATTCTATCTGGCATATCTCATGGCATTTTATCTGGCATATCTTCTGGCATTCTATCTGGCATAGCTTCTGGCATTCTATCTGGCATATCTCATGGCATTTTATCTGGCATACCTTCTGGCATTCTATCTGGCATAGCTTCTGCAATTCTATCTGGCATATCTCATGGCATTTTATCTGGCATATCTCATGGCATTTTATCTGGCATACCTTCTGGCATTCTATCTGGCGTATCTTCTGACACACTTTCTGCCAATCTATGTGGCATATCTTCTGGCATTCTATCTGGCATAGCTTCTGGCATTCTATCTGGCATATCTCATGGCATTTTATCTGGCATACCTTCTGGCATTCTATCTGGCATAGCTTCTGCATTCTATCTGGCATATCTCATGGCATTTTATCTGGCATATCTTCTGGCATTCTATCTGGCATATCTTCTGGCATTCTAGCTGGCATATCTTCTGCAATCTGTTCTGGCATATCTTCTGGCACTCTATCTAGCATATCTTCTGGCATATTTTCTGACATTCTATCTGGCATTCTATCTGGCAAATCTTCTGGCATTCTATCTGACAAACATTCTGGCACTTTATCTGGCATATCTACTGGCATTCTATCTGACATTCTATCTGGCATACCTTCTGGCATTCTACCTGGCATATCTTCTGGCATTCTAGCTGGCATATCTTCTGGCATATGTTCTGGCATATCTTCTGGCACTCTATCTGGCATATCTTCTGGCATATTTTCTGACATTCTATCTGGCATATCTTCTGGCATTCTATCTGGCGTATCTTCTGACACACTTTCTGCCAATCTATGTGGCATATCTTCTGGCATTCTATCTGGCATAGCTTCTGGCATTCTATCTGGCATATCTCATGGCATTTTATCTGGCATATCTCATGGCATTTTATCTGGCATATCTTCTGGCATTCTATCTGGCGTATCTTCTGACACACTTTCTGCCAATCTATGTGGCATATCTTCTGGCATTCTATCTGGCATAGCTTCTGGCATTCTATCTGGCATATCTCATGGCATTTTATCTGGCATACCTTCTGGCATTCTATCTGGCATAGCTTCTGCAATTCTATCTGGCATATCTCATGGCATTTTATCTGGCATATCTTCTGGCATTCTATCTGGCATATCTTCTGGCATTCTAGCTGGCATATCTTCTGCAATCTGTTCTGGCATATCTTCTGGCACTCTATCTAGCATATCTTCTGGCATATTTTCTGACATTCTATCTGGCATTCTATCTGGCAAATCTTCTGGCATTCTATCTGACAAACATTCTGGCACTTTATCTGGCATATCTACTGGCATTCTATCTGACATTCTATCTGGCATACCTTCTGGCATTCTACCTGGCATATCTTCTGGCATTCTAGCTGGCATATCTTCTGCAATCTGTTCTGGCAAATCTTCTGGCACTCTATCTAGCATATCTTCTGGCATATTTTCTGGCATTTTATCTGGCATTCTATCTGGCAAATCTTCTGGCATTCTATCTGGAATAGCTTCTGGCATTCTATCTGGCATATCTCATGGCATTTTATCTGGCATATCTTCTGGCATTCTATCTGGCATAGCTTCTGGCATTCTATCTGGCATATCTCATGGCATTTTATCTGGCATACCTTCTGGCATTCTATCTGGCATAGCTTCTGCAATTCTATCTGGCATATCTCATGGCATTTTATCTGGCATATCTTCTGGCATTCTATCTGGCGTATCTTCTGACACACTTTCTGCCAATCTATGTGGCATATCTTCTGGCATTCTATCTGGCATAGCTTCTGGCATTCTATCCGGCATATCTTCTGACATTTTATCTGGCACATCTTCTGGCATTCTATCTGGCATATCTTCTGGCATATGTTCTGGCATATCTTCTGGCACTCTATCTGGCATATCTTCTGGCATATTTTCTGACATTCTATCTGGCATATCTTCTGGCATTCTATCTGACATATCTTCTGGCATTCGATCCGGCATTCTATCTGGCATATCTTCTGGCATATCTTCTGGCATTCTATCTGGCATATCTTCTGGCAGATGTTCTGGCATATCTTCTGGCATATCTTCTGGCATGCTATCTGGCATGCTATCTGGCATGCTATCTGGCATATCTTCTGGCATATTATCTGGCAAATCGTCTGGGATTCGATCTGGCATATCTTGCGGCAGTCTATCTGACATATCTTCTGGCATACCTTCTGGCATTCTATCTGGCATATCTTCTGGCATTCTATCTGGTATATCTTCTGACATTCTATCTGGCATACCTTCTGGCATTCTATTTGGCATATCTCATGGCATTTAATCTGGCATATCTTCTGGCATTCCATCTGACATTCTATCTGGCATATCTTCTGGCATTCTATCTGCCCGTTGAGGTCCAGCAGTGCACACTGAGCTGGGAAGGTCCCCGGTTGAGGTCCAGCGGTGCACACTGAGCTGGGCAGATCCGTCCAGCGGTGCACACTGAGCTGGGAAGGTCCCAGGTTGAGGTCCAGCGGTGCACACTGGGCAGGTCCCAGCCCAGTGCACACTGAGCTGGGAAGTTGGCAAAGAGCTTGGCGAAGAGTTGGCAAGGCGGAAGTGGAGGTGGAAGTTGATGCAGACATGGTCAAGGAGACACTAGAAGAGGAGGAGGAGGACGACGAGGAGGAGGAGGAGGTAGCTAGCCGAGGAGGAGGAGGAGGAGAACAACTCTGATAAAATCTAACAACCCTCACCTGGCAGGTAGGGGAAAACAATTCCACTGGCTAATCATCAGTATCCCTATGAAAATAGCCATTTGGGGTGCTACATCTCCCGTTATTCTCACATTGCACGTCCCAATTAATGTTGATTGCATATTAATATAAGTATATGATCCCGTGTCTCGTGCTCACGGCCCTCAACCCCCCTACCCCCCACCCCCCACCACATCCACAGGGGCGGGATACATAGACATATATACAGGGCAGATACATATACAGTCTGTATATATTTGCACATACACATTGCATACGTATATAAACACCAATGTAATTATGTATATATATATATATATATTATATAAACATAGACGATACACACATCATTGTATAATATCGTATAATTATATCCATATATGACCATCACCATCTCGGGGGGAGGGGTGGACCACAAAACACTGGGCTATATATATATATATACATATTTGTATATGGAATCACCTCTTTTCCATATTATTCTTCCACCACATCGCCATATCAAGTTGGGTCAGTCTTCCCCGGGACCCCTGGTTCCAGCCGTCCGTCGCCACGTAGCCAGTTATCATTGGGATGCTCTGTGCCGCTCTCCGGGCCAGGGAGGAGCTGAACATCTTTCTGTGATTCCAACAGCCACTCGGCCTGACATTGTGGGTTTAAGGAGTTTGGCTTCACCTACAAAAATGGTGGGTTTTTACATGTCTTTACCTACAAAACATGGTGGTTTCCAGCTACCAAATGGTCAACAATAAGGGTTTCACCGAGTTTAACCATCAGTTCAACCATATTTCAACCATAGTCTAAGAATGAATATCCAGGTCTGGAGGAGTATCTAAAATTAGAGGTAAAGGACGACAAGAACTGAACATACTTGGAGTGACTTGAACTAACAAGAATCGGATGCGACTAAATGTAAGCAACATCATTATAGCAAATCTATGTGTAGAATTGTAGAGTTGTGCAAGTGTAACTGGCAAGAATCCGAATCTTGAGTGGGATTCACCCGGTTGTTGGTCAAATCGGACTTCAATCATCGTCTTCACCTCAACCAGCTGCAAACTGAGGAACGCTAAGGTTTTTGAGGCTCACATGCAGGCGCTCTGCAGAATACACCTGAGCCAAAAGGTCAAGGTCGGGCGTTGAAGGCTTGAAATGGTTTTTTGCAATGCCTCTTTCACTTGAGATGGGAATAAAGGGACTCCACAGTATGAATCATTCGTGTGATACTGTAGAAATCTGTATAACATTTGTGTGTGTGTGTGCTCGCGAGCGTGTACGTGTGCGCGCGTGTGTGTGCGTGTGTGTGTAAGTTATCTATTGATGCATTGAAATGTACATTATTCTATATACATTACATCAGTGCATACAAGTCTCCGATTTCAGCATCAAACATGCCTTTCCCGGATGCATTGATTGCACACTCACCTGATACGACGATAGGACTATGATAGGGATCTGCCGTCCAATGGACCCACAAAGATTCGAATTGTTGTCATGTTGAGTGAGTTCAGTGCCATTGAAGATTCGAATCTTATTGTCTTACTTTTATAGACTGTGTTTCTTTAAATGCACTGCACTACATAGACTATGCACTGATCTCATGTCAAAGTCCGAACAAAATTGGAGCCAACATGAGCCAACCACAAACAAAATACTCAAGTCATCCACCGTGCCTGAAAACGCTTTCCCAGAGCTGCTAGGACACGCCCATCTTCCAGAACCTGGAAGATGGTGGGGATCATCCCAAGGGGATGTGAAGTTGGAAAATTGTTGCAAATGTTTTAAAAATACTTGGAACCATTATAAATCTATACTACGCACACACACACATGTGTATATGTATATATAGAAATATCTGTGTGTGTGTTTGTGTGTGCGCGTGTGAATGTGTATTCTATACTAATCTATACTAGATGTATATGCATAGTCAAAACTGTCTCCTTCCAGAACTTTACAGGTATAGGTTGTGCAAATGTCTGAGAAAACACCCATAATCACGCATAGCCATCCACATGCTGGAAACATGTGGTATCCCCGCGTCAGAAAGTGGATTAAGGATGATTAAGGCAAATTGTAAAGCAACCCGGTGAGCCATACAACGGCATAGGGCATAGGGCCCAGGGGCTGTAGCGTTGAGATTGTCACTTGCCGGCCAGACCAGCAAGATAAAGAGATCATGTAAATAATCATCTCTGGTTGGTGCCTTCAACCCATCTCAAAAACCACGAGTCAAGCAGCATCCTTCTCCCAGGTACGAGTAGGACGGAAAGAAGACTTGGACTGGACCCACCAACCAAATGTGAACATGAGACACCTTCTAACATCTTCCGACCAAGGAACTGTCTTTACCCAGGATCCATCGTTCAGCTGACACCCAACCTTGGATCATCAACCTGCTGAGGGTCTGCCTTGGGAATTTGAGGTCTGACTTGATGACACCGCCTCACATTGCTTTGCCTTGATGTAAGTTTGACACTTTCACTAAATATCATGATCCCCATCTTGATCATGCCTACCAGGTCCCCAACCTCGGAGAGGTTGGTGATGAATAAACACAATGAACCTTTCTTTGCCCTTCATTCGGCTCTTACCAGGATCTTCATTCTGAAAAAACATTCTTTTCAGGGCTGCTGACACGTCCCCAGCTTGAGACAGGAAGCCAAAGCATCTGGCATCTTGCCCTGAGCCGTATGGAGCATCCAATGGTTTTTGGAACTGTTTCTCCTTTCCAATCATATCCAACAACTTTCCAATGGGACAACATTTCCAGACTTCCGATGATTTACACGTTTTTTCCATGCTTCATGATTGTACTCTGCAGGTTTTAAGCTACCAGTGATGCTTGGTGCCCCTTGGAAGTTTTTCTCATTCTTTTTCCACCGGTTTGGGTTGGGGACAATATAGTGGTGTCCACCACCGCACCTGTGCCGGATCGCAATGCAACTGACAGCGATGTTGAGACCCGTCGCGGAGGATGCCCTGGCAGATCAGGGATATCAGGGAGTGGGTGCAAGGGACATTTTAAGGGTACCATGGTCAGCCCCCTGAAAAATATATGAGGATTGCAAGTTCTCCCTTCAACCCCAGGACATAACATCCCGTCAAACGTATAGTGGTTTATCAGTTTACCATTGATACACTGCTCCGTGGGATGATTTATACTGCGTATTTTTCCCCAAATATCCCCCTACTGGTTGAGAGTTGGGAATAGTTTAACTTTGTGGGTCCCACATCATGGCTGGTCAGCCTCCAGCTGAACACGATCTCCGCGCAATCGCCTTGGTCCAGAAAAATCGTGGTGAATCTGTGTTCCAAATGGGCGACCTATATATATATATTTCTATGTGGTGACCTAAAAAAAAAGTCATGTTAGTAAAGCGATCATAAACCATCCATATTTTGATTGTTTATACATGTTTATAAACTGTTTATACTGTTTACACCAACCATTGATGGTTTGTTATTGGGCATGGGTTATTATTGGGTATCCGGGTGGTTTCCGACATTAGCCCAGTCTCAACTCTGCAGCTGAGAGACACGTTTGTCACGACCTCTCCGCGGTTGTTGGCTTGGTTAAAGAGCTTTAAGGCCTCAGGGGGATGTTAACATCAATAGATGTTCCTGAGATCTGCTGATGGAAGTAATAACCAATCATCCACTGCTTAAATGTGGAAAATCAGGGCTGTTGACCGTCATCCCAAATAAAACTTGAGGCCGGGGGTGGATGACGAAAGCTAGCGGGGTAGGAGAAAGAAGGAAGGGAAGAGGTGAGTTGCGGAGGGACTGTCATCATCGTGTCGCGGCATTGTTCGTCCCAACGAGGATGCAACAATGATATATGATATATGATATATAACAATGATATATATGGGGGAGGGGGCAGGGGGGGCCCTTTCGCGTGAAAAAGCACGTGATGTCCTTGGGGAGCCCCGGAATACTTGCTAAAGCAAGAAGACTCTAGCGAGCTGACGCTAGCTTTCGTGATAATGCCAATAATTGCCAATAATGATAAAATGTAATTGATTAACGATGATGGTGATGATGATGATGATGATGATGATGACGATGGCGATGACGATGGCGATGACGAGGACAAGGACAAGGACGAGGACGATGATGATGATGATGATGATGATAATGATGATGATGACGATGACGAGGACGATGGCGAGGACGATGACGATGATGATGATGATGATGATGACGATGGCGATGACGATGGCGATGACGAGGACAAGGACAAGGACGAGGACGATGATGATGATGATGATGATAATGATGATGATGACGATGACGAGGACGATGGCGAGGACGATGACAATGATGATGATGATGATGATGATGGTGATGATGATGACGATGATGATGACGATGATGATGGTGGTGATGGTGCTGATGATGATGATGATGATGACGATGACGAGGACGATGGCGAGGACGATGACGATGATGATGATGATGATGATGATGACGATGATGATGATGATGATGATGCTGGTGGTGGTGGTGGGGGGGCGGGGGGTCCCCCCCTTTCGCGTGAAAAATCACGTGATGTCCTTGAGCAGCCCCCGGAATACTTGCTAAAGCTGACGCTAGCTTTCGTGACTTCAGCAAGGTGTTGTTTAGTTGAGGACAAAAAAACAACTCTATAAGAACTTGTGACTTCACCTGTCTGAATCAGCCGTCCTTTGGCAGAGACACTGTACTGTAGCAAACCTCACAATGGTCTGGGTTCGGCACTGACATGTTCGAATACCTTAATGCAATGGCACACAAAAGCAGGTCGGCTCATCATTTTGTATTTCAACATGTTCAAATCCCTTATTGCATTCCGCTGACTCTGCTTTATATCAAAAAATCGTCCCCAAATGCATTGGATTCCCTTTGCCAAAATAGATCGTCCAATGTGGGATGTAAGTGGGCAAAATAAATTTGTTATGGACCCTAGCAGTATATTTTTCTGATACATGATACGCGTCCATTCGGGTATGCATTAGGAGTTCCAGTTACCAGTTCCGGTGTCCATCCCTTCACGAGCATCATGTCCGAAGTTTAATGGTATCTATATATATATATTTATTGATCCCTTCCCCTATTACTAACCCCCCCAAACAATAAAAACTAGGGTCCATCTTTAAGTTTGGAAAAATTCTGGTTGGCCAATTTGACTTTTAATTGATCCCCTTTAGAAAACAATTTAAAAATAAAACTACCATTTGTGGGTTTTGCCCCCTAAGAACAAAAACTAGTTAACCTCGGGGTGTTTATTAGTATGGCCCGTGAAAATTTTATTTTTTTATATGAGGATTTTTAATTTAATATTAGGGGGTTCTTCGAAATCCAATTTTTGGCAAAATTTTAATTGGGTTACACAAGGAAATGTAATTGATTTTGAAATCGAAAAAAAATAATGTTTTAAATTTATTAATAGGGTCCGCTTCGAAATCTAATTTTTGGCAATATTTTAATTGCGTTATAAAGGAAATGTACCTGATTTTGAAATCGAAAATGATAGTTCCCCACCTGCCAGGTGAGGGTTGTTAGATTTTATCACAGTTGTTCTCCTCCTCCTCCTCCTCGGCTAGCTATCCTCCTGCTCCTCCTGCTCCTCCTGCTCCTCCTCCGCCAGCATCTCTTCCACCACCTCTGCCTCCACTTCCACATCCACTGTTGCCTTCCCAACTCTTCGCCAAGCTCTTCGCCAACGTCCGAGCTCAGTGTGCACCGCTGGACTTCAACCTGGGACCTTCCCAGCTCAGTGTGCACCGCTGGACCTCAACCTGGGACCTGCCCAGCTCAGTGTGCACCGCTGGACCTCAACCTGGGACCTTCCCAGCTCAGTGTGCACCTCTGGACCTCAACCTGGGACCTTCCCAGCTCAGTGTGCACCGCTGGACCTCAACCTGGGACCTTCCCAGCTCAGTGTGCACCGCTGGACCTGAACCTGGGACCTGCCCAGCTCAGTGTGCACCGCTGGACCTGAACCTGGGACCTGCCCAGCTCAGTGTGCACCGCTGGACCGCTGGACCCCAACGGCCAGATAGAATGCTAGAAGATATGCCAGATAGAAAGCTGTAAGATATGGCAGATAGAATGCCAGAAGATATGCCAGATAGAATGCCAGAAGGTATGCCAGGTAAAGTGCCAGAATGTTTGCCAGAAGATTTGCCAGATAATATGCCAGAAGATATGCCAGAAGATTTGCCAGATAATATGCCAGAAGATATGCCAGATAGAATGCCAGATAGAATGCCGGAAGATATGCCAGAACATATGCTAGAAGATATGCCAGGTAGAATGCCAGAAGATATGCCAGATAGAATGCCAGAAGGTATGCCAGATAAAGTGCTAGAATGTTTGCCAGATAGAATGCCAGACGATTTGCCAGATAATATGCCAGAAGATATGCCAGATAGAATGCCAGAAGATATGCCAGAACATATGCCAGAAGATATGCCAGATAGAATGCCAGAAGATATGCCAGATAGAATGCCAGATAGAATGCCAGAAGGTATGCCAGACATAATGCCAGATAAAATGTCAGATAGAATGCCAGAAGATTTGCCAGTAACAAAATGTATAAATGTCATGGTGGGGATCACACGAAGTAAAGTCTTTTTTTTTAATTAAGGTTTTTGATTTATTTTAAATTTATTAAAAAGGTCCGCTTCGAAATCTAATTTTTGGCAATATTCTAATTGCGTTATAAAGGAAATGTAATTGATTTTGAAATCGAAAGTAATATTTTTTTTAATTCAGGTTGTTGATTTATTGTTAGGATCCGCTTCGAAATTTAATTTTGGGCAATATGTTCTTGCGTTATGAAAAGGAAATCTCATTGATTTTGAAATCGATTTTTTTTTTTTAAATCAAGGTTTTAGATTTATTAATAGGATCCATTTTTTGGCAATATCTTTATTGCGTTATAAAAGGAAAATTAATTGATTTTGAAATCGAAAAAAATATCAAGGGTTTTGATTTATTATTAGGGTCCGCTCTGGTTCCCTAATAAATACCCACCTAATAATAAAAACTACCTGAAGTGTTTATTATTTGGGGAGAGGGGGGGTTAGTATTAGGGGGAAGGGATTAGTGAAAACCATGGTTTCCCGAATTGTTTCTAGAAATCTTCCCTTCAATCAAATCTGGGAATGTGCAGTGCATATTGGATTCTCATGAATTATCTGCATTTTTGTGGTATGACATGCCTCCGAATTCATCCCACCCCTAGCCCAGAATCGCACCCTGCCGCGGCACGAGGTATCTGCGGTGATCACCAGCAAACCACTGCGCACATGTCGCACCACCGTTGGGCTCTCCCCGTGGGGCTGATGTCCACTGAAAACCTGGGGATGCCCTGGATGGGCATACCATGTTGGGATATTGCAATATCACGTGATATTACCCAACAATAGCTGTGTAGTTTGCTGGTGGTCATAGGAGTCATAGGCATGTGAGAAGATTTACGGGATGTTCACCTGTCACCACAAAGCTGGGGATGTGATCCCTGGATTCCAGGTCCGAAAGCACCTGGGTTGCTTGGCTTTCCCATAACAAATCTGGGGGCAAAGTTAGCAGTGCTGAAAAATTAACTAATATGTACAATATGTGTTTATATAATATATATGTATCATATAATATTTATCATATTACATAATCATCCTGAGCTCCTGAGGTAGATAGAATATGGAATTCTCAAAGATATTCCCACTTGGTGGGGATGACTACAATCATATGTATTATATATGCATACATACACACGCTTAGATTTCCCACGCGTGAAGCTGCAACATCTGTGGCCTCCAGGCACACGGGTATCCATACGCGGAAGCTGCAGTCTCGAGCAAATGGACGAGTATTGTTCCATCTTTGGGAATCAAATGGGGTTGTCCAAAAATAGACTACCCTTCGGTAATCAAACATGGCAATGAAAAAATCCTAAGTTTCATGGGAATTGAATTGATGGGGAAACCGTCTATAAATGGAAGGTAAACCAAGAATCCAAGGTTTACCATCATCTTCAATAATTTTCCCGTTTCAAGAAACCATTTCGAGGCATTCCCCCATTTTTGGACAAACCGTGTAACTGACCGTGGCAAATGCCCGTCTTCTAGCGACCTATGTACATCCCTTCACGAGGTGCTCGCCGGTTTCGGATGCGAAAGTTCACTTCTGGCCATAGAGTCATGGCAGGACTGTCCTCATCCAAAGGTTTCAACACCCAGAGCCTTGGATGTTGGATGTTGGACATCCCAAAAAAATCACCATCCAAAAATCAATCCTGACCTGGTGAGGGAAAACCACAATGTTTGCGATTTGCACAGGAAAATCATCTGCATCGACAAAAACAGTGTTTGAAAACAACAATTTGTGGCTGCATAATGTATCACTTGTACATGATTGACCTGCTTAAACTGAGGGATTTGACATTGTCAGGATAAATTATTAGAGATGAATAGAGAGTATCCCCTGGAACTTCGATTTCAAGATGGCACCCTGGGGTTGGGGGATAGCTGGGACAACCCAACCTACAGTACGGAAGTTCACAGATGCTGGATGCCCAGCGGAAAATTGAAGAAACTTGGCAATTCATATACCCTCTGGTTAGTTAACACAGCCGGGGAAAATGGTTCATGTATAGATGATTTATAACATTTTTTTCCGTTAAACATGTTGATTTTCCATAGCTATGTTTTATTTGCAGCATAGGGCAATAATTCCCAAGTTGAAAATTTGCACCATTCTTTGGATGAGTTCTTCAACTACTAACCATCGCTCCCCCACTTTGGAGGAAAAAACAAGCACACAGTTTGAAACCTGCACATATCTGGATGAGATGCTGGATGATTGCCAACAACACATATGTAGAATTATGTTTGTATGTATTTTCATGAATGCATGTAATGATATGCAATGTAACGTAATGTAATGTATTATAAGGTCAGGTAAGGTAAGGTAAGGTAAGGTACGTATGTATGTAGGTGTGTTTAATTCTATACCCACCAGTAGGACCGCACAAAGCGGTGGCGGAAGTTTCAAAGATAGGACACTGTTAAATTATAGGGGACGTGAGTTGTTGTGATTCATCGATGGCAGAGCGAACTGATGGACCGAAGGTGGTTGAGGCTCTAGGTCTCTTTATCTCTCTATCTTTCTCTGTCTCTTTCTCTCTGTCTCTCTCTCTCTCTCTATCTATCTGTCTAACTACCTATCCATCCATCTTTCTATCTGTCTGTCTGCCTGTCTATCTGTATATCTGTCTATCTGTCTATCTGCCAGCCTATCTGTCTGCCTGTCTATCTGTGACCTATCTGTCTTTCTATTTATCTATCTACCGTATCTATCTATCTACCTATCTGTATGTCTATCTATCGACCTGTCTACCAGTCTAAATATCTATTATTTTCTATCTATCTGACTATTTGTCTACCAGACTTTCTATCCTATCTATCTATCTATCTACCTACCTATCGATCGATCTATCGATCTGTCTGTCTGTCCATTGTCTGTCTATCTATCTGGTCTATCTATCTGTCTGTCTATCTTTCTGTCTATCTATCTGTCTATCGGACTCTCCATCTATCGATCCATCCATCCATCTATCTGTCTGTCTGTCTGTCTGTGTGTCTGTCTGTCTGTCTTTCTTTTCTGCTCGACTGGACGTTCTATCTTTCTGTTTATGCATCTATCGTTCCATCTGACTATCAGTCTATCTGACCATCTGACCCTCTATCTGCCTATCTGCCTGTCTCTTTCTATACTAATTGTCTTTTTGTCTATCTATCTATCCAATTGTCTGTCTGTCTGTCTGCCTGTCTGTCTGTCGGACAGGAAGGAATTCTGCCAGACTTCCTGCAAAGTGGAAGGTGGCAAGTCCAAAACTAAGCAATTCCGCGAGACTTCCAGGCAACATCACGAACGATCAATTCTGCGAGACTTCCTCAATTTTTGAACTGACAACGTCAGAAACGAAGCCATTCTGTGAGACTTCCTTCAAAAAAGGAAAGTTGAGTGCATAGCTGACGACCTCGTGCCAATGCGTTGTGCAATTTTGTTTCATGCCTCCCTCTAGAGCACTGCGCCTGCCACAAAAAAGTCAGGCCAGGTCATATATGAAGTGCTACACTGCTACACTCTGTCACGCAAAATCACCTTGGCAAACCTGAAGATCTGATGCTCCAAAATCCCAACCCCTCTCAGGAAATCAGCGCCCTGACCTCTTAACATGTCTGATGGAGAATGTCTTGTACCGCGCCTGCCACGCAAAAAGCACCTTTGCAGATCCACTTCAAACGCCCCATGCCCACCATCGTTTTTGAAACTGGTGCCAAAACTTCACGTGTAGCTACCTTTTTGCAAAGTGCAGAATCCATTGCGCCTGCCAACAAAAATGACGCTTGAACATCCATTTGCGAACATGTGGTGCTTTTGCCATTTTGACTTCCATATGTGCTTCACGCCACGGCCGCGTGCACTTTTTGAACGGCTCAACTTCCAAACGTGCTCCGGGCATGAGGTGTTTTGAACATTTGGACTTCCAAATCTGCTTCCCGCCACAGCTGCGTGCACAAGACCTCAACTTCCAAAAGTGCTCCGAACGTGGTGTGTTTTGTGTTTTGTGCATTTTGACTTCAAACTGTGCTTTGCGCTACAGCGGCGTGCGCTTTCGGAAGAAGTAACCTTCTAAAAGTGCTTCAAGGCTGAGGTGCTTTCTATAACATTTTGACACGTTTGACTTTGAAATGAGCTTCGCACCACAGCCGCATGCACTTTTTCCACATCGCAACTTCCAAAAGGGCTCCGACGTTGAGGTGCTTTGGGCATTTTCATGTCGAAATTTCCTTCGGGCCACAACGGCGTGCAATTTTTTCTCTCATCTTACCAGATGACATCGCATCCGCCGCTTTAGCGAGCCTATACTTTTGGACCCTCCGAAGGCCCAACGCATTGGAAAAACACAGTGTTTCACGACTTTTCTACCATGTTCACCCATTTTCAATATTTTCAATATTTTCAATCATGTTCACCCATTTTCGCACACCGAGATCTTCTTTCTTCTTCTTTTCTCTTCTCTGGCTCTTCCCCCCCCTCTGTTGCACCATCTGTCCATAAGTCGGAAGTTTGATTTCTAAACTTCCTTCGGTTATATCATCATATATCATATATCTACAAACAATGAATCATCTTCAAAGCCAAGGCCAAGGAGCTGCGCCGGGCTAGTCCGCTCTGGGGACGCAAGTCCAAAGAGTTGGGCAGCGATGAAACTGCTGAAGCTGCTGGGAACATGGTCTCCCGAGGGGCCGGCCATCGAAGCCTTCAACTGATCCATCATGTACCTGCCATGGAGCCATATGGAGCCATGGGGCTCCCCAGGTTCCAATCCAAGCGATTGGTTGTTTGGTGACACTTTTTTTTAGGGGAAACATAAGGGAACCAGAGACGCCCCTCTGTTCTGAAATCCTACTTGAGATCCATGCTGGAAAAACACGATAAACAAACAGTCTCCATCCAAAACCAACAAGAAAAAATACAAAAAATACAGGAGTCATTATTTTGTGGCATCATGGGGTGACCAAAGAAGCTCACAAGGTGGCAGCGCATGGGTGTTTCCTCCGACTAAGTTGGGTCCAGAGCACGTTGACATGGCATAGGATGGTTCAATCTCCAAGATTTGGAGTCTGTGCGGTGCTTGCTGCAACCTGGGCTGGCCGAAGACTGTGCAAAAAGTATTGCAGTGGCTCAGAGCTGGCCCCATTTTTCGACATGTTTGGTACTGCTGGGCCCATTTTTGCCAACTAGACCTGGAATGACCTGGACACCATAATTGGGGGCTCCTCAAGTAGCAGCTTTTCTTGGACCGATGACACACCCTATATCTCAGCAATTACACGCCATAAGTCACAGCGTGGTTGCTAATGGTCATCTAATCATTGGGGTGGCTAACTTTCATCCATTTGATTTCGGCTGCGATCAGATTTGGATTAGCTTATTAGCTTCTTAGCTTGTTCAATACTCGAGATCGACATTATTAACGGGCTCGGACAGCCTTTACATCGAACTGGCTACACCACACACTATTGTTGGTATTACCCTCCAAGAACTCAACTTGGCCTTGGGGACAGTTTTGCATTAGATCATTTGCAATCGAAAAAGCATGATCGAAGAAACAATTCCGGAATCCAACCTTTTCTCTTCGCACATCTACGTGCAAATTATAGATGAAGAAATGTAAACCGCATATATTTAAAAAAACATAGACAATAATAGATACAAAATGGCACATGTTGGCATAACTGCTAAAGGATATAGATAATCACTGTGCCAAGTGAAACCTGTATGGAAAGGCTGAATGACATTATGGCCAGTTATATATTTATATATATTTATATACCCAAATATACATATCAAATCATATAATCATATTACACTTCATACATATCATCACCCAAACAATCTCTCTACCAGTTTCGCCGGGCGACTCGTACAAGCTCTGATCCGACAACATCGAGGAGGCACGCAGCCGAAAGTGCTCCAACGAAGGCAACGAAGTGACGATCCGCTGCACCGTGCTGTCCGTCCAGTACCTCGAAAAATGTGGATTGATGTGGATTGGTTGGCTAAAAAACGTCACAAATTGGGATTAAAGGGGATTATATATATTTGATGCAATGTAACGTTGACAAATGGAGAGTAACATGATTTAATTGCCCAAAATCGGGGCTTTAACTAAGCAAAGAAATTGGGAATTGAACCCAGTATAGAGGGGGTGGTGGAAAAAAAACAAGTCTGCACAGGGCCAGCTACCCTCCAAAATACTGAAACGCCCTTTCTCCAGGAAACAATAAACAATGATCTATATCTAGTTTGTTGTTTGGGGGGCTTAATTGCTCCAGTGGTTTATTTCTGTTGCTTTGGGGTTGGACAGTTGCCCCTCAACATCTTAAACCACCAAGGCATGGGAATGTTCCTGGGGATTCATGAAGCCCAGGGATGACATGCGCTTTGCTTCAAGAGGCTCGGCTCTGTCCAGCAGAAGCACTTCCAGTCCTGGGCAACACTCCACCAAACATGCCATACCCTCATCATCGAAGGCTTGCCAGTTCCTGGGGAAGTTGAAAGAGGTAGTGGTAGGATGCCACAAAAACAAAAACATACCATTCCTCCGAGGGATTGCGTGACGATTAATCGTGTTGGAAGAATCTCTGTCCATGTGTTACGAACAATTTGAGATTATGAGGATGTTCAACCAATCGAATCAATCATTGTAGCTGACCCCAAAGAATCCCCAGAACAAAAAGGTACCCTCCAGTAAATTAACATAGACCCTGCCAAATAGGGGTTGGAAGCTTAGTTTCCACTAAAAATTTGGTATGTTCAGGGTCTAACTGTTAATTTACCAAAGAGTACTGTTCATCAGCTTCTCAACGCCAGGCATCAGCTCTAGTCTCCGCAAAGCCTCCCGATGTTGCCAGAGGTTGGGCAATGGACCCAGGCGCTGATGGGAAATACCCCAGATTCCCTGTGCAAATGAGCGGATGAAGAGCTCCAAATCAATCAAGAAGGAAAACCTGGCGATTTTTGCGGAGATCTGATGATATCTGATGCTTCACCACGTTTCACCAGCTCGCCGGACTGGCTGGGAACAAAGCAATCAGCATCTAACAATCTATCTAACAATCTATCTATCTATCTATCTATGTATATATATATTATATATATTATATATATATTAATATAACACCAGCAAATGAGTTGTGTGGAAGCTACCAGGATTTCATCACAAACACGTTACATCATGTTACATCATCTCACATCAACGAAGAAGAGACCAGCCATTCACGTGCTGTTTGCTTCGTTCAGCCACCCATGCCTGCATGTGTACTGTACTACAACATAGTACAACTATATGTCATGTATATTCATGTATGATATATGCGTACATATGATAGCGGGAGATACGTGATACCAGGTGATACCAGGTATTGCCAGGTGGCTCCTGCAGGTCCCCGGAGAGCTTCCCCAACAAAGTCAGCAGGGTCTGATCCGGATCTCGCAGTGTTTGTTTGCAGCCCGAGAAGCGCGCGGACTGCAGGTGCCAAGAACGATCAGCTGACTGCAAAATCAAGGCCACCAAGTCATCCTCAGAACCCGTGCGGAGAATGAGCCCGGACATAGCCACCGAAACAATGTTTATCAAAAAGCAGTCACTGTCTCTTAATGTGGATTCATGTTTATCACTTTGATTTGCGGGAGGAGTTAAGGCTTCATGACTTTCAGATTGTCATGAACATTGCCCAGTACCAACTGATACAGGAAGCAAAGGCGGCCTCAGGAGCTATATAGTATATTCTCAGCCCTGAAGTCCCTTGAGATCGAATAGGTCTTCAGATCACCATGTTACCATGTTCCTCTTTTTTCTGATCCCCATCTGCTTGTTGCTCCCCCGGTTCTGATCGTTCTGTTGCATTAGACCTCCGTTGTTTCATGTTTTCGGCCCTTTTCAGCGTTGGAGCTTCCCTTAGACCCAGTATCAGCCAGGAAGTCAAAGACCAAACTATGGAGGTTTCGCATGGCCATGCACCGCTGCAGAATACCATCTCCCTGTGGGTGGCCTGAGAAGGAACGGATGAGACCGCCAATCCCATCTTCCAAGTTGATCTTCAAGCTGGAAACAGCTGGGGCAATGTCCAAAATCTCCTGTGCTGTGCCACATCGGTGAATGGATGGTTTGATGTGTCTTTCTGAACCCCGGAGGCCGAGGGAAAACACGCATTGAGAAAAGTTCAGCAGATGTGCCATCCTTAACATTGCCTTTGGATGCCTTTGGATGCCTTTGGTGCATTTTCGGTAAACAAACAGCAGTTTCTGCAGCTGGAAGGCTCCTGAATGGCTGCTACGGTTACCGCGCCTAAAATGACCTCCGAGGGATCAGCTAAAGCGGTGAGGCTCAGAAAGTGTAATCCTTCTGCCGCAAGCAACGCCATGCGCACAGCATCCAGCAGATGTGGGGTCAAAACTGCAAGCAGTTTGAAGTCTTTCAGCTTGGGTGACTCGACACAGCTCAGCAAATCACCGGCAAAGGTGTTGCCTTCTGGATCACCCAACTTCAATTCCAACTTCCTTAGCCGTCTCAGAACCAGCTCGGCAGGTTGTGCTACGCTGAGGCCCTGCTGTTGGAAGGTGATATCTAAGGAAAGATCCTGCAAGTTGGCACAGGTGCTCATCAGAATGTAGCTCAAGCTATCAACCACACGTTCTGCAGTACTTGAACACAACTTCAGGCTGGGCCAGGCAGAAGAATGTAAGGCCGCTGCTTGGAACGACTTGCATACCCGGCTGCAAATGCCAAGGGCATCCGCAGCTTTGCAAAAGCTAAGGAGGATCGCAAGTGCACCCATGGGTATCCGGTGCCCCAGGAGCACTGCAGGACCCAGCGTTTCTGACAGACCAAAACCTGCTGGAGGTGGAGGTGGCATGGCAATGCCTAGAAACTGCCGAAAGCAATTGGTACGAGGCCAGGGCTCGATGAACAGCAGGGAACGCAGGTATCCTGGCTCGTGGATGTCAGGAAAATGGGATGATCATCACATACCTTCAATGAAGTCTTTCTAGCTCTTTCCATTCTGATGCTAAACTCAGGTTTCAAAACTGTGTCTTTCTCGCCTGTAGATACCAAGTGATACCTGCACAAATTGGAAAGGGCAGTCATGGGGCCATACAACCAGAGAACAGAAAAATGTTCAACGCGTACCTAAGTGGCTGTGGCCAGGATCACCCAAAAAATCAATGACCAGCAAATATAGCAAGAAAAGGAGCCACATCTGCAGAGTGTATAGGGATCTCAGATCCTGACATCTGACAGAATTTGACTTATCCCATTGCCCCGTTTCTTCCCATATCATCCCATATCATCCCATATCATCTCGTCATCAATCTTTGTCCTAGTCTCCTTCCAGGGCTTTTCCATCACCTATGCCGAACATTGGTTTGGAAGGTGGAGCTGGCACTGAGCGGTAGCGTTGCGCCATGCTGGTCGCCAGCAACTGAACGTCATCAAAGCTTCGCCGCAGCCTCTGAGCTGGAGCTTCTACGCCTTGTGGTGGTTGCACCAAAAAATCGTACGTCCAAATGCCATCGATGAAGTCGGTTCCAACATATTTCACATTGAAACCATCCTCAGTCAACCGAACCTCTGGTGCAGAGGAAGTCGATCCCATGGCTGCAACGCTTTGGATGTTCCGCCAAGTTTGCGTCTAAGTCTGGAACTACCAACTTTGGTCTGCAAACGTTGACCCAAGATTAAAGCATATCATCATATCAAACTTGTGACTTCATCTCTATCTCTCTCTCTTTATTTTAGCATGCTCGAACTAAAAATCTACGTCATAACAAAACATCTAATTGCAAGACTCATGGCATTGCCCAGAACGGGTTGCTATCGCCCGATACTGTAGCTGCTGTACATGACGCATATTTTAAGTGAGCAAACTGTTGCATCGGAGTTAAATGGAGTCAGTTTCAACTTTCTGCAACTGCAAAGGCTGAATAAATCATAACGAGTCAATCTATGCAGCCTCACGACTCATGACTCCAAACATATTTGAGCATGTCATTTGGTAGTAATCTGCAGGCTGAGCTTTCCTGTTCCAGACTGCAGTAATCGGTTTCAAAGTCACTGCATGACTATATACTATATATACCTATAATTATATATGTGTAATTATATATCGTAGTTGGGATGATCTTTTTATCAACAAGACACTTAGAAAACAAACTGCTAGTTCATGCTCACGGAGGAACACAAAAGGAAAACACCACCAACCAAATGACACTGTTCTCAACGATCCAACTGCTCGTCCAAAACCGATCAAAAACACATATGGACTCTGCGGCCCCTGTCCAACCTTTGAACAGATACCACAATGAGGAAGCACTATTCCAAATACTCCATGTATGGTATATTACCTGCAGGCTATATAGATATTATATACGAGGAGAAAATGTGATCCACTGGAGCCCTCTTGAGATCCGGGACCCTTCGGATACCAGACTTGGCCAAGAAGTCCTCCACTCGATTGGACAGTTGCTGTGGGTTACCTGAGACGACTCCGACCCCGTTTTGGTCACAGATGAGGCTCGCAAGCTCTGAAAAAACTTGACGGATTAAGCACTTTTACCATGGTGGAATGGCACATGGCATAAAAGTTGTAGAACAATGCGTTCGTGGAATGAAAATGAATAAAGTTAGATTTCTTCAAACATGTCGTGGCACGAAACTACCACATGGGCCCTGTACCTGTCACTACCTTGGATGCCTAGTGAGGATCTGCTTGTGGAAAAAACATGTCATTCAACTTTCTACGGGGCTGTGATAGAGGCAAACTACTGGATATATTCATGCACAGGCCGGACGGGTCGAGAAGAATTGAACACAGCAGCATAATCATCATAATCAATGAGTGTGTATATACATATATATATATAAGCCCTGGTATATTGTATATAAAACATTGAAACATTAATCATTTATATGATGTGCTGCATAACTATATATATATACACATTTAATATGCACAACATTGCACAACTATATATAGCATATATAGCTATGCATGATAATCATTATACAAATAATCAATAATAATTATATATCCATATGTATCCAGCACTACCCAGGACCCTTACTTATCTTTTTAAAGGGTCCTGCCAACCAAATGCTCAGCACATTGATTCAAGCTGCCATTGTTGAAAGGGTTGTGATAGACGATGCTGGTATTGTTGGCACCGCCTGTAGCAGGAAAATGCCAAGCGCATCCATGTTACGGGTGCTGGACCTTTCGCACCCCTTTTGACATGAAGTCACCCCACTGCAAGGCACAACGTGAAAAATAAAGTCACCCCACGAAATCAAGAAGTCACCCCACGGTCAAATGTGGCTTGTGTTTGTGTCAGGATGTGGGGGAAAAAAAACAAGACCTAAAACGAGACCTCTGGGAGACAAAACGAGACCTATAGGCACTCTCCTCATGTGCTCTCCTCTCCTCTCCTCTCCTCTCTTCTCCTCTCCTCTCCTCTCCTCTCCTTTCCTCTCCTCCCTTCCCCTCCCCTCCCCTCCCCTCTCCTCTCCTCTCCTCTCCTCTCCTTTCCTCCCCTCTCCTGTCCTCTCCTCTCCTCTCCTCTCCTCTGCTGTAGATTCTCTACTTTACCCTACTCCTTTACTCTACTCTTCCCTACCCACCTCTACTCTATTCTACTCTTCTTTGCTCTGCTCCTCTCTACTCTTCTCTACTTTGACTACAAGCCACATCATCACAGTAAGGGGAATTCAAGTTTGAAGCCCTTTCCCCCATCTGTATAAGGCGTGCCACTGCGATTTGCATCAAAAACTCAACATGCACAAAACATATGACTAATCTGGGATGAGGTGTCTAACAGCACTTCCCATAGGCACGACGGTTGCGAGACGACTTCTCGTAAAATGAGACGAGTAAGGTCTACTACCCAGTACCCTCCATTTTTTTAAAATAGCCATGGACAATTGCTCGATGATATTCAAAAATTGGATTATCCATAGCAAACTGTTAAATGAGCATTCGGTAAATCATGGTAACATCTATGATCATCTGGTTATGGGCGGAGTCAGCTGCTCGTCCCAAAGAAACGTAACTAAAATCAACTCGCCACAGGTAAGTCCGTCATGTCACGAACTATCTGCCGTATTGGCAAAGGTTTTGCCCCTTTCTTGTAGAAGTCATCTATGGGTCAAAACCCTGGTACCCAAACGGTACCCAAAGTCAGAGCTGGTATAGCTGGATGTTGATTCCCCCAGTCATATGGCAATATATGGTAATTATTAATATTAATTATGGTAATTACCATTAATATATGGCAATTATTGAATATTAATGGTAATTTATGGTAATTTCATAGGTTGACTCAGCCCCATCTATCTCCTGCCTGGGCTTCCGTAATCTATGAGTCGATCCTGAGAGCTTGGCGATGCAGCAGCATCGCCAAGCTAATGATGTGGACACGGAAATTCTATAAACATGTATGAACCAACATAATCATCACAAATCACTGATCACTAATCTCAGCTGTCGAAATCTAGATATGATCACATTACATAACTTCTCACTTAAACATGCTCCAAAAATGGGAGGATTATACCCGAAAAAAGAACAAAATCATCCATAACCCACCAATAACTGGGCTCCCGGTTCCATCCCAGCTATGACCAGCGTCTCCGCCGCGGCGATCTTTCCCATCTTCCACACGCCACTTGGGATGCAAAGCGAAATCACGGAGTTGCTCGTCCTGCGGAAGCGCCACGAAGCTCCCAGATTTCAGGGCAAAAACTGGCAAACACAAACAAAAACAAGTGTTGAATAACCATGTTAAACCATTTTGTTTCAATATTTTGTCGGAAAAGAACATCTGAAGCGTTGATCTGGGAAAATTTATGATGGAACATGTGTTTTTGGTACCCAACTTTGAGACAAGAAGTGCTAAAAAGCGAAAGTAGCAAATGCCCAAACCCTGGAGAACAATGAGGAAACCAAGCGATCAAAACCGATAGGTTCATTTTCCGTTTTTGGAGAGCCTCGACAGCTCGTCTTCAAAAACCACATCTTCACCAGATTGTTCCCTTTTGAGTTTCACAACTTTTTCGAGTCCGGACTGCCGGAAGATGTCGCAGTCACTGACATCCAGTGGCCCAGGGGGGGCCATTGGGGGCCTCCTCGCACTCAGGGCTTTGGAGTGCTGGGTCTTCCGATCTGGACCAGACCAGTCTCAAGTTTCTTCGAGCCATTCAGAATGGTGATCCAGAGTAAAATGGCAACCGGAAAAAAAAACAATACAATTGGGAATTAGTTCCAGCCTATGCTGAATTTAAGGATTTGAAATTGTTGGGAATCATCAGTCCATCTGTTTGACATTTTTTGAGAGAATACCTGAAAACACTGCCAAATTAGTGGCAAGCTCTGATGTTTACTAGTTGTACTAGTTATACCTACACTGTTGACATCCTGAATTATCTGCCACACCATCTGAACATGTGCCATTCAGATTCCAAATGCACTTTGGCATCTCCAGAACTCCGAGTTCTTGCACCCCTTCCAGGCTGGACTTCCAGTTGTGAGCCGCAAAAGCTACAGTGGATGTTTTGTTGACAGCTCCAGCATGTACAGCAGCTGTTTTGTGTGCATTTTGGCGATGCGACTAGATGCCTCAAAACGCAAAAGGCTTAAATCAGTTCCAGCCGGTTCCCAGCAAGAACATGTAAAGTTGTGACAAATCATCAATCAGTTCTTAAAGGTCATGGCACGTTGCATCATTTGTCAGCAGTTAAACCATCAACTATGGATGCATATGTGGCAAATCTTCAAGCTGTCTTTGAATATTGTTTGGGCAGTGAATCATGGTATATAAACCCAACCAAGGCTCACATTTACTATATATCATGCTCCTTGGCTCCTTATCTCCCTCCTAACCACTGGATAGGTTTTAAAACTGTATCACTTTACCAAACGTCGTACAAGTATCGGTCCAAGAGTTCAATGGATTGGTTTCGCTGGAATCTTATCTATCAGAAAACATGGATTTTCCCAGAACATCCCTGGTGCACTGTAAAAATTCCTAAGAAAATGCGTCGATTGAAGAATTGGAGGCTCAATCTCTGAAAGTCTCAGCTTCTCCGGTGTCAATTTGTACAAACCGCCGTTGCCGTAGATCCGTCGGCTGCGCGGCAGGCGGTCGGCCAGGGGGTGGCGCCACCTGGCATCAACGACATTTGGGAGGATGTGTGCCAGTGTGTGGGTGATGTATCATGTACAATACCCTGTAAGTCCTAAGGCTGTACTAAATTAGTCCTTGGGAAAAGTGGCACCATGACAATGAGTCCTTTTATATTTTATGTGTAATAGAATGTAATAGATAGATAGTAATAGATAGATAGGATAGGATAAGATAGGATAAGGTGGGATGGGATAAGAGAAGAGAAGAGAAGAAAAAACAAGAAAAAATAGATAGATCAATAAATAAATATATAGGTAGATTAGATCATTGCATTTGTAAATGCATCTATTAATCATCCATCCATAATCTATCCTATATATATATATTTATTTATTTATGCGTGTGCGTGTGCAAAATTCATGAAACGTCATGACCCTGGAGAACATTAAAGAATAGCTCTCCACGTTCGGTATATTTCCGTATCCACTTGTGTTTACTGGCGTTGGTCCGCGTCAAACGCCCATGGCACCTTCATCTTCTTCTCGCGAGCCAACTCCAGCAGGTTTTCCAGCTCCTTCACTGAAATAGGATTGGCTCAAGGTAAATCCATCCATGTACGTCCAATGAGCAAATGGCTGGATATATATGTCTTTTTCCAAAAGCCCGGTTTTCTTCAGTTATGAAAGAAAAACACGGTTTTTCTCAGAAAATGTGTTTTTTCCCTTTACCAAGGGGAAAAACATACTTTTTTCTCACGCTTGGTCCTTGGTGTCAAGACATCTCATGACTCTTTCCCTTAGACGATTCAAACCCCTGTGTTGGTATTAGCCTTGGATCTATCCCTCTCAGTACCCTTCATGTTGATTATACTTCCACTCTGCTGACTTTGGCTGGCAGTTCTCACAAGAAAGGGCCCGATGCTCTTGGAACATGTCCGACAACATTAAGTGTGATCGCGGTCAAACTGGAGTCGTTGGATGAGTGTTTCCCAAGAAACACCCCTAGAAGCAAAATTGAAACATGGCTGTATTTTTTCATTGGGAAAAAAAGATTCTGGATTGCGAAAGTCCAACAAAAAGCCGAACACAAGTATCGAAAAAATGAACAAAATCATCAAAAATCAGTAGGGATTTTCAGTTTTTCATCATTTTAGGATCCGTACCAAAACATTGCAAAAAAATCAAAAAAAAACATATTTATCCCGGACTAAACCTATATTTTGCTATAATAGAAAAAACTCAGTTTTTAGAAACCCACGTTTAAACCGTATTAAACCATAATAAACCCATAATTAACCCATACATACCCACACTAACCCGTACTGAAAATATTGTTTTTTTTTGGCCTCTTGGAATGGACGGCTGCGACGTCGAGTTTTAAGGCTCCGCTTGTCGTTTTGCAAAGATCGAACCGGTAATTGCCCGATTCAGAAAACAACGCAGATTATCGGAGCTATTGTCAATTTACTGGGTTCATATCTGAAAAGCTGACTTTTGAAATGCCATGCATGTCCATAGTGACTTTTTGACTACCTCCAGTCCCGCTGAAGGGAAAGTTCGCAGCATAGGAGGTAACTGCAGCCGGTGGAGAATGCGCGCATCGTGTGTGATAACGCTTGCTTTCTGTCTGACAGATTTAAGAGGTTGTCAGTATGAAATTGCTACATGTAATGAAGAGAAATTTGATACAGGTCCACCCGATTTGGACAAATTTGTGCAAATCCAACAACAGCCAAAATCAACATGTGGGTTCTTTACAAAAACCCGGTTTTTCTCGAAACAAATAGATTTTTTCCCTGGACCTACAATTTTTTGGGTCTTTGAAGCTCCTGGTATGTAACATGGACATAATGAAATAAAATATAATAAAATAATATTATAAATGAGTACGTTTGACCAATCCTGGCAAAAATAAAAATATATAATGGCTGGTTTGGCTCAATGCATCTTCGTCTGCGCGCTGATTTTCTGAACGAGCCTGATGATTTCCCAGCCAGGCTAGATTAGCAAACGACATGCTAAGTTGATGATTATAGAATTCTCCTCGGTCATCCACTATCCTGCTGATTTCATTGCACTTACATGTACCTTGATTCGGTAAATCACACTGATCACTGATCACCATATTTTGTACCAAACTTCAAGAACTTGCCTAGAGACCGATACATCTTTACCCTTGAACACATCCATATACCCTCTAGTGATCAAACCTGGCTGGCCGGGAAATCCCCATGGCCATGTTGAGTCAAATATTTAATCCAAGCAAAGGATCTTAACTAAAATGACTATTTTTATATATTTTTTTATTAAAACATATTAAGACAATATATAATATATCTAAAACTTCAAACATCTTAAAATCCAGACTTTCCTAGCCATTCCCAGGAATTCCACCCATAGCCATACCATACACAGGCCGAGGTGCCCAGCATCCAGTCACAGAAGTACTGCTAAGCTCGAGGCGCCAATCGAAGTCGCTGAAACTCACGGCAACTTGATGGAAGTCACCATCTTTCCTGCTGGATCTGGTTTCGTTGGGATCTACCAGAAACTGGCGGCTATAATTTTTCCATGAAATTAGTAATAATTAGCGTATAATATAGTTATATATCTGTATATATATATATACATGTAATTATAGATATCCAGATAAAATTGTTACACCAACCCAACCCATTGAGTAACAGTCTGCAGCCACAAAACCCTGATGAAGACGAAAGAACTCTGCAGCTGAGTCAAGTCATCCCATTACGGGCGGTGGATTGATGACCTGAAAAAACACAAAAAGAGAGGCAAATGGGTACCTCCAAACAATTGGAAAGCTCCACCACGTCAAATCCGCCGCTTCCATGGTCTGTGAATTAAATGGAATTTTCATATGGACAAACAACTTTGGCATTTTTTTGGGGACATTTAAGGGACATCTGTGAAAGGATGTTTCCTTGGACAGCAGAAATCCCTGCCTCAGCTGCTCGAGCATTGCGGCTTTGTGCGGTGCTTCCTGCGCCAAGAGGTTCTCAGATTCGCTGAGGCATCGTCCATCAAGGGCAAACTCCTCCAGAAGACTTGGGGCTGCCTGGCACCGTGGCGCCCCAACAAAAATGTGGCCCCAGTAACATCAAAACCTTTGAAAATCCCAAGGTCCAATAAAGTTGAACGGCGGGATGAGGAATGTTTGGACAGCTTTGATAAATCCATGATTGCAACTTAGAAGTTAGATCATATCATATCCACAGTATTTCCATGAGCTATATTCCCAGTATGGTTGGTGTTCATGTATGTTAGTGTTGCTTATGTCCCATTCCACACTATGCTTGGTCTCCAGCAAGCGCCGCCTCCAGGGTTGACTGTACAAAGTGGATTAAGGCACCGTTGTTGCCACCAAAGTCGTTGGCATAGTACCTCAGATCCGGCGTGAAGAGGCTCACAATAAGCATTACAATTAATAAAATGAAAAGAATAAACTCCCCAAGAGTCAGGAAGAACATTTTAGCAATCTCTCTCTCTCCGGTATGCTTCTGTAAATATGGATTGATTTCGATTCATTTGGGACAGTTTGCATGGACACAATCGAATCTACCACCCAACTATAGGGCCAAGAAAGGTCTTGCCTGGTTTTCCTCAATTTCATGAGGCAACAAAAACCTGACCTCAATCAATTGATGAATTCAATGCTGCCAATAGATTGAACATGATACAAGTAGAACATGGCGTGCGTCAAAGATTTTGATTTTAGAGTGATAATTATGATGATTAATCAGTGGATTTAGGGCCCAAGTCTTGTTTCCAATTTCGGATGGCTGTAAATGGTTGTAATGAACCGCTAAATATACGTAGCTACCTCAAAATATGGAAACCATTGGAAATCTGGAGAATATGAGGACAAGAATCATTCCAACATATTCCAAACTTCCAATGCTGTTAGACCCAATCCTCTACCATCCTCCAAAGTACTTCAGGAGCGGTGGCAATGTCACGCGGCGCTTTTTGGGTTCCACCGTCACGGTCTCCAGCAAGTGCTGGGCGCAGTTCAACAGCAACTGATCGCGAAAGACCTGGTGGCTGGGTGGCTGGTGACCCCCAGGACCCCGACCCTTGGAGCTAGCTAGAACCAGGCCAATCGTATGAATCGTATGAATAGTTGTGTTTTGACTCCTAACTTGATTAAAAACAACATATAGGTGAAATAAATGCAAAGAAAACTACTTCGGTTTGATAAGATTGATAAGTGTAATTGATTGGGATGTGACACCTGGGGCACCAGGAGCCGGAACAATATATGAAATTCATTGAAATTCACTCGCCATGATTCATGATACCGCCACAGCACCTGAGGGTAGTAGACTTGGAGTCTTGCGCAGCCAAATCGCAACGGGTAGAAGATGCCGAAGCTAACTTCCTTGGAATGAAAGTTTCCTGAGAATGAAACTGACAATAAATTTCTGAGGTTTGCATCTATAAAATGCTTTCGAGGCCAAAATGAAGTCTCGAAAGTGAAACATGCAGCTGGGCGAAGAAAGAAGTGCCTGGACAGAGCCGCGAAAATAATCTCGAAACCACGCTATAGAGATGCTAATTTTGAAATATTTTGGGAACCCCCGTGGGGTCCTGACAAACGTCAACATTCTGCCATGTCCAGTTGTCAGGTCGGAAACACCGCCCAAACCCAGGTCTTGTCATGGCTCTGGAGCGGCATATTCCAAAGCCATCCGGCTCTTGGCCTCACACTTGAAGCCTGGGTCATCAGGGAGTAGGATGACCCCCCGAACTGGTAGAATGACTCCCTGCACTATACATATTGTGTGTGTGTGTCTTGTGTAAATATGACAGCACCTAATTTAATTTCAGGCGTAGAAATTAATATGTAAATGCAAGTGCACCCTAGTTGAGCATTTTTTTACTACATACTTGATTACAATTGTATGTGCATCTGATGTGCATCTGTTGGTAATCTAATCTGGCAAGGGGAAAATCATTTTTAGTAGCTCAGTCACTTGGACGTGGGTGATTTTCCAAAGCTGTCTTTATTTGGTTACCTGCGTTCAAAGGTATCCATGTTCTGCGTCAGTGATTCTCTGCATTGTGCACTCTGGACGTCATGCACATTGTGAATGGCCTGAAACACTTTTCGTGGTTTCCAGCTCTCATCCCTTCATTTGCAACCCTTATACCATTTTAATACCATTTTAATACCATTTTAATACCATTTTAATACCATTTTATACCTTGTGTATCCGTCTGTAACCGTCTGTATGTTTTTGTTCCTTCAAAAACTCATCCAATCCAATCATCCAATCCAACTCCACCAGCCGGCCTTTCTGGCCCTGAAAGATCCAACCGAACTTCGGGGCTTTGGATTGTGCCCTGAGGATGTTATGCTCAATATCCATCAGACTGAAGAGTTGTCCAGCGATGTTCACCTGGTTCTTTTGGAGAAAGCCAAGCCACACCTCGCTGAGCCAACTGCCAGCATTTGTGCTGAATGAACATAGGTGAAAACGGTGGTTTCACAATTAATTACATATTATATAATTACTAGAGCTTGACAACGTACACACCACCGGATCAAAGAACCTTCAAGATCGAAGAAGCTGTGAGGAAAACGGGATACGTTGAAAATTGAAAGTTGGTTGTTTATCCTGTTTTGGATTTGGGTTTGCGCTGATTATGTGGAGTAGAAAACATAGGTATGAAACCAGGCTGGCCGTATGCCAAACTGTTGAGCATGCAGCCCGCGCTTTAGCTGAAGGCATGTGCGATGGTCAGCCTCTTCAGCCAAGTCAGCTGTTGAAGAATAATCTAAATAAATGTGTATAATATATATATATGTATATATATATATATTATGTAATATGTATATATTTATGAATGCATATATACATATAATATCATTATCATATATGTATATATATATATATATATCTAAATCATTTATTAATTTCTGCGACAGCCTTGTGCATCTGTGCCAACTATGTGCGGCAACATGCAGTAAACATCTCAAACATCCCCAAGAACCACGGAAATTGCAGCAAATCTCCAGGTCGATCCGGCTGGCTGTCACCATCCCATCAATCTCCTGGCCAAGATGCATGCATTGGAAACAAATTGCTCTGAAGCTTCTGCGGCTCCGTTGCGCATACCCACGCCAAGGTACACGCATTCAGTACCTGATGACGCACCAAAAGAACGCATGTTCATTCAATCAAATTCAATATAAACTAAAGTACGTATCTAAATAATGAAAACAGGGACCAGGGAGGGCCAGTATGAACATCATAGCTGGGTTGTAGCTGGGTTGTAGCTGGGTTGTAGCTGGGTTGTAGGGGCAACGTATAGGATAGTAAAAAAGAAAAACAAGCATAGGAATAGTAGAAGTAGATGTAGAAGCAGAAATAGAAGAAGAAGAAGAAGTAGTAGTAGTAGTCGTAATAGTAGTAAGAGTAAGAGTAAGAGTAAGAGTATTGCATGGTATTTGCTACATTTTGGCATCTTCACCGGGTTTCATTAAGGGCTTCGTGTAGGGTTTCATTTGGCGGTTCATGTAGGGTTTCATTTCTTTCGTTCGTTCATTCTTTGTTTTCGTTATTTCATGTTCTTTCTTTTTTGTTATTTCTTATTCTTTATTTCCATTGATTACAGGAATATTTTTGTGTTCCTAATAACAAAAAAATCCAAACAATATTTTTTGATGCTAATAATATCCAATAATATTACATTTTTTGATCTAGAATCTAGATCCCAGGTTGTAGCTGGGTATTTGCTCCTTCTTGGTTTGCTGCTCTTCATGGCAATGAGCTATATAAATCTATGATTTCTTCTTGGTTTGGAGCTTTTTTCCACCCCGCCGATTCTTGAGCCCAGGAGCGTTTAGCCAAAACGGTAGCCGATCTTCATGTTCCAACGCTGCAGGGTTGCACAGTTGAAGCTCGCAGAAGGATTTACAAAGATCCGTCACAACTTGTGGCGGATCAGACCTCGCCGCTGAGAAAAAACAGTGCCGTTAAATATCTGGTATTTATACAAGGTCAGCTAAGGGAACTTTTTACTACTTCGGATATCTTCGGATAATTGATCATAATATTGGGAAACACCCGCAGAACAAACTGAAGTTGCAAGCCGTCAGATCACTTGATCTTCTCCAGCTGCGTGGTCTTGCTGGTCTTTCTTCGCGGGCTCAAGCGATTGGAGCTCAGCAAAGTGGGATCGCTCCGGCGACTCAGTTTGTTGCCGCCGCGTTCGCTGCGTTCGCTGCGTTCCCGTTCCGGTGAGGTGGAAGGTGGTGATGCGAAGGATCGTCGTGGACTGATGGAGAGGTTGGAGGTGGTCATGCTGCGCAAGGTTTTCCGCCGTTGCCCTGCAGGTGACAAAAATTCCTCTTCTTCAAATTCAGTGGTCACGGCATGAGATATGCGGACCTCAGGATTTGGATGTTTTGGGGCTAGTTATCTGGCGTCAGGAAGGTTCTTTGGGGCGGCTCAATCCTGAAATACTGCGAAACATGCAGGATGCAATAGGATGTACAATGTTGACCCCAGATCGTTTCATTGGGGGCGATATTCTTGCCAGGGTTGATGAAGCCAGGGCCGAATACTGTAGCTTTTGCACAATAAATCAGCCAACAAAACTATACAAAACTGACATTCCAAATGCCCAAACACATGCTTGGAGTTCTTGCGCGATCGACTGCAATCCTTCACAGCTTTCGGTTCCATGGAATCCTGTGTCACATACAGGCATACAAAAGCTTTTCGTAGCAGGTGGGCCGCGAGCGAGCCGGCATGACGAGGCGTTTTTAAGCACTTCTGAAAGGAATTCAGGATCGTTGGCGATGCCTCTGCTTCCTCAAAATGCGATTCATCCTCTTCACCTCACCATTGCGGGGTAGAATTCAGAATGCACCGAAGAGAGATGGAGAGAAGGAGAGAAGGAGAAGCAAAGAGTGGGAGAAGGCTAGCAGGGAGAGAGAGAGAGAGGGAGAGATTGGGAGAAAAGAATGTGCAAGTACCTCTCTCGCACTACTACACCACCGAGGCCACCGAGGCACCTGCGCAACCCCACAACCCCTGCTTCTCTTCAGCAAACCAACAACCAGTAACACCCTCAGCTACCCTCAACATCCTTCAACTCACGCCCAGTCACAATCCGTATCATCAACCGAAGGGTAGGAACAGGTTGACTCAGCCCTGTGTATCCCTGGTGTAGTGAAGCAGTCAGGCTTCAGATTTTGAACCAGCATCCCACCATTGCTCCCAGTCGTCTCTCGTGAGGTCTCTCGAGTCACCACTCGCTCCTCGAGGAACCCTGAGAAGTCTGCAATCAGCTGCGATGCAGACCTCTCACCGTCAAGTTGCGAGCCAAGCGCCTCGGGAACAAAGGCAGCGCCAAGGCGCCAAGATTTATAGATTTTCCAAGGAACGTGCTTGGTACCCTCTGGTAATTTAACATAGCTATTGAAAATGGCAATTTATAGTGAGTTTTCCCATTAAAAATGGTGATTTTCCATAGTGATGTTAGTTTACCAGAAAGTATTTTTGATGAATATTGAATATTATTGAATCCTGAAAAGATCTGAGAAGCACTGCACCTCCCGACTACGATCTTCACATCTACGTGTTGCCATGACGATGGAGTTGTTGCCACTAGAAAATTTGATGGAGATTGGAATCTCCAGACCCAGCTGGGATCAGGACACTCAAGTCCGACTTGAATCGGTCAAGCAATGAATGCCCTTCAATTTTGGGGTGTGGCTATTGGGAAGTTGGCTTTGGAGCCACAGGCCTGCAACCACTGCGGTCTCTGTCTGCTTATGGACTCTGATTTCATCCTCTGTGCCAGCGCATCCACAGTTTTGCCCTCAGGCCCTATGGCGGTTGGGGTCAACAAACCAAGCACCTTCGGTGGTCATCCCACAGTTGGTTGATACCATATTCCAGGATTGACGTCTGCATCAGTTTTAGACAAGCATGGCACATCACTTGGACGACTCCAACACATTAAAATGCCAAACTGGCCAAACTGTCTCCAATTTTACCGGAAGCTGGTTCAGACTGGCATTGAATCATTGCCTGTACTGGCATTGGCAATGGCTTTACACCATTTTACCCCACTACGCTGTATTTCAACAGGATGAACTCAGCCCATGTAACTGGTAAAGAAGCCAATTGATTCGCGAATTGGCGTATTTCCATAGTTTGACTCGCACCTGAAAATCAACAACTGGCGGCCATCACTAATTATCATCACTGGTATTTAAATCAATTCACCGTTGCCCATGGGCCTACTCTCTGCGCCACGCTCACCGTCGCCGTCCAAGCCGCTAGCAAAACACCCGAGCTGGGCTGGCTGGGTGCCATGGCCGGAGGGTGGAAGAGGTGAAGCTCCAACCATGACCTGAGCCAATCACAATCACAGTCATTCGAGTCTATGTGAAACTGTTGTATCATGTTGTATCGACACAAATGATACTCCAACCATATCTCATGATCTTTCTACATGTTTCTACCCCAGAGGTGTATAGTTGGTTGCCACGAATTGGTTTTCATCACTGAAATGATATGGAAATGGGTTCTAAAACACCGGCAGGGATCCCATGGATTCCCGCACTTTTTACACCATGTTTCAGCTGCATCACCCCTCAAATCATAACAAAAATCGATAAACTTTTGTAGGCAAAATGATTATTTTGATCCATCCGCAAACTTAAGTCGCTTGATAATCGTCATCCCATTCTTTAAATGTGAGATGGAACATGTTATATATTCTTATGATCATTATAAACATGTCTTAAAAGCAGCAACTAAGTGACGTCTTCGCCGTCTGGTGCACCAGCATGACTTGGGAGGTGCGACTGGGTTGACGGGGTCGACTGGTGGCATGAGAGTTCTCATTGCTGGCGCAACTCTGAAAGGATTTCACGGTCTGAAACAGCTCGGACTCAGAGATGCTGCCATCCACGTCCTTGAGAGGGCGCTGGTCGGGTAAAGTAGCTCCAGCTTCCATTGGACAGTCCAGGTCAGTATGGTCAGTGAGCTGTTTGCTCAAGGCTTCAAAGGGAAGTCCCAATGATGGCCTTGTGAGGATCATTTCAGTCAGAAGCTTTCGAAAGGCTGCAGTCTCCACCAATGCCCTGCAAAAGGCTTGTGCCCCAACGGCCTGTCTGTGCACGTAGTCATGCGCATCAAAGTAGCTGAGCCCATTGGGCCCCTCCCGCACATGGCCGCGAAGCTGGGTGAACAACGGTGCCAAGGCCTGGAAAAAAATCTTCTGCACCTCCAGGTCGAAACTGGCATCCTCTGGCGATCCTATCGCCTGGAAAGGGTTGGCTGGAGATGGAGAGTAGCTGGGGCCTGGGGAGCAAACCACTGGCACTTCCATTCTCCAAGGTGAGCGGTAAATGGGTATCCACCTCTACCGTATTTCATATTTAGGCGTTTATATGGCGTTTATAAAAACGGGTGACCCTATTGGAAAAAACAACACATGTCAACACTATAAAATGCATTGGGGGTTTTATGAAAAATGCCAACACGTCCAAAACTGAATTAGTTATTCTTCAGGGCAAGGAAAAACAAACATTGTCCAAACTGCCACTCCCTTCATCAAAAATTTACCCTTCCCTTGCCTTACTCGGGCCGATCCGTCCCCCAGGTTTGCCAGGTCCCCCAGGTCCCTGGCCTCCAACTTAGTGGCCCGATGGGCCATCAAACCACTCAACCTGCTGCGCAAGCCCTGCTGAATGTCCGTGGGAAGCTCCGGCAGCCGTGGCAGCGCTGCTTCGACGAAAACCGCTTCTCCCACGTCCAAGTCGAAGATGGAACAGACTTGACCTGTGACTCACCGGGCATGAGGTCGAATCAGAAAATATCTGAAATATGATTTTTGATGTCACCGCCCCGAAACAGCTCCAAAATCATTCAAATCAAAACAGCACATCAGCTCGTACAGTACATGCTCCTAAAACAATTGATGGGGCTTCACGGCTTCACTGGTAGCTTGCTCAAGACACCTTTCATTATACCGGCAGTCACGATACGGAGCCCCATCGACAAAATAAGTTCTGTTCACAAGAGATCTCAAGATTGGGCATGCCGCATAGAATTGAAGTGTGCAATGGACTCGTGGGTCCAGTTACCATATATCACCATATACCACCAAGATTTGCAGGGCCTTGAGTCCGGTCAAATAGCTTTGATCCATCTCCCTCCTTCTTCGGCCCAGAAACCATCTGGCAAAGGAACAGCGGTGAGCGCCGCGCCACCGAGCTCCAGAGCGTCGCGGCGCAAGCCCAACAGCCATGGGCACTTGTCCATGAGGTTCTGCTGGGAGGCTGCTGGGCTGAAGACATGCCTCCAAAACATCAACCCCCCCAAAAAAAACATGCCAAAAACATCAAGGAATATCAAGAGATTCTGGAATCGTATTTTTTCTAGGGTTTTCTTGGCCAGGGAGAATGGACGAACAAATGGACAAATAATTGGGGTTTATTTTAGGGGTGCACATTCTTGACACATTGCCGAGCCGCTGCCACTGCAGTGGAAAGAACAGCACCCGTGCCAACGCTTCACAACAGGCTGTCAGAACAAAGGAAGAAGATGAACCTGGGCGCAGCTCCAGATTGATTACATTGATTCATCATGATTCTAGCAATTTCTTGCCCATATTCCAGGGCCGAACATATTCCATGCCAAAATAGCTGGGAAATTTCAGGGAATTGCGAAGACCCCTTTCAGGTGAAATTTGTATTTCATACAGTTTGCCAAGTATTCCTTTTCTTCTGGCACGTACGTTGTCGACTGCACATGTTCTTCCCCAAAGAAGATCCTTACTTTCAACAATTTCTGGCAATGTCATAATTAAAAATGTTGAGCTTTCCAAAAATGGATTAATAATGTTCTTATGGAAATTTGTCATCTACACTTTTCACGATCCCAAAACCCAATTCATAAGCTTTAAGCTTATGTTCTGGCACGCTTGGCTGGCCTTTCATCAGCAGCGCCATCCCCATCTTTCTTGACATCTTTGTGGCCCCGCAAAGAGCTCTGCACAACAGGATCTGGGAACACAAATCATCGACGATCCTGTTTTCTTCCGTGCAAAATAATTCCACCGATATAGTACGATGCCACCCCTGGAGTGCGCTAATTTTCTGGAATGCGAAAATAAAACAGTATGCGTGGCCCCCTTCGACCTTCCCCATGAATCCAACACCAGTTTTTTCCATCATATACCAGAAAATTATCACATTTCACCCTGCTGAGTTTTTTTTTTGGCCAAAATTGCCTGGAATGCGATAGTATGTGCAACTACAGACGTCTCACGAAAAACCGCTACCTTTCCCATATTCCAGAAAACGTGATTCCAGGCGATTTTAGCCAAAAAAAAAACGAAAAAAAAAGAAAAAAAACGAAAAAAACGAAAAATTACCGAGTACGAAGATTTTATGGAGTGCGAAGATCTTGCAGAGTGCGTGGATTTTATAGTATGTGCGCGTCCCTAGCTGTGGAGTGCGATGTCCTATGTGGAGTGCGAAGAATTTGTGGAATGCGAAGAATTCCGAGTATGCGTGGCTGGTATAGAGACCACATAGGGAAATTTCGCGGCCAGAACCAAAATTCCAATCCCAAAGCCGGCCCAAACTTCCAGGGGCACACCAGTGGGTTCTATTTTTCCAAGTTCACCTTGGGTGAGGTCCCGGGGAAGAAACTTGCTAATTTTTACTTAGCCAACCTTTAAAAACGTTACCTTTGACAACCCTGTCCTTCTTCTGTAGACAAATGAGGAAACTTCCTTATCAAAGCAGCCTTCAATTCATTCAACGTCCACAGCTCCTTTGGAACGACATAGGGGATAGAAAGCTGTGGAGGGGCATTCAATGGATTCGCCGTGGGCCAACTGTTCCCTCCAGATTGAGCTGAAATGCCTATCAAAGTAACATACCAAAACCCAGGTCTGGAGTACGATGAAAACATGGTATGCGAAGATTTTCTGAATATGGGAATGTTGCCTTTAGAATGATTATAAATTAGCATTGACTAGCCTACGTCCACATAGCTAGGAAGTGCCAATGATCAATATTAAATACTGAGCTTCGAACGCAGCAAAATCCGACCTTGGTATCGACAGTGCTGCTGGCCATTATATGTGGTATGGATCAATCATGATCAATCCAGTCAAATCATGTCACTGAAAATACCTGGCAACCAAGTTGCGTTCCAGCAACACCAAACGGCAAAGAAGTAGAACATCCTTGGCTCATAAGCAGGTCCCACATGGTCCCACTTTCACCATGGTGGTGGTCATACCTTGACACCCAGGTCCGGTGGGGTGTGAAAACGCCATCTTCAAAGGATTGGAGTTCAACATCAACTTGGGGTTGTCTGAACATGAGTACCCCAATTCAAGTGGATTACTGCATATGTATAATATTATATGTATATATATTTATATATATACGATCATATAATCTTCCTATTAGAAGTAAATCACAACCACCATTTTCAGGTATACCGCAGTTTTAGACAAACCCATAGGAGCCTCAGCTCCTCCTGTCATGCCGACAGTGCCCATCATCATTAAGCTTTGAGAATCCTCAACTTTCTCGCTCTGGGCGACAAACACAGTAGCCATCCACTACGAAACATTCAACTTGAGGCATGAACGGAACTGCAAGTGACTTCGTTCATAAAGCACGCCCAAGATGGAAGGCACACAATAAGATCGAAGCATCATGTTGACAAATCATGCTAGCACCGCGTTTGAACAAGTTCTATTCTAGTTCATTTGATTCTGCTATGCTGACATCAGTCAGGGCAAAACAAGCAGCAAATAGCAGCACCAAGTGCATGGGATCGAACAGGATACTGACATGATATCTGAGGTTTGATCAGCAACATCAAGAACTGTGCTTTCTGGCAACCACAACGGGAGGGGACATACCAAGTGCTATTCATAATATATAATTAGCGATTTACATCCATTTACCGTATCCTACCATCGTGTGAATGGAATGTCTTGTCCATTTAATGGATTCCAAACCCTCAAATAAGAAATATATAAATTTGACTGGGTATGGGTCCTGAAGTTTAGTTGTGCGAATCATCACCTTCGATCCCTCGCCGTCCAGGATCCTCCAAGCTCAGCCGTTCCAGCAGAAATCGCAGCGGCACATGGGGGGCCGATAGGCCATGGCATGCCTAGAGCTTGTGAGAAAATTGCTGAGTCTACTTGGGAAGGTTGCAAACGTCAAACATATAACAATAAATCTGTGGATATCTGTGGTCTGGTGTAGTCAGTGTGTTCCCTGCATCTGGCTCTTTTTGGTCCAGAATCAAGAGCAACGAATTCATTACAATATTACATTATAGCTGGGTTTGGCTGGGCAATCAATTAACCCTGTGAACAGACTTGACAAGAACAGGGCAATTTTCGCGGAATTCCATGGAATTCTCCAGACTTGGTGAGGTGCCGCTGGCCGAACAATGGGAGCCAAGTCGTGGTCCGCATGCAGATGGAGGCTACAACCTGGTGGAGGGCTCGGTACTTCCAGTAGCCACGACCAGAGCTGGACCAAGCGCTCCTGGGATCCACAGGCATCTCCGGAAAGAAAGAGATCAAATAGACATAAATAGCCCGTCCTAGTGCATGGATGTTTTAGCTTTAAGTCAGGGTTCACCCAGTGACGTCTGTACCAAAGGGAACCTGCTTCAAAAGTCAAAAGGCGGCTGACCCCGAAAGTCCCTATGTCAGCCCTGCGTCAACAGAGTAACCATTCGTCTTGCAGAAAGCCATGCCGCATAGCTGTGCCAAGCTCTGCAGAAAGCTGCGACTGAGGATTTCAGAAGAGCCAGACCAAACGCAAACGTAATCGTCAAGTAGACGACCTGCACCACCTGTCAGCGCCGTGCCTGGCACTGCCAACACTCTCATGAGTCTCATGAACCATGTATGAGCCACAGATGGCCACAGGACCACACTTGGATTCTTTAGGTTTAGCAAGTTTAGCTCCTCTCTACAGGCTTGCTATGAGCCTCAGCCTTTCTTCTATAATAATTCTAAGCCTAGAAAGGACATGCTGACATATGCTGAGTTTATTCTCTCCAACTCAGACTCTGATTGTGCTATGTTATGATGTGGCTATGGTTCCAAATGATTGGCCCCAACAATTGGATGTTGGCTCCTGCAAATGTTCAAACATTTGAGGAGTGCCCAAACACTTTCATCATCGCTTGCTGCTCGTTGTCAACCATAGATGTTTTGGTTCTCGTGTTAACATAGTTGTACCAGTACAGTGGGATATCCTTGCAAAAGAAGACATCCCTTCTTGCAACTAGTGACAATATATATTCTATAGCCTGTTTGGGATTGCCAGACCTCCCCACATGTCTTGGTTTTTCCAATGATGTGATATTTGTCACGTGATTTGCCTACTGGTTATGGAGCTCTCTGACTACAGTATTCAGGTACCCACCGCCAGCAAAAGCACACCTGTGGTCAAACGCAGGCACGGCAAGGCCCAACTCCAATTTGCACTATATATATATTATATGTCATATAGTGTCATATAATATTAAATAGATCCAAATATATTTAATGAATGCATGTATCTAGAGGCCGTGATTTTGACCAGGAACAGCTTGGCATGTTTTCACTTTCCCCGTCCCCTGCACCTTTGATGTCAAGTGCCAAAGCCGAGACATAAATTCGTGGCATGTCATCGAGAACGCTGCAGAAATACCGTGCACTACCTGCTGCGTTTGAAGTAGCCACATAGCCACCTCAAGGGCATGGAGGAGTTGTGTGGAAGATATGTGGCTCAGAAAAAGGTCCGATTGGTTCTTCCGAATTGTGTATTACCCATCATTTTTAATCAACCAACAGGTGTGAAGGACATCATTGGACATCTGTTTCAAATCAAAGAATTCCAAACGAAGCCTGGAACCGCCTGCTTGAAATTGCAAGGTCACTCGTCTGCTAGGTGTTTTACAAGGGAGTCCCCCCCCGATACTGTAGTGGAAGTTTCAATGGGGATACGTCCATGCCAAGATAGATTTAAGGCCATGTTTGCCATATTTGATGGCTCTCCCCAACAAATATGAGCACATTGGGCCAATGGGTATCAACATCCCATCTTGATATAATGTCGAAAATCATAAAAATGCGTGAAACCACCAGCTAGAAGATGTCTCACCCTCCACATGTTTAGCCATGTTTTCTAGTTAATAGATGTTAATGGGACATTCATCTAGCAATGGACAACCATGGTAGATCCTGGTAGATGGTTCCATTCCAATTGCCATGTTCGATCACCGGGCCTTTGCGCCGGATGATGGTTGCTGGCAACTGGTGCAACACCTGGTGGCGGGAGATTTCAGATTCACCCAACCGAACAATGGAGGATCACCCTCTGGTGCTTCCGGAAAAACATAAATGGAGGATTTTAGTGAATGTTGCATGTTTAGGATTGTTTAGGCATACATGATCAGACATGTATTGGCAAAATGATGGAGCAAACGTGTAGAGATTGTCCAGGGAATATCCAGCACGATATGAATCTCAAATAATTAATGGAGATATTTAATGATTTGGCATTTGGATTGATTTGAATTGATTTGGGGTATGTCCAACATTTGAGGACCTAGTTCTTGATGTCGAATGCTGCTTTAGAGTCATTGGAACCCATTGGAATCCATTGGAATCCATGGGTATCCATGAAGAAATCGATGATAGAAATCGACAGAAACTGCTGTCCCGACCTGCCGATCCACCAGTGGTAGATCCTCCTCTTTGGGAAGTGTTGCCACCACTCGGGGAGATGGCGTTCCACCCAACAAGGCCAAGCCGTTGAGCAGCATAGCACGGGATGGCGCTGGCGCTGGGGGGTGAAAATCTCGAAAATCTACAGGGCACATAAGCATGGAGCTTTTCTATTGTTTTTGTTTTTTCTCCAAAGTTGCCTAAGATTGCCTAGAGATGTGGATGAAACCTTCCAAGTCATGCTGGAGCTTTTCGACTGTTTTTTGGCAAACGGATTCTGAAAATGACAGTCAGGCTCCGTCTTTCTCGTTTGACTTCAAAAGTGCTTGTTGGTCGAGGACTTGGTTCCCTTCGTTCATTCTTTGACAGCATCGTTCTGCTACCTTATGTGCGCCCCTGGTTGCATCTTGGATGCCAACCCCTTCCTCAAGAAAAACTATTTGGATCTATTTGGGGCATATCATATCAGCCAGTGCTTTGTTGGCAGTGGTTAGGCTAAGACTAAGACCCTGATATACTTATAAGCTGAGTAAGCTTGATCACAAAAAGTTCATCCAAACGACCAGAAGTTGCAGCACTATGCATGAGAGAAACAAGCCGCTTCTGAATCAGATGTGTGGTCCTTAAATCACAAAAACATGCGAAGATCCAAAGCACAAGCTCGAAATGAATGAAATAAATTGAAATAAGAAATAACGGTGAAACAGTGCAACACCATGCACTTTCTGTTCAGCTTTAATCCTTCCAGGTATCTATCCTTCCGCATGGCAAGCCGAGAATACGTGGGAATGCAGGCAATCATAGTCAAGCTTTTTCGTTCCCTTTCCTTCGAGTAAGCCACTTGATGCCCCGGTTGGTTATGCAAACCTGGGCCAGGCTTCACAAAAAGGCCCATGCTTGGCAATGTTGCCAATCATCTCACCTGTTCAAAACAGCCATGGGAACGGATGGCGGGTGAGGGCAGCCTGGGTCACTGCACCTGCGAATGCCATCATAGCCAAGCGGCCGTTCTTCAGCTCGGCTGTGCGCATCTTCTTCTGACCCTCCTCATCACTGGGGAACAAACTGGTGAGGCCGTAGTCACCAGCGACCTCCAAGGAGTTCCATTCAAAGACCTTCTTGGCGCAGCACAACTCCACAATGCTCACCCAGAACAACACTTGAGCATTGACACCAGTAGCCCCAAGGAAAGCATCGTGGGCATCAATGGACACTGGCACAGCCTCAAAGGAAAACTTCTCACCAGGAAGGCGGACAAAGTCAGGTGCCACCAGGCCGACCCAGGCCAACATCGCCAAGCGGCCGTGCTTCAGCTCAGCCTCTCGGAAGTATGGCACCAGCTCGGTCTTCTTTGAGAAGCCCAGGGGATCAAACTCGTAGCGACCCCAGGCACCATCAGCACCTGGCAAGTTCCAAAGCCACCCATCCCCATCCACCCCCAAAAACAAATAATAATGTCATCCATGTCTACATGCACCAAACTGGGCAGTCAAGAATGGATTAAATAACCTCACTGGAATTCAAGCCTTACAAAACCACTCAAAACCATCAATATCATCAATTGTCGTCAATTCCAAGCTGTTCCATGTAAAGGGCGTGTCAGACCCCCTTGTCCGGCACCTGGCAATCCCTGGGCGAACTTGCCGTTGTCCAAGAGGTCAATGCCGGAGTCCTCATAAGCCACTGCCAGCTCGCGGCGAAGCGCCTTGCGTGCGCTCACACGCTTCACTGCAGCAGCACCCAGGACAGTGAGAGCAAGACCAGCACCATAAGCCGCACCAAAGGTGCTGGTGCTGCTGCTTTCAGCTGTGCCCCGCAAGGCTGGGGAAGTTGCAGGTGCGCGGGACCCGGTGATGCCAGGGATGAAAGCAGGCAAAGAGCAAAGGCCAATGGCCGCCACTGCCATGCTGATTCGAGACATGATGAACGGCTGTCTCGATCAAATTTCCAGCCGGGAAGCGAAAAGGGATCTTGGCAAAGCACACCTGTAAGTCAAAGCCTATGAGACCATATGTGTATTGAGTTTTCATACTGTCTTGCTTAAGTCATGAACTGCTGTATCCATACGGCCGGCTTGGTCCCAAAGGAATGGCACAAGCACACGCACTCTGCATATCGTAACGTACCCTGCAACAATCTGGAACAGCAAGTGGCTTGAGCACAGTCTATGACTTGCACGTGCACACCAGTGATCAAAATTGCAGCCTCACCAACGACCATATTTAAAAACTTTTATAAATACGTCGGTTCTGTTCAAACACAAGACAATCAGAAGGCTCTTTTGACATGGAGTGCAAGCCAACCCTTCATGGTCTCCTAAAAAATCTGGGCTAGGCTGACACCAAACTAGCAGCTGCCTTGGCAATGTCCCACTTTGCTCCAAGCATCTCAGAACAGCCATGGGAACGGATGGCGGGTGAGGGCAGCCTGGGTCACTGCACCTGCGAATGCCATCATAGCCAAGCGGCCGTTCTTCAGCTCGGCTGTGCGCATCTTCTTCTGACCCTCCTCATCACTGGGGAACAAACTGGTGAGGCCGTAGTCACCAGCGACCTCCAAGGAGTTCCATTCAAAGACCTTCTTGGCGCAGCACAACTCCACAATGCTCACCCAGAACAACACTTGAGCATTGACACCAGTAGCCCCAAGGAAAGCATCGTGGGCATCAATGGACACTGGCACAGCCTCAAAGGAAAACTTCTCACCAGGAAGGCGGATAAAGTCAGGTGCCACCAGGCCGACCCAGGCCAACATCGCCAAGCGGCCGTGCTTCAGCTCAGCCTCTCGGAAGTATGGCACCAGCTCAGTCTTCTTTGAGAAGCCCAGGGGATCAAACTCGTAGCGACCCCAGGCACCATCAGCACCTGGCAAGTTCCAAAGCCACCCATCCCCATCCACCCCCAAAAAAAATAATAACGATCCGGCCATGTCTACATGGAATTCAAGCCTTACAAAACCACTCAAAACCGTCAATATCATCAATTGTCGTCAATTCTAAGCTATTCCATGTAAAGGGCGTGTCAGACCCCCTTGTCCAATCAGTTCGAATCTCAAATAATCTTGTTATTATAATGATATATAATGCTGGCTGGCACCTGGCAATCCCTGGGCGAACTTGCCGTTGTCCAAGAGGTCAATGCCGGAGTCCTCATAAGCCACTGCCAGCTCGCGGCGAAGCGCCTTGCGTGCGCTCACACGCTTCACTGCAGCAGCACCCAGGACAGTGAGAGCAAGACCAGCACCATAAGCCGCACCAAAGGTGCTGGTGCTGCTGCTTTCAGCTGTGCCCCGCAAGGCTGGGGAAGTTGCAGGTGCGCGGGACCCGGTGATGCCAGGGATGAAAGCAGGCAAAGAGCAAAGGCCAATGGCCGCCACTGCCATGCTGATTCGAGACATGATGAACGGCTGTCTCGATCAAATTTCCAGCCGGGAAGCGAAAAGGGATCTTGGCAAAAATACCTTCAAGTTAAAGCCTATGAGACCATATGTGTATTGAGTTTTCATGCTGTCTTGTTTAAATCATAAATTGATATATCCATACGGCCGGCTTGGACCCAAAGGAATGCAGAAGGACATGGACCTGGACTCTGCATGACTTTGCATTGTTCGTTTTACAGTGCCAAATTGACAGAAAATGATGACATCAAATTGATTAAAAGTTGCTGGATTTGAGAAATGCATGGCATGGCATGACATTCCCCCCATGGCTTCGCAAATCAGGATCAGGCTTGGGGCGAAAGGGGCGGGTCAAACATGAAAAGGTGCGCAGACTTTTTTGACAGCTGATGTGCCCCAATCAGCACAAACAAATTGAGGCTGTAACATGCTGTCGCCGAAATGGCTGCTCTGTGGCAATGTCCCACTTTGCTCCAAGCATCTCAGAACAGCCATGGGAACGGATGGCGGGTGAGGGCAGCCTGGGTCACTGCACCTGCGAATGCCATCATAGCCAAGCGGCCGTTCTTCAGCTCGGCTGTGCGCATCTTCTTCTGACCCTCCTCATCACTGGGGAACAAACTGGTGAGGCCGTAGTCACCAGCGACCTCCAAGGAGTTCCATTCAAAGACCTTCTTGGCGCAGCACAACTCCACAATGCTCACCCAGAACAACACTTGAGCATTGACACCAGTAGCCCCAAGGAAAGCATCGTGGGCATCAATGGACACTGGCACAGCCTCAAAGGAAAACTTCTCACCAGGAAGGCGGACAAAGTCAGGTGCCACCAGGCCGACCCAGGCCAACATCGCCAAGCGGCCGTGCTTCAGCTCAGCCTCTCGGAAGTATGGCACCAGCTCGGTCTTCTTTGAGAAGCCCAGGGGATCAAACTCGTAGCGACCCCATGCACCATCAGCACCTGGCAAGTTCCAAAGCTACCCATCCCCATCCACCCCCCCAAAAAACATAATAACGATCCGGCCATGTCTACATGCACCAAACTGGGCAGTCAAGAATGAATCTCAAACAATGTCAATGGAATTCAAGCCTTACAAAACTACTCAAAACCATCAATTGTCGTCAATTCCAAGCTGTTCCAATCTGTTCCATGTAAAGGGCGTGCCAGACCCCCGTGTCGTCCCTTGTCCAATCAGTTCGAATCTCAAATAATTAATCTTGCTATTATAATGATATATAATGCTGGCTGGCACCTGGCAATCCCTGGGCGAACTTGCCGTTGTCCAAGAGGTCAATGCCGGAGTCCTCATAAGCCACTGCCAGCTCGCGGCGAAGCGCCTTGCGTGCGCTCACACGCTTCACTGCAGCAGCACCCAGGACAGTGAGAGCAAGACCAGCACCATAAGCCGCACCAAAGGTGCTGGTGCTACTGCTTTCAGCTGTGCCCCGCAAGGCTGGGGAAGTTGCAGGTGCGCGGGACCCGGTGATGCCAGGGATGAAGGCAGGCAGAGCGCAAAGGCCCGCGGCCGCCATTGCCATGCTGATGGTGCTTCGAGACATGATCAGCAGCTGTTTTGATAAAATATGCCAGCCTCTTTGAGCCAAATGCCACCAGGACAAGACACCTGATACTTATACAAGCACCTCAGCAATACGCAAGTCCGCTGTTCTCGCTATTTATTCATGCAATGGATGGCAGACCTGCACAAGATTCTCTATCAGTAAATCAATGTAAATCATGCATTTATAATGCATTTATTGCCTACATGACTCGTCTTGACACGTGCACCTCCAGCCTGCCAGTACTAACTGCAAAGCACGACAACTCCACATCCCTACTGGTAGCTCCAAAAACTCCCACAGTTGAGAAACACCTGAGTGTTCTCTGAGAGCCAACCCGGCTATTGCTCACCTTATGCCGCAAAATGCCAAATATCCAGCCGCATCAAGCGCAAGAAAGCGCAAGTGTCTTTTTTGCAGCTGCGGTGCGAGACGTCCCAATGTTATCCTAAAAAACCTGGGCTAGGCTGACACCAAACTGGCAGCTGCCTTGGCAATGCACTTTGCTCAGGAGCATCTCAGAACAGCCATGGGAACGGATGGCGGGTGAGGGCAGCCTGGGTCACTGCACCTGCGAATGCCATCATAGCCAAGCGGCCGTTCTTCAGCTCGGCTGTGCGCATCTTCTTCTGACCCTCCTCATCACTGGGGAACAAACTGGTGAGGCCGTAGTCACCAGCGACCTCCAAGGAGTTCCATTCAAAGACCTTCTTGGCGCAGCACAACTCCACAATGCTCACCCAGAACAACACTTGAGCATTGACACCAGTAGCCCCAAGGAAAGCATCGTGGGCATCAATGGACACTGGCACAGCCTCAAAGGAAAACTTCTCACCAGGAAGGCGGACAAAGTCAGGTGCCACCAGGCCGACCCAGGCCAACATCGCCAAGCGGCCGTGCTTCAGCTCAGCCTCTCGGAAGTATGGCACCAGCTCAGTCTTCTTTGAGAAGCCCAGGGGATCAAACTCGTAGCGACCCCATGCACCATCAGCACCTGGCAAGTTCCAAAGCCACCCATCCCCATCCACCCCCCCAAAAAAATAATAACGATCCATGTCTACATGCACCAAACTGGGCAGCCAAGAATGAATCTCAAACAATGTCAATGGAATTCAAGCCTTACAAAACTACTCAAAACCATCAATTGTCGTCAATTCCAAGCTGTTCCAATCTGTTCCATGTAAAGGGCGTGCCAGACCCCCTTGTCATCCCTTGTCCAATCAGTTCGAATCTCAAATAATCTTGTTATTACAATGATATATAATGCTGGCTGGCACCTGGCAATCCCTGGGCGAACTTGCCGTTGTCCAAGAGGTCAATGCCGGAGTCCTCATAAGCCACTGCCAGCTCGCGGCGAAGCGCCTTGCGTGCGCTCACACGCTTCACTGCAGCGGCACCCAGGACAGTGAGAGCAAGACCAGCACCATAAGCCGCACCAAAGGTGCTGGTGCTACTGCTTTCAGCTGTGCCCCGCAAGGCTGGGGAAGTTGCAGGTGCACGGGATCCGGTGATGCCAGGGATGAAGGCAGGCAAAGAGCAAAGGCCAATGGCCGCCACTGCCATGCTGATTCGAGACATGATGAACGGCTGTCTCGATCAAATTTCCAGCCAGGAAGCGAAAGGATCTTGGCAAAGCACACCTGTAAGTCAATGGCACCATTTATGCTGATTGTGCTGTATGCGTTGAGCTTTCATGTTGTCGTGCTTGGTCATGGGCTGATGTATTCATACGGCCGGCTTGGTCCCAAAGGAGTGTCCAAAGACAGGGTTGCATCGCAACGCACATTGGTACTGTGTATTTCTATTACTCCAAATGGTGAATATATCGCTGTACGTCAAGAATATCATAGGGATGTGACAGTACACAAAGACTCATCACCACTGGCCCTGGCCCGCCAAATGATTTTTCGGATATGCACAAAAAGCACATAAAAGCGGTGCCATGCTTTTGCTTTGATTTGCGGCTCCACATTTGACAAGGATGGGAACAGCATCAACAGCCAACCGTCAGTTTCTGACTCAATTTTTCTGCGCAAGCCCTTAGATTAACCCTTAGGTAAAATCAGGGGCTAGGCTGTCACCAGAATGTCGCTACCTTGGCGACGCTACCAATTGTCTCACGCTGCTTGCGGCGCATCTCAGAACAGCCATGGGAACGGATGGCGGGTGAGGGCAGCCTGGGTCACTGCACCTGCGAATGCCATCATAGCCAAGCGGCCGTTCTTCAGCTCGGCTGTGCGCATCTTCTTCTGACCCTCCTCATCACTGGGGAACAAACTGGTGAGGCCGTAGTCACCAGCGACCTCCAAGGAGTTCCATTCAAAGACCTTCTTGGCGCAGCACAACTCCACAATGCTCACCCAGAACAACACTTGAGCATTGACACCAGTAGCCCCAAGGAAAGCATCGTGGGCATCAATGGACACTGGCACAGCCTCAAAGGAAAACTTCTCACCAGGAAGGCGGACAAAGTCAGGTGCCACCAGGCCGACCCAGGCCAACATCGCCAAGCGGCCGTGCTTCAGCTCAGCCTCTCGGAAGTATGGCACCAGCTCAGTCTTCTTTGAGAAGCCCAGGGGATCAAACTCGTAGCGACCCCATGCACCATCAGCACCTGGCAAGTTCCAAAGCCACCCATCCCCATCCACCCCCCCCAAAAAAATAAAACAACGATCCATGTCTACATGCACCAAACTGGGCAGCCAAGAATGAATCTCAAACAAAGTCAATGGAATTCAAGACTTACAAAACCGTCAATTCAATGCTGTTCCATGCAAGAGGCGTTTCAGAACCCCTTGTCCAATGCTGGCACCTGGCAATCCCTGGGCGAACTTGCCGTTGTCCAAGAGGTCAATGCCGGAGTCCTCATAAGCCACTGCCAGCTCGCGGCGAAGCGCCTTGCGTGCGCTCACACGCTTCACTGCAGCAGCACCCAGGACAGTGAGAGCAAGACCAGCACCATAAGCCGCACCAAAGGTGCTGGTGCTGCTGCTTTCAGCTGTGCCCCGCAAGGCTGGGGAAGTTGCAGGTGCACGGGATCCGGTGATGCCAGGGATGAAGGCAGGCAGAGCGCAAAGGCCCGCGGCCGCCACTGCCATGCTGACGGTGCTTCGAGACATGATTGGTGGTTCTAGTGACAGCGAGCTTGCTGTGATCAAAAAATACCCCACCTTGAGCCGTCAAAGGGCAAACAAGGGTCCGACTTCCCCTTGATACGTTCGTATCAATGGGTTGGAAAGCCAGCAAGATCGAGTTCTGCGAAACGTTGCATGATGTCAGGTCCTCTCTCATCCTGGTGTTCTTTGCCAATGTCTCTTGCACGACCCAAAGCTGTTAAGCACATCACCAAACTGAACCTGAAAATCAATACTATCGACATCAACACTGCTGCACCTGCGACGCAGATCATCATAAATCTGCCATATGGAGGTTTCCTAAAATGGTTTGTAGCATGGTGTACCGGTACCCCAAATCATCCAAGTCATTGCCATGACTCAGTAATGAAACAACCATGGCCAGTCCCTGCCCCTGGTCCTTCCAAGCATTGAGCCGCTCAGCCCACTCCGACATGTTCGCCTTGCTGGCCCGGTCTCACCGAGGAAGTTCAAAGTTCTAGTTTGGTTATTTTTTCTGAATTATATCTATATATATGTGTGTGCGTGTGAATCTATAGAATATTCTCTGTTTATGTATGTATTCTCTGTTTATGTATGTGCCATAGTAATTATATATATATTATATAAATATTATAGCGAAACGGCCACGAATCGAAACCCGACCATCCACCGAGAGGCAGCGGGGCCAAAATCTCCAGGGACTTGACCCAGAGCCTCGTCGTAGATGCCGCCGTGGACGAACAAAGAATTGCCCAAAATGACGGCCAACTGCCTGCAGTCCGCTGCAGTCTTCGCTTAAAATATGATTAACATTTGTTGATCTGGAAAAAGTATGGAATTATATGAATATTCACATGCATGGGTAATTACACATATACATACAAATACAGGTGTTCTTTTAGAAATTTTTGTCTGTTTGATTTACCAAATTTTACTGTATAATGAAAGTGGGAGGCAGCAGCATTTGATTTCAACAGAAGGTCCCAATTTGTCACTGGGCCAAGTTGCCCAACACGCAGAAGTTCCAGCATCCACGGATCAGCACTGGCAGGATCCACGGAATCCCCTGGGAGTTTCGTGACAGTCCAACAATCAAAATTTATGGTCTGGAGTCCACCTGGCACAAGCTCATAATATCTCCTATATAACCTCTAATAACTCTAATACATGACAATCATTTGAATATATATTATACATTATGTATACGTATATTTGTCAAAATCTGTTTGAGAATAGGGTCTGCAGGGTCAGCTCGTTGGAAAATGCGAGTTGCAGCATTATGTTACCCTTGACCCCAACATCCCAGAGTCATCCAGAATTGCAATCAGGTAGCGATAACTATGAACCACCTGGGCGTTTTCCGCAGAAGATTGCCGAAAATTGTGGCGAAAAGACGCGAACTGCATCAACTGAATGACAGGTACATCATATCATTTAGGCCATGAAAACGGATTCAGTAGAGGTGCTGCTTCATCAGTGGCCTTCACACCCAAGAGAGCCAGTTCGTGCCTGGCAAAGATGGGAAAAGGATGGCCTAATATGGGGCCATGAAATCTGCGGCAAACCGAGTTCAACTCACGTGATTTGTCACATGGAGTCCCTGGAGTGGAGGAAGCTTGGCATCTCACCTCCTGGTATTGAAGGTCGTTGTTTGACCTGCGAAAATGCTGATCACACAACCCAAGCCAGAAGAGTGCTCAAGAATCCACAAAAGCGTCACAACTGTTGCACATTTGCTGAGTTGGGTGCAGCCCATGTTGCAATCCAATACCCAGCGCACTGTACTGATGTGGCCACGCTCCAGATTGTGCCTGAATACAGGCAAGGGATTGAATAGCTTTAGTACGGTTGTATACGTTGGTAGGGTATGACACATCCAGTCCATCCTACCAACCCAAGTTTGAAAGTGAACTTGTATTCATTTATGTCGTGTGTCACTAGATTATACATAGATTATATGGGCGACTTCTATGTGCTATGTGACTACTGTTTGTTGTTGCAACACCCGGGTATGCCAAAGCACAAGATGGACAGCTGGCAGTCAACAAGGGGGTCACATGCATGATCATTAGCAGACCATGCTGAAAGTACAACGAGTGTAACCTTTTCTCTACGTGTGAAAACATTTATATAGTCCTCCAAGAATTTCCCTTCATAGAGATTCATATCTCTCAAAGACCCACTCTCTCGCAGACAAGCCGCATCTGCACATATGTCTCGTAATCCGGATGAGGCTTCGGATCTGGAATCCAATATGCCTCAGCTTCCACCATCCCAGGGGGATCCAGCTATGGGAGAAGCATGGAGAAGCCCCACGCAGCGACGCCGTCCGAGAAACTCCACCTTTCTTCTCGAAGCTGCCACCATCCTCGCCCTCCTGCAACTCAGCAAAGAAGCGAAGTTTGCCTCCAGCTGAACCAAGCTGAATCAAGCTGAACCAAGCTGGAAATATTGGACAGCCTTGAGAATGTGCTGGACACTGGACACACATTAGTTGCTAATGTTGGCTACCGATTACTGCTGTGATGGACCTCTATTGTGGAAAGTTTTTCCAAAATAATTTAGGATCCTGTGGATGGTGGGGGTGGGGCTCTATTGGGGAAGGTTTTTTCTCAGATTCATTTTTTTCAGGAGGAGCTTTATCCACCTTTATACACTTTTCTTTTGGTAAAGCTGGTCCATGTACTTTGGAAAGCCATATCCATGTCTAAAGCCTTGAACATGAAATGTGTCCCAAATAATAAGATGCCTTATTAAACCCTTTATTTAACAACAGCACCCAAACAAGTTTTCAAGGGGGTACCAAATGAGTGACCCAGATCCTCAATAATGAATAATAATGTACTTGTTTCGATGGTACCCTAGTGTGCACTTTTTTTCCGGGGTGAAAAAAAAACAAAACCTTTTATCCACCTTTCTTTTGGTAAAGCTGGTCCATGTACTTTGGAAAGCCATATCCATGTCTAAAGCCTTGAACATGAAATGTGTCCCAAATAATAAGATGCCTTATTAAACCCTTTATTTAACAACAGCACCCAAACAAGTTTTCAAGGGGGTACCAAATGAGTGACCCAGATCCTCAATAATGAATAATAATGTAATTGTTTCGATGGTACCCTAGTGTGCACTTTTTTTCCGGGGTGAAAAAAAAACAAAACCTTTTATCCACCTTTCTTTTGGTAAAGCTGGTCCATGTACTTTGGAAAGCCATATCCATGTCTAAAGCCTTGAACATGAAATGTGTCCCAAATAATAAGATGCCTTATTAAACCCTTATTTAAAAACAGCTCCCAAACAAGTTTTCAAGGGGGTACCAAATGAGTGACCCAGATCCTCAATAATGTAATTGTTTCGATGGTACCCTATTGTGCACAAAAACTGGTTTTTTTTGATTAAAAAGGAAAATCAATTGAAAGCAGATTCAAAGAAATTGAAAGTAAACTGGTTTCAACTGAAACCCTTTCTTATCAATAGATTTCTTTGATGTTTAAAAGGAAAATCAATTGAAAGTAAATTGAAATCAATTGAAAATCACTTGAAAGCAAATTGACATCCATTTAAAGTAAATTGAAATCCTTACTTAAGTTGACTATCCTAAAAATTCTTGAGGGGGGGTCGTCAAAAATGGTCGGTTATTGAGTAGACCTGAATTGTTGAGGGGGGGGCCCTGACACTAATCAGTAGCCAACATTACTTCATATCTCAGTTCTAAAAACTAAGTGGGTATATAACAGAGTGGGAGGTAATGCATTCAGTCAAAATAAAGATTTGATCGTATGGTCTTTCAATCATGCACCTCAAGCCTCTTCTCCATCATTCCCCCAGCAGTGGTTCCGGTAACAATTTCTTGTCATGACATTCACGAGCCCTTGGCTGATCTCTCTGCCGCTAGAAACGGGACACTTTCGAATGCAGCAACTGATGCCAAGCCGCAAATATCTCTGTTGCCAATGACGATGAAAACCTTGAGGCTGGCAAACATCAACACCAGAACCAACAGTACAACAACAAAAACAAAGTATAACAATCACAATGCCATCGGCCCACCTTCCCTTTCCTTATTCAGGCACTAGGGGATCTTTTTTCTTGTGGAAGGAACCAATATGAAACAATTGAATATTGAGATATGCCAAGTGTCGGAGAGAAGCTTCTGCATTACACAGACTTGAAAGAGTATAGTGGAGAATGAAGGAAGAGTAGAGGAAGAGTACAGAAGAGAAGATCCTTGAGTAAAATGTTGCAGTTTTAGATCTTCAAATTTCACTATACACGTTGGTAGGCAAAATGCTGAAAGAAACCAGCAAACCTGTTGCAAATGTTGGTGATGCCACAATTGGAGGCCAAATGAATTGACATTGCCTATATGGGTTGTGGGCCCTTGAATTGCAATCTTACATACCATCTGACTGTGATAGGGGAGGGACGTCAACAGAACCATGCAAGACTGAGGTACAGGTAATGATGATGTTTATCGGGGAAACAGTCCTTTTATTGAAAACACCGTCACCAAAACTGCTGTACCACATTGGTAAAACACCGTCACCAAAACAGCTATACCACAAATGCCCATCAACAAGCGCGTTAAAGCATTGAGCTCCAGTGGCCGTGGCCCAATGCTTGTTTTAGAAAAGCGTTTGGTGAATTGTGATGGCTTGTTTTCTTTCACTATGGGACAGTTCTCGCAACAAACAGTGGATTCAGTGGATGTGGATAGTGGATGGCAAAAATGCCAAGAAAGGTCCGAGAGCAAAATTGAGGATAAGTGGAGAGAAAAAATCAAGTTCTGACAGGAAGAGCAGAAATTCGTCAGGAGAAGGCCTGGATACTATATATTCGCAATTACAAATACAAATATAATATATCTAAGGTACATGTATCATAGTATATAATACACAGCCTAATTACATAATCAATTGCAATCATCTATCCATATAGAGATTTCCTAAGTCATGGAGTTACCAGTTATCATCCATTGTGCGGATTTTCCGCCCGAACATCCATCTATTTTGGTACCCCCATGACTATGAAAAAAGGTTGGCCGAGGTGCTCGGGACCCGTAGCGTTGCTTCAAGGTCAGTAAGGTCTTCACCACGCGGATATCTCCAGCGCCCTTATCCACGGCATCACCTGACGCTGGAGTGCTGAACTGCCAGAAACCATGCTCAAAACCTGTCCAAATAAAGGGGGCTTGGGAGAAAAAGAAAGAAACAGCATCCAATTCCAGGAATCTGGGGATCAACTTAAATAACTTATTTCTTGGGGGAAAAGAACACCGTTATGAGTTCCAAATGTTGATATATGCCCAGTTTGGGGAACCTTTTGCAAACCAAACTGCCATATCCCCATGCAAACATCCAGTCACAAAGGCTTATTGCTGTATGATCTGTATGTTGCTGCGAACAACTTGAGACTTTCCAGCTAGCAATGGTTCACTTTACAAACCATCAATTAGGGTAGTGCTCAAGTTTTTTGACCACCATGTTGATTTGATGAAATAAGAATGCAAAAATATATGTTTGACCCAGATTTTCCCCCCAATTTGGAGCCATACCCACATATCTTGAAATATCTGCCATAAAATTATCATGAAACTCAGCTCGCCGATTTGGCGAGCCCTGCTCAAAAACATCACCCATGATATTCCAACATCCCTTAGTTCCATGGTGAATTCAGCAGCCCCCGGATGGCTCCCCCATGGCGCCACCTCCAAAGACCAGGTAGCCAGACTCCCGCAGCTGCAGCTCGCCAGGGCCCCACACACCTCGATCCTCGCCAGACCAAAAGAGCACCTGACTCAGTGAGATGAAGTGCACCTCGGAAGGTCAGCATTAAAGGGCAATCCCATGATGGACATATGATGATATATGATATTCTATAGATTTCTATAGTATAATATATATGTATATATATATATATATCAGTATATTTGAAGACAGGATAGAATCGGATACAACTATGATATTATTCGATATAACGTCTTCAAAGGGATGATTGCTCAACATTTTATGGATATATATATATATTCATATTTATAATTATTAAAGGAATGTGTAATCAACAATAATTATGAGAAACTATGATTTTCTTTCACACACACTCTCTCTCTCTCTCTCGCTCTGCATCGCCTTTCAAACACTTGCATTTCTTGGAGCTCGTGACTTGCTTTCATGTCATGGGAACCTGCTCCCAGAATGCTTTCATCTGTGCCCATCAAGGACTCAGATTGGGCCGGATGAATTGTGAGGTTTAAAAAGCACGGGCCGAGGCGCAAAGTATTCCCAATTTCCTTCCACGTCTGTCAGGAACTCAACTGTCCTTGCTGTATCTCGCTGTTACTTCAATGCATCTGAAGCGCACACTGCAGAAACTGTCGGTTGGGTTCAAGGCACCACATGTCCCCCTCATCTTTTATTGCAAGCAAATCCCGCCACATATATTCAGCACAGGTCGCAAGTGTGTGAAATTTGGGGTGATGCAGTCACTTGTTTCAGGATGTTTCAGAGCTGTGATGCTGCTGTTCTGGAATGCAAATCTCATGGGTTGTCAGGACCATCATCTCATCTCATCATTAAGTCATTTGCTCCACACATGCCATGATATGATTTGTCCCAAAGAAATCAGTGAACCTGCTACCAAGCACAGTGTCACAACGGGGGGGTCAGATGCAACTATGTAATGAATCGCATAGTTAATGTGCTTTTATCCTCAAATAAAGGAGACTTACCCAGAAAAGTTATCATAGTTATCGTCATCCCTCCATCTAACATGGCCACAACTGATGGATATCCCATGGGAATCTCCGGATTTCCCAGCGTCTTCCCAGCGTCTTCCCATTGCTCCGAGTCTCATATCGTCTGTGATAGGGATGTGAGCGACTGGCCTTGGCCAAGGTCAAGGATGATACATCATACCAACTATGTGAATATACACTTATATGTATATATATATATTATATTTATATAATTATATGCAATCAACTATATAGAATTATATAATTAATATATATATATGAATATATATGTGTATATATTGCACGCATCCACATTCATATATACAGTTATATACATGTCAGGTATGATGTTTCATTGTTGCATACAGAAATTGGCTCAGAAAGGCGATGTTTGCCTTTACAGTTAGAGTGGTAACTGAGTGGCAGTCCACATCAGGTTGCATCAGCCTCTAGTTATATGATATGTGCATATTATGATTATACAGTATGATCATGATATTATCATGTTATATCATGATGAATATAAATATACATATATGTATATGTACATATGATTACATATGTATCATCATATACAGTAATGATTATATTATATTATATATATATTATAAAATTATAACATTATACACTACAGTATGTCCCAAGTTGTCCCATTTCACCCCCGCAAGGGACTTGAACAGCCGCTGAGTCCACACACCTCGCAGTGGAAGAGGTCGACTTCACATCAAAGAGCCACGAAGTGAAGTCTGCACAGCCTGTGCTGCCCATTGCGAAGCCATGGATGCCCCTGGGATAGGATCGAATGGGAACTTGGTCTTCCCTGACTTTGGATCGTTCTTTTCAAGAATTCCCTCAGTTCTTCACCTGCCTAGATAATCTAGGCATATCTAGGCTATGATTTTTTAACCACGAAGAACGCTTGAGGGCCAAACCTGGAACCATATCATCCTGTCATCTGTGGGCCCTGGGAAAGGTTGGTATCATCCAATATCTGATGGAATGGCCACTCGACAGGTCAATTTTCTCTCACGAAAACATTTGAAGGTTGGAAATTCTTTAAAACATATTCCGCATGAAACCACCATGAATCATTTCTGGATATATATATATACAGTATCCTGAAACTTTCCTAGATCCATTCTGAATTTCTGGGTCTCCCACTGATGGGTTCATCCTCTGGTAGGCCAGCAGCCTGAAGGATCTTCCTGGCCAGATCATCATGGGTTTGGGGGATTACCAAGGATTACTGGGAATTGATAACGCTTTATATCTAGTAATGTTGAAATTAATTTTGGAATTGTGCGATCATTTTTGAAGATAGTGAAATTATATGAAATGTGCATATGTAAATACAGAGAGAGAGAGAGAAAATATGAAATACAGGAAACCTGTATTTGGCTTTCAAAATCTATGGTTTCTAGTTTCTTGTAGGTTTTCCCTCAAGGCAACCCAGTGAAGTCTGGTTGGTGGTTTCAACCCAAGCTGAGCTGAGGCGCAAGAGGTTTTCATCTGTCCAAGATGGCTCAATACTACCTTGGATGAGGCTTAAAATCAACGGATTGGTTGGAACACCTATTGGAAACATCAAACAAGGGTTTTGCGTACCAGTATGAAATATGATGGCTTCCTGTAGTTGTTCCTTTCCAATTCATTGAAAACGGATCGAATTCATCAATCCATCTTTGCAAAACATATATACTTGAAAGTCAAGAGACTAGTTGAGCTCTTCCGCATTTCACTGGAGATCAAAACTGCATGAGTCTCTGAAGACCAGTCGGACATGTAGATTGATTCGCCCTGTGCTCTGGTCAACCAAGATGTTCATCATGGCCCATGGCCCCATTGGGTCGTAATATTGCGAAACATTAGTGCAGGAAAACCAACCTGGAAAAACTACAGTCAACCATGGCTTTTCCATCCACATATATATAGATCATGAACATCTAATCTACTCTTAATATGTCACAGATCAAATCTCCTAAATAATTAGGACTTTCTACAATTGCCATAGGCCATTTTCCCTTTTCAATCCATTGGTCTTTCCGGGAATTATTTACAGGAAACCACCGACTTCAAAAATTTTCAATATACTTCATAGGAGAAGCACCAATGTTTCATAGGAAAGACCATGGAAACCAACGGATTTCAATATACTTCAATGTGTTTCATAGGAAACCACCAGATTTCATTGGGAAAAACCAGGACAACCACCCGATGTCATAGGAAAAATGTTCATGGGATCCTGTGGATTTTCCCTTCCACCAATCTTTCTGATCCGAAGCACGCAGCGTCTCCAGCAGAACCGAACGCTCCACAAGGCCACCTTGCGCAACGGATGTGGGGCGGAAAACAGTGCTGAAAGGTTGGGAAACTGTGGAAATATATCTATAGAAAATACAGAAAGGGAAACTGAATTTTGAGGTGTTATATACTCCCATTCTATGCCGTTCCAAAGTGAAAAAAATCTGATCATCCCGGACTCATCCCAGACTTTAAACAAAAACCACAAACGAGTGCCATTCCCAGCCTGGGCCTGGAGCTAAGGCCAGTTGTTGCAGGGATTCGGCGATTCCTGGGATTTTTGTGGCGCCAGGGGTGGGAGTCAAGTGAGCTTGGCTTTATTAGGGGTGTTTATTGTTTGGTGATGGTGATGGATGCTGATTTCTGATGGTTTCAAGTGAGCCATGTTCTAAATGTCTTAACCTGGCCGACAAGAAAATGCTCACGCCATTGCTTCCATTTTGCTCGCGGAGAGCTTTTGCGTGGCCGCGTGGCTCAAGTGGGATCATCGTCCCTTTTTTGAGGGGATGAACAGAAGAACAGTGGAAGTTGAGATCCTGTTTGGGCCTGTTGAAGAGCTCCGAACTTTTACGTACCCCACCTGCAAAGCATTGCAGCGTCAGCGTGCACGAACTAATTCATACTAATTCTATATAGTTACCTGTTACAATTCTTGTTGTTTTGGAGGGCCACTACCAACAAATTCTTGGAATCAAAGCCTGAAAACGACTCCAAACTAGGTGAAGCGTCGCTCAGCGGAAGCTGGATCCATGGCGTGGGACACCGCGAGGCGCGAGGCTGTGATCGAAGCCGTTTTGAAATTGAAACATCTTGAAACATCTTGGAAGTTGCATACCAATCATTTAAAATTTAAAAAAGAGGCAGCAAACTCGAACATGTAGCTTAAAAAGGAAGGGAGAACCACGACCGTACAATAAAGAAGGCACCCAAATAGATGTATTGAGTGGGTTTGCTCGCACGATCTGCTAGTACTGATGCAAAGCCTCAGAGGCAAGCTCTCTCTCTCTCTCTGTGGTTCTCGTTTGGTGCACCAGGGCACATTTGCCACCTGAATTATCTCAATTCTTTTCTGAGTCTCCATCTATCTTCATTTGGTGAAGATGATTGCTTTTTTTTTCTCACTGGACAGTTTCATCACGACGTCATGAGAAGTTCCACATATTTCCACCATCGTTCCATGATGTTTCTTGGAGCACTGGAACCAGGGGCGCCAAAGGCTGTGACTGGAAGATGTTGGCAGCTGGATTGGAAGGCAAGGTTGCACCAGGACCTACCATGCACATCTTGTAGCATCTTATGGCTGATTGATGCTGATTTAGGTGTCCAACTTTGACTCCTGAATGGATCTGACATCTGCAGTAGCATGATAATAGCATGCAATAGCCACCCCCATGGCATCATGGCTCTCCGGCTGGGCCACCCAAGCACATTCTCGACCTTGTCTTTCTTGGCATTTTCGCGCGCCTTGCCCAACATCTCGGGCGTCCTGACTCGTGAAACAGTGCCCGAAATGCGGACAATTCACACACTTGTCAACACCAGGTGCAGCTGTGTGCAAGCTTGATGTGGCTTCTGGAGCCAGCTTCTCCACCCAAAGGTATCCAAAGGTGTTCTTAAAGAATAATCAAAGCACGAAGAGCATCATCAACCTTCCACGCGTATGAAAGGTGCACTGCTGGGAGCCACACATGTCGACTCCAAGCACATGTCCTGTAGGCCCCACCTCATAGCTGTCAAAAGTCCATGCCAAATGAATCGCAATACGAATCATCAGATTCACATGAATCGAACAATTTATCAAAAATAAACTGTCAGCACTATTTTAAATCATGGATTGCCATATACATTATATATATATAAATAAGTAGATAAATGCTGACCACACAGGCCACGTATAAATAAATAAATAAATAACCATACATATATTTATGTATGTGTGTATGTGTATATATATATATACAATATAAAACACATATATATATATACATAACATAATATAATGATGGGTCACCCCATGAATACTCAAAACATGTCCAAAGATACAGCCTGCTTGGCAGCGATGAAGCAATCGATTCCAGCGCCACTGCCAAGGTCTACCACCACCTCCACATGTCGCGCCATGCGGTGCCGTGGGGGCTGTCCCACTTCTTGGATGGGTCAGTTCTCAATCATATTTGATTGTTGCATCCCTGCTCATGGAGAATCGTTTTTTTCTTTATCCTCCCCATGTTTAATCTGGTTTTTAAAACTAATTGCCATTGTATATTATATTACATTATCATCTGCAATATATAAATCCAATATAAATCCATATAAATCCAATATAAATCCATATAAATCCAATAGATCTTTCGTAAATCTGCCAAATGAATCTGCCATAAATCTGCCTCACCAGGCTGAAGTTTGGCCGCTACCAATGGGTTGCCACAACCCAAGCCTCACGCTGCGAGGCAGGACGACCCTGTGGGATCTCTGGGAGTGGGATGTGGAGCATGTGTAGATCTACATTGCGTGTTCATATATAAAATTAATATATATCCAGGCAGTTACTTCTGCCCTCTAATGCAAGCCACTTAGACCCAAAGTGCCAAACGGTCACTTACAAGATCAATTATGCATAAGTGACCTTGTTTCATGAATCCTTAAGTGACCTCTTTGCCTGGCTGATCTCATGATTTCTGCGTGTCACTGCGTGTCACTGCGTGTCACTTGCGTGTCACTGGGGTTTCGAGGTGGGATGAAAGAGGTCACTTAGGACCCTGAAAAGGTCGCTTAAGCCTTGAAAAGGTCACTTAAGGATTGGCTGTCTGCGTGTCACCTGCGTGTCACTGGTAGGCCACTGTTTGGTTCGTTTCCTTAAGTGACATCTTTCTACGTTTTCCTTAACTGACCTCTTTCTAAAGGCCACTATTAGCAGAAAACGCAAACAAGGTCACAAGGAATCGTCTGGATATCATATATTTATATATACATAATATATATACATATAGTTATATATTTATTCATTTATATATATATATATATATATATTGTGCTTCGTATGCACACCTGGACACATAGACATACATTGACATGGCATTCACATACCTCATCTGGCAAGAGTGGCACACAAAAGTATGAACAGGTCAGGCGGAAGGCCGTGCCACTGGCCAAAGAAAGGGTCACCCTAGCGGCTCATGCCTTGCATACCATGCCGCACCATGCCATGGCAATACCCATTTGATCTTATTTCATTTCAGCCAGATGTTGGCCACCTGCCGTTGCTCAAAGTTTCGGAGGTCCCATATCCCACACGCAGCATCCGCAGGCGCCAGGCCTAGGTCCGCAGACTCGTTTACATCGCTGTCTGCGTAGCCTGCAGAGATGCGCATCTGGCATGGATGACCTATGGATGACCTATGGATGCTCTTGACAGCAACAAAGCATAACAAAGCTATTGCATGCTGCTACTGGAATGCCTCCATTAACATACATCAACCTGCATCAAAATTCAGAAGCTAAAAGAAAAAGAGCTGCAGAACCCATTTATCATTCCATTGTTCAACTAGGTTCAACTCACCCCTCCGGGCCCCTCCTAAAAGCTTGCGTCGCTTCTGGATGTCACCCACATCGAAGGGTAAGACCTCGGCACAGGCTTTGCCCTGCAATAATATTCAACTCCTCCCCTGGAAGCATATGAGCTGTCAACCAAAGGGCCGATGGTTCCATATGTTCCATGCAAAAATGGCAACCAAAAATGGCAACCACTGTGCAAAAATCACGCTGAATGCATCGCAATGTTAAGTAATTATCATTAAAAACATATTAGACCTTGGATGATCTTAGCATGCCCCAACATGCCTGGTATGTTACAAGCTGCTGCAACCTCGCATCCTTTCTCCAGCTTGCTGCTTGCTCCGAGTCCGGTCCACCGGTGTCTGCTGAGCTCGTTTCGATCGTTGTCGCACATCGAAAAAACATCGTCGCTTTCACCCATTTTGTACACGCTTCTTGGCCTCACAGTGGCAGGGTCCAGCTCCTCAGGCCTGGTCATTCTGATGATTCAACATGCTCAAAGTCTTCAACTTTTGCTTAAAATCAATTGATTCAAATATGTCTGTTAAAATGGATTAAAATGGCAGCTGGTGAAAAAAAAATGGTTGATTGATGTTGATTGAGACTATTTGCCAATGAACTTCCTCCGCTCTGGTGTAGCACTCCATCTCCAGGTTGTTTAACCCCCCCACCTGGTACATCTCACTGGTTTCCACCACCATCTTAACCAGCTCGAGGGGTTCAAAGATCTCAAAGTTCTTCTGGCTCCAGCTTCCTTGCGAGCCATCCCAATGGCCGACCCTCGGCCCATAAGTTGCGCACCTTAGGAAAGACCATGTAGGACCTCAGTTCATAGCCGGGGATTTTTTGAGACCCAATGGACACATCAACCGAAATTGATACGGGATGATATGTAGGGGTCAAAAGCGCATTGCTCTGTCGAAGCAGGGACTGATGGGTGCGAGCACCAAGGAAAAAATCCGCCAAGATTGGGGCCGGCCGGTCAGATCGTACAAACATAGATCTCATTCGAAGAGATTGGAAAATCACGGGGATGTCACCTGTGAATGGGCAGTTTGCAGATCTCTATCTGTCTGTCTCTCTATCCATCCATCAATCCATCCGTCCGTCCGTCCATCCATCCATCTAATCTATCTAATCTATCTTATCTTATCTTATCTTACTATCTATCTATAATACCAAGTAAATGCTAGCATCGGATTTTGAATGAAAGATAATGAAACTTCGAAATAGCCACCAAAAATCTCACCAAGTTGAAGGCCAGTGGCTCTTTCCCTTCCGGTGCTCTCAACTCAACCTGACCCTTTCGGCCATAGACATGCCCAGCGGGCACGACCTGAAAATTGTACTCACCATGGCCATTGGTCCACTCAAAGCCCCTATGATCAAGGCTGAATTTCTCCATGATCTCAAAGTGCCGCCAGGCTCGTGGTTTCTTATCGCCTGGTCCCGGGCGCCCTTCAAATCCAAGTGGCCCAAGCATTTGGAGCTTGCGAAGACATTGCAAAACTGCCAGGTAGATCGCATCCACTGAACTGCGATCACTTGCTTGTCCTGATTCCAAGCAAATGTAGCTTCCATAGCTTCCATCCCATCCATCCCATCCATCTGGTGCATGTCTTAGGGCAAATTCATCCGTCATGCTGCCCCCTGCGATCAGTTCATGTGGATCCCATAGCACGGTCTGGCAGCTGGTTGGCAGTGAGCTTAGGAACAAATCTTCTGCGACCTGGAACCTCTGCCGACGGCCCTCAATAGGACCTGCACAAATCACTGAGGAGTTCCAAAGTCATCACCAGTTGCCAGGCCTCTTGACAAAAGTACCCTCTCGTAAACAAATATAGTCTAATATATATATATATATAACTATGGGAAATCATAATTGTTAATAGGTAAATCAACTATATAATTTGTGGCCATTTATGGCCATTTTCAATAGCAAGATGGCTGCAAGCAGCCCAGTGTTGGTGCCTGGAAGCCGTGCAAATGGAGTGGACGGCTTGTTGGTCGCATGAAGGTCCAAAAGAACATCCTGCGCAAACAATGGCATTTCAAGGTCGGGGGGGTTCAGTCCCAACTTAGTTGTCCAGCAACGTGCTCAAGCAAACACGGCCCCAGTGTACTAGTTACTAACACAAACATATGTAAACAAAAAAATGTTCACCCTTAGGCGATCCGCACAAATCCTAGGGCATTGCTGCCCCTGGGGCAACACATATGTGTCATGCTGATAATAACAAGTAAGAACAAATGATACAAATGATACAAATGATAATGATACAACACAAATCATCGTCATCGTCATCATCGTCCTCCTCCTCATCATCCTCATCCTCATCCTCATCCTCATCATCCTCATCATCATCATCATCATCATCATCATCATCCTCATCATCCTCATCATCCTCATCATCCTCATCATCCTCATCATCATCATCATCATCATATTGTTTCTCATCAACCAAGCCCTCAACGCCTCCCCACCAACATGCCACCAACATCCATCGCAGCCACTGCGGTCAAGGATCCAGACCTTCAAGGTATGGCGATAGAGCTGCTGCCCTTTTCTTCTCGAGCTCCTGGGGGCACAGCTGCCATGGGGCCATCGCCATGAGCCTCCATGCGGCCAGTATACCTATGACCTATAATCAGAATAGGCAGTAAAAGCAAAAATAATGCGTTCAAAAAAGTCATGGCAAAGGCCTGAATAGGTGCATCTTTGAACACAGCAGCTTAGACAACCTCTTTCTATACTGGTCTTGATTGCACAAGGAAAAAACACATCAATATAGAAAAAGGTATGTAGATGTATGTAGTGTCATACAAATAGAGTCCAGTGGCTGAAGTTTCCAAGCTTTTGCCATCAAAGCAGCGGTTCAAATCCTCCTCTATGTACCTACAGCTGCACGGACACAATGGCACAAGCACATCACCATCACTTGTAAAGTCAGAAATGCTGCGATTTGGTATTTATATATCTTGGTAGCTATGTCTCAAATCAGTGATACCCAAATCCAACCAAAATGGTTGATTTCTGGTAAGCCTTGATTGGGAAAGAATCAATTAAAGCTTCAACTGCAGAAGTCCAGCAGAAGTCGAGCAAAAGTCGAGCAAAAGTCGAGCAAAAATCGAGCAGAAGTCGAGCAGTTCATATATCTGGTAGTTTTTGCCATGTCACCGCGTGTTTTGTGCTACTGCCAAAGGATTGCCAATGGCCACTGTCAGTTGACCTTCTCGAATACCAAGGCCCTAAGGGACGGGCTGGATGAACCAAAATGATCCAAAATGAACGGGTGGAAGGGATTCATAATTCATCAATATTACAATATCAACTAATATCAAAATGATAATATATGATTATATAATATTACTGTATATATATATATGTGAAGAGTAATGAAGATGGATGGCTTTCGGCATAGGTAAGAAAACTAGTTACATACTAAGGTTACTGTACCTAGATCCCAAGTACCAGTTCCTTCAGCCTCAAGCTACACCATATCGGCCAAAACAAACCCAGTGAGTTTGAATGGATTTGACCAAAAATGGAGGGACACCATCGGAGTCAAGGGGTACCCCATGCAATTTTTAATGGGGAAAGCATGATCCAGCATGAGATCTTGCGGAACCCCATTATCAGACACCCCCGGCAGGCCCTTTCCATCCCTATCTGCTGGACACAGAGCAGCCACGCCTTGTGAGTAAAGTCTTCAACCAAAGCCTTGACAACCTGATGAAACTCAACTCAAACATCCCATTTGGCATTTCATGGCATTTCACATTGGAAACCATGTGGAAACCATTTGGGGGGCCTTGACCATCTTTGACCTATACCCACACACCATAGTGCTGTTGGAAGGACAGTGCTTGATGAGAGCCGGTCGTACGCCACGCCTCAACTCCCGTGATCTCATTGCCATGTACGCCCTCCAGCACCGCAACTCGTGGTCGACCAGCGCCAAATTGCCAAACATCTGACGGCAAGGGCCTCGATCAGGGAAAGGTACCAGTTATCAGTCATCATGTCATATCATGTCATATTAATATCAAAATTAACAAATGGACTGCCATGATGCCATTGGCTTTCTGGAACCCAAAATCAGATGGCCGATTGATGCTCCAGTGAAACGGGCGTCGTGTGCGGGCGCGCAGGAACTGCAAATGATTCGCCCTAGCCTCGCAGTTGCAAGCAAACCTCTGCAAAGTCTCATGGCAACATTGCCGGATCAGCAGTCGTTGAAGCTGGTTCTGTGTGCAAAGACTTCTGAAGTAGGGACTGGGAAAACACACGGGGCCACTGACTTGGGCTTGCTTAAAGATGCTACAGTAGAAGTTAGACCCCTAGGCCCTAGTGGGGTATGTGGTAAATCGATTTAGCCCTAGACACATCAATTTCTGAGCAGGATGATGATTGATGTATGGCTGATTGGCCTAGATACATAGCCATATGCTTGGTGTATCTTGCTCTGGCTCAAACATCACGCAGGCATCTGCTACAAAAGCCTAGCCCAATTTGTGAGTTGTTCGAGCCATGCTTCCTGTCATCCGTTGCAACGGCTAGTGGTGCCGCCATTGATCATCCCAGACAGGGGAAACATGGGATTTCACCCAGCTGAGCCCCCGAACCCCAGGACCACCCACCTTGACTTGACGTGAGTCATCAAGGATTCTATTGCACGAAAACAGAGCACCAATATCACAGTTGGTGATTCTTGTGATTTTTTCATATTTTTTCTACACGGTTTTAAATGATTATAGGCTAAATTATAGCCAAGTATAAACCATTATAAACATTTATAACATTTATAAACCACCAAAAACGCCCATGGCAAGTCAATGTCCCAACCAGCGAATGATAGCGGCTACTGGGTAGCTGGCTGCGGTTTGAGCATAGGCTCCACGCACGATCTCGGAGTAACGGTGAATCAATTCCTACCCCGGTAGGGATGGGCCCGGGATGGTAGGGGTAGGGAAGATGTCCCATGAATTTAGGATTCTAAATGATGATAAGTCATGATAAATCTAATTGGTATTATCTTCATGAAGATAAATCATGATAAATCATGATAAATCTAAATCATTACCTGAAGATTTGGTATTGGTTCCCCTGGGGTGATCTTCAGAAAATGTCATCACAGCGGGAGCCCTGTTGTGCTTTGCTTCAAGGGTTAGCCCTGACATGTCCTTCCAGTCTCCAACCACGACTTTGGTAACGGAACTGAGTGAAACACATCGTAGACATCTGAGGCTCCAGTTGATACTGCCTCGCCCGAGGAAATGACATCACCGAGCAAACCCTGGTGCTAGACTTACTGCTGCTTAGTAGGGAATCAGGAAATGGGATGATTGTTCATAGTTATTATGGGTGATTTTCCCATTCCCCACTGAGCACCAATAAGTAGAGATTGCTAGAGTGGTCTGCACTCAGTGAAGTCTGTGCATGCGTGTAATACCTGTAACGACTAGCATGACTATATAGCAAGTACTTTCCGTCCATACTGTGGCACAATATTGCATATCATGAAGCGGACCGGCGGAAATACTAGGCTTTTGAAAGAAACGCTCCCCCAGTAAGAAATCCAATCCACCATCTTTGAAGGGAAACTATAGGTTAAAACATGTTTAAACATATTTTATATCATAGATTTACATAGTCTATATATGCAGGATTTTCCAGTCCCGGTCAGACTTATCTGGAGGGTATCAGCTCTCCCCCGCGGACATTTTTCAATCACCAGACTGCTGAGCTTCAGCACCGGGCCTCGCTACACAGGAACCACTGGTGGCATGCCATGGGTTATGGATTCACTGGCTGCACTAACCAACCCAAATTCTATGAAAAGATACCCTCTGGTGAACAAAAAACGATTGAAAATCACCATGTTCAGAGGTAAATCATCATCATAAATCATCATAAAAATCATAAATTATCATTTAATCGTCAAAAATCATCCTACTATTCATACATCATCCATCAAGGTTCCATTTTCATAGGTAAATCCGCAATTTGGGCCATGGCTTCCAGTTCGCCAAACGAGAGATCAACACATCCACCTGGTGCTGAGAGCAGGGGATGTACAACACACACACACATATATATATATATATATAATATGTGTGTGTGTTTTAAAGATATATAGACATAGAAATAGACAAATATATATGTATATATAATATATATATATATATATTAAAATGTTAGATGCAGATATGGCTACATATATATAATATTATGTACGTATGATGATACATGCGTGTGCCAATGACGATAATAATAATATTATATAATACAATGGAACACACCAGGCACAAAATATAATTGCTGTACATACCTCCGCAACTCCGATCATGGAAGAAGTGTCTTGTTCACGATTTGAACATCTGTTCAAGGTTGGCATATCCCACCATGGTTCACCAAAATATACCAAGATAGACCAACTTGCAGCTCGCGCACTTCGATTCACCTCCTTAAATAAAATTACAATAAAAAACGATGTCCAGCGGTTACCACCTTGGAAAAGTGGTCAGCAGCACTTGGAGCACTTCCAGCCTTGTCAAGACAAGCAGGCTGGACGCCCTTTCCTCTGCTGCGCGCTGGCGCCGTCCTGCATCTGGGTGGCCGTAACTGCAATGATGGGCTCCCTTTAGGTAGAACCAGGGAGTGTCATGGTGGTTCAACCCATTCCAACTGGTAAATGACTCCAGTAATTGGTGAATTTTGATCCCCGTATAGTATGCATGTGTATATATATATATATATGTATATATTTATTTATTTATTTACGTTTACATAATATCCACAACTGGTAGGAGCCTGTCACTCTACAACCGCATGTAATGAACTGCGGCCTGTGAATAGCTCCAGTTGCTCTGGTCGGGGAGATGCGCGCACATTTTTCTCCTCTAAGACTCTAAGCACCTGTCCTCCTGCCACACTTAGCAGTTGACATCCGCAGGGCAGCGTGCACCCTGAGAGTTTGCACACTGAGCCTGTGCACCACGCTACTAGTCCATGCCACCTTGTCATAGCCAGGCTCAATGCATGTTCAACGGCCACATTTGACCACCTTTCGGTGATATTCTGGGCTCCTTCTGCACGGTTGAGCCCATGTTTAGACTGAAACCTTTCACATGAAGTGAAGAAGTGTCAATGACCAACAACAAATAACGACTGACTGAACACACAAACACAAATTCACACGCATAAAATGCCTTCTTAATGCACATGTATATATATATATATATAATCACAATTATAATCACACGTATATATTTACATATTATACTCTCATGCGATCTCATTCGTATGTACATTAAATTATATAATTATATATCATAAATCATCTTAAGTCTTAAAGTTTAGTATTGCTTTACTTCTTCCCTGCAATCCTATGCAGCGAACGAGTGCTCAACAGTCCAGGCTGCCGAATGCGTTCCCCACGACCACGGCCATTCTGCGCACGCGGGGCATCCCTGGGACCATGTCTTGGCAGCGATGGGCCCCGTTTGTTCAATTTGAAACACCAAATCACTAGGGCTCACTATGGGCCCACCTGCCCCTAGAATTACCAACTAGTTATATAAACTGGATTAAATATGATTAAATTGGAATGTATTGGATTTAATATGCTTAAGAAAGTCCATAGAGTATATTTAAGCCAGTTGACGGTTTGGGGCTCATCATGGCTTGCAAAAATCGGTGGCTTCGCCTTGGAAGCAGCGGCTCGATGAAATGGATCAGAAGCCAAGGCGCTTCCAATCAATTTGATTCTTGTGATGTTCCAAAGTGGGTTTCTCTGAATTCCAGTGGATTATTATCATGTGATTAATGGTATAATCTTGATGGGTAATAATCCAGTGGAATTTGATTCTTGTGATGTTCCAAAGTGGGTTTCTCTGAATTCCAGTGGATTATTATCATGTGATTAATGGTATAATCTTGATGGGTAATAATCCAGTGGAATTTGATTCTTGTGATGTTCCAAAGTGGGTTTCTCTGAATTCCAGTGGATTTTTATCATGTGATTAATGGTATAATCTTGATGGGTAATAATCCGGTGGAATTTGATTCTTGTGATGTTCCAAAGTGGGTTTCTCTGAATTCCAGTGGATTATTATCATGTGATTAATGGTATAATCTCGATGGGTAATAATCCAGTGGAATTTGATTCTTGTGATGTTCCAAAGTGGGTTTCTCTGAATTCCAGTGGATTATTATCATGTGATTAATGGTATAATCTTGATGGGTAATAATCCAGTGGAATTTGATTCTTGTGATGTTCCAAAGTGGGTTTCTCTGAATTCCAGTGGATTATTATCATGTGATTAATGGTATAATCTTGATGGGTAATAATCCAGTGGAATTTGATTCTTGTGATGTTCCAGTAATATCCCCAATTCCACTGGATTATTACCATTGTTCCTATCAATCAAAATGGTCTCCCCCATTTTCGGACAAACCCAAGTAAAGTTAAAGTTTGAAAACACCCACCCAACTCACCCAGCTATGAACACGTCTTCGGTTGCTGTGCATGTGCCAGGTCGGATCCCTGCAGTTTCTGGTCTCAAATTTGGTGATCAACAACCATGCAATACGTCCAATACGATGTCTTGGTGGGGATGGTTGTTGATCACCATTTGATAATTTGGTAAATATTGTACTTATTAAATAAATACTGTAATTATGCCATTTGGATCCCAAATGGGGTCGACTCTCGATCCAATCGATCCATTTCATCTCAACCTTTTCTTTTTTTCAGCTGCTCATTCTCCTCCTGGCCAAGTGGATCGTCCAGGAACAATGGCTCCAATCGGCTCCAACGTTGGTGGTGAAATGTGAAGCCATCCCAAACATCTCAGTCAACCGGGGTATATGGATGATTCATATTCATTTATAAGTTAAACCTCTCTTAGGTAGGAAACTCAGTAGGTACCAGTAAGGACAGTTTTCGGAAAAAAACATCAGCGTATTTATATGGTTGGTTGTTTAAATTTAACCATGAAAAAAATCCATTAAACATCATTAACCCCATTCAAACATCTGCTGAATTTGCATCATCATCCCATATAGAAATGCAAAATCTGAGACACTCAACCAGTCAGTCAGTGGACCACCTGCCTGAAGTTGCTGATTTTTCTTCTTAAGAGAAGCCAGCTCCTCCTGTATGAAAAGGGCGGGAGCTGAGGGAGCTGCGAAATGTTCGTGGCTTCCCAACTAGATGGGGGGTATTGGGAAACCGAGAATGAATCAGCATCTACAGTAATTCGTATCGTTACTGCAATCGTTACTGTTGTTATTGAAGGTATTTTCTATATTGATACACACCAAGAAGATGCAAGAATCTAAGAACAGAAGAATATCGAGTGGTGGCCAACATGAGCACCCTTGTGAAACCGGGCACATCCAAACGTGTAAACTCTTGCATGTCACAAGGCAGATGTGTGGCCACCTCCAATAGTGCCTCAGTTGTAGGGTCTAAACTCCCCATAATTTCAGTCACGGGAACCTAGTGACCGAACAACTGAACACAGGCGTTCACTACTTGTGACATCTTGTGACTTGAATAATGATCCCTATTGACCCCTTGATTTTGACAGCAAAACATGGCAAAACCTCATGCTCTGCCCTTTGCATCCCTTTGCCCTATGTCCTCCATCTCCTTTCTTCTCTCTCGCATACTCATCCTCATGGGAAGCTGCTAAAAAGGGGCAAGAAGCAGCTAAAAGAGGTCAAGACGGTCAAGATGACATGTCTTGCCACTGCCCGAGCATAAAATATGCTCCACACACATCAAATCACCAGATGGCTATGAAGCTGGCTACGGTCCTCCATTCTTTCAATTTCTCTCCATGCTGCGTGAAGACTGAATCTATCCACAGCCGCACGATGCCGGAAGAAATTGTAAGGGCAATCCTCGGCTCTAAGTTGTCAGGACTCCAATGCAGAAGCAATCCTGGTTTGTCAAGAAATAGGGTGCCCTCAAATCTACTGGAGTGGTTTATCATGTTCTCGATACAACATGGCCGTGTTGCGGTATTACAGCTATAGCGCATACCCCACTTCCTGACAAACCCATGCCTTTTGGGAGATCTTCACCTGTGATTTGCCTTGCCCTCCTCACTTTTGGTCGGTGACACTCCACTTAAGTGTTGAATCACCAACTGTGCCACTGGTCAAATCATCCTGTTCAGTGCTTCCAGTGTTTCCAAGTGGGGTAAATCCCCACAATGATCCAATTTGTAGAGGTCAAATTCTGGTGAAATCACCGTTACCTTGCGGCTGGAAATCACCAGTCCCCCCAAACAGAATCGCATCCCAGTTTCAGCAGGACCACCGCCAGGGCGACCTCTAGACCAATGATCCTTGGACATCTTCGGCAGAATAAAATGGGTTGTTCATAGTTTGTTAACAGATTTTAACCACAAAAAAACATAATAAAAACCAGTCAAAGCCACCATGTTCTGTTTTTTGGAATCTATGTCTTGCTGGCTTACTATCGATAAATGTACCCACATAAATGATCATAAATATACGTGTATATATATATATTATGTGTGCGTGTTGTAAAAAAGTGGCTTCAATGTGTTTCAATCAGACGAATTGATTGCATTTAACCAGTGAGAATCACTGGGCCAAGTGGCCAGAACCACCAACCTTGCGTCAGCCACGCCAAGAAAATGGACAGCAGCAGGGCCACTGCTGCGATCTTCCAACCTTGCGCTGAGAACGCGTGTACTCTGTTGATAAATAAGGCCATAAAAGCTGGCAGAAAGCAGTTGCAATAGAAGCAATCAATTGCCAGCAGTACTCGATTATTGTTTCCACCAGCTCTTTGCAGGGTTTGGTTTGATTTCCCATGACTAAACGACCTGACTGCACAGTCATCCACACCCGAGAACCAGCTGGACAAGCTGGGAGTCATTGGGCTCCTTTTGGCTCCGAGAGGCTTTCGAAGAAGTACTGGGCACTCACAATCTCAGACACCAAATAGAAGACACACACCTCGGCAAAGCCGTTTGTTCGCCGCATTACAGGGTAGACATGGGTAGACCATTAGGCTGTATCACCATGCTGCCGTGACACAGTGTCCGAGAGCAAACTCGAAAGCCAATTCAAAACGATCACCTTGGATATATTTCGATACGCAGGGAAAAATGGGAAAAGATAGGAAAAATCGGCTTCGGGACGTGTAACCCGGTTGATAAATGAGAGCAGCTGCATGCGGCTGCAGAAATCGAGCGATTGCTACTGCCCCTGCGCAAGTTGAAGTGCCACGTGCAAATAAGCACATGTGTGTCGAAGCGATCCCCTTCCACAAGTTTGCAGCTAGAAATGGGTCGGGGTGATGGGTATCTGACATGCCAAGTGGCCACATCAATCACCAAGAGATTCACAAACAGAGACATTGCCTCTTCTGATCGAGCACTAGTGTCCTTGATCCTTAGGGACTGGGTGAGCGTGGCTTGATTCCTGCCCCAACCTGTGAAAACCTGCGCCGACCTATATGCGTAGTGTGTGCATATATCTGCATCACTCTGTGTATATGTGTATGTGCGTGGAATATGTATCACATATCTGCAGCTCTCTCTCTCTCTCTCTCTCTCTGAATCGATCTATGATTATTATATATATATATTAGCGCGTCTTATCTTATCTTGTCTATGTGCCTATCTATATAATCATCAATGTCTGATCCAGATTCTATCTATCTATCCATATGTGGCTTGCACATATCTTTTTTTGGCTTATACTTTTATGGTGTGTTTACGTATTTTTTGCTTATCTATGCTTATCTCTCTCTATATATGTATTCATATTATATATATATATTCTTATCTGCTATTCACCAATGCGTTTGCACACACACACATACGTATATATATATATAGAATCATATGCTGATGAAAAACTTAACGAAACTGGAGATGCATGTTGTGCTTCGATGTCTTAGTAACCCGCTGATCTCCCCAAAAAACCCTTCAATCTGAATGGAGGAGCTGAGGGAGAGTGCTGGATCTGCCATCTATATTAATACCCTATAGGAAACCTTTCTGAGATCTGAAGATCTTCACTCAGAAATCCGCCATCAAGCAGTTACCGAGCCAAACAAACTGTGTTGCCGCCCAAGGCCGTGCAGCCAGGAGGCTTAACATCCATGTAGTACAACCCAGCACCGACAAAGCCCAGGAGAATGAAAAGTCGGCCAATCCAGACCCAGCCCACCAGCCACAGCACCAAGCGAGCCATTACTGTTTTCCTCGGGCTAAAACAACTGGCTGGGTGTCGCTATCTATCACACCTTCCAGGCCCAAAAGAAAGAGCTCGTAGTTTAGCATCTGAACTTGCAGTCAGGTTGCATAGCAAAGCCTCCCAGCGGACTGAGCAAGGTGTTGATGCCAATGGTCCAAACCTCCAATTCCGGCCTTTCCTCTCCTGTCGGCGGCAGACCAGCGCTAGCACTGAACATGTTCGACATTGCTGGATCCGTTGACCTACCCATCCAATCCATCCCCATTCGGGATGAACTCTGGCGCCTAAATCGGTGCCGAAGGTGTCGTAGATTTTTCTCCGCTCGGCATCTTGCAGCGTCCTGCGGAGAATGTTTGGAGGCAGCGGAGCCCTGCATCTCTGCGCAGCCAGTGGTGAAAGGATGAATATGGCTGGTTGGTTCTCCTCCGTCCTCAAAATATGAGATAGTCAATTGGGATCAATTGGGATCATTGTCAATCAGCCCAGAGGAAAAGATGGGAACAGCAATAAACATCTGATACCACCAGCCAGAATGTTACTGTATCAGCTTCAACTTGGTCCTTTAAAAGATGCCCTGAAAATCGTGACGTTTTCTTTCTATGGGACAGGTGACCGACGGCCCAAGCTGCAGCCAAGAAACTCTCTGGCGCTTTTAATTTCATTGAACTTTTTGGTGGCGTCTGGTCCGCCGCCAACCTTGTCAGGATGGTATTGTAGCGACATCTTGTGATACCTGCAGGCTGCTTCCAGGAAGACCAGTGACCAGTGACCAGGGCCTTTAGGACTGAAATGACAGCATGTATATACCCGGCATATCCCAGCATGGTGGAAAATCTATGAAAATCCAAGCATATCAACGGATACTATCGGCGTTCGGAATAGTTCTTACGTATAGACATCTAAACGCATAAAATACACCACAACACTTACCACGGAAATTGAACACATAAGCAACCAACAAGCACACACCAATTGCAATTCCCATAAAGTGCAACACTCTCCAAGCTGCGCTTTTTTGACATCTTCTTCTTTGCAATCCAGCTGAATGCCGAGCACATCGTATGCATCGATCATAGCGCCCGGGTGGCGGGTGCTGGGGTTGGGTCTGAGCCCAAAGCTATGTGGTTTGAAAGCTGCTCCCAATGTTGTAATATCATCGCCAGCCAGGTTGTCGGAATGTCTACAGACCCAGTGATTGAAAAGCAAATATATTTATATAAATTGTCCTTGAAATGTCATCTCATGGTTTCAACATGTTTCAACCTCTCTGGACAAAAATAATAAATTTGAGTTGAACTTGCAGTATAGTAATGAGTCTGAGTAATCCCTTCAAATACGATGAAAACACAAACAAAAACACCAGTCACTTCCACTTGGGGCACCCAGTGTCCGCCGGCTGGGTTTGAGGTTAGAGATGGTTGAAGTCCCAGTTAAACAAGGAATATCTTTCTAGATGGGATTACATTGGTATGTACATCTATGAAAATGAGGAAACAATAGGAAAAACAGCAATACAGTACAATATATATATATGTATATTATACATATACCTATGTACAATATAATCAACATACAGTAATCCGAATATATATGTATATATATAGAGAGAGATGTAGATATAGATATAGATATAATGTGTATACAGCACATCTATGGCATCTATTAAAAATAGACATAGATATTGGTCTCCAGCCAAGCCTGGTATGACAGCCCCAGCTTTCACTGGGACCCAGTCCTTCCACCAAAGACCTGGGTGGCGGAATGTTTCTGAGCATCAGAAGCATGAAATCATCCTACAATCCCATGGATCTTTTTTGAGTCACTACTAGTACCACCATCTAATGTATGTATAATATATTATAATATTGTTTGGCCAGAACTCAAGCAGTATTTGCTGAAGGAAAAAAAACACTGCTCCTGCGTCCGGTCACTGCTCTCTGTCATCAAAACTAGAGGAGGAGTCGTCAAGGCTGGCCGATGCGCTTCATCAACATTGACAGGATGGGAGATGAATGGAAACTTGCTCAGTGGCTTCCAGCTTGAAAAATCCCAAAATGAGCTTGAAAACACAAAAAAAATTGGGTCAATGGAGGATCATACATAGCCCACAGATGTCCAAGAATGAGTCTGTCTGACAAAAATACGTGTAATACCTTGAAATCATTATCTGTATTTGTTAAAAACTGGTCTCATGCAAATTGGTCAAGAAGAACGAACATATCTTGTGCACCTGCCTTGGGCCAAATCAGGCAAGGAATTGCAGGTGCGGCAGGTGAAGCCAGGCTGCCCTAAAGATCCGCAATAGCCAAAAAAAAAATGCCAGCATTCAAGATAACATGAGATTATACCAGTATATACCAGTGAATCCCAAGTGAATCATCATAATAATCATTGGTAAAGGACCTGTCACACATCAGCAGCCTGGAACCTCCCCCGCAACTCAGTTCTTCGGAAGCTTGGGTTGTTCCCAAACCATCGGAAAGATGGCAGGAAACAAATCTTCCAAAACTCTATATCCAAACATATCCAAACCAAGTTGATGCAAAATCATTGCCAAGTCACCGTGGTGTTTAATTCAAAAATTAGGGAGTTCCTATAAATTTCCGCTGCATCCAGTGGTTTGTTCGCCTTCTGCTTGGCCTTCTGCACACTCGACATGACGGCGGACACCGTGCATCCGTCGCCCACATGCTCGGCCCTGGGTGGAGGGCGGGAGTGAAGATTACTACATTTACATATGCATACTATATTTATATACCTATGTTATCTGAGGCTGAATGTTCAAAAAGTATGCACAATTGCCATTGTGGATAGATACAGGTATATATATATATGTATGTATGTAATATGTGTGTGTAATATGTTTGTGTGTGTGATATGTGTGTTTAATATATGTGTGTGTAATTGTATGTATGTTCATATGTAGGCATCTGCACACGCACATATAATATATATATATATATATGCTAGCCCCCCCCCAAAACCGACGTTTTTCTCTTTCTTGTTTTGAAGACTGAGTAAATAGCGTGCTTTTTAAAATAAGTATACTGGAGTGATTTTCGATTTCTTCTGACAATTACGTTGAGCAACATGAGAATCTAGAGGAATATTGAAAATAAACTCTATTTTTGATATTTTAGATTTCATATCTAATATCAAGTTTAGAACTGGAGTAAAAAGCTTTAAAGCCTCATCTAAGATATTTAATAATCTGTCTTCTGGAAATTCCATTCCACATCCTTCCACCATAGTTATTTCATTTTTTGAGCCACTAATAAATATATCCATATTCTCTGAAGAAGAACTAGAAACAGATGGAAAAAAAAACTGGTGATTCAAATTGTGCCAAAATATCTAAAACATGCTATTTTTGTATGTTTTTTTTTTCTACTTGCTTATTGTTTTAATTACATACACACAATTTTTACAATCTACCAAAAAATAAAAATAAATAAAGCTCTTGCTATAAATAGTTGGATTAAAAATGATTGGCAAAACTGCTTTAAACGCTAGCAAGAAAATATATATCTAGATATATATCTTATAAAAATCACTTAATTAAACTCGACAATCTATTACTACAAAACCAATTAAATTTTAATAGTTCTTATTTCTTCAGTTGTTTAAAAGATATGGATAAAAGGATAGTGCAATGTCGCATTTTAATAAAGCAAAATCATACTCAAAGCACAAACATGTATCATAACATTATAATAAGCATCAATATAATTAAGGATTAATTTTTGATTATTTATTTTCCAGAAAAGATCTATATACGTCTAAACCCATATAGAATAGAACAAAATTTAGCTCCTATATTAAACCCATCTTTTCAAGAGACAATAAAATTGTACTGACTTAAGAATATGCTATGCAAGGGAACTATTAGTATTTAAAAAATACACTCTTGCCTACAAATTACTTAATCAAGCTAGCAAGAATATAACATATATTGACAATATATAAAAATACATAACTTGGCAGGATTTATAGCACTTGTAAAATTAAAAGTATATAATATTGCACCAAAGCATTTTTCTTATATAGATGCGATTGCTACATCACCAAATCAAATAAGTAGACATTCCTATTTTATGTATATTTGCATGCAACATATGCAACATCTAAAATATCATGCACTGTCAAAAATATTATAAAGGGCTTCAAAATACTGTGCACCTTTTTATGGAATGATAGCACATGAATTACTCAAGAATTCACAAATCTCTTTACCAAAAACAATTGATATTAATGATGCAAAAATATATATATATATGAATGTCTTAAAACAAACATTACAAGATGAAATTGAGTTTATATCTTACCTAATAAAATATAAAACATATAACCTTGCAGACAGTTTAGTAACTCAACTATTTAACAATATATGTAAAGATATTTTTCATATAACAATATTTTTGATATATGGACAAGAGAATCAACATCTGCAAGTGATTATTTGTCAATGTGCTTTGAGTTGTAATATTGTAATTGCAGATAAACTGTTTCAACAAATGCCATTACCTGATGAAATTCCACTTCAAACTCATTATTTAACTCATGTACAATATATATGTATATATACGTATATATTAATTGTTGTCTTACTGTTGAACCCAGGTACTTAGAGTAATTTTGTCACCAAAAGCGTTTGCAAACGTTTGCAAACGAGTCCAGGGACCCAAGTACTTAGAAAGATTCAAGATTCAAGATTCCCAGAAAGAATTCTTGAATCCAAGGGGATAGGATTCAAGATTCAAGATTCAAGATTCCCAGAAAGAATTCTTGAATCCCAGGATTCAAGATTCAAGACCTATCCCCTTGGATTCAAGAATTCTTTCTGGGAATCTTGAATCTTGAATCCTGGGATTCAAGAAGTTTTTCTGGGAATCTTGAATCTTGAATTTTGAATCCTATCCCCTTGGATTCAAGAAGTTTTTCTGGGAATCTTGAATCTTGAATCCTATCCCCTTGGATTCAAGAAGTTTTTCTGGGAATCTTGAATCTTGAATCTTGAATCCTGATCAGGAACGTTTGCAAGCGTTTGCAAAACGTTTGCAAATACTTCTTGTAAAAAATACTCTAAGTACATGGATTTAGTAATAGTAAGATAACAAATAATATACATATGTGTATATATATATATGCATATATATGTATGATACTGCCCCACTGGATCTCAAACTGAACAAGGTAACTATCCCAAAAGCGTTACAATCTTGAAAATGTCGGTTTTTTGGGGGGGGGTACCATATATATATATATATGTGTGTGTGTGTATGAACTATATCAATATGATATATTATATACATATATATCTATAATATATATATATATACACATAATGTATATATATATATACATCTCTCTACTGTAATGCTGATGCCAATGTCACCAGGGGACCCATCGTGTGACCATCCCTGTGAACCCCCGCAAGTGATGCAACTCTGGTGCTTGGTACACGCGAAGCAATGGCAGTTGCGAGCCCACTCCTTGCACCGGGGACCCTACCTTCGAATGTCAGCTTCAAAAATGTTACATGGTAGATAACAATCATTAGATAAACATAGATAAACCATACCCCAGCAGGCATTTGAAGTCACATGTCAGACAGCCAAAAAACATCACATTGAACAGTATTCAAACAACATCTAGCGCCAGATAGCGCCAGGCTGAAATGCTCAGATGCCAGGCCTAGACTGAGAGCAAGATCTTCGCCAGCATCATCACCAACATCGATACCTCAGCTTGGAAGGCGTGTCAACGGATTGGCTTAAGGATGCTTAAGGGAATATTTACGGGAAACCACAGTTTTTTTGGTTGCCCCTCCGTGTGCCCTCAAATATAGATGGTTCCTATAGATGTTCCCTTGAAAGCAATTCTTTGATTGTACCCTCTGGTGGCAGGGGTGGAGAAGTGTTTCATTTCAACATCACCCTGCCCATCAGGGAATCACTGCCGATAGCTATCTTAGGTGTTCCTAAAAAGGAGACGCTTGCCAAGCATGGCAGTGAAAATCACCATAGCTGATAGGTAGATGAAAGTACACACTTTGCACAACGGGTGATTTTGCCATATGTTTGATTTCTGGAGAGTAACTGTAGTAACTGAGTACTTTATAATTACTGTAGAACAAGTTTTCTTCGTGACTTGTTGGGTTAGACACTCATGCTTCGTTTGCTCTGGTTTGGACGGGGTCTTCTTCATTTCATTGCGCGAAGTTCGTTCACCGCAACCCACTGCATTTGCCCGCAAGTGGAATCAGCTGCATCGTGATCACATGCACCCTCCTTTGGCTCCAACCGGGACTTCGCACTTAAGCATTTCACATCGTCGCCAGCAATTTTGTCTAAATCCTGCCGATACAAATGACTGGTACCATCATCCCAGGCAGGGATGGAGAGTCCTTTAACACATCTCAATTAATGACTAGTGATATCGTTGGTTAAAAAAACACACAGATTGCAGGTTTCACTATTTATTATAGATGATGTGATAAATATCCTCTAACTATATTTACTATTGGTCAATAATCATCAATAATATATATACCCTCTTGTTATTTAACATAGCCATGGAAAATGGCCCATTTATAGATGGTTTACCTATTAAACATGGTGATTTTCCATGGCTATGTTAAATAACCAGATGGTGTATATATATATCTCTCTCTCTCTCTCTCTCCATCACCATCTCTGGAGATTGGTCACTAAACCACCAGCTGTGAGATCCTGCAGGCCCATCTTTCCGCCCGACCTTGGCGTTGCCGGATGCCCTAAGGTCAAATCTTTCCATGTATGTATGTATGTGTGCATGTATGTGAAATATAAGAACATAATATATATATTATATAATGTATATTTATATATGCCTATTCGCATCATTACACAATCACATGCCACACTACTTCACCATATCATACCATACCCAAAAGAAATGCAGTATGCAAAAGGGCTGAGACGACCAGCGGGACGACAAAACATACCAGGACAAGGGACATCCTGCCTGGCTGACCTAAACAAAACGAATTGGATTAACATAAATGTCTGTATGTCTGCAAATTGGGTAACCCAAGACCCCATCATTGATCATCAATGAACCGAACCCGCATAAACAACTGCTATGATTCAGGTACACCCCTTTGTGGACTCATCTCTGACACCTCTAGGCTTCCCTACCACTCCGCGTAGAAAAAAGCACAGACCTCGGCCATCAACCAGCCCACCAGTATGAAGCGGATCAAAATAATAACCCCAACTCCCCTTAGAATTTCCTCAATCTGCAGCACTGCAACATGAATATCTCTATGGTGTATGATGGGGGATGATGGGGGACGCACTCAAGATTGCAGGGAAAAGAAGAGCATCACTTAGATCTGAAGCAGCGGAGAGAGCAACTGGGGCACCCCAACAGCACCCACTGAGCCCTGCAACCTGAGCACCAAGGCATACCAAGGCTCTGTAGGAGACACAGGCACACCGTGGATTGAAAAAACACTGGACTTTCATCTATGAATCACTGACTGACTCAATCCTCCCAACTTGAATCACGTTGTCAAAGTTTGGAACCCCTGGAAACAACCATTACTGTATATATCATACAGATTCATATAGCACATGTATATATATATATACATCATCATCATCATCATCATCATCATCATCACCATCACCATCATCATCATCATCATCATCATCATCATTTTCCTTTTATTTCAATGGATTTCAATGGCAATTTCGGGTACCCATGCTGATACCAACCCAGCCATGTCCGTTGACTCTGTTTGAATCATCTCACCTCAGCGGACACTTCTCTGTACCAATCTCCAGGCGGCACGACCGCTCAAACAACCTGTAGGGGTTTAAGATATCATGCGACTGTGCATATCTATATATATATATGTGTGTGTGTAATGTAATGTAGTGGAACGTAGTAATGTAGTGTGATGTAAATGCAATGCAATGTAATGTAATCTAGTCCAATGTAGTGTAATGTAGTGTGATGTAAATGCAATGCAATGTAATGTAATCTAGTCCAATGTAGTGTAATGTAGTGTGATGTAAATGCAATGCAATGTAATGTAATCCAGTCCAATGTAGTGTAATGTAGTGTAATGTAGTGTAATGTAAATGCAATGTAATGTAATGTAGTGAAATATAATGCGGACGTAGGTGCATACTTGTATACGGTATACTTCTATACTTCTATCCTTGTATACTTGTGTACTTGCGTCCTTGCGTTGTGTACTTGTAGACTTGTAATGACTTGTGTGTATGCATACGTACGTACGTAGTACGTACGTAGTTCATACTATTTGCGTATGGAGTAAATTATGATTCCGGAAAATTCCGGATCACTTGCACACTCATATGTTCATGAACATCTGGATACAAACCACTGCGAGTGCCAAGTCCTTGAAGCTGTGATTGCCCACAATGATGTGGGGGGGGAAGTGTCATGGCAAGTGTCGAACGCAGGGATGGAACATGACCTAAAACTCATCCCATCCCCATCCATATTCATAGGGGAATTCCAAGTAAACAAGTATCTATGAACAAATCCAACACACGACTAGACCAGGATTTCTTGGTGGTATTAACTCTTCAGATCCGAAGAAACAAACAGTTGACATCTTCTCGGTTTCAAAGCGCCATAGGAGATCAGACACCTGTCCATCCTGTCCCAAATTTAGGGCAGGTAATGGACAGAAAAAGTCGACCTGCGGAATGCTATTTAATTTCAACAACCTTATCTCTGTCTGCCACGGCAGCAGTACCGACCAAGGGACGGCAGTCTGACAGTCCATAGGGGAGATGGCATTAAATCAAACCACAAGTATCAGTGCATTGAATTGACATCATGTTTCGAAACCTGCTAAATAAAATACAGGATGATGCTTAAACTAAACTACTCTAAGGCTTTCATTAGATTACAAGTCGTGTAACCACCATCAGTTGATTGCACAGATTCACACGCCCCAATCTTTTGGGTCCATTCAGCTGCGGTGGTAGGGACCTTGAGTCCCTTGAGCGTGCCCAAAGCCGTGTGTCATGCTGAAACCTACTAATTGGACGATAAAAGTATTGCGCCACAATAATCGCAAAGAAGTCCTGATGAAACAAATCACACACACACATACATATATATATATATATAATCATTCATATACAGTGTATATATATATATCTACCATTATCTACCTATCTATCCACATGTTTGATCTTTAGATGGTTAGACTGGTTAGACCCACATGGCTAATGGTTTTGGGTTTCGCCTGTTTCTTGCGGGCAGTCTAGCACCCGAAAGCGCAGAAGTTCTACTGGCTCTCAGGCATGCCCAAGCCACCACACCACTCCCACAAGGACCTGGGCGTGAGAAGTACCGGATATGTATATATATATATATATGTGTGTGTGTAGCATCTTACACATGAATATGATACAGCACGCCAATCATTATCTGCACCTAGGGCAACTACGGGGATGTGTACATATATATATATATATATATATGAAGAGCCATACATGCACATATACAATATATAATATATATATATATAATACATACATATATATATATATATATATACAATATGTGTGTGTAAATATGTGTGTGTGAACGCATACATATTACAGTACAAACAAACAAAGGCACTGGGGTTCAAAATGTAGATTGATATGCCTGTGTGTGTGTCATGCATGCGAACGGGTTATGAAGGTTGCACTGGCCGGCTCTTGCATGAATCCAGCAGAAGTAGTGTTGCAGGGAAAGATCCCTTGAATCTGCAAAAAGCCCCTTAAGCTTACTACCTTGGCATTTCCAACCATGAAAACTGGTCAGACCACCCAGGTCGTACCCCAATCTCTCCACGAGTCTCCCATCGTTCCCTTTGCAGAGCCACCAGTACTGCAAGCACTATCCACAAGACCTCAGGGCTGAGGGCTGAGGGTCACACAAACCAGCTATCTGCGGCCCTCCCTGCGCGGCCAAGGCTTTTGATTGCTCTTTTGATGCTGGGCAAGTGTGGCGCCTGGAAACCGCAGACATTACACTGCATCATTGGCAGTGCCCCTTGTCATAATGTATTTCAGCTTAAAAATCATCACCTGTTTGACGGACTAGTCTCTAGTCTAGCAAACATCTTGGCCGAGGAACGCCTCCAAGGCATTCATGCAGCATTCAAGGGTGGTCGCTAATCACTGTTAATCCTTGTGAATGCCAACATGTTTGGATCATCTTTGATCCATTTGGGTACGAGCCAGTCTTTACGTTCCTGAATGCGAAGAACATCCCTACTCCTACTAGCGGCCCGCATTTTGCAGGCCCTCTAGAGAATTTCTACCTGGTGAAACGATGGCCCACCTAACGGCTGGTGTTTTTCAAGTTGCCCCCCAACAAAGAATTCATGATTAACAATCCTTGGTGTATCCATCGCCACAAAAGGTGGAGATACACCCTCGAATTGTGAAACGGGACACACACACACACACACACACTTGCTCAGAAGCCACGTTCCCAAGTACTATCATCTTTGTCCATCTTCCAAGTCCACTGTTTGGCACTTTGTACAGGGGGTCCATCTTGGTTTCCGATGGTGTGCTCATAGCCCAGATTCTCAAGAGGGCACTCAAACACCAGCTGACTAGCTCATTTGGCTTTCGCGTTTCCGGCTGGATGCCTGTCGACCTGCAAGTGGGCAGGAAACCAGGTATAGGATGGTATAGGCCTAGGCGGTATAGGCGGTACAGGATGATAATGGATGGTTTCAACATGTTGGCAGTAAGCCTAGCACCTGACTACAGTATATGGGTTTGTGCGAAAATTGCTTAGTTAGTGGGGTACCCCCATATCCATTGGTTAACCATCATTTTATCTTTTCTATTAAAAAATCAAGTTGAGGAGGAGTTTCCCAATTCCACATAATATGATATATTCGATGATAGTTCGCTGACCCTTGTGTGGAAAGTGGCCACAGGGTCCATCCAAACTCGGAATAGGTGACCAACCTTGCATGTACACATTCAAATCATCCAATGAGTGCAGTGAGATACAGTGAGTGCAAAAGTAATCCCTTTTCCCTATGCCCTATTACAAAATGTACCCTTAAAATCTCGGGTCCGTTTCAAGTTTGGAAAATTGCAGATTGACCCTCTAACGACACAATTTGAAAATTAAGGTTCCATTAAGTTCCATTTGAGGGTTTCACCCCCTAATAAAAATTCAATAGTCAACTACGGGGTGTTTTTTATTAGGGTCCCTCCTTTAAAATCTAAATTATATGTTTTCATTAACGGTTTTAATTTAAATATTAGGGGAAATCCATCGAAATTCAATTGTTGGCAATATTTAATTAGATTTCAAAAAAGAGTTTAATCGATTTTGACATAGAAAATTTGAGTTTTCTGGTTAAGGTTTTAAATTTAGTGTTAGGGGGAAGCTTCGCACTCTAATAAAACTCCTCCAGGTGTTTGTTATTGGGTGGTTTAACATTAGATGTACCAGTAGTACCGCACAAGGCGGTGGTGGAAGTTTCAAAAAAAGGAAACCTATAGGAGAGGCTGGTTGCTGTGCATCACGGATGGCAGAGCGAATCCACTGATGGACCGAAAGGTGGTTGGAGTTGTGCTTTTTGAAATGGTTGCAGTGGTGAACTAACTCACTACAACTGCTGGATGTAGTGTGGTGTAGCGCAGTCGTAGTTGTAGCTGTAGTGTAGTGGGGTTGTAGCTGTAATGTAGTGTAATTAGTATAGTGTAGTTGCAGTTGTAGTTGTGGTGTGGTGTAATTAGTGTAGTGTAATGCAGTGTACTGACGTGCTGTGTACTGTAGGTCTAGTGTAGTGTAGCGTTAATGTAGTGTAGTTGTAGTTGTGGTGTAGCGTGGTGCAATGTAATTAATTAGCGCAGTGTAGTGTAGTGCAATGTAGCGGTAGTTGTAGTTGCCGTTGCAGTTGTAGCTGTAATGTAATGTAATTAGTGTAGCATAGTGTTGTGTAATGTAGTGTAGTTGTAGTTGCATTTGCATTTGTCGTTGTAGCGTGTTGCTGTGTAATTCGTGTAGCGTACTGCAATGTAATGTAGTTGTGGTTGTAGTGGTAGCCGTGGTAGTATAGTTGTCATTGTAATTGTAGTTGTAGCTGTGGTGGTGGTAGTAGTAGTAGTAGTAGGAGTAGTAGTAGTAGTAGTAGTAGCAGCAGGAGTAGCAGCAGGAGTAGTAGGAGGAGTAGCAGCAGGAGTAGTAGCAGGAGCAGTAGCAGTAGTAGTAGCAGCAGCAGCAGTAGTAGTAGTAGTAGCAGTAGTAGTAGTACAGTAGTAGTAGTTTTTAGTTTCTTGTCGTTGTTGTCGTTGTCGTTGTCGTCGTCGTCGTCGTCGTCGTCGTCGCTGTTGTTGTTGTTGTTGTTGTTGTTGTTGTGATTGTTGTGGTTGTTGTGACAAGTGGTTGTTGTGGTTGTTGTGGTTGTTGTGGTTGTTGTGGTTGTTGTGGTTGTTGTGGTTGTTGTGGTTGTTGTGGTTGTTGTGGTTGTTGTGGTTGTGGTTGGGGTTGTTGGTGTTGGTATTGGTGTTGTTGTTGTTGCTGTTGCTGTTGCTGTTGCTGCTGCTGCTGCTGCTGGTGTTGTTGTTGTTGTTGTTGTTGTTGTGGTGGTTGTTGTGTATTTAGCACAGTGCAGTGTAATTAGATGTAATTAGCGTAGTGTAGTGTAGTGTGATTAATTAGTGTAATGTAAAGTAGCGTAAGTGCATTTGCATTTGTAGTTGTAGCAGTAGTGTAGTGTAGGGGTAGTTGTAGTTGTAGTTGTCTATCTATCTATCTATCTGCAAGCTTGAAAACGAAGCAACTCTGCAAGGCTTCCTCAATTTTTGAACTTGACAACACCAAAAACGCAGCAAGTCTGCGAGACTTCCTCAATTTTTGAACTTGACAACATCAAAAACGAAGCAATTCCGCGAGACTTTCTCAATTTTTGAAGTTGGCCACATCAAAAACGAAGCAATTCTGCGAGACTTCCTTCAATAATGGAAAGTGCAGAGCTGACGGCCTCGTACCAATGAGTTTTGTGATTTTTCCAGTCCATGTCACGAAAAAGTGAGGCCAGGTCATACGAAGTGCTGCACCTGTCACACAAAATCAGCTTCCCAAAACCGAAGATCTCATGCTCCAAAGTGCCACCTCTCTCAGGAAATCAGCGCCCTGACCTCCGAACAGCTCTGACGAACATGTCTCTTGCACTGCGCCTGCCACGCGAAATGCATTTTCCAGGTCCTCTTCAAATGTCCCATGCCTGCCATCGTTTTGGGAAATGCTACAAAACCCCCACGTTTTGTTCATTTTTGGCGCGGTGTAAAATCCCTGGCGCCTGCCACGCAAAACCACATCTGAACCTTCAAAAGTGGTCCGGGCATGTTGTGCTTTTAACGTTTTGACTTGGACATGTGCTTCGCGCCACAACGGCGTGCACTTTTTCAACATCTCAACTTCCAAAAGTGCTCCGAAGCCGGTGTGTTTTGTACATTTTGACTTCGAAATGTGCTTCGCGCCACAACGGCGTACACATGCGTACTCTTTTTCGACATGTCAACTTCCAAAAGTGGTCCGACACTGAAGTGTTTTGTGCATTCTGACTTGGAAATGTGCTTCGCGCCACAACGGCGTGCACTTTTTCGACATTTCAACTTTCAAGAACAGTGTGTTTTGTGCATTTTGACTTCCAAATGTGCTTCGCGCCAAAACGGCGTGCAATTGTTCATCTCTCATCTGCCCAGCGGGCTCCGCTCCGAGCCTTTTGAATTTCCGAAGCCACAAATCATTGGAAAAACACAGTGTGTCGCGACTTTCCTACCTTTTCGCGCACCTGGATCTTCTTTTTTCTGAGACTTTCTCTGTTTTGATCTTCTTTCGTCTTCTCTGCTCTTCGCTGACTCTTCCCATCTCTGCTTTTCATCTGTCCATATTGTGTCGGAAGTTTGACTTCTAAACTTCCTTCGATTAGGGAGAAGGGATCATGGTCATGAGGAAAGGGACATTTTACGCGCCTGGTTAATTACCAGAGGCGGCATGCGTGTTCTGTTGTGTCTTAAGTTTCAACCCTCCTAAGCCGTGACTCTCCAAACCACTGTAGGGGATACAAATGCCATTTACACCCAGCCACTTGCAGTGCCGCCACCGCCACACCCGTTGCAACGTTCTGGTGGCGAAACTCCTACAGCTGACTCTGGGCAGCGGACCTGAAAAAAAGAGAATCAATCGTACCAAACGTAGTACACCACCCCAATTTGACCACTATTGTAAAAACAATCCCAACTAATTAGTTGGAATTGGGAGTTGGTACCTTGGGTTTATAACATTAAATCCTTCAATAGTGATGGTGAAAGAGTTTCTGGCATCTAGATCCTACCGATTTCAAAAAATATTAACTTCAGACACAATCACTGGTGAGACATGGAAAGCAGCCCTTGTGGCAGCAGCACGCAGTGCCAGAACTGAAGCTGCCCTTACAAGACAACAACCCTGGAATTTGTTGGGGAAGGTTCACCGGGAACCGGGAACTCGTTCTATTGCCTCACGGATCGCAACAGTTTCTTGTCCCTGAAAGCCCAATGAAACAAGAAACAGAAGTGTTCGCGAAGCATCTAACGACACCTGTCCTGGTGCTGCTGTCGCGCCCGGCTCAAGGAGCTGCTTGGCCAAGTGCTCAAATTTTCGTTCCAAGCTGGCATGGCTCTCCGCAATTCTCTTCTCCAGCATTGCACCCACCTGGCAGAACACTCTATAGAAGAAAATCATCAAATTTCACGCCAGATGAGCACGAAATGTCCCAAATCAGACGTAGGTCTACTAAGTAGGCCCATCAGTCCTGTGATGGTCATGAAAGTCATGGTTCCCCAAAAACCAGCCATCATGGCAAAGTTATACCCACACTGTACAGAACCAGGTCTGACAGGCATAGTGCCCTCTATGCCTCCAACACTATAATATAAAAAGAAGCCGCTTAAACCATATGGGCCACGGTCAATATTTAGTAAGTATATATTCCAAGTAATCAATGTTTGAAGAGTGTATTATCGTTTTTCAGGTTTTGGGAATATAGCAAATGTTATCGTTTTTTGAAGTGTATTATCGTTGTCCAAGCCCCAGCTCAATTTCCAAAAAATAAAGATGTCTCGTCTCGGAACTACTTTCCATTACGGTAAATTTTGGCTGTAGCTCATATGGGGTCTTGTAAAAACCCCGAGCCCTTTCAAATGGTTTTTCCACACGTTATCGTTTTTTTTCCTCTTGTCGTTTTTCCAAGCGCTGGCTTCACATCTTGACCAAAGGATTCACATGAGCGAGGAAAGGGAGAAGGAAAAGGAAGAGTAAAGGAAGGGAAAAGAAAGAATAGGAAAGGGAGAGGAAAAGGAAAGGAAAAGGAAAGAAAAAGGACAAGGAAAGGAAAACGAAAGGAAAAGAAAAGGAAAGAAATAGGACCGAATAGGAAAGGAAAAAGGAAAGGAAAAAAGGAAAGGAGAAGGAAAAGGAAGGGAAAGGAAAAAGGAGAGGAAAGGGAGAGGAAAAGGGCCGTGTATCACACGGACCATTTTTGATGCCAAGAGTTATCGTTTTCGTTATCGTTCGTGAATCCTGTGTACGTTCCTTTTTTCTGGAAATGGCTTCAATCATCAAAAAAGGAGTGACCACCTACCAGGCACCTTCCTTGTGCAGAATCTGACACGCATTCGTTGGCGCGCAAATATGACAACAAACAATATGAAATGAAGAAACCAAAAGCACTTAAATAGCTGCAGAACGACGGATAAATAAAAACATTGGATTTCAAGAGTCTGGACACAGAACGTTATCTTTTTTTTTCCCTCTTATTGCTTTTTCGAGTGAAAGCTAAAAATGGCTCATGTGGGATCATGGAAGACTAAACGAATAGGCGCGGGGGTTTTACAAACTCCCATATGACAGCTTTGCTCTCAAAAGAAAACTTAAACGTAGTAAACCTATGTAAATCGAATGGAATCCTGGCCTCACTGACTGAATCTCCATGTGCCAAACGTCGCCGCAAGACGTCGCGATGGGGATTCACTGGCTGCAAGACTTTGGGACTCCTGGCCACCAGGGGTGTCCCATTTTCATGGCATCTTGGGTCGATTTTCCAACGATCCAAGCTCAGTTGCTCTCTCTCTGTACTGAAAGTCATCACTGTAACCGGTGTTTCTTTCCCAAAGCTGCAAAATTGCCCCCCCCAAAAAAAGGGGATTTCATGATCTGCCCATAACCACCAGAGTCACTAGAGGCCGCTGGCATCTTGGAATCCCGGGAGGTCCTACTGCTAGTGCTGCAGTGCGTCAGCACCCGATCCACATCCAGTGTGCCACTTCGGCCGAGGCCGCCGAAGGAGGCGTCTCCTGGCGGTGATGGCCCAGGTCCACCCTGCGAGAAACCGGGGCAAAAATCGGAAAAAAACCCTAGAAGACTGAAATACCAATGGTATACCATGGGTTGGGCCAAGTACAGGAATTTGTGTGGAAAATTGGTAGTGACAAAAAAGGCAAAGCAGAATAAAGCAAATACAAAGTTCTGACTATACGTTCAGATTAAAGAAACGTTGCATCCCATGAAATTCAATTTTCTAATTGGGAACCTAAGAGTCTGGTTTGATCGAAAATGGTGCCTCCTCACAGGAAGATTCCCCTCCCAATGCAGACCCTGTTGGCAACCCCCAGCCTTCCCGGGACCCCCCTTGACCAGTCCTGTAGAGTTACCCCAGGTGCCCACCAGCGTGCTGAACTCTTCGTAGGAAACATCGCCTCAGGTCACAGGGGGGGGTAGTTCCTATGCCGAGAACATGGGCGGCCAAGTCCGGTTTTAGACAATTTTTTGGGCCCTTAGCAGTAACAATTGGGTTGTTTCACCCCATGTAAATGTATATAACTGGTACCTGGTAATTTCACTTGGACATTTGTAACGTATAAGGGACCATCACGCATTACGAATGGGTTTGTGCACCCTCTGACAAAACAATTTTCAATGAGGTTGTGACACGTTCATTGCCATGCAATTCCAATATAAAAGCCGTCATACCTGGGAGACAGAACAGTCAACCAGCTGTTCAGTCAGAAGTCTGGAGAGTTTCAAGTATGCAGTTTCAAGTATGCATAAATGTATATACTGTATATACTGCATATGTATATATATATATTTATTTATGTATGTATGTATATATACATAAGATACGTATACACGAGTATATATGCATGTCATTAATCGTGTAAACTGATGCAACATTATGATACATGATGTATCATGATGTATTCCATGTATTCCTTAAGCAAAGGATTTTCTGCGCCCCACGGTCCCACGACATGCGACCATTGCAGTCCAAATCCAACTCGGCCCATCGGATTTGCAGCTCCAGCCCAGCCTACAAGGACGGATGACCCCTGTGGTCCCGGTAGCTCCCGGGGGCCCCATGGCTGTCCCACCGGATCAAGACATCTCTTAGAACTTTTCATGGATTCAAATGGATATGGTTCTTAAATGGATGTAAAATATTGTAATATCTCCTCTAAATGGCGAAAAAAACAAGTGATTTGAAAGAAATATGTCACTGGGGTATGCTTAATTATTGGTTTCATCACTTCTATATATATAACCGCTATTACTATAATGATTGTTATAATTCATTCCTATTGTTATATTATGTCAATGTAATCATTCTTGACAAACAGTACTAATCCAATCCCCCTAATATTGCACCCTTCCATTGTATGGTCCCAAATATGTATAGATCCCCTACTAAAAACCATAGTTTCCGGGTGGCGTTTATTATCTTTAGTACAATTGGAACATTACATAACATTACTATTGATACATGTATCTGGGTAAATTATAATATTTCACTAACCTGAATTAAGGCCATTTGGGGATGATTTCCCTTATTAACCATGATTCCAGTGAGGTCGCAGTGACGTCGTTATAATTTACCCAGATGTATGTGCAAAGACATGTATTGATATACTATTCTCATCATCAGTATCATGTTGACACCATAAACTGTCATCTAGTACCGTTGGCCATTACTATTTACATTATGTTGACAATATTTATTGTGATATGACTGAGTTTCAAGATCATATCAGTAGTAACTTTAATACTCAAACATCATGTATAAATATGTATAATACATACATATATATATATAATATTGAAATTGACTCTCTCTCTCTCCCCCTCTCCATTGACATCAACATTGACTATTATCATCTATTATCACTATTATCATCTTGGCTAGATTATCATCATTATATTGTTAGTATCACCGGTAATACCAGCAGACTATCATAGAATTACTGCTAATATTACTATTGATCTTACCATTAAAAAATCATAAAAATTGCTATTAATATCTATTGATATCTATTAATATTACTATTGTCACTGAAGTGTCACCATTCTTCTTGGCTTCAAGACCTTGCCCAGGCCCCCAAGCGCCTCGAGACCCAAGGGCTCCATGGCCGCCTCGAAGCTGCTGTGAGTGATCAAGGCCGTCCTAAGCCATGGCCCAACCGGGGAACATGCTCCAACCCTTAAATGTTCAATAGTTGAATGTTGTTGAATAGTTGAATATGTTCTAGACTATATATCTTATATCAATATTATATGAGTGTATCATATATTATGGGTGCACATCTTAAATATTAAGATTATATGCATGTATTATTTACTAGTGCTAGATGGTACTAGTGCTAGATGGTCTCTGATACTTCATCCGCATGTCTCAGCTGGTGGATATATCCAGGTTCTGGTTGGTTCAGGTGTGTTGCCGGGATGGGTGATCATGGTTTCTGACCAGTCCCGGTAGGCCCAATAACCATCAGCCAATTAAGGGTCTGGACCTGTGGCCGCAATGATGCCACCAAGTTCCCCATGGAGAATTGGTTGAAGGCATCCTCACTGGTGTCAAAAAGTTTTCGCAGTTTCACCTTCAAGTCTTCCCAGCTCAGCTTCCAGTCAACCTGTACATCCTGGCGGCACTGGGCACCTGGTCACGGTACTCAAAATACTGTCAAGGTGAGGGCCAACTGAAGGAACTCTGCAACCAAAAGAAAAAAACCTGAACCTGCATGAATCCTGATCCTGTATGAACATGATTAAACATGTTCCATTTGGAGCCACAAATGGATCCATTTGGCGCATAGTCCTGGTACTCCAAGAGGTTCTTCACCAGGAGTAGGAAGCTACCAGGGTGGCTTTGCAAGACACTCATGATGCTGGATGAATGCACCTCCAAATGGACAGGGGCCAATGACCCGGACATTGTTTCTCCAGGTATTTTCCAGGCGAGGTTTGCCTAACAAATCTAACAGTGGCCATGTCTGCTGTCATCCCTTCAGTGGCCAACATGTCATTTTCCTGTGGCCATCCTCATGCCAATCTATATAACCTGGAGATAAAATTACAGTGAATTCCAAACCTGAATTGGTGTTCAATGTTCCACGGTTCCCTTTTGTTTGCCCTCCTTTTTGGTGTTCTTGCCCGCGGGCCGAGTGGGGAAACAAACATGCCCTGCTTCAGTGGTGGGTCTGTTCACTGTTGGGTTCCTTTTTATGGTTGGCTACTGTCAGCTTCCATGATATGCCTTCATATCTGCAAGTATCATGACCTCATGCTATACGTTAGTAGACATGTGTTACCAAGTCTATGCTATACAGTAGGTATGCAATGACTTTTTAATGGACTTCATATCATCATTACCTCCATTCTCATGCCCACACAATGGGGGCCCTACCCCATTTTGACAGAACACGCATCCGAGATCAAAAATCATATGATTTCACCATTTTTCCATGATTCAAGCATGGTAACGGCCCGGTGTTGATTGCTATTTATCGCCATCCAAAAAAGCAATCTGCCAGTCACTGCTCCAGGTGTACCCAAATCTTGATAATCTTGTTCGTAAATCTAAATCATCTTTTTGATAGAAAGGATGCTTTAAGTGTACGTATATATAAATGTATATATATATACATACATATATATATATACATATATATATATTACGAATAATTCTTGTGTATAGTTGTGCAATTGTGTGCTATATTTTATATATATATATACACCGTATATGCTTCGGTAGGATCTGCGGTATGTGTATATATATGAGATATGTATATGTATGTGTGTGTGGGACAAATGGTCAAAGATATACAAAAAAAAAATATAATATGTGTATATAAAAATATGTACATAGACATAGAATGAAATAGACATAGACTGCCGAATTAAATCTAATTATATAATAAATTAACTATGGTCCCATGGTGAATGTGCAAAACTGGCCACATCTGGCCACCAAACGTTTCCTAGCGTCACCGTCCGTTGCGTTTGACCTTGGTGGTGATGCAGTAGGTCCGCGCCATGATCCACGCCGTCCGTGGCGTGGATGCCAGGACGGAGACCTCTCCGAAGCTATCGCCGCCACGGAAGTACCTGGGATACCAACGGCGCGGTCTTCTTAACGGAGGTCCGTTAAGGAATCTATGGGAAACCCATGGAAAACCAAGGGGAAACCCACTGGACAATGATGGAAAATTGATGATTTAATGGATCTATTACTACCCAGTATTGGGGGTTCCTATTGGTGTTTGAAAAGAAAACAATTGCAGGACTGAAGCACCTCTGGTTTGCTTGGAGATGAAAGGCAAAGATGACAGTATTTGCACACATTAATATGGAAGTTTCATGTGAGGGATGAATCGATGACTGTGAACGACTCAGAAAGGAGATGGTACAAAAAGCAAAAGAATGCAATCAACACGAATCTTCAATTCATTCTTGCCGGGGCAAAGCACAGTCAATGCCTGCTCAAGGCTTGTTTGCAAGCTGGTGATGATGCCGTTTTACGGCTTGGGTCTTGAATGCGTAAACATCTGAGAATTCCTGCGCTGATCTGCTCTTGTTTGTGCTCTTGGCATCATGCCATGATGTCAGGTGATGATACAGAGTTTCCTGAGCATGTTGACCATTCCTCTACAGCTCAAGTACAGTATGCGAAAATCTAGCTCACTGCGCCCCATCATCCAGTTCTACATTATGGTCCCATGATGCCCTCCACTTTGCAGGTTGCAGCTTTCTGGCGCGCGTCCACACAGGCACGTGTCCACACAGGCAGTGTGCGTCCTCTTCAAGGTCATTGCCCAAGGACACATATGTGATGCCAGTGTCACCCGCGCAGTCATGCGACATCTATACTTTGGGGTTTGTCAATTCGTCTGAAAACAAGGTACCCCCAATGCTTGGCCACAAAATGAGCTACACCCACAATTATTGGACAAACCCACCTGGCATGGCTATCAAAATCGAGCAGAAAGGTGTCCAATCTCAGTTCTGGCATCAAGCCCACTGTCCAATGGCCAAACGCCAAAAGCTGCAAGAGCAGCTCTGCTCTCTCTTGACGGAATGACCATCATGGCCCAGCAGCAACAAATTGGCTGCTGACGGATTTGTCTCAAAATGTTGCTTTACCCACAGTTCGCAATGTTATTGGGGTAAATGAGGCCTTAATGGGTGTTAATATGTTTTAACTCTACACCGTGGGATTTTGGCAGTTCTTATGTTCGAGACAGACGGGTCAAGGCAAGCAAGAGGGCTTAGGCTTAAACACTTTTAAAGGCTTTGTTCATCCGAGCTTTCTGCACTCTTGCTTGCTTGAGATTTTGCGGTAGTCGCCTGCAAAGCTCTCTGCCGGTCGCGGGGATAGGTGTAGTGTGCCAAACTGTAAAACAGAAAGCAAATGACACAGCCGATGGCACATACGCTGTAGATACCCTGTGCCAGGCTTGATGCATCCTCTGGCGAACAGCTCAAAGTGTTGGCCCTGCTGGGATCGAAGTGAAAGATGTGATCTGCAAGCCACCCAACGATGGGCTGCCCAAATGCACCAAAGGTGCCTTCAATTGCACGGTCCAAGGCATAGACGTAGGTGTAGTTTTCTCTCGGTACCACATCACTGAACATCTTGTTGTTGTTCATCATGGTGCTCGCAATCAAAGTGCCAGTGATGAAGAAGGTGAAACAGTACACCAGCATAACGTGTTGAGGCGAGTCTGTGATATTTCCGTGGACCCCCTGTCCCAGGCCAAAAAAAATCAACCCAAACAGAGGGATCGATGCAAAGACTGCACTTTGCGCCATGGCTGGTGGCCCATGATCTGGGAATCGCCGGCAAACCACATCCAGCAAGACACCCCCCAAAGCGTTGGACAAGGCGGTGCCAAGGTTGAAGCACATGTAGATGGAAGCCGCCTCCGCGTTGGAAAAACAGTTCAACTCCAACCACATGGTGAGATAGCTGAAGGCGAACCAAGGGGCAGTGCCAAAAATGCCCTGGCCGATGATGATCAGAAAAGTGGGCAAACAAAAGATCTGCCCCAGCCGTGGTGTTTCATCCCTCAGAATGTCCAGCATCTTCCGCTGTTCCACCTGGGATGAGGATCCCTACGGCATGACCAAGGCCAGGGAGGTGCTATCTAATTAATACAAAATGGAGTATAAACACCAGGCCACCTGTTTCACCACCATTTCCAGTGTCTCATCATCCCCCCAAAAAGGAAACTGAGGGCCCCTGGAGTACGTGGCCTGTGCTGTGTCGGTCACCAGTAGCAGCACCAGGAGTCCAATCAATGCACTCAGCGCCGAGATCAAAATCAAGGCACATTGCCAGCCAGCCACTCCTCCAAGCTGCAGGGGGGCAATGGCAGTGGCACAAGCTGTGAAGGCGGTTTGCCCCAAATTTCCTGCAAGAAATTGTGCGACTTCGAAGCATCAAATGGAGATTCATGGCATCTGAATTCACGGCAAGGGCCGGGCTCACCACAGTTCAATATCCACAGTTCGTAAGTTCGGGGATATCCATTGGCATACATCTCAAGGTCAAATAATAAATGTGTCATCTCAAAAAAGTTAAGGTCACACAAAAGTGGTGAGCGTTCCTTTCAGTCTCCCCTGACCCCTTTGGAAAAGGCACTAAATGTCTTGTGGGGCCAGTCTATTTTGGACATGGTGCGGATATGTATAGAATCTGTGGTTGAATAGGTGCCAGAATAGAAAAGGAGAGTGAGAGGGAGGGAGGGAGTGAATATATTATACAGTGTGTGTGTGTGTTTGTTCTTGTGTGTTGTATGTGTTTGTTGGCATAGTGATAGGTGCAACTCACCGTCTTTCAATGCAATTTATTTGGCCATATCGCATTCCCTAAAATGACATGCAATGTCCATATGCTCATTATTTTATGTGCAGGTACGATGATGTAGATTTGGAACACTCACTTTCTACATTTTTCTACGCTATGTGCGGTAGGCACCCAAATACATGCCGTGTGAGCTTCGCGTTTGCATCTGCAGAGAGGTGATATAAATTGATGTTGAAACAAATCCATCCTCACAGTCACATGCTCAAAGGTGCAAAATGGTTCAAGCAACCTATCTATATATATGTGTGTGTGGGCCACAGCCAATATTTAATATGTAGCTCCAAGTCATCAAATTTTGAAAAATAATGAAAAATATATGATCATTTTTCAGGTTTTGGGAAACCATGTTCAATGGTATTTCTGATGGTTTTCCGGCAAGGGACGAGATATTTCCTGAAATGCAGCATCAAGCGAAATTCTCGGGCATTCGTTTTCTTCATGGAACTGCCGCCACCACTAGCACAACCACCACTATCACATCACAACCACCACTATCACCCACCACTGTCACCACCACCACTATCACAACCACCACAACTGACGAAAGCTTCATTTTCACATCTTCCACGTTCATTTTTGTTGAGGGAAGTCTTGCACGAAAGCTTCATTTTCACATCTTCTACGTTCATTTTTGAGGGAAGTCTCGCACGAAAGCTTCATTTTCACGTCTTCCACGTTCAATTTTTGAGGGAAGTTTTGCGCGAAAGCTTCATTTTCACATCTTCCACTTTCAGTTCCAACAACTCATTCAGGAAACATCTGAGCCTTGCCATGTCTTGCGCTTGCTTGCTGCTCTTGGAGGAGCAACGCGCGCCAAGAACAACAGCTTTTCAATGGGCCGCGTCTGGCAGATAGGGATTATGTGATTTTTTGGCTATCGTTTCGTTGTCGTTCGGGTTATCGTTTGGGACACCTGGTTGGATCAAGAAAATCTGCAAAACAATGATTCTGGGAAACCCTTCTTTTCAAATTTCTTAATGCTGCTTGAACAAAGCCTGAGGCTGCCGCGGAAAACGAAAAGCACAAACTCCAAAAGGAATAGAGGAAAGAGCGGAATCTACAGCACCCACGCTGTTCCTGCCGCAAGGCCTCAAGGCGAGACCTTGCGGCAAAGTTCTTCTTTCCTTCCTCCCGCATGGCGCGTTGTCACTAATTAGCAAGAATTAAATTTATTCAGCATGCAGCGCAAACAGCAGCATAAACAGACCATCACCACACAGCAATGCACATCGCCAGGTACCACCTTTTCAAAACAGGATTTTGCCGTTTGCCCATCTCTCAAACAGATGGTGAATGCTATTGAATGCCTACACAAAGGCATCGAATGACCGAATAACTTGCACCGTAAGACAAAGGATGACTGATGACCAAGATCAAACATAAGCAAATGTTATCGTTCTTTGAAGAGTGTATTGTCGTTTTCCATGCCCCAGCTCAATTTCCCAAAAATAGAGATGCCTCGAAGTCTACTCTCCATTACGGAAAATTTTGGCTGTAGGTCATATTAATCGTAGACACACTTTCCAGCTTTCCAGCCGATATCAGAATGGCCACCCCCATTTCGACCACTCAGTTCCAAGTCTCCGGTACAAAGCAAAAATCCAAAGGCACGCCCTCGACCGCTAGCACCGCTCTTGTCGGCAATCAGGCTGAAAAGCAAGGGCTGCACGATACCAAGACCAACGCCATTGACGGCACGGAAAATGATCATCCACCTCAAAATAGATTTGAAATGGATGGCCAAAGCAGGGTTCTTCAATGTTCCTTATAATTCCTCGGTGAATTTCACCGGTTTGGGGGTTGACCACTATCTAATATCTATCTATAATGAGTGAGCGGAGGTAGGCCATCCTTGTTGCGGTATCTTAGCAAATTGCATAAAAACAGCTGGAAGCTCATATCAGTCATTTTCTTCGGGCTTTCCCATCATTGCTTGAAGCTTCTCAGCATGTCTCATGTCCCTCATCGCCTCAAGTTGGGTGAAAAGGCACAGCCAACCAAGCCCAAGGCCCAGATATTGCAGCCCAAAGCAATCAGCCGCGGTCGTGGCAAACGATCTGCCAAAAACCCTGCGGGCAACGCGCAGATGGATTCGAAGATGCCACGTGCCAAGCCCAGGCCGCCCAAATCACCAGGAGTCAACTGGAAATGTTGCGCGATCTCGGCATAGACGGCTGGTAAAGCCATGTTGTCTGCACTCCAGAGGATCATCACTAAAAACAAGGTCACCATCTGCAAAAATGAAGAGTTCCAGACAAACTCCTCTTTCATCAACTTCTTATCTGACGAATCGTTTCTGGGAAGCAGTGAAGTGGCAAATGAATCGTTGCTGGATGATCTGGATGCATCCGATGTCTCAGATGCATATGCGTCCAGGCTGATAGTCAACGGCATCACCCGTGCAGTCAGTGTTCTACTGCTCTTCTGTTTGAGCACCGGAGCAACACGGCCACTACAGGAAAGAGACTCAGATAACTTTCAGTGTCGAACTGGGGAACTGCCTAAAACCCTCTCACTTGTAGAGGCTAGGTGCGAGTATTTCAACCTCAACATACCTCAACATACCTCAACCATTTAGTACTGACTCCCTCTAGTGAAATTATGGGAAAAAGGATAATGTCCATCGTTTCCGCCAAATACAAAGACGGAATCCCTTCCCAACTCGCCTCACCGCTTCGCTCTCCCACACTGGAGGCTCGGTGGTGACATAGACCCCAGCTTTACCGGATCGCATAAAGAAGATGTGATGATCCACCTCCCCGTTGCGGATGATGAAATCCTGGCTGAGAAGGGGCCAGCTTTTTGGGCCTCTTGGCTGAATCGAATCTTCAGTCATCCACGGAACTTGTTGTTACCCTCATCAGAAATTCATGAAATTCCACCATCATCAGAATATCAGAATCATCACCATCTAGGGATTTTCCCAGCTAAATCAGCCTCCATTTTCGATTTCCCAGCAGCCACCGGTGATTTCCCAGCACTGCTGTGCAGCTGGACCGGCTCCGCCAAGGAACCCCAGGCAGATCCACATGCTCTTGAAAATGTTTCACCAACTGCGAGATGACCTGACATCTGTGTGAGGGAGAGCACGAAATTACTCAAAAGATCCTTGTAATATATTGTGTTTGACTATACTTTCATAGTGCATAGGCATAGTAATTTGCAATACTTATGATGGATACATAATTACAAATTATTCCATAAATTTGTGTAGAATATAGATATGTTACATATTAGTTACATATCACCTCCACTACATGATCCCATATGGCCAGGAAACCATCATAGGTTGTGATAAGATGTGCGAGGACCAGACAGCAAACGATCGAAGATCCCATAATCTTCATGTACTCGGAAAATATCGGACTATTGTTGCACATGTTTCTTGATTGAGTAATGGTACGCAAATGTCGGCAACAGCGTTGCGCCAGCTAAGCCAACCAACATTTACAGTATGATCGCAACTGGCATACCTCAGCCTGGGACAGTTTTTTTTGCACAGTGCAAGTCCCAATCCCAGCCACAAATGGAAGCAAGAAACGTCCTATATAATCACTCAGGTTACTTACCAGTGAAATGGAATGAGTCATGATGAGAGTATAATTACATATAATTACCCAGTCAACAACACTAGAAGTAGTACAAATTCTACAACGTGCTTAACCCAATGCCAAAAACATCCTACGCCCGCCTCAACAGGCTGCTGCCGAAAGTACCGCGCTCGTATGAGTAGCTCGTGGTACCTGGCCCAAACCCTTGATCCGAATCAAGGATCATCCCAGGTATCACTGGGTTTGCTTCACCACCAAGAATGGAGATTCTACCATGTTTATCACCAAAGATGATTGTCCTTGGATTGATTTAAGGCCACATCTGCAGGACACCCATGAGTTTTGACCAACCGTGTTGTTATTTTGTACAGTAGATGTTCTGTTCCTCGTGCAATGGCACCCCCGGCTTTTGGAAATGCCGGACAGCCAGAGTTGAACCAGCAAGAAAAGAAGAATTGACCCACAAACATAAGAACCAGAACAAAATACATGGGGCCGTCTACAGTATGATATGGGGAGTTCAAAGAGCAAATCGACCATTTGGTTGATACCCAACACCAAATTGTCTGATGAGTATTTCTGTGCCAGCGTCTTCTGCTGCCACAATCAGAGTGGCAAATTCATGGCTAATCTTGTGTAATCTCAGATCCCCTGGGATTATAGCTGGGCAATCGATTCCTCTGATCATGGACAAACACAGAGGGTCCATGAACCTCTCAAACCAACCAAGGTTGGCCTGGTAATTTGAGTAAAAAATTGCATATATCTGGGTAAATTATAATATTTCACTGACCCGAAACAAGGCTCACAATCTTCCCTTGGCCGGCCAGCGCACCTGAAACAAGGCTATTTTGGGATAATAATTAGCCCTACTAACCATCATTCCAGCGAGATCGCAGTGAGGTCGTTATGATTTAAAATAATTTACCCATTACGCAATCACTGCAGTGCCGGGCAGTAAAACTTGAAGGTCGATCAAGAACTCTCTATGGATCTCTATGGAAGATGAGATTTGCCAGCTTGGATGATAATCCAAGGCAAACGCCACGTGGAAAACGATATCAACCCCGGATTGAGACACCACTCGTCACTAGTTTATTTCTTAAAAACGTGCCCAAAGTAGTGATAATCAGCTAAAAAACATTGATAATCCTTGTTAAATAGTGATCATCAGTTTATTTATGATAATCATTGATAATCTGCTAACATGGTGCCCAACCGTTACAATCAAAGGGGTGCCCATGGTCGTCAACGTCAGCTGCTGGAGCCTGGCCAGCCTCAGCTCCTCTAAAAGCGCTGCAGATAGGTTGCCTCCGGCGAGCCAATTGTCTTGGCGTAGCTCGAGCACTTACAGTAAGCACATACGTATGCAGCATGTATGTGCATGTATATATGAATGTGCCGATTTTGAATACACATTTGTCATTAAATATATTTATATATATATATAACATATATATATATACAGTATATCATGTGTCAACAAAAAGATGTAATCATGACCGCAATCACTAGTCGTGTGACCCACTCAGCCTGATTGTTCAAAATCATGTTGGATGAAGTGGTCGTGAAAGTCCTGGCTGCTCCGACACATTTTCCCACCCCAAATGCCTTGTGTCTCACCAATACATTTTTACAATAGTTACAATAGTTGATACCAGGGATTATTCACTTATCCCCATGATACTCCCATTAAATCCCACTTGTTTTTTCATTACACCATAATAATCCCAGGGAGTGCCCACCACAAGGCACAGGCGAGTCCTGATAGCACAGCACTCTTTGTACCAGGTCAGGATGTATTGCTGCCTGTCATTCGTCAGAAAACACATGAGAAGAAACAGCGTTTCAAATATATACATATAAACAAATAATTATATATATACACACATATACGTATGTTGAATACCTGCTAACCTTGTATAATACTAATCATTGTCCAAAACCTGAATGATAGTTAATTAAGCTTTTGGGCTATAGTTATTGTCCGGGCCGTAAATTACCGTTCAAGCATTTTAGACCATTCTGACACATGTCAAATCAGTGATATTATATATATATAATTATATATATAATTATATATATATAATTATATATGCTGATATAGCACTTCATATAATAACCATCCACATCACAAACATGATCCAATGATTCACCTGCAAAAGGGATCAAATAATAGTGGATTCTTATTTCACAGAATAAACCCAATGAACAATTATATATAAATTCAATGATTGTGGTGGCATACCACCCTGAACAACAGGCATCCCCATTGAAATGGTTCCATCAGAATACCCATAGAACCCTTTATGAGTGCCATCAGGTGCCACGCCTTCAGCCTTTAGGCTATGCCACTTTTCAGCTGGATGAGTCGAGGTGTGCAAGTGGATTAACATCACCCGTTTGTGCACATGGTTGCACCTTTGTTTCACGCAGTTGTGTCCCATATATATTCACTGGAAAATGGAAAGCATATTCCCTCAAATCCCTAAAGTACTCGTAGGTGCAGAAAGCTCAGGAAGAGTGCCAATAGTATATATCAACAGGTCTAACAAGACCTCACCATCTTAAGTATAGCATATTTTTCCAAAAACATCTGTTGCCTTTGTGCAACCCCTTGCCGGTAGCAATGTCGTTGGCTGAAATGGGAAGCCTTTGAAAGATGGGTACGCCTGCCATGTTTGGGAATGAACGTGGGATAGTTGGTTGGGTGACCCAGCCATGTCCAACCATGTGCAATGCAAGTTTCAGTCATGGCTGGTTTTCAGCCAGTAAAACAATGCGGATTATGCTATCAAATCAGTATATTTGATGAAGGCATTTGAAGGCCATGTAGGCTCTATTTTCATATATCATGGTTCATCTTGTGTTGAATATTTTTCAATGTTATAGGATCTCTGGTGACAAGCATGGATATCTCTTGTCAACAACCATGCATGCCTGGCCCAACCTCTCAGTCAACGCCCTCCTGCGCAGAGGATTTTGGCTGTGGTATAGATTGAAAGGGTTGGGGGCCATGGCAGTCCAGGATGTGATATCGGATAATTCACCTGGTTCATCCAGATCCCCAAAGTCTAGAGTTGGTGACTTCAGTTTGGAGGGCATCCCATTGCAGTGGGACAATGATCCCACAGTCCGGGAGCGGATGAGGGAGAATCAAAACCTGTGCTTAGCATACAATGAGTCAACAGGTCAAACCACATCAACCTTTGTTGATGCGACCATCAGCAACTTGAAGTTGAATGCAAGTGTGCTCAAGCCTTTGGTGGTTCTGATGAAGGAGAACGACCGCCAACTTCCATCGATTCATGCTCTGATCACGGCTGTGGAGAATTACTTTGTGCTTGCCAAATTGAGTCGCACCAGTGATCAGTGCTACCAGGAAGGTTGGAGTATCCGGAGACTGATTTCGAAACTCAAAAAATTTACCTATAGGGCTACGCCCCCCCAGGACTGGTTTTGGATCTGCTGTCTAAATATTCTTGCTATCCTACATCCTGTCCAAATATATATGATATATAGTTTCCGGATGGTGCTTTTCAATACGCCACTGTATAAACCCCAGTAGTTCACAGTAACCCACCGGTCTCCTCAACCATAAATGTTTTTGAAGGACGATGTCATCAGCGACCTGGTGGAAGCTATGGGGTTCAACACGGACGCAGAGGCTTGTGAGTACAGGGCCACATATTCATCAATGACCCCTATATATAAAGGCTGCATTCAAAGCTCTACATGGTTCTGGTTTTAAAATACCCCATGGGAAATCTAAAGTGATATTCTTGCGGTTTTTATTTGAACTATAGGCATCATCACGTATATACCCTCTGACATGCTGGCCCTGGCTGGATTAATTTGAGCAGTTCAATCCTTGTTTCAAATGTTGACCCAACTGCCTTGATACACACTATACATCAATTGTTATACAAATAATTCAAGGTCCAGTCCTGGTTTCCCAACACTATATTTTTGAATTGCAATGTACCATGGTTAATTATATATACCAAACCAAAAGGCCTATTTGAATTTGCATTGGGGTGTATTGGATTGATGTGACCATCTGTGGTATGACCATGCCTAAACGACCCCTCCAGGCATGGCGACCCACATCAGCCCGAGATCAGGAAGAACCGGATTCTTTGATGGAGGACAGCCAAGAGGTCGATGAGCTTCCTATTCAAGAAGAGGTGCAGCAGTACCAAGAGCTTAATTTGGATACCCAACCAAAAGACGTGGAAGCCCATTTGAACCAAGTCATGGATTCCTTGGTGGAACAACTGCCTCCAATTCCTTTCCCCCAGCCTGAACAGCCTCAGCTCCTCGCAGAGCGACCGCCTGCAGCCAAGCTGGACAAGGGGAAAGGTGCTCTCCCACCCGCTGCACCAGTTCCCACTCCATGCCGAACTGGTACTAATACCCCAAGTGTGGAGCCTGCTGGGAGTGTCCCCTTAAGGTCACTTGGTGCCCATGAGGATGGGGTGTTAAAAAACATGTGTTTCCAAAAAAATAGGGGTAGAACATGTTTTTAAACCATATATTGTTTTCCTACAACGCTTATATAATGAGATCTTGCAGGATCTCTCGGCTTTGGTGATTTCTTCGGATGAGGAGGCAGAACATGCATCATCATCATCCCAGATCCCACCGGGGTTGAACATGGATGTCTTTGTCCAGGCCATCAAAGATTTCCAAAGCATGAAGTGCTTTGACCTGATTAGATCAAACATGTTTTTACTGCATGGTTGGACTGGTATCCAAGACCAAATTAACTTAACCCTAAAGGATCCTCAAGAACATTATATATAAAGCTCAAATAGGCTTTATGATATAGGGTAAATCATTCTATATACGCATATATCAAAGCTCACCCCAACATCGCTTAGGTTGACTGAAGAAGCAAAGGCAAGCCGCGAAGCTGCTGAGGAGACGGAACGCAACAACCAACGTTTTTCGGTGAATTTGGGATTGGGTATACCACCGTATTGGCCCTTGAATAATGATTTATGGCCACCTTTGGACCTAACCCTCTGTTGTTTTTACTTCATTTGTTCCACATGGTTTCATATATATATATATAAAGATGAATCCGGTTTGACAACACAAATTTACCAAGGTTTGGGACTACATCTTGGAACAGAGCAACCCATTCAAGTGGTGTCAGATTCCTTACTTCCACAAGAGCCATGTGGGGACCAAGTTGATACCTTGATGCTGTGTTCCCCTTCGCAGCTCTTGACCACGGATGCTGCTCTCAACACTTTACGGGATTTGGATCAACATGACCGTGCCACTGAAGAAGAGGCTCACTAAGTTCAAACAACTACATGGAAACCATTTCTTTTTTTCGATACCAGTATTGTGTCTTGAAACGTTATATACAACATATTAAAAATTGATGGGTGATTACTATATAGTAAAAGGTGCATGTAAATACATGATTATATACTGCTTTGAATGCACCGCCCCATCCAGGTGAAAAAGCAGGGTCTGGAATCCATCCACATCCCTGACCACGAAGTGATCACACGCAGATCGCAGTTCAGAATGAAAAAGGACTTAGCAGATAAGAAGAAAGAGAAGAAACTGAAGAAAGAAGCTGAAAAGGCTGAAAAGATGAAAGCAAAGGAAGAGAAAAAGGCTGCCAAGGCAGAAGCTTCGAAGAAGAAGAAAGAAAGCAAGAAAGCTTCGAAGACTACCGGAGAAGAAAGCAAGATCAAGAGCAAGAAGACAGGAAGAAGTGCGGCTGAGAAAGAGAAAGGTTGGAAGAAGTCTACGTGTGATGGAAAAAAAAAGGTGAAATCGACAAAGAAGACCATGCCTCCAGAAGAGAAAGATGCCGCCAAGAAGAGCGAACCTGAGATGGTTGATCCTACCTTGCATGAGCCAGTGTCAATGGAAGATGATGTCAACATTCACCCTGATGAGTTGCCACATACCCCCTTCAAGGAGTCAACGGTTCCTTTGGATGGCAAGGAGACTTTCCCAGTGAAGAGTCCCAAGATGAAGCGCATCAAGAAGTTGGCTGGAAAGAAGGATGCCAATAAGAAGCAGAACAGAGCCAAGAAGGCAAAGGCGGTGAAGGAACAGGTGGAGGAAGACAAGACATCAAAGAAAGGTAAAAAGGAGTCAGACTTGTTGGAGAAGAAGACTGCGAAGAGACAGAAAAAGACTGGAGAACACATGCCTGAAAAGAAAAAATCCAAGGGCAAGACCATCACAGAGAAGACTGACAACGCAGAAGGCAAGGAAAACAAGCCTGCAAGCAAGCGGCAGCCTCGAAAGGCAAGAGAGGATGAGACCAAGGAAAAACGAGTCAGGAGAGGTGTTCAGCCACAGGAGGACATCCAAGTGAAACCAGTGGTGAGGGATTTGGTCCTCGGCGTTTTGCGAGAGTGCAAGAGCTCACATTGCACCCACCCGTCCTTTGAGCAACCCAACCCGGGAAATGGGATCTATGTCATGCCCTACTGGTCCAGGAACCATGCTGGGGTGTTAATACCGAGACACTTTGTCAAGAACCCACGCAAGAGCAGCAGCAGTGCAAATCCAAAGTCCAAGTCCAGAAAGGATCGAGGTTCCCAGGTTGCTTACTTCGGCAATGACACGCCATGCGCCTACACCAACATTCTTCTTGCTGGCGCCTATGTTTCTTGTTTTTGATTGGTGGGGCCAGGATTTCAAACCTAAAGGATATATACACATTAAAGTCAAGGCAGCACTGTATAATATAAGACCACTATATACACTTTCATCAACTGCAAGTGAAATCTAAGAATCTTTATATATATGCAAATAACCGTGCTCAACAAAACTGAAGCTTTGCACTGTCAAATGGATATACTTAAATGTTGAGTTTTTTTACTTGCATGGTTTACCATGTCCAACAATTATACTTGGGAACCAAAACAATTATCATCATTCCCTGCACTTCGCAGGCTGATGAATTGGAGAAGGAACTCAAGAAGGAGGATCCTGACCCTTCCTCGGATGACCTGAAGGTCTTGCGGAAGCAGCTGCATGCCTCGCACGCTGCAGCCTTGGATGCATGGCAAGCTGCTGAAAGTAGCCAAGCCGAATCCTGATTTGGGGAAACAAATGTGTCTTTACGCATGGCTCTATAGTTGAGCTGAGCCATCCGCTCTTTCAGACATTTGGAGGCCAAACATACATCTTTTTGGTTCAATTTTTTCCCATTGTGATTTTAGGGCACCATCCCCAAAGTATATGTGATTACAAGTTCAAAAGTGATGGATTTGAAATATATAATTTATTTCAAATATGTTGAAGACACCTCAGAATCTCATTGGTTTCTACATGGCCCCCAAAATCAATCCCATGTTCCATCTGTGGTGGCAAGAGATGGCTTCACTGTGCGATTGCACACGTTTGTGGCTTTTGGGGTTTTCGCCCATCTATGTTGACAACGATGTTTCTTCATATAGAACCCCATGATGCTGGAAGGCGGGATTGGTGATTTATTTGAAGAACTTGAGTATATACCTAATGAACCCACCAAATCATTGTTTCAATTTCCAAGCAGCAATCTGGGGAAGGATGATTCCTCCGTTGAGTGCATATGATGGTGTCTTTGCACCTTTAGCGTTTGTGTAACTGATGCACACAGCAGTGCATATACAGGATTCAAGACTCGATAGATGTGACTTCACGGCTCCATCAATCTTTCAACCATGCGTGATGTTGCAGTGGAAAAAGGTTGTGTGTTTTGGCAAAAGCTTCATACGTAGAAAACCCCATCGCCAAATTGATACCAGAATTCAATGGAAAATTACTATATAGAACATATATGAGAGATCATCTTGAATATACTGAATTAAAACCAAACGGTCCTATAGAAACTGTATACCATAATGGTAGCCACTCTGGTTAGATCAAGCTTAGACCCATCCAACCATTTCCACCAAAGAGCCTGTCAAGCTCATGCCAGGTCAAAAGCTGGAAGATGCCTCGGAAAGCCAGGCACGTCAGGAAAGGCAACAAAAATGCCTTGAAGCAAAGGGCAGCCACCACGATTTCAAGAGGTTAGCCGGGCTCGCTTATATACATGGGGTAATGCATGCATGTGGTTTGAGGAGGCCAGTTGTACCTAATCCTGGAAAGCATGCATGTGGGTTCTTTATAAGTTTGGCATATAAATAGATTTGCGAAATCATCATCATCATCATCATAATCATCATCATCATCATCGTCATCATCATCATCATCATCATCAATGGGTGATTGATTGGTGCCATGAACTCGATTCAGAAAATAAAAACGGTTGAAACAAATAGACTGAAAGATCATTCGAACATGCTTGTGGATATCAACCTATGCCCTTCCACATGCTGCTTCCACACTTGTTGGTTCAAACCAGGAATGGTAGAAGCCAAGGGTGTGAAAACTTCAATGCATATCCAAATGAAAATGCAATATAGTGCAACATCAAACACATAGTACAACATTCGTGACCTCAAGCCCAGCAGCCATGGCCACTGGAAGGGACAAGATTGGGGATGTCGTTTTACGGTTGGCCAAAATGCAAATTCCCAAAGTGCCATGGCCAAAACAATGCATTTGAAATTTGGTCATATACCCAAATATATACCCACATATATCCTTCCATATGATATGGTACATATATATAATCATATATAACCAATTGCGTCCTTCTATATTTGATTTGTGGGTCAAAATATTCGATATATCCCTTAGGGTATATATTTTCTTGGTGGTATGAGCTTCATCCACCAGGTATTGCCGGTTCCTTCCAACTTCTGTGACCCACACAAGTGTGAAATCAATGGTATACGCATTTCACTTGTATGAGCCCAGGCGTTTATTTGGATGGTCTTGCTGGTGGCATTTTCCAAGAATTTTCCCTCCTTCACGGAGGACACATCCAGCTGCATCCCTTTCCTTCAATCTGTGATTCAGGGGCCAAGTAAATGAGAATCAATCCAAACATTGAAGCATGGATGTTCCATATAGTTGTTTATTGCCATGGAGGATTAAAAAACATTGTTCCCTCTATTTAGGTTTTCCAGATCCCATAAGCCAAGAAACTTCCTCTGCATTCCCATTGCGCAGGACGTTGCATTCCTGGAGTTTTTCGCTGGGGAAGGCAATGTATGGCGGATGATGCGGGCAGACTCGATCAGCTCCATAGGCGTTGATATTCGCTACTCACAGTTCATGGGTCCAGATGGTCATGGGAATCATCAAAATCCCTTTGATATATTGAGTGATGCGGGAATGGGGTGGGGAACCTAGTCTCCAGTATCGTTTTTCTGCTTTCAAATTGCATGCAGTTTCAATTATATAAACAAAGCATGAAAACAGAGTCAGTGATGTTGTGCATGAGTCCAATGTGACATTTTTGGGGTACATGCCATCACCCCTCTTGGTTTATATACTAAGGCTCTACATCCATATGATTCTTTGCTGCCGATTTGAATCATTCGCAACAATTTGGGCTACGGTATGCTCAAGTTGGGTACGTATCAACTGTTTCACATCCCAACGCTCCATATTGTTGCCAGAGGGAGACACCTCCAAAGCTTACATTCGTGAAGCGAACTGTATGATGTCAAGGATTCTTGTTTCAAATTTAATTCAAGTTTTTGGTTGCATCCATGTAAAATGATGGCCAAAGGGGATATGCTTATATCATTCCGGGCCCCACCATGAATCTACACGCCAATGACTTAGGTGTGTGTTGCTACTGGCATTGGTCGTGGCATGTGGTGGCTCGTGGCTATTGGAGCAGCCACAGAGCAGTTGTATGTTCCATTACTTCCGAATGGAGTGGTTCCTCACAATGACCAAAGTACCATGGCTATATAGTTGAATGTTCTATATATAGGAAATAATGTATTTCCATTTTATTATATATACTCTTCGATCAACTATTTGATTTGATGGGTGTCCCATGGTGCCCCCTTCAACCAACCAAGCCTTCATCCATGCAGAAGTTGTTGATCCCCAAATGGTATATTCGAGTTTTCATTCCTTGGTTTTCCGGCTTGCTCAGGCATATGGAATCCGATGGTGGATGGGGCACTATGGTGCTAGCTCTGCGAAGCCCCAACGAGGGATTTGTAACAACAAGATGTTTGGCCACGTGAACAAAGGTAAATTCAACTACAAGGAGTTTCAGCGTGGTCAACCCCAGAAAGTGCAAACGGTGAAGAAAACCATTTCCAAGACAAGTGGAAAGACCTCATGGAGTGGCACTTCAAAATTGAAAGACACCCAGTGCCAATCTCATTTGTTTCTTATCTTCTCTTGATATACTTGATTCCATGCATGGATAACCAATTCATTTCAGGATCTTCTGTTTTTTATATTTGGGGTACCGGCTGAGGATCTACCCTCCAGCTTTCGCTGACAAGATCAAATCCCTTTTCCCTTCCCTGGTGACTGGCGCTGAGGGTATCCCTGAGATTGACAGTGCTGCAGACCCTTACCATGTTTTCGAGATGCTCCCCTGGGAAACCTGGGATGAAGCCAAGCTTCTCTCCAGTCTCAAATACCTGAGGGGAAACAAGGGGTTGCGAATTCCAGAGCCCTGGCTCAACATTTTCCCAAAACCTTTTGAAATTCTTCATCGCTTGGAAGAACGGAGGGCAGCCAACAGACACTAGGCTGCCTCCGTTGCTGGCCAATTAAGGCTTTGTGCCTGAACACCCTGGGAACACATGGTATCCAATACTGGTTCATGTTTCTTCCAAGACTGGCTTTGATCATTGTAGACGAAACCAATATAAAATTGAGAAAAATGGGGAAAATCCACCAAAACCCCAAAAAGTCTATAATTTCAGGTTTCAAACATGGACGTAAAAAACCGTTCTAGGGACGTTAATATCCGTAAACCGTTCGGATTACGTTCAAATTACGTTCAAATTACGTTCAATTACGTTCAATTACGTTCAATTTGCGCAAAAATTACGTAAAAATTACGTAATTTTTCAGCTTTTTTTTCAACTTTTTTGGTCAACTCGGGAAATGTTGTTTTTTGTGGTAAATTGATCGAAAATAATCAACATTCACTGGACCCCAGGGTGTTGTGACACATACTTTGATGAATTTCAGCGAAATCTCGTGGTATGAACCATGATCCTGAGCGGTTGCAAGCAAAAGTGTTTTGAACCAATGCCCATTGTCACTGTGACTATTGTGTTGTTGAACGGTTCTTAGCAACATATGCAAGTATATAGTGATACCTGATATGGTTCATGTTGACTTCATAGTTCCATTTTGGTGTCCATTGATCGAGTCATTATAGCCATTTCTAGGTGATTAGGGATCTTGGGTAGCGAGTGAACATGTCGGGCGACTCCTTGGTCAGCTCTATGCCATCCAATGGCTGGAGTTGCGAAACCCTTCAACAAGGGGTAGCTGCTGCAGCGCAGATGGCTGTTTTTTCGATTCAGCCAGACCAAATGTCACAGGCTGGGACATGGGTTTCTACATCTAGAAAAAGACACGGTGATATATTTATTCAAACTTCAATCTATATATAGTCATATATTGGTTTCTGGGCTTCTTGATTCAAGTCTGGAAGTTGGAACTTGTAATGGTACAGGAAACCACCATGTAGTGTCATAGCAGAATATGCCATGTTAAGTTGTGCACAACCTGGGCAGGTCGCCCTATATGTGATGAAGGCCTGTGAGCAACAACACCAAGTTCATTGGCTGCAGCTATTGTGCTATACCAAAGTGTTTGATTCAGATATATATATAAGACATGCAGAACTATATATACGTTCCCAAGTCCATCGAGACAGGTCCTATGTTATAAGAAAAAACCCTTTCATTTTCATTCATTTGAATCTCACATCCACTGCACTTTCAGCCCAGGCTACCCAGAAGCCAGTGTCAGTGAAGAAGGAGCCGAAATCACCACGCCTGGCACCGGCTGTGACTCCTGTGTCTGGGATGGTAAAACAGTTGAATATATTCCCAGAGATGGTTGTGAACATTTTCCTTAAACTATATAGTATCTAAGGACTCATCCAATGGTGGGAATCAGTCTTCACCGGATGCCGAGACTATCCCAGCGGATCCTAGGTTTAAATATATGTTTGGATCATACATGGTTGCATAAACTGCCCATCGTTTTCTGAGGATATTGGAGGTAGCCCCAGGGATGTCGCCAACAATGCTTCTGGTACTCCTGTGGCTGCGCCACAGCTTACGCCTGCCCATGTTCACAAAGCTGCAACCCCACCAAATCCACTGGCTATGCGACCACAGGTTCCAAGTACACACAGACCATGTATATATTATATATGATTCACATAATATATTTTTTCACATCCAGTTGTCATGAAAACCATGGCATATATATATATATATATGCATGTCATGTCAATAGCACACTGGCCCTGTCAAGGTCCAGATCGAGAATGCTGAAGTCACAGCTGAAAAGCAGAAGAACTTCGAGTTGATGCAAAAGATAGCTCACCTTGAGAATTTGGTTGCCATGCAAACCTCACCTGTTCCCTCAGTACACTCAGTGCCCTCAGCCCCAACAACTCCAGCTGAAACCTCACGGATGGAAGCTTTGTTGGAAAGAACGCTGAATAGGATTGAGAACCTTGAAGGAAAGATGTCAGAGCAAGCCAGAACAGTGACTCCAGCTGACCAGCCCAAGGAAGTGTCTCCTCAAACTGCCAAACCGTCAGAGAAACCCAAGGGCATTCCTGAGCCTTCTCCTGAAGATGAGGTGTCTGAAAGCGAAGGATCTGATGATGATGACGATGAATGGGTCACAACACCTTCCGGTCAACGAGTTACTTTGATTGACATTTATATATAAAAAGCCAGGTGTATATTTGTTGATATCAACAAATGTGCATATATACACACTATACCCCATCATGCCCATGCATGCTATATATGCAGATTTCAGTTGATCTAAGGTGAACATCACTTCTGACGCTCTTCGAATGAGAGCAAGAAGAATGTGTGAACGCAAACCGACCGGTCGCTGCAACGTGGACTCAGCCACGGCTGAGGCATACAAAACCGGAGGAGAATCCCGAGAGCTGCTGGAAATGGCCCTGCTAGAATGTCTGGCAAAACACGGGGTCTCAAGAAAATCGTACAAGAAAGTGAAGGCCATTGGGCTTCTGGTGAATTTGTTTATGAATTCTGATTCTACATTCCTTTCTATATATGTCAAGCCTTCTACCCAAATGGTCCAAACTATATATACCACCTTTAAAAAAATCAGCCTGCAGGCAGACTTTGTGACGAAGTGTCGCCTTGTCCGTGAGAGATTGGAAAGCCGGCAGACGGAGGTCAAGGGCAAGTGGATGACCCAGGAAGCCATGCGCAAGCAGTTTTCAGTTAAGTCCATCAAATCGATGGTGGCCTACTGCACCAGATTCCCGGAAAGCCTTGTACGGTGGGGGCCCAAGGGGATGTTGCTATTCATGTTCAAGTTGATGAGCTACCTTATATATAATTATATATATATATATAACATCATTGGTTAAGTTTTTGATCCTCTCAACTTTTTGAGTCACTTTGGGGCCCAACCCTTTGCCAACAGCAGTTTTTTTCAGGGCCTGGAAATACGATGACAAAGTTTCTGAGTATTTCGTGATCACGGATGATCATGCGCTGCACAAGAAGGAAGACACCACGGCGGAGCGACACGAGACAGAGCTCGATGAAACTTAGCACATTTTGAGCGCCAACCTGATCCTATATATATATAACATTATATAACTATATATATACCGGACCATGCATGGATGTCCCCTTTGTAAGAGATTATATACACTTCAAAACAACTTTAAGTTTAGATCGACAACAATGCATTGTCCATTCCTTCTTTTGCCATTCCCAGGATCAAGTCGCAAAGGCACCTCCACCTGGTTTGCCTGAGAACTTGGTCAATTTCCCGGATCCTGTGCCAAAGCCGGAGGTTGTCGGATCCCAGGACAGTGTGTTGGCTATGTAAGCATGTTCTCAAATTTAACTCTATGAAAAGAATGTTGGTTCACCTTGTGCATCATTTCTATAAAATAAAATAATGTGGTGACATTTGCATGCATGCTATATACCTCCTTAAATATGGACAAATCCCTGGCCAGCCTGTGGCCGACTTGGAATCCTACATGAGATCCCTCGAGAACAAGCAACAGTCTTTGCACACCATGATCGGGAAGTTGCAAGACAGTGAAGATGGAAATGCAAAGAAGTCCTTTAACAGCATCTATGTAGAATTTATCTCACTTGAAATTTCCATGAAACAACCCAGCAAGCCATTCTTTCCATCCAAACAGGGTCTCCAATATGCTCCCACTGTATCAGGTTAGTTGGTTGTTTCAGTGACCTGGAGAAGAAAATGGAGTTGAGCTATGAAAAGTTTGGGGAATACATGACCGAGCTGAAGTTGGACCATCGTGAAGGAGCTTTGGCCAGTGAACGACTGACTGCGTTGCTTGGTTTTTATATATAACTATAATTAACATACTATAACCCATTTGGTATATAGCCAATTTGGGGTATCACGTCATGCTATACTTATCCAAATGGTTCTTGCACCATTCACTGCATGTTCATTACCAGACCCAGCATGGAAAAAAATGCATGGAGTATATGTAGCTACATTGGATCAAATTCAGGCCAAATAGGGGTTATGTTTGGAATGGGGTTTTATCGTTTGATCCAACACCGTCATGCGTGGCGACCACATGAATGATGATGATGCGGAAGACTGGCTGCGAGAACTCTTGCAATACAATCGCGAGGCCCTCATGTTGACAAATATATGAATATCTTCACCATCACATGACAGAAACATTATAACATAACATGCATGAATATATAGAGCATCTTGCCGGGTCAGGCAAAAGTTGATCAACCTCAACTGGTGATTCAGAATCACCCAGGTGGGCCCAAACAGATGTAACATGATGTAACATGTTTGCAGCCACTTCTAACTTATAAATATAGACCCTGATCATCCTTCATGATCCCGCCGCTTGCCAGTCCTTTCGAGACCGTCGAGACCAGTGCAGCATCGCCATCATTGGTCCAACATCCTGGAGGCAAAGGTCTTGTCTCTTCAAAGGACCCGGGAGTGCTTTGAGAAAATTGAAGCTGACCCAGAACTGGACTATGATTTACCAAAACGACCTGGAATGCTAGCTGGCCAAATTCTCAAGTATTGCTTTGACAAAGCTGATCAAGTACTTGCTGCGCAAGCTCCATGTATTTACAAGTTCGGGTATACACATTGTGCCCATTTTCGATGGCACAATACAACGTTTGGATACAAATGTGCCCCCGACAAATGGGAGAAGCTGCTTGTGATCTACGCAGCCTCGGAAACCATTTCACCTGCTTATGTGGAAGGAGCACTTATCCAACGCTTCAAGGGTTTCTTGCCAAAATATCCATGGGGATCAAACACTGTTTTATATACACTTTTGGGGAATAAGACCAAAAGATACTCAAAGTATTCTGCCATCAGTTGGCCCTCGCTTAGGAGCTTCTGGTTGCAGGAACATCCGTGATGGAGGGGAGACGATCCAGTCTCACTTGGACGGCCCCTATCTTGTCTACTTGGTGTGGAGGTCTTTCAAGAGACCACCACAATGAATGAAGATGATTCTTACCATGCAGGTTCTGCGTTAAAAAATGTTTGCATGTTTGCTTTGCATAGACCACCAAAAAGTTGTGTAGCATCCACTCTTCTTGTTTGGGGTCGATCAACTTGCCAATAAGGCTTTTGAAAGATATTGCTGATCAAAAGCTTGATGTCAAGAACCAGTATCTTGGTACAACATGGGTTCTACTATTTTCGGACTGGGATGTGTTCATCATACATGGTTTTACATTCACAGTGTTCATAAATTTTATTTTTGCAACCATCTTAGGTGCTCCGCCCTGATTCCTTTGGAAGCACGCTACAGGCCAGCACTTGGAAGATCAAACCTGGTTTGACAATTTGATAGTTATATCCATCGATATGTTCCATCGACCATTGGATGGCTTAGACATCATTATATATGCAGGACCATTGACTCAATTATATAGTCAATTACCTCCTATATATCATTGGTATATCATTGGTGGCCTCGCCAGGCAACTCTGCAAAGATCTTGGCATTGGTGGCAGTTCCAAGGACAAGAAGGGCAAGAATAAGAATAAGAATAAGTCTCCTGCCGCTCCCAGCTCAAAGGGCAAGGGAGGCAAGGGGAAGAAAAACAAGGGCACCCCTTCCAAGAAGAATAGTGTGCCACGTAAAAAGAAGACCCAGGTAGCCAGTGCCCCAGAAGAGGACACGACGGCCTCGTCTGCAAAGGCCAAGGCTAAGAGATCCAAGCGCCAGAAAGTGGCCTGAGCGTCCAAGTGAGATTGGATGATCATTTGTCAAAGCCCATGCAACTTAAAATTGAAATGATATTCCAAACTTTATCGATATATACGGTTTTTGTGTTTCAACACTGTTTCCATGAAACTTTCAACATGTGTGGGCACCATTTTGGGGAAACTCTGAACATGTGGAGAACCACGTGGCAATGTCTGCCCAGCTCTCAATGCACTGGGGAATGTACGCATACAGAGCTTTATTAATTCCAATTCACTGTGGTCTAAACAAATCACCACTGTGATCCTGCGGCTATAGCAGCCACGACTCTGACAGATTTGAAGCGATTGGCAAGTGATCAAAACAGTCAAAGCAGTACTGCATGGGTTCGAAATGGCAACCCGTTTATGTCTATATATTTTTTTCTGATACCCACGTCAGATATCAGACTATATATCGATCTTATATACATATATTTGTTTTTGGGGGCAGGAACCAAGCGCAACATGCCAGGTCCTTCGCAAAAGGCTAAGCACCAGGCATGGAGGTATAGCCGGGGTGAAGCTTGGCTCCAAACCATGTTCAAACATGTGGTTCAAACATGTGATGAAATTCATTTTTTTACTTTGCAATCAATATATATTCATTCAGTGCTTTGACCTGGATACATTTGAGCTATCTACAATTCATGGCAATTTCCATGCAAACCTATATATATATAGTTATATAGTATCCAAACAAGATGATGCGAGTCCAAGCATGGAAACAAGGAACATGTGTTATCAGAGCCCATTTGGTCATTACGTCCCGTGGCTATGTCTCAGGAGAAATGCACTGACATCATTGCCTTTGCAGCTGCGGAGATGGCTGACGTGGCCGACGGGGTTCACTCAAGTCCCTGCCCAGTTCTTTCCTGTCTTGCAAAGGCGGATCCCAAAAAGTCAGACTCTTGTGTGGTTTAAAACTGTTTTTTTATCGATCAGTTTTGAATATGTTTCCCATGCAATTCTACCGGGCTACCATGAATGGAAAATAATCCCATGTTTCTTTCCGTACATAGGTTCATGTGTAATCACCATCATATTTATGGACTATAGGGATTGTACCACCATCTTTTCCCTTCTCATCACAACATTCACTTAGGAAGAAGCAGTCAGTGCTGCCTTTCGTTTGCACAACTTCTATTACCCTGTAGAGCTGACCACAGAAGAAGCACCACCCTTGAGTGGGTTCACATGGTTGAAACCATCAAACTTCATCCAAGCCATGTACAAAAACAACGATATATCCCATCTTCTTGGGGGTCATACGTTGGAGGAAGCTGAGGGTATGCTACTTACCTTTTGGTCTAGATTCCGAAGACTTTTCCCGAAGCACCAGCTTTGGGATGATGTGCAGTCCAAGGGGAAGGAGTTGAAGAAATGTATCCCACTGTTTCTACATGGAGACGAGGGAGTTCACTATCGGAAGTCTGGACTTTTAGTTTTGTCATTCCAGGGCGTCATTGGTTACGGTTCCTCAAAGAGATGCAAAGACTTGGAGAAAAAACATGGAAACGCTGGACAATCAATCCCAATCAATTTTCTTCGCACTGGCTTTCGAACTCGCATGCTGATTTTGGTGTGCCCCAAGGAGTGTTTGTGAATTATACAATCACCCAGTGCATCATATAGTTTTAATATGTTTTAATATTGTGTGCTATCATGGAGTGATTTATTTTTGTTTGATTCTATCTGCTGCCCTGCATGGTTTTGTTTGCATATAGCCCATCGTTCTTTCTATGCCCAGTCTGGCCCTGTACAGGACCATTATCAGGACGACAGACGCATCTGGAATGCAATGTTTGAGATTGCAAGCCAAGACCTCGCAATGTGTGAAAGGGATGGTGTGTATGTCGGGGGTAGTGCTGGACGTATTTACCCCATATGCCTGGCAAACAAAGGCGACTGGAGCTATTTGGTTTTTTGGTTGGATTTATCAATACTTTTTTTTTATATATATCTTTTGTGAAATCAAGTTTATATAGAAACGCAAATTGCGGCATTCTTTCTTTTTGGCTAGCCCCCAAAACAATAAAGCACTTGGTGAGTGTCTTGAAAAACGAATCAGGTGTCTAGTGGAAACTTGGAGAGATCATACAGACGAGCACCAAAAGGAGCCGGAGATGAAGGTGACCACAATGTTACTGGGGGTGGCGTCTGCCATTTGTGCATGTGCGGCCAGGGTGTTGATTGGGAAGACCTGTCACTATGACTGTGCTTTATATAACTACATTTTTTGTGTGTTTATCTGTTGCCTTGCTGGGTGCTGTTTATATATATAGTCCATCCAGGTCATATAAAACTATACCTGAGATCTACATCATGCATTATAGTGCATGCATATCTTTATATGTATACAATCATTCGCCTTTCCCAGGAATGCAGCAGATGCAGCAATGGACAAAAGCTTTGTTGATGTGCTTCCCCAACCATGGGACCGTGAGTCAGCTATGACACGTCTGTTGCTGGTTGATGCTGAAGTGAATGGCAAGAGCCGGTTCTTTTGTATAGATCCTTGGCATTGCATCCACCTTGGAATAGGGAAAACATGGACTGCATGCGGAGTGTTCATGCTACAAAGATTTTTGCCGGGGAGCAACCAAGAGGACAGGATTGCAAACTTTGGTGCTTTGTACAAAGCCTACTGCAAACAACGCAAACTTGACCCAATCCTGAGAAAGATCGATGTGCACACATTTGGTGCAGCTACAGAACCGATTGGAACCTGGAGCAAAGCCACCGTAACCAGCAACTGGATGATGTTTTTGGGTGAATTTTGTCAAGAACACTGGGAAGAGATACAAGGAGATGAGCGTTTGCGCAACTTCGTTTCCAGTTTGCACTTATATATTTGAAACTTTTTAAGAGGATGACCCACTTGGAAACTTGGTTTGGAAATGTTACAGTTTTTGATTCTTCCTTTATACTTGTTGATCTACCCTGGATGGCCCAGGCTCTGGCTACTGAATGTTTGAACAAGTTCATGAGGGGCATCTATTCGCAAGATGTGTTTATGGAGAGCGCAATTGGGGCTGACCTTGCAAACAATTTGTACAGCTTTGTACGGTCGTATGTTTACCAAGCAGCTGCTTCATACAAGTTGGGGTTGAAGTACTTTGGATTGTATCCAAAACTTCATTGGGTCCATGAGACTGCCCATGAGATGCGACGTCAAAGCAGAATGGCATCCTATATCTTGAATCCCGCTGTACACTCGTGCAGCTTAGATGAGGATTTCATCGGGCGGGTAGCTGCTCTTTCCCGCGAGGTGAGTCCTCGCCTGGTAAGCCAAAGGCTTTTTGAGCGCTATCAAGCTCACATTCAAATTTCGTGGGCAAGAGGTTAAGGGGAAAGGAGATGGGCCTGGAAGGATGGGTTGTTTTGTGTGATTTCCATGGGAATCTTTGATTGCAGTTCCAGCTTGCATGTCAACATATATATGCATCTGAATTTGGGCATATTTGATCATTTTTGAGGTATATGTTTGAAACTCAATACATGAACGTTAAATACCATTCATGGACGTAAATTGCAGACAACATACCAACATGGACGTAAACATCCGTTCAGGGACGATCTTTGATCCAAAAATACCAAAAGATAGTTTACTAGCAAGATGTACTATAATAAGCTGCCCAGCAGGGCAGCAGGTATGTGAATGCGTGATATCTATCCTATCAACGACATCAACATTTCATTCAACAAGAGGGTATGTGCTAAAAGGAAGTGGCTGCTGATCGCCGAACCACGATAGCCAGGGTTTCTCACCATGCGGGACCTATACCATCCCATAGAAAGTGGCTCGTAGCCATGGGCCATGGCTAAAATCGCAATATATATATATAAAGAAAACACTTTTTTTGTACCTCGTTCCATTTCTTGAGGACCTGGACACTTTTCATGGACCTTACTTACTACGATTCTTTTGGAGATGGCTACCCTTCTTTTGGACCTGCACAACCTCCTGCTGGACCCGGCCCTTCCCCAAACCATCCCCCCTTTGGATAGATTCTCCAAGCTGCGCCTTGATCGCAATTCTTCAATTCAAACAGTGCAACATGGCAGGAAGCATTTCAGTACATTGTGTGGCTTCAGTGCCTCCTTCCCATTCTGCCCTCTTCTCAATTTCTAATTACTTTTCACACCTCTTCCGGCCTTTCTCAGTTATGCAGGGGCTCAACTTGGTGTCAACCTGGGTGAAAGTGCCTCACTTGGGGGGCATTCATCTGGTTTCAATATCTAAAATTCCCCCGCTTTGTGCCTCTCAGCAATTTCCTGCATTCATTCACTTGGTCTCAACAAGACCGCCCCTCCGGCCTCTTAACAGCTTTTTGCATGCATCTTCATGTGGTTTCAATGTTGCCTCTCAACAACTTCCCGCATTCATGCGGTTTCAATATCTAAGCTTCCCGCCCCTCGTCTCTCCACAGCTTCTTGCATGCGCCGTCATTTGGGTTCAATATCTAGGCTTCCACTGCGCTCATCTTGTTTCGATGTCTAACTTCCCCCCTCCACCTGCCTCTCTCTCACCAATTTTCTGCACTCATCTGGCTTCAATATCTACATGTTCCCCCTTTCTCTGAACATCTTCTTACATGGATCTTGTCTCAATATCCAAATTCCCCCCACCCTGCGCCAGGTCCAAAAAAACATGTACAGGTCAAGAAAAAAAAGTGCCAAGGTCCAAAAACATCCAGCCCAATGTGAGCGCAAGCGCATATAACAATGGAGTTTCCTCCCCCTCACCCCTATGGACGCAAGGTCCACAAAGCAGGTGCAGGGGTCCAAAAAGCAGAAACCGAGGTCAGAAACAATTAATTTGGCGGTCGTAAAAAAATTCCCTGGGTCCAGCACAAATACATGCAGGTCCAAAAAAAATATTCGCACCGGGTCAAGAAAACACACAGGCACGTCCCCCACATTTTTTGTGCCCCCAGGTCAAAAAAAAATCTGGCCAGGTCCAAAATACATGTACGGGTCCAAAAAAATGATGCCCAGGTCCAAAAAACATGCATCCCATATAATAATCCAATTGGAAATGGGAATCAAGCCCACTTGTATATGGAGGTTTCCTAAAATGAAGGTACCCCTAAATCATCCATTTCAATAGGATTTTCCACTATAGTTTTGGGAATCCCCCATTTCTGGAAACCCCCATATTGCACCCTGAGCAAGAGATAGAAGACAAGCCGCTTGTATCAAGTTGTTCTGAGTGTGCTTTCTCTCGCTGAGACGTTGGGAGGTGGAGATGTTCCGGAGTGATGTCAGCCATGTCTTAGCGGCTGCGATATGCTGCGATGCACCAGTAGCTGGCCCTAAAAGGGCGAGAATATATATGTCTATCAGACAGTCTATCTGTCCAACTTGAAGAAGCGAAGGAAAGGAAGCGGCATGCAAAAACAGTGATCACAATTCGTGTCGCCATGAAAAAATTGAATGAATTGAAATAGCACCAACAAAAACGATGATAATCTAAAGTCAAAGATCCAGCTCGGCAAAGATCTTGGCAACCAACATCTGCCCCACCATCATGTAGATGGCACATGAAAAGCGCCTCAGCTTTCATCAGCTGTCAACATGTCCCGAAATGCCTCTATAAATGCCCTAGATCTTGCTGAAAAACAATGTCACTTGATGTTTTCACAAACCGTTGATCATTGACAATTGGGGAGAAATTCACAGGAGACCTTGGGAAGAGCCTCTTGAAAATCAGCCCATAGATTTGCAGATTCTCCAGTCACTGGTCAAGGTGCTCCACCGAGTTGGTCCCGCCAAAGTCACCGTAGCCAATGGAGGTTAGGGTATAAGTGGAGAAATAAAAGGCGGCCCAGAACCTTGGCCCATTGGCACTGAAACCACGAGCGGACGGGAGAACCAGTTGGCTGTTGCCACCACTCAGGCAGTGGCTTTGCCACACCTTTCTGGCGGAGGGCGACCCTGAAGATCTTGAATCCGGGATGAGCCAGGCATGTCAAAGAACTGAAAGAAGAATTGAATCGGATTTATATCCAGGATACAGTAGTCCAAACTTCTAAAGTCTAAATAGTTATCTATAATTACTTAAATTGTCTATTCTATTCAAGTTATCTACTTCAGTTATCTGCTTAAGTCATCTGACTCTATTTCTGCGAGGCAACTGTTCTGAGCACACCAGCTCCGTCCAGGGTTCATAGCCCCAGATTTGCTGCCTCGGTCGGGGGACCAGCGCTGCACCAAGTAGGGCGATGTAGACATGACTGCCATCTGCTATGATGTTGATGTTCTATATTTTTTCTCCGATGTTTGAGCGTCCTGCTCATTTACAACATCTTTCAATATCTTTCACATCACGAAGCATCAGTGAAAACAAGCTCCAGCCTTTGGTTTCGCCGGGCGGCTCGTAATGCCCTAGTAGCATCCAGTAGCAGGAAAAGAGATGAGCTGCCAGAAAGAGTTGCAGCAAAATGATGGCGAATTCGATCTCAAACTGAACACCTGGGGTCAGATGGCTATGAGTCAAAACCCTAGATCCCTTAGTGCCCTATAGGTACTGTACCCTAAAATGGGTGGTTAACGGATCGTTATTACCCCAAATATGGTAATAATCGCTTTTGACCCATCCCCAGATGTTGGAGGATGTTGGTTACCCTGTAGTTCCGAACATCAACGTGAAAAACCCAGCATTTGTAGTTCCTTTTATGGAAAGCCATGGCTTTTCAACATCCATTTTCGCCCACCACTGCCGCGTCCGAAAAGGCACTGACGATGATCGGTGCCGAGGGCTCCCAGAGGCGCCACAAACGAAGCAGGTCCAGCAGCGAGAGCCACTGTTCTGTGCGGAGGTTTTCACCAAACCTCGGCTGCGCAAAATTTTCGTGAGAAATATGTACGACGTATAATATATATTTAGAAATATAAAAAAAAATAAATAAATATTATATAAAGCATGATTGAAGAGTTATGATTTGACATTTGGACTTAGAGCTATAGGTTTACCAGGATCGATCATTCAATCCATCTATCTTACCGAATCTACATGCGGTGCATGTGATTAATGTACAATGTAATTGTAATATTATCCGTGTGTGTATGTATGTCTGTATGTCTGTATGTCTGTATGATTCTGTATGTCTGTATGTCTGTATGTCTGTATGTCTGTAGGTATGTAGGTATGTAGGTATGTAGGTATGTAGGTATGTAGGTATGTAGGTATGTAGGTATGTAGGTATGTAGGTATGTAGGTATGTAGGTATGTAGGTAGGTATGTAGGTATGTATGTAGGTATGTATGTATGTATGTATGTCTGTATGTCTGTATGTCTGTATGTCTGTAGGTCTGTAGGTCTGTAGGTCTGTAGGTCTGTAGGTATGTAGGTATGTAGGTATGTAGGTATGTAGGTATGTAGGTATGTAGGTATGTAGGTATGTAGGTATGTAGGTATGTAGGTATGTAGGTCTGTATGTCTGTATGTCTGTATGTCTGTATGTCTGTATGTCTGTAGGTCTGTAGGTCTGTAGGTCTGTAGGTATGTAGGTATGTAGGTATGTAGGTATGTAGGTATGTAGGTATGTAGGTATGTAGGTATGTAGGTATGTAGGTATGTAGGTATGTAGATATGTAGGTATGTAGGTATGTAGGTATGTATGTATGTATGTATGTATGTATGTATGTGTGTCTGTATGTATGTATGTATGTATGTAGGTAGGTAGGTAGGTAGGTATGTATGTATGTATGTATATATGTATGTATGTATGTATGTATGTACGTATGTAGTGGACTTTATGTATAGATATGGGGTATTATATGATATCATATCATGATATAATGATACAATGTCATGTGGCATGTTTATTCTTAACTCACAATTCTGAGAGGATAACATGTGGTTTACCGCTGCTTACCGCTACCATACGCTACCCCAACCACTGAGCCGAGTGACCACAGTTGTCCAAAGCCGACGTCTGCGTAGTGGACGAGTTGCATGACATCGCCCACTAGGGCTGCCCTGAGAGCAGTGCAGATCAAAGGAAATGGAAAAGCGAAGAACATGTCACCATTTGACCAAGGAAAGGAAAGGAAAGGCGCATGTGCATCACTATTTTCACTTATGGATGGCCTCTGGACGTTTCGCAACTTCGGCCAAGTCACAAATCCAGCCAGAGGCCGGCATGTCGCAATTGCCACGCCATAACACTCCTGCGAAGCTACATGAAGCCATCAGGTCCATCAGGTCCATCAGGTCCATCAGGTCCATCAGGTCCATCAGATCCCATGAGATCCCATGACACAGCCAAGAACACGGTCAGCATGGCTTCCAGTAAGGTTTAGTGTGATGGTAACAGGCATGCCGTAGATGTACAGAGTCAAGCCAACAAAAGTGCAAAGCACCTTATACCTGCCAGAGTTCAAGGATCCCGGGGCCTATGTTGTGTGTTTAAGGAATACCCCGGAAGCTCAAGCTCATCACATCTCATCACCAAGCCATCCTGAAGGCCACCAACTCAAACTTGTCTTTGGTCACTACTGAGAATGTGAAAAACACCACCTGGGCCGAGGATTCGGATCATTTCGGATCCAAGCTACTCAGCCGGGTAGCTAACCATCACAAATATACAACAACTAAGAAAAGCATTGATATCAATTGTAACATATGTAATCAGAAGGGATATTGGGAGCCTCCAAAGTGCAACTTTTGTTCTCAAGATCTGCGCAGGTCCAGCATACAAAGGCCTTTTGAGGCAGTGGTGGTAGTCCTACCATGTCCTGCTTGCAAAGCTGTGCAAGATTATTACCATTTGTTTATTTAACATAGCCATGGAAAATCACAATTTTCAATAGGTAAACCATCTATAAATGGGTCATTTTCCATGGCTATGTTAAATAACCAGAGGGTAATTATCTAAGAATCAAGCAGTGGTCGGGCATGGGTTTGTCTCAAAATCAGGCAGCCCAGTTTCAAATCAAGACTCCTAGAGCCTGTCACCACTGAATGCAGCAACACTTTTTGATGGCCGAAAAATGATATTTGCGTCGAGCGCTTGACTGTGCCCCTCGAAAACCAACCGCATACCCCTTCAAAGCGGCTGAGCCCACTCCACATAGATCAAATTCAAAACACTGTCTCTCCCTACCAGACCGGCCCTCGATACCAGCAAATTATACAATTATTAATGTCAATGATCTTTCCACCATTTTTCCCCATTCTCATTATTAGCCCCCATGTTTGGGCAAACCCATATGTTTCAACTTTCATCCTACGGGTCTCCAAGTTGCTGTGGACAACACAATGTACAAGATATCAACGGTGAACTGTGTCGCGTGCAGTGCGGCCAAGTCTTGGAGGTCCTGAGCTGGTCATGTCAACCCCCAACGGCTCTTGTGCTTGGGTACCATGGGGTACCAGTTAAGTATCGTGGTATCACTCTTTGGGGAATAGCCCCCTTAATAAACCATGGCAGTGCAGGTGGAAGTGCCGATTCGGTGCCACGAGTCCCGGCGGTTGGGTGAAGGACAAATGGGCTGCATCGCCAAAAGGCCCGGCGTCAAAAATGCCGTGCAAAGGGCCAGCAGTTGGAGTATTCGGCCTCAGAGTCTGCTCAAATTCACGCAAATGCACTAGAAGTAGCTTCTCCAAACCCAAGCTGTGCCATTCTCTCCCCTTGAAAATCATGGCCCACCGAGCCGAACATGGCTGACTTTAGATAGGAGTTAAGTGCTAATTGCTCTATCTATGGCCGAAGCCATTCCCATATTCACCCCCTTGGTCTACCCATCATTAATTCGTAATGCCACCATCGAAGCAAATCAAAACTCCCAGTTTTTGATCTATATTTACATGTATATCTGTATATCTATCTAATATCTATACATACCATATACATCATACACTATACATATATAATATATTATCATATATATATATAATATGTATATAATATAATCATATTATATATATATATATATATACATATGTTATCTGCCTGAATTATAATCACCCAGCATTAAAACAGCTAAAATAATGTCAATTTGGGATAGTTATCTTTACTGACCATCATTCCAGTGACGCCACGACGTGAGGTCATTATAAATCATCCAGAGATTATAACGATTATAGAGAAATTCCCCATTCAAACCTCCATTTATAGCGGATTTCCCCATGATTTTCCCATGATTCACCCAAACGAAAGCGCAACGCACCGAAGTCCAAGTGGCGACAAAGGATCGCCTTTTGACTGGTGCAACGGATACGCCAGGTGCCATCCTCGAAGCCTTCCTTGGATCATGATGAATTAATCTACGGATAATCTATAGATAATATATGACATATATATATAATATAATAGTAAACATAAGATAATATAATAATAATAATAATAAAATATAATATCATATAATATATATATACACATATGTGGATAATCTATAGATAATCTATATAGATAATATATGGATGAAAATATGGATAATATATGGATAATATGTGGATTATGGATGTAGGCATAATTCAAGTATGGATAATATCTGGAATATCTATACAAAATGTATGCAAAAATATGCGTACATATAAAATTTGCCTACATATATCCAATTTCCCTCTCTCTCTCTCCCTATATATATACATTGATCTATCGATAGATAGACGCACAGTGATATATGCAAATGATTCTGGATGTACATCTGATATATGTATATACAAATATGTGTGCGTGTATTCATATACCTATAATTATGTTATAGCATTTACTAAGCATATAATATCTGGGTGAGGTTCTATTGATTTCATATACAGTAAATCTGTGATGGCAAGGATGCCCTTAGAAGACTACACCTATTGTGAGCATTTAACATGCAACGTATTTGTGTTTCTTTGTGCTTGTCCTCAAGCACTGTCACATCTTGGCACCACCAGCCATGATGCTCCAACTTTCTAATCATTTCCCAATAAGGCAAGGCGCTTGGAGAGGGAAAAAATGGCGCGTCATTTTCAGCCTGATCTTTGCCTTGAGGATACGAAGGCAAAGAGGGACACGAAAAATATCACTCAATAGTAATTCAATAGTTCCAAGTATCATCTGTGGATAACCCTGGATAACCCCCTCCTGAAACTACTTCAAACAGTCCCGAAAAGAAACTCTGGTTTGACATTGGATCTGATTATTCAATATGATTCATGTCATTTCATGTCGGGCTGCTTGGCATCGGGTATTTCATTAATTCGGTGTTCAGGGCCTTTCAGGCCATAACTGGCCACCCAGCTGCAGGAATCATGGCGCGAATGTTGAAAGCCACCGTCCAGTCTTCAAGGGTGCTGGCATCCTTAAGCCATGCCCGCCATGGGCGAGACGCTGATGGTTTTGAAGTGGGACATAGGGGGTGACAGACTGACAGATCAAAGTCGTGAGTAGATATAAGTAGCACAATAATCGATCTATCTATTTATCTATTATCGATTTATCCATGTATCTAGTTATCTATTTATATATTTGTTTTTTTCTGTATTTTTTTCTTTCCTTCTTTCTATCTATCTATCCATCCATCCATCTATCCATCCATCCAGCCAGATCTATCTATCTATCTATCTATCTATCCATCTATCTATCTAAAATATCTAAGATATCTAAGATATCAAATCTATCTAATCTAATCTAATCTAATCTATCTAATCTAATCTAATCTAATCTATCTATCAGTTGCAAGTGTATATATATATGATAACAATAACGGCAATAATAAATTGATGATAAATATATATAAATAGTAATAGTAATAATAATAATATATAATAATATATAATAATAATAACAATAGTAATTCGCTAAATGGCCCCGGGCTTGGGCTGTGGTTGGCGGTTTCAAGGCATCCCAAGAATGTGTTGCTCAAACTGAAGCAAACACCAGTTGATAGTCTACAGCACCAGTTGGCATGTTGGGCTATCACCCGTTTGGGAGATACCCAACACATGCAGGAAGCAACTGCGTTTTATCGCATCTTTGCGGTATGATTGGAGCCCGAAACGGAGGATGGTTGAGATCTCTCCTTTGGAGGTGTTGAGGAAAATGTTCTTTGATTAGGTGCCATCATGAGCCAGCCATAGCCAGCCAACATCTTCCTCGACCTCTAGTCATCTTCACACAGGCAAAAGTTTAGGTAGATCCAAAGATTAGAGAACCCCAAAACTTCCCCTGCTGTAAGCTTAACATAGATGCGGAAAACCCACCATTTGTAGATCATTTTCCAGGGGAAGCCATTGATTTCCACATTGAATGGTGACACTTCACTAAACATGTCAAGTGTCTGCCGGTTTCATGCCCACCGGCCGCTTGCTGCTGGCCCATACATCTCCAGCAATGTCGGGATCGTGCTGTGTGACACGCCTGCTGGGCACCTGGTTTCACGGGCACCCTAGTGGACTCCAGTTCAATTTTGACCATCTGGTTCTATAAACTGGGCAAAATTCCACTGAAATCTTAATCTTCAGTAGGCAAATCAGCTGCAAATCGCCACCAAGGCACAACTGCAGAGGCACGGTGATTCTGATGCACCGTCCGTCCTCATTCCCCCCCTTTGTGGCGCCTGGAAAAACCCCGCAGCCCAATTTGAGATGGAACCTCAAGAATGCTATCTGGAAAATGATGGTCCTTTGAAATATAATATGGCCATTTTGGGGTTGCATGTAGGGGATGTACATCTTGGGCAATGTCGATGTGGTAACGTGATTGACATGCACACTGGTTCCTCATCGCATCCCATCTGTTTTCATAATCATCATAGTACGTACTTATTGCATTGCCATGCATCCACACACACTTTGAGAACACATCAGCCTAATATGGCCTTTCCCCAGTAATAACACCTCTCCCAGAAGCCTTTTTTTAGTACTTGTGGTCCTGATTTACGATGATCTTGCAATAAAAAAAACTAGTTCCACAATGAATGAACATCATAAGGATGATTCATTCAGCCCATTCCTTCCATCTCTTCCATTTTTTGGAGGCACAGGCACCCAGGGATACACCATGAATTCCGAACCAAAAGACTTTGCTGCGTCATGCCCAACATTCCACCACGAGCCCCCGCCATCACACCAGCTTGGAGGCCGAAGCGCGGAGCTAGCCGAAGGTATTTGATTAGATCCGTGATGGGTTGCTTGACCCAGGAGCAACCACCAAATGTTGATATTGGTGTAATTATATATATATATAGCAAATCTTAGCATATTCACTCAGAATTGGTTTAGCCAAAGCAAACAGCTGTGCAAAGGGATCTCTTTTCATGGGCCCTGGGATCGAAGTCAGGTCTGCGCAGCAGTCCGAACACCTCCTGGTTCGCACAACCGTATTTTCACCTTCATAACCGTTCTGTCAAAAACTACTGTAATGTTTGCATACCCATCCAGCCTGTCTTAAACCTCACAAGACCATCAAATCACTTTTTTCTTGGTGATTCTTGAGCAAGCGCTACCGCAAGCGAAAGGTGACAGCAGTCGCTCAGCCAAAAGAAACCAAAACATAAACTTCCGACCTGGTCGCCCCTACAGTATGTACCAATAGAAGCAAGTTGAAATTGGAAATAACCCATTCCCCCATATTCCCCCTAATATTTCACACCCCCCAGAAACCATGGTTTAGTAGGGGATTGATACAATCAGGGTGCATCTTTTTCTGAAAGGGGGATGGGATTCCCAAGTTGTCATGACTTTTAGCAGCCACCTTTCTTAGGCACACATTACACATCCTATCAGCGCCAATGCCCTGGGTTCCAGGCTTTCTGGCTCGGTCTGGGCGGCCTCAGCGCATCTTACACAGTAAGTCACCCAACAGAGCAAAGTGATACTTTGGGTTAGCGATTTTGAAAACGAATTACATCATATTACATCATCAATCATTCCCCTCCTCCTCCTCCTCCTTCTCCTCCTCCACACCAGCAAAGCCCCGCCTCGCAGGTTTGCGGATGTTGACGGTCGGCATTCCATTCTCTGCCGAAACATCCGCTGCAGCAACCGCTCCCACTGGCGCCTGACAGAAATGTAGGAATGTAGGTTACTCTGGGGGAGAATTTGTGTATCTATGTTGATGGAGCGGATATTGATATATATATATATTATATTATATTATAGTTAGCTGTTAAAATTCGAGGTTTTACGACCTGATCATTCAACATGGCTATGGAACATCACCCTTGACTTGCAAAGATCGTATCAAAAGCACAAAAAACCTTACAAGACTACTTGGGTTTCATCCAATTTTGTTCATTATAAACCAACATGTTGGAAATTAGTTATATAATAGTCATAGAGTACACAAGAGCCACCGATAAGATTCAAATATACAAAAAAAATGCACGTGAACAAAAGATACCAATGGCTCTAGCAAGCCTTGCAACGTACCCATTCCTCTATAGGAAGACTGTTTTTGCAATAGTTGTTCAAAAGGTCTATTTTCCCTATAGTTTTTGCAATACCTCTGTTGGAGAAAAATGTTTGTCATTTTGGAAAGGAAGCGTGTGTTTTGCAATATGTTTTTCACAAATATGCGTTTTAAATAAAAGGTAGACTTACTTTTGCCATTCCACATTTTGAAGAAGAAACATGAAAGTCATCAAACAAGAATCCTGACTTAAGTTGTTTGCAATGCATGTGAACTTGTAACATGACAAATCATAAAACTTGACCAAGCATTTCCACTTAAACGTGACAAAATGGGGCGAATATGGGCGAATATATGCCTCACCTTTCAACATCCAGATCATCATAATCATAGGCTATATACTATATAAGTTTTATATATATATATACATACAATTCAAAATTCATATACCCATGATATGTCCATATTTTTTTTGTTTAAATCCCCATTGTTTCATGGTTTTTCCGTTGATTCCCCGGGCTACCCATCACACCTCCGAGGTCATCTGGCTGGCCTCACTGGCAGTGACCTGACATATGTTTCATCACGTGCATATGGAGTCCATGGTGATGTGTTCTTGCTATGGAGTCCATATAATCATATAAGTGAATATGTGTATATATATATGCATATTTGCTATCATAATCATATATCATATATCCACAAAAATCTAGCTATAACATACTATAACTATCATTATGTCATAGTAATCATCGCTAAAATGATAGCGATTTTGCAACCCCGTCGACGACTTCTCTCTCTCTCTCTCTCTCTCTCGCTCTCTCTCTCTCTCTTCGCCTTCTCAGCCTTGTGAGCCTTGGCGTCCCCCATGAAGGACAGGTCCTCTGGGATCACTACGCCTGGTGCCGCTGGTCTGCAACTGCTCAAACATGTGTGGTCACCAAAATGCCCATTCAATATCTATCACAAAATCTTCATATATATGTATATGTTTATCAATATATATATATACATATAATATATATATATATACTGTATGCAGATATTATTCACAGATCATCAATGTAAACAAATATAAAGACTATATCACCAACTTGTTACCAAGGTGTAACACTTACACCTGGCACAATCCGGTGCCACCTGCGTTGGCCAACTCGCTGGCCGCCCACTTTTGAATCTGCGCTGCCTTCTCCTGACGCTGAGGGTTGCTGTTTCAATATGTCATGCTTAAAAGGAAAACCACTGGTTTTTGGAGATTTTGATGGGCCCTTTTTTGGGGAAACACATGGAAACACCCATATTATGTGTTTGAATGTTTTTGAAGCCAAATAAAAGGCAATACGGGAAAGGCAGAAGGGTTTCCAGGAGGTCTTTGGGTTTCGAAAGCCATTCGATAATCGTTTACAACCACTGGGGGGTAAGAGCAATCTGAAAACAAAACATCAGAGTGACAAAAAAATGTCGTGGAAGCAGTCACAAGACTCTTTCGGATCCTTCTTGTCGCCCAGATCCACCAAACCATGTTTTTCTCGCCATCTTAAAGCCATGCTGTGTCTTACCAGGCGCACCTGTGGAATCCGTGGAACTGGGGATCTGATCAAGACTGTCAACATATGTCAACATCACTTCTGTGGACTTCCACTCTTCAAGCAGCAAAAGTCCAAGGTATCCCAAGGTCTTCCGATAATCTAACAGTTTGCCATGGAAGATCAATCAAAATCGGTATATCATCTATAAATGGTCCATTTCCATAGCTATGTCAAATATTGACAAACTACGAGATCAAGGTGGTCGAAAGCATGGAAGAGTCCACAGCGGTTGTGCAACATAGTGCAACCACAGGCACAGCACATGAGAGCTTTCTCACCCCCAGGCTCTTGTGGTAGAAGCCTGGGACGTCAATTGGAATCATTGAATTTCCATGGGAATGTTTGATGGATTTCAGATCCAGCCCGGACTCCAGACGTTGCACGGCACCATCACCCTGCCATCCTATTAGTCATCCTATCCATATTATTCCATCCATCTTTTTGCGGCGTCCAAGCTTCTTTCATTGCGCTCCAGCGATTTCCACCCGCAAGGGTCAGCCTGTGCAGAATCAGCTGGCAGAAGCTTCATGGCATTTTCCTTGCCTTGAACACCACCATGTGACCATGTGCATCCATGCTAAAGATATCTAAAGACTCCAACATTACCAAAATGTGGCAACAGGAAGTGTGCCATGACATGTCTTTGTCCCCGATTTGAAGTGCTACAATGGTCGTCTGCTATGGGATAACATTAATTAGATAACTACAAACTCTCTCATATAGGCTATAGATTCTACCATAGATCTGCCTGTAGCGACTCCATCCGGCACCTTCACATCTGCCAAAACCTCCTCCGTGTTCCGCCGTGCCGCTTGGTAAGAGCTTTCCTTTGGCTTCTGAGTCACCAGGATCGCCTGCTGGGACATGCTGGGAATCTGGACCTGCTGACCCCAGCCATCCCCAGCCGGACCTCTATTCGATGCAAATCATCCATGGCATAGGTCGCCTCCGCGAACGAGAACGTAATTTACTGTCCCAGCACATGTTCGGGATCATGTCCAATAGCCATCCTGATTTTGGGGTTACATTATATTATTAATTAAACATATTGAAATCAGCAGCACAGAGCATTGGCCAAATTCAGAATGACGTCAGAACAATGCTTGAAAGATCCGTCAGCTTCTTCGGTCTTAAGTCTTACGATGCGCATTTCTTTCGCCCGTCCAGGACACATCCAAAATGTCAACATTCTGTCTCAAAGGGGCTGGGTCAAGACTGTCGACCGACTGAATGATCCCAAATGGATGGCGTTCGGTTCAATGGGTGCCCAATGTGGGCTCATATGATTCCCTCAAACCTCCATCACAGACATTGGCAAATGGAGCGCTCGCCGGTTCTGGGAATGATAAGCATGCCAATCAATCCTTGGAATCAAAGGCCAAATCAGCCAAGCACCCAAGGGGACCCAAGGGCTTTGCTTAAAGTGAATCCTCCACAAACTGCGTCTATCGAGTAGATCATTTAGATTCATTTACTGCATGAATATATCAAAATATCTGAAACTAACTACTATGTGCAGTAGTTATCATTAATTCCTGGCTTCCAAATTGCTGAACCATATGGATCGCAACCTAGTCTACAAAAAATATCACAAAATAACATGGAGTGAACTCATTTGAAGTCATCCTCTTGCTCCTCACCTTGTATACAGCTGCCCCAAAGGCAGCTAGATGCCAAAGGCATCATCCAAAATCATCCAAATGGAGGGAGGGAAAAAGATGTGCCATTGACCAATAATTGAAATACCACTGAAGGACCAAGGAACCAACGTTCGGTCTTCGAAATGTTCGCTCCATGGGTTGTATGTTCATAATCCCTTCCTAAT